TCAAATGTAATTAGAATTTTACAAATCTTTATCTTATGCTTTTACTGCAAAAGGTCTAGTAAGAATTGAACTCTTTCTCGAAGATTGTTTTGAATATTTGATACAAAGTGTCAGTTCTTGCATCGAGTGCTTCCTCAAAGTGGGCCAAGATGGTGATCTGACAAATGTGAAGGGTGTCAGCTCATGGATCATGGCACGAATGATCATAAGTCTCACCACCAACATCAGCAAAAAGTCCGATCACCAATCTGGACAGAAATGGTAGTCAGTACCCCTGCTGTATTGCAAGAGCAGGCATTCGCAGATATCAGCAGAAAATCCTCCATAGGGTTCGGTGTTGTTAGGCCTGCTCATTTCCTGTCAGGTATGTATTTTCTGGCACGTAACTGACCACTGATGATAGATATGCACAGATATTGTAAGGCAGGATTGACATGCAGAAGGCTGTCTGAAGCATATGCACTGCATATCTAAAATCCAATGCTACAGTGCGGGAGGCCATAGTATTTATAAAGAGAGAAATATAATTTATTGTAAAGTAGATGGCATAATGTATCATAATGTAATATGGAATCAAACTGCAAAAAGACCTGGTACTGTGTGCATAGGAGTTCAGACTAACAATGCAGCAAAGAGGATGTCAGCATTGTCGTCATCCTCATCTGAAGCATCGCTATCAGCCCAATACTGTCACGGTACCGGTCATGATGTCACCATGGCGCATAGCGTACCGATAGCTCAAACCCTGTCAAATATAGTCGTGCATGTATATAAGCCTTCACTCTGGTTCGATTCACCGAGTCAGTCCACTTTCTTCACAGCACTGACAGTCTCGACAAAACCCCACCCTCCACCACTGCATCGCCATCTTCCACTTCATTTTCTTCATTGATGATACAGTGACCCACAAAACTGTTGATAAGATTGCTCACTTCGACTTGTATAGTAAATATCTCCTCAACCAATGGGTCACCTACATCGTATAAGCACTCATTGAAAAGTGTATTATCATGGCTTTCTAATGCAGTCTTAATCAGATTTTTACCATATTTTGATCCTAAGATATTTACTAATCTTTGAGGGTCACTCTTATCAACAGTTTTGTGGCACATATTCAGGTTCTACAAAACTTGTACTTTCAGTACTTGGTATAGCCTCCCTTTGCCTTCACCATTGCATGCACCCTCCTTGGCATACTTTCAATCAGATTCTGACACACTTCCTTCCCAATAGCCTCCCATTCCTTCTCCACCCTTTCCCACAACTCAGTAATTCCCTTTGGTGGCTCCTGATACTCTGCAAGCTTCCTTTTGAGATGACCCCACAGATGCTCTATGGGATTGAGGTTTGGGGATTGAGAGGGCCATATCATAGTGTTGAAATCATGGTCTTTGAACCAATCCTTGGCCTTCTTGCTGGTGTGCTTGGGGTCATTGTCTTGCTGAAACACCACATCCTCCACAATTTTGCCCCAATCCTCCAGGCTATTCTGCAGCTCATCCTCCAGAATGCTAACATAAAGGTCTGCATCCATCCTGCCATCAATCTTGCAGGCATACCCCACACCATCCCATCCCATACAGCCCCACATCATCAAGGATCCACCTCCAAACTTCTGGGTCCCTTCCACCAACCTATCACTGAGGCTCTCCCCTGGCTTCTTCCACACCCATTTCCTTCCATCTGACCCCATCCTGTTAATCTTTGTCTCATCTGACCATACCACCCTTCTCCAGTCCTCCACAGTCCAATATTGGTGAGCCAAAGCAAAGTCCATCCTCTCCTTTCGATGCCTCGCAGCAAGTAAAGGCCTTCTGCACTTTACTACAGCCTTCATTCCTGCCTTCTTCAACCCTCTTCACACTGTCTCTGCATTGACAACCCTCCCAGTAACATCTCCAAGAGCTCTGGCCATAGCAGGAGATGTGGTAGCCTTGCCAGTCCCAATGAGTCGAGTAGCATAGCGAAGATTGGTAGTAGAAAGAAGGGAAGGTCATCCTCCTTTGGCCTTAGAAATGGTGGGACAGTGTGTGGAGTGTAGTTTACTGATGTTCAAGTAGTGTAGACCAGTTAAAGCTTCAATTTCTCGAAGAGATTTGTCATTCTGAAGCAAAGCGATGACATGGTTGACAGTTTCAGTAGCAACAGCTTTTGGCATGATGTTGGTTGAGTGTGAAGAGTTGTGTATGGCTGTTTGTACATTGTTCATGTTGAAACATGAACATCAATCAATATTCCCACAAAGAACCCTGTCAACACATCAAGAATCACAATTTTCTAAGAACTTGTGTGTGTGCCACAAAACTGTTGATAAGAGTGACCCTCAAAGATTAGTAAATACCTTGGGATCAAAATGTAATAAAAATATGACCAAAACTGCATTAGAAAGCCATGATAATACACTTTCCAATGAGCCCTTATACAATGTAGTTGATCCATTGGTTGAGGAGATATTTATTATACAAGTTGAAGTGAGCAATCTTATCAACAGTTTTGTGTGTCACTGTATAGTTGAATTCGTGATGTTCCTCATCCTCAAAGTTCTCATCAGTTGCGAATAACAACTGAAACTCAAAATCTGAGGAACAGACACTGAGCTTACTAAGCACACAGACGAGGAAAGAAATGTGCTGCAACTGTGACTGCATCGCATTTCTTCTCCTCGTCAACATTTCACCATCTGCTCACATTGGGGTTTTCTCATTACAGCTTGTTTCCACAGGGTTTGTTCCTGTCCCTGGATGACATGACTGAAGGAGCGCAGCTGCATGCTGCTGGAAGGAAGTCACCCAAGACTTAGCAAGCAAGCGGTATCGAGCCGTTTGACCATACCGGGGAACCTCGCACCAGTCATTGACCTGGATGATGCTCTCAAGCATCAATGCATACTATGCAAATATGTTCATATGGCTGCTTATATGGCCTTTGTCAGGAAGGTGCTGAGGGAGAACGTTATGCAGGGGGACCCATGAACGTAGGCCGCGCAGAGCCACCTTTGCCCGACGTGCATTCACTAGCTACATGCATGCAGGTGAGTGTCTTTATCAGCATGCTGCCTGCCGCACAAAGATGCATATACTCACCACCAGCGCATTCTTCCCCTTCACACGGCGTTACATTGTTGCCCATCCATTGTCACCCACGCACGTCGACAGCATGCGGACGAGTAGCGGTGAGTCTTTCAAGGGCACGCCCAGCTGCTCCTGCATACTTGCTCTGATGTCTGAGGCCACGCACAGGTGTCCTGATTGCAACCACCTTGCTGCTTTGTGGGAGCTGAAAGGGTGGATCTCAGAGACAACTACTCAACAAGGCCACACGCATCACAGCTGAATGGGTATGTTGTGGCCTTGTGGGAATTCCTCAAGCTGCAGACTCCCTGATTGCCAAGCAGATCTGCCTGTCAGTGATTAAACAAGGGTGCAGGGACAGAGCAGTCTGAGCGCGATTTGAGACAGGTCACATTCGCTCCTCCATGTGCTATCAAGATGCATGAATGGCTGCGAGAAGGGGGTGCTGGGTAGAGTGGTCCAGCATCACTAACGTCTGTATGTTTGCATGTCATCAAGGTCCATGGATGATGTAAGGAGCCATGATTATTCAAGACATGGGCGCTCACTCCAGATGACTGAAAAAGGGATGCCAAAGGAGAGCTGATGGACATGACTTTGCAAGGCTCACATTCACTCATTCACGCACCGTCAAGGTAAGTGAACAGTGGAGAGGGTCCTCCTTGGCCATCGGAGTGTACCCAAATCTTGAATGTTGAAGGAGCAGAAGAGTTGTGCGAGTCCACGCTGATATCATTCATGCATGTGATCTTTCAAATGTAGATCGCATATTCATGTTGTAATGATAGAATGAATTTCTATTAATCCTAACGACGACTACTATGTGCTGGCTAGTCAATGATTTGTCTTCCTGTGCAATTATTTACCTGTACTGCCAAATTTTTACCTGAGGATGTGGTGCATTGCCCAGACATCAACTGACAGATGAGCCATTTTCTGCATTCTATCTGGCAGACAGGCAGCCTATCTGTACATTACCTGATGACATGGAAATATTGACTATCATCGGCTGTCCGGTGGTGGCAGGCCTGGCCTGATGATAGTAGTCAGACCCTCAGAGGTTGCAGATCTGACTTATTTGTCGGTTACCTGGCAGGTGGGGTAGTCAATAGCAGATAATGTACGTTGGGCATAGTCAGGCCCAGATCGGTGGTCAGGCTTTTTGCTGATGAAGCTTCACACTACTAATTGACAGTCAGAATTGATTTATATGGCTATCCAAAACTGAGTGCTCAGGTGAGCAAAGTCCTTTTAAAGGAGAGGGCCACCTGCAGGGCATCAAAGGAAGGCATGAAGGCCAGAGCATCAAGAGAAGTATAGATGATAGAGGCACAGGCACTGAAATGTGTATCATAAGATCAGATATGAGAGTGCATGCTTGGATGAAGCCATCAGGGGTTGAGGGATGCAGGCATTGAAGACCATGCAATAAAATGCATGAAAAGTTGAGCCAGGAGGGTGCTATGAAGGGCACTGATGGGTGCTGAGCCAGTGATGACTGGGGCACATGCAAGATAAGTGCAAAAACTATGCAATGAGATTACACAAAAAACTGGCTGGACAAGAGAATGCACCACACACACTGAGCATGAGCAGTGCACTGTAGAAAATATCAAAGATCAACACCACGGGCCATGCTCAGGCCACCATAGTATCCGGTTGCAGCCTGCTGGCATCTTGCTAGTGCTCGAATTGGAGTCTAAGCCATCAATTTTTGGGGGTTAAGTTTTGAACATGTATAACACCCTTGTGGTAACAAAACTACCTAGTTTTCTCGTGGGGGGTTAACCGCGGGATGCAAGCGTGACGGAGACGCGTCGGAATTCACGGGGGAAGGCCTGATCGATCGTGCGGGCCAAGTGACCCCAGGTCCGACCGTTATAAGGTTCGGTATCCCACTTGGCCGGTCGCGCCCCAACCCCTCCTTCGCTCATCTTCATCCCATCCCCGCTGTAACATGTCCAAAGCTGTCGTTCTCGGAGCTGCCGGTGCGTGCGTTCATCGTCTCTTGCTTCATCGGCTCTGATCCCGAACGCAGGTGGCATTGGGCAACCACTGTCTCTCCTCCTCAAGTGCAACCCGCTCGTCAAGGAGGTAGGTTCGCCATCGGTTGACGGTTTGACCCGAGCTCATGAGCATACAGCTCGCGCTGTACGATATCGTCAACACGCCTGGGGTTGCGGCAGATCTGTCCCACATTTCTACGCCGGCGAAGGTGCAAGGGTACTTGCCTCCCGATGACGGATTGAAGAAGGCCTTGGCGGGAGCTGACATCGTCATTATCCCTGCGGGAGTACCGAGGAAGCCTGGGGTATGTGCGTCAATCCATATCTGTATCGCTCATTCTGAGTGATCTCTACAGATGACCAGGTCAGTAAGTTGTCTCTGCCGCACCCTGCACTAGCTAATGAGTCTTGTCGAACAGAGATGACCTTTTCAAAGTATCACTTTCTCTGTTCCCTTCTCTGAAGGATCGTACCAATCAATTTAACATAGATCAATGCCGGTATTGTGCGCGATCTTGCGAATGGCATCGCGACCGCTGCGCCCGGTGCTGCGGTGTTGGTCATCTCCAACCCCGTCAACTCCACGGTCCCAATCGTTGTAGAGGTCTTCAAGAAGCACGGCGTTTTCAATCCAAAGAAGTAGTTATTGCGTTACAGAGGCCGCAATATTGTCTCATGCGCGTCTCCACAGGATCTTTGGTGTCACTACGCTTGACGTTGTACGCGCATCCACGTTCGTCTCTGAAGTGCTCGGAGACCTGTCTCTGGCTCCGTCAGTCAAAGTCCCCGTGGTTGGAGGGCACAGTGGTGTCACGGTCGGTGAAACCGTACTCAGGTGTTACAGATGTGATTGACCTTGCCTCCAGATCGTGCCGTTGTTCTCCCAAGCTTCTCATTCCCTCCCGCCTGGCTTCTCCAAGTCGTCCCTCGAGGCTCTCACGAAGCGCGTGCAGTTCGGAGGAGACGAGGTCGTCAAGGCGAAGGATGGTGCAGGTTCTGCTACTCTATCGATGGCCTATGCTGGCGCGGATTTCGCAGACAAGGTGTTGAGGGCACTGAAGGGCGAGAAGGGACTTGTGACTCCCAGCTTCGTCCATCTTACCGCCGACAAGGCTGGAGGTGAGAAGATCAAGAAAGAGATCGGGAAGGAGATCGAGTACTTCTCTGTCCCGGTCGAACTTGGGGTAAGGTGCAAGAACATATTGTCTAGCTTGCTCTGACGTGGACGATCTTTGGCAGCCGGAAGGTGTGGCCAGTCTGCAGAGCCTTGGACCGATCAACGAGTACGAGAAGTCTCTCATCGCGGCGGCCGTGCCTGATCTGAGTGGTAACATTGACAAGGTGAGTGTCAAGACTACATCGGATTGTTCGTTCCTGACTCAGACGCTCGACAGGGTGTCTCCTTCATTGAATCTTCCAAGTTGTAGATGTAGCCGAAGCAGACGGGAGGAGAAATAGTAGAGTATTGCTGCGTCAATTGTACTGTATAAAAGAACTGTTATGAAGTTGAATGTCTCAGATTATACGGACATCTCGAAAGAGGTGCCCTGATGACTTACACCGCCAGCAAGGCACAAGGTTACATAAGCAGTATCCTTGGGTCGATGTTGCCTTACCTTCGATCTTCTACGAGTACGACTCTACTTGACCTGTTATTCCCCTCCAACCTGCGCTGCTTGCACTACAGAGCCGAATTCGTAGCTGAGGTGGCGTATCTGTTCTCCATTTCAAAGGAAACGCTCATCCACCGAGCGAGGGTGTCTGAAGGGTCGACTGGCCTAGCTTTCTCCTTGTCATGTTCTACTAGACGCCTCATTCTCCTACAGAAACATCTCTCTAATGATTGCTCCGCTTGACTTGCACGACAACAATGACTCTGGATTCTCCTCGATGCTGCCCGAGCTGGCTGAAGTATGTCCGACCCTCTTCTCCGCAGAGGAGTCCGCTCATTTCGAAACTGAGATCTCGATGGATCCTGTAGCCGGCTCTGTGCCCGGTTCTCCCTCTCCCTCGTTTCCGAGAACGGGAACTGATACGCTCTCCCCCAATGTCTTGTCGCCCTCTTCAGCATCTAGCCCATTGCCTGCTCTGGATGCCCATGGTGAAGCAGCCACCTCCGGATTACAGTTCGATGATGTACCTGCTGACATAGCTGCCGCTGACATCTATATTGCGCGTAAGTAGCCACTGCCGATCACTTCTGTTACGGACGCTGACTGCGCGCGTAGCTGACGGAACGTTCATCGAGACCTCCTCCGGTGCTGCTGCGCGATGGCTTAAGAAACGTTATGATCAGTACCTCGGCGTCGGCAAGGACGTCCGTTCGCCATACGCCATCACCGCGTTCATCAATCAACACGGGAAGGAGATGTTTCGGGTCGGGTATGTGCAACGCATGTCCTGTGATCTGGTATGCGAGACTCACGGTGGGTGCTGAGCAGTGCCAGAGATCTTTCTGCTCCGGCCGCGGCTGCTGAGGAGATTGAGAGACGTACTAACGGGCACGAGGCCTCTACTCATCCTCCTCACCTTCCGCCGCATGTGTTCTCCGCACAGGTTAGGCGACGTTCTCGCATGAGCGTCCACTCATTTCTCCCCTCCGCGGTCTTCAAGAGCACTGGCATGCCCGTGATCGTTCCTGTAGCGCTAGATGGTAGTCGCTCTCCTCCCCTCAGGAAGCTCAGGAAGACACGCTCAATACCGAACATTGGCGGTGGTTCCGATGTGTCTCCTCACGTCGCTCACCGTACTTCAACTGGTCGACCACATGCGCATAGCGTGTCAAGTGCTGATATTTTCTCCCCTCCCATGTCCACGCCCAATTCCAAAGCTGTGGAGCCTGGTAGGGATATCTTCGCGGATGTCATGCTCTGGCGCACGCTTTCGGCGTCTCCTTCAACGTCCAGCTCTGTGCTGCCTCCCTCGAGCGGTGTCCAATCTGCAGGTAATGGGAGTACGAGCGAGCAGAATGGAGCCGAGGAACAACATATCATTATGCACCCATTCGGCCTTGGTGTCTGCTTTGACTCACCGTCGTGGCGCGCGACTCCTCGGTCTGATTCCTCTCCTACGTTGCGTGAGATGCAGTCTTTCGAGTCTGGCCTAACTGCACGAGCAGATCAGCGGTCTACTCCAGCAGGTGACGGTACACCTCGGATTGCTGATCGACCTGACAAGCCTGATCGGCAGCCACCAAATACTGATGCCCTACCATCAACTTCCTTCATCCCTCACCTAGGAGCACACCGTGCGAGCGCGCCGTCAGAGGAGACGAGCATGCACTCACGGTATTCAACAGAGGTCTTCGAGGTCCTGCAGACCTCCCGAGGTTTACCTGTCTTGGAGCGACTGTCGCCAACGTCTCATCAAACGACCATCAAGCTGTCGCTGAAATCAGACGACAGCGCGGCTCCTCGCGATGATCCTCGTTTCGTTATATGGGGAGAAGTAGAGCCGGATGAAACCGATGAACCGATGCGGACTAGTACGCGTTGTCTGCCATCTAGACAATCTCGCAAGAATGGGATGTCAAGAGCGACGTTCGCAATGAGCCGATCAGAATCATCATCGGACCAAGCTACAGAAGGGCCTACCAGGATGCTCGTCGCAGCGACGATCGAGAGGTGGATCGCTCAGCTCACAAGTGATCTGAACTATGACGAGCTGCTCGCTTTTTTCCTCACGTACCGGACTTACGTCTCTGCTTTGGACTTGGGCCATCTTCTGATCTGTAGATTCCACTGGGCACTGGGCGAGCCGAAGAATGCCCGTGATGAGATGGTTCGCCGCATTGTGCGTGTCCGTACGTTCACTGCGATGCGTTATTGGGCGGTGACCTTCTTTGATGCCGACTTTGTCCCAAATCGGGAGTTGCGCATCCTATCTGCTAACTGGCTTAATTCCTTGAGACGAGATCCGATTCTGCAAAGGCACAAGGATGCGTTTGTAAGCATCGGATGCGGCTGCCTCATAGTGTAGGAAGCTCACGAGGATATTTGCAGAAAATTGTTCGGCAACTCCGCAAGGTGTTCTTGGAATGCAAGGATGCTCATCTCCGCAGGAACACGAAACAAGCAGGGCAAGTCCGCAACGCAGATCGAACTGGCAACCGAGTGCCCGCCGTTGACTCATCATCCCATGCCCACTCGCTTGACATGACGGGACGGTCGTCCGAGGGCAACGCAGATGATTCCGATATAGACTTGGACTTCGATGATGGATACGGTGGCACTGAACATAGTTTAGGTGTCAACGCGCCTTCGTCTAGCCGGAATACCTCTGGTCCGCTTGATCTCGCTATGCTCCGTCAGCCCCTCCATCTTACATTCCTTCAGTATGGAAAGAAGAGCTCGATATCCGCCCTATCCGCCGAGGTGCCTCCTCCGATCCTCCTCCCGGTGCCACACAGCACGTTATCCCGCGTTCTGGTAAACACAATCGGTCGGCTTGGGCGGTGGAAGCGCGTACTCAATCCACGATCGCCTGGTCGGGCAGTCATGAACCCATGTGTTGATGTTTCTGCCTTCGATGTGGAGGCTAGCGAAACTGGCGACCTGCTTTTGGTTCGTGGAGGCGTTGAGCAGTACTTAAGGATGGTTGAGAATCAGTTCTCGCAAGCTACATTGGTTGATGGACACCATTCACTCGGATTTCCCTCTGTCGCGACACACACTCAAGCTGACTCAAACCCGCCCAATGATGATTCACAGCTACAATTAGATTCGAATGTTCGTGCCGATCCTGGTGAAGAATTGCAACATCCAGATGAAGACTCTGCCCCCGCATCGACGTTACCCTCTCGGCCCATTTCTACTTCAACTCTCTTCGTCGATAATATTGAGACCTCTACCACACCCGCTCCTAATAACGAATCTTCCTTACTCAAACAGCAACTGGACGTCATATCGATCGATGAAATGGATCTATCCGACCTCTCATCAGAGGAAGATGCCGGACTCGCCTCTCCTCCCGGCCTCAGGAAATTACCTCGACGACTGCCTACCAGGCGTGATTTTGAATTTGTCCGCCATTCCGTCGATAGCGTCTCTTCGATGGGTATTCGCTCCCGGGAGTCTTTCATGTCTACCGGGTCGACTACATCTGTGGGACCTGATGTGGGTACTGCCATCCAACAATGGCAGATGAACGCACTCGTAGAATCATTAAGCGATGATGAAGGAACAGGGGATGTTGAGGCTGCACTTCGTCGCCTGGAAGGACAGATCAGTGAAGAGCATCAACGTGCGAAACAGTCGAAAGTTGACAGATGGGTTCGGGCGATACGGCAGCGTGGCGCTGCTGGTCGTGCAAGCCCTGATCCCTCCGACCACTCGTCCGATGAGGATTATGGAGAGCTTCGTCATTCCTCGCAATTTGGGGCACCGGAGGATGGCACATACCAATTTACCGATACTTCTTCCCTCAGCGAGAGCAACGGTGCTGACGTCCCCGTATGTTCTATGGAGTATGTCGAGGTCGAATCGACCGCTCCTCTCGCGCAAGAAGCAGCTGACAATGTTCACTCTCCGGTCGCCAGTCCGGGCTCTGCGAGTCCTGTGACGGACACAAGGCCTGCTGTAGAGGACGCTGTCCCGCTTGAGATTTTGCAGAGCAGAGTCGATTGTGGGCTGCTGCCAAACTCGAACGCTAACAACATGCCGCGTCCGATCGCGGTAAGCGACACGTCAAGCCTTGCGCACATTCTGCTGCCCGAGAACGTCAAACGGCATTACTCGTTTGTGCTGAACTACCGCGCAGAGACACTTATACAACATTTCTGCATGATCGACCGCGAATTGTTCCTGAACATTCGCTTTGAGGAGCTGGTCTCGCCGCATTTTGTAGGTCCTGCACATGACACGAATGTCCTTGACTGGGCGCACTTTTTGAGGGAGCGAGCTCGTCTAAAAGCGGAGGGTCGGGTTGGATATCAAACGGCGTCCCTGACTGTCGTACGTGGACGATTTAATCTGACAGCCAACTTTGTGCTGTCGGAGATCGTGCTCACGCACCCGAGCGAGCGGATACGCGTCATAACGAAGTTTATACGCCTAGCTTGGGTAAGTCGGTTCAATTCTAAGGGTTGATTCATGCTAAGACTTCCATACAGAAAGCATACGAGTTGAAGAACTTCAACATGCTGGTAGCTTTGGTAGCTGGACTGCGGAGTCATTGGGTCCAGAAGGCCATGAGGCAATCTCCAGATCGATTGCGAGTTAATGACCAGCGCATTCTCAATGACCTTACGAGTTGGACGTCCAAGACCGGTCACTTCATGTACATTCGACAAACGGTGGAAGCTTTGGCCGAGGCGAAGCCCATCGAGGTACGATCACGAGACGCATCTGTGGCCAGTACAGATAGACAGCCTGCAAGAAGCAGAGCTGTCCCGGAAAACAAGCCCTCCTCTCCTCCGGCTTGTGTGCCCTTCTTCGGTGAGTCCATTAAGCTCGCCGTTGTGCTTATGCTTATATCGTCCACATAGGTGTCTACCTTTCTCAGTTGCAACTCTACACCCATCTGCCTGACTTGATTGATCCCACGGCACCACACGAGCCTGTGGGTATTGATCCCATCACGAATACCTTTGATGCCCCCGCACACCCAGAAGTGTTCTCAACTCTTGCGCCACTGCCTCCCTCGATGCAACTGGAGCCGCTGATCAACGTGCACAAGCAACGGCTCATCGCCAGCGTCGTCAAGTCGTTCGTCGCCGCCCAGCACCTCGCGTCGAGAGTGCAGTATCCGCTGGAGAAGAAACTCTTCCAGAAATGCCTCAAGCTTCGCGGACTGGATACGGACACGCTGGAACGCGCACTCGCCCTGTATGCTGATATGAAATGACTGATCTTTCACGCCCACATACGATTTCCCATGCTATTAGAGTGTATGCCTAACGTCGGTTATGCCATCTACGATTGGATGTCGATATCACTGTTGTCATGCTTTTCCGTTTGTACTCTTCAAATTCGCTTACCTCTGTATTGTATGGGACAGGAGGTGCGTAGCGTGACCTCGCGTAATAGGATTTGGTGAAGCAAGGCGGTTGTTACCCGTGCTGTTATACGTTTGAACGGTATCGAGCGTAATATCTAGTCGGCGAACATTCCATCTTGCGTCGGACCACTGTGTTGAAGATGGTCGATGACCATCTGCACTCCGAGCGGAAGGTGACTAGTTCTTATCTCCAGACCCTGAACTTGCTCACCGGTGTTCTGATCGCCGATGCTGGACACTCTCTTACGCCATACAGCTCGTCAAATGCACTGTTGAGTGCGTACGGTTTTATAGGATATGTCTCATGGCTGGTTCGCGTTTTTCACCTGTACCCGGAACTGTCTCTGCTGGGACAGCTGCGATAATCATTAGTAATATGAGTCCCCCAGTTGCGGATGCTGCGCAAGGAGTCATAGCACATTTTAGGTCAGATTTGAGTACATCTGTTGCCTCCGATCCAAAACTTCACTCCTTAGAGGGTGATACCAGTCATACTCCTGTCTTCTTCCTTCATTGAGATGGTAGGGTCGTGGGGCTTCGTTACCCTGGAGACTTTGCATCGGCTGAAGCGCCGATGACATTTATCGACGATGTAGAAGGAAAACGGCTGACTTACCATCATCACCAAGAGGCATATTTGCTGCAAAAAATAATACAGCGGAAGCTCTAATCATACGATGTTTGGATGTTGGCTATACTTCCGTTTTCTCTCATCCACGTTTCTATATAGTACATTATAACGGATCAAGACAGTCCGATATAGGTAAATCAATACACAACCATTGCTCCCGGTGTGAATGGGAGCTCTCCTTCCACGTCCTCAATCATTGTCAACCGCTTGCCACCGTTTCCACTTGACCGGCCCAATCTTGCATTGATAGACTTTGCCAATGCTATTGCGCCCAGGCCCATCTTGCGATCCTCCGCGGGCGTCATTGGCAGCTCCGAATCGACCATAGTAGAGGTTGACGCCACAGAGACCTTACGAGAATCAGCGACATCCGTGATTGTGGGTGCCAAAGAGGGCCTGCGAGATATGCCAGTATCCACGGCTGTGGCACTCGATGCCAAAGAGACTTTGCGAGGCTCGGTAAAGACCTGCGAGAAATAATCTTCTCTTTCGTCTGACGGAGGTAGACTGATGAAGATAGTCGGTGGTGCTGTGTGCGATGTCGCGGGCTCTGCAGAGGTATTTTCCAGAGTCGGTGTCACGATTGAAACACGGGCATCGGGGGCACCGAGAATGACTTCGGGGCCAGTCTCCGATTCCGGAACAGCCACCTCAGAAGCCCCATCTTCCGCTGTGACAGGGGCAATCGATATGGCTTGCTTCTCCTTCTCCGCACGCTTTCCGCGACGGAGCTTCTTCAGACCAAGGCGCTTGGATGACTTCTTGCCAGCAACCTTCTCCACGTCGACGTCCTCCGTGGATACTCTTGCCTCACGGCGCTCCTTCATCTTCTTCCTCAGCATGTATATCCCGTACTTGGTCTCGCCAATGATGACATCGGAGTATGCCTGGAAAGTGAGCACCCCACCCAGGATGCCGACGAACCAAAACAGCGGCTGGTGGAAGATGGTGGCAAGAAAGTAGGCCAGTCCGATGGTGAGAACCAGATACCACACCACCAGATGGCCGATGTGCGTGGTACGAGACAAGAAGCTCTCAGGGCGCGCGAATTCAGACTTGGAGCGAGCAGACGTGCCCCAATTGGTGATGTGGACTGTGAAGCATGCGAACAGCTTGGATGGGAGCAAGCCGAAGAAGTACTGTGATTGGCCGAAGTCAGCACAAGTCGACTGATGCTCGACAATGCACGCACCATAACACCATAAACACCGAAGAGGAACTGCCGGGGATCCCGCAGGCAGATCACTCCGTAAATACTCTTAATAAGAGCGACACCAAACATTGTGGCAAGCCAGATGAGCGGGCGGATCCAACTAGAGGGCTTGTACAGCATGCTCACGACCGTCGCCGTAAGCACCATGGGATACAGGAACTGCTTCGTGGTCTCCACGGTCAACCACTGGAACACGCGTTAGGTCGAGGCTCAGTGGAATGACGAAAAACGAAGACGTACGAATCTGTGGTAGGCAAAGCTCTTCGGAAACCAGTACGCCTCGCGGAAGAAACTCTTTGACCACCGAGTCTGTTGTTTGACCCAACGCACGTAGCCAGCCGGCGTGTCACTGTCGCACATAGCTAATTGGGTGTAGCCCGTCTTATGCCCAAGAGACAGGATGCGGTTCGTGAGGTGGCGATCGTCACCGAACGTCGTCTCCTTACCCAAAAAGGTTTGTAAGATCCACGGACCGAGGACGGACATAAGATCTGAGCATTTATAAAGCCCGAGCTGCTCAGGCCTCATCAGTAAGGGTGTCGATTACACCACTGATTGCAACTTACCGGACCAGACAAGCAACCAACACAACCGAACGCGCTCTGGCAAGCACGCTCGACGTTAAACGCAAACCAGTATCGGATAGAAGACATGAGCGCAAGGAACGAATCTGACTTGTTCCAGATGCGGACGTCGCCAGTAACACCAGCCAGGCGGCTGTCACTAAAGAGCAGAGCCATCATGTTCTTCACCGCGTCGGGGTACACATACGTGTCGCTGTCCGTGGTCAACATCGCATCCTTTGTTCCAAGTGCGTATGCGCCGACTACAAACGCCGTAAACATCGCGTGGCGCTTGTGGCCGTGAGGTCTACACCAGTCGTCAATATGAGTGGATCGCACATCAGGACAAAACGTACTGAGAAAAGCAAATCCCCTTCCAGTCTGCCCATCTTTCCTCGGTCGCCTTCGAATGCACGTAGTTTAGCATGTGGTTCCATGCAACCTCGTGCGCCTCCTGCTGGCCGGGACGTGACTTCTGCGTGAACCACATCTTAACGTGTTCCCAGCGCGTGAGGGGCGGGTGGGCAAGCGAATTCATGTGCTCCCAGTATTTTTCTTTGTACATCACCGAGAGCAGCACCGGAAGATGTGAAATGAGGCGCTGCTCCTCGGGGAACGCCTTTCCGAATGCATTCGCCATGTCGAGGTCAGGGCCATCATTGCCGTCGACGACACCGATGATGTGCTTGATTGGGTACTCTTGCGCCTGCAGAGATTTGAGACACTGGTTCGGATCAGTATCTGATGCGCTGGCCGATTGCACGGGCACTTACAGCCGTCCAGGCTTCCTCATCCTCACGATAGCCGACAACAGCGATACTGCACTCGGGAAGGGGTTTGGGGTTAGTGAGCGGGAGTTGATCCTGCACCTCCAGGCGCTCTGCAACAGCCTTCACGATAGGCGATGCCTTCGTCACTTTAACGACGCTACGGCGATTAAACGACGCCGCGATTGTCTGAACGATAAAATCTATAAAGCGGTATGGGGTCAGCATTGGACTCGATCAGGCGGCACAACGTACGCACCGACAACGAGCAATAGGCCGTACATTCCAAAACTCCACGGACCGACGCGAACAATTTTGAGCCGGAGTCCGTAGCCTACCAACAAGCTAATCACGACGCCCAAACTGATGGATATCTTAAATCCCGCAATCCACCGGTTGAAGCTCGGTGGCTCGCGCTCGACGATGTTGTAAGGCGGAGTCGTCCAAGGGTGCTGGGCCTCGGGCTGATCTAACAGCTGCTGTTCCGCGAGCGGAAGGGTAGCTGTTGATGCGCTCGGCGCGACGCACTCTATTTCGGGATCGACATACTCGAGCGCGGGCGGGACATCGGGAGGAGGGCCAAGTTCTTCGTCGTATTCGTCATCTGATTCATCGTCGGACTCGGACTCGATATCGACGGAAGTGTTGAGGGAATCTGAACTCTGGGACGATCCTTCCGGCGAGATGCTGACGTACGGATGGAGGTTAGGCTGCGCATCCCGTTGCTCAACGAGAATTTCTCTGCTGTCGCTAAATGGATTGTGGAGGTCGACGACCGACACGGACCGAGAGAGGGGCGCCGGCGAGCGAATGCGGTCAAAGTCGATCGCCTCGTCGAGGTTCCTGCTAGCTGGTCGGCTCTGGCTCTGGCTGCGCAACGAGGTGCTAAAACTGCGACGGAGATCGGGGGTTGAGGAGAATGCGCTGTTGGACCTGGCCAGCGTGCTCGCCTTGACAGGCTGAGGCACCGCAAGAGTAGGAAGCGCAACAGACGTAATGCATGAGGTGGATGAGGTGCGCGGCAGCGGGCTAGCAGACGAGCGCTGTCGGAGGCGGTCGGCCCACTTCGCGCTCGACTGGCGTGACAGCGGCGGGAGAGGTATGGCATGCGCGCCGGAAGTAGGCATCGCAAAGTCCTGCGTGATGACTGGGCGACGGACGGCTTCTTCATCGTGAACGTCCGCGGTGGATTTGATGGGTACATCATCGTCATCCGCAGCGATGTCCTCAATGGATGGCAAAATCGGAGAGTCGTCAAAGGTGGTTTCGGGATTTTTGGAGTCAAGTTTTTTGTCGTTGCTGGATATGGATTCCGTGGGAGAGAGGTCGACCGCTGTCGAAATGTAATCTTTGGCAAGAGGAACTGCAATTTCTGTCTCGGATGCAGAATCATTCGCATACGTCGAGTCGCTGCTATTCAATCTGCGATCGCCACCTCGCCACCTCACTTGTAGCTTACTTTTACCCTTGTCTTGCGAAGCAGGCTGCATTTGGCTACATGAATACGTATTAAAGTACAAACAGAACGACTGGCGTACCTTTGCAAGTGAAGGGACCTTGGTCTTGCTTGAGAACCTGAAAAATTTCGGTCTTCCACTAGGGGTCAGAAGCTGCGATTGCTCGTCCACATCACCACTTGGGGTGGTAACGCGCGAACGTTGGGGAGTCGTGGCTGCCGAGGAGTATGGGCTCTTCGATCTGGACGAAAAGTACGAGGGTTCTGGTTGCTGGAAATCAGCACCCTGGGAGTCGTTACGAGATGCGCGAGTGTACATGTTGAGAAAAGAGTGGGGAGAACGGATGAAGAGGGTCAGAAGGTAAAGATGAAGAAGAAGGGAGAGTAAGTGATGACCAACGCGAGGCCGAACGGAAAGTGGAGAGGCATAGGCGGAATCTGGGGCCCTTATATGCTGTTAGAAGCATTCTAGCGTCGGATTACCAGATCCGTTGGATGTGGAAAGGTCGGATGGCTATGTTCTCCGTATCCGCACATCCGGGTGCTCCGCACCTGATGCGATATTTAGCATGAAGCAATCTAACGGTCATTGGTGCCTGTGCCTCGACAGGTAGCGGATGTTTACTAGTTGCAGCGTTGTAAATTGCTCTTCTGGATGGTGTGGTTGTCCGTGAACCCAGAAAGTGTCGGAGAGTATGGGTGGCCCCGATTGAATGCGTACCTACCTAAAAAGGCAGGTAGTGTAGTTGCCGCGCGCGGATATGTACAGCGATTCGAATATGAACTGACCTGCTTTCCATTTCCGATCGTTGTGTGTACTGAGCCAGGGCTCAGAGTCACTCCGCCCGCATGCCTTCCGTGCGTGGACCATGGCATTCGGATGGCGCCGTGCACGGAATCCGCTACAGCATTTAACACGGCCGTCAGACTTGAGCTTGACGCCTGGAGTTTGAAACAAAAACGCACTTGATGATTTTTACGCAACGTTGACGCAGCTATGTACTGAGCAAACGCTGTTTGTTGCAAAACGCTGCCATAAGAATGCTCACAAGTTGGTCGCCGGTTGCAAGAGCATCGTCGTTATGGTGTGACGATCACGGGCATCTGTCACACCTGCAGTCACGCTCAATCCTGAAGTCGAGTCGTGCGCGCGCGTACCCACCCATCTTTCTGTTCCCCTTCCGCTGCTCAACTCCTACCGACAACCATGCCTGGAGACGAGACAGTACAGAAGCCGATCGACGACTCCGACAGCGAGGGCGAGGACAGCGACGTCGAGGAGTCCTTCCCCGAGATCAGCATCGATCCATCCACATTGACACCCCTCTCTCCAGAGGTCATCTCAAAACAGGTACGCATCGTGTGCTGTGTACGTCGTCATTGCTGATGGCGCATTCAGGCAACAATTAATCTTGGTCCGTAGTTCATTTATGGTGCGTCCAGCTGTCTACTAACCCGTCGTTTTATGCAGGAACCATTGGCCATGTCGCTCACGGAAAATCAACGGTCGTCAAAGCGATATCTGGAGTTATGACCGTCCGATTCAAGAACGAGCTGGTGCGGAATATTACAATCAAGCTGGGATATGCCAATGCGAAGGTATGTGGTGATATCCTCCGTGCGCGTTTCCCCTTCATGATGTCCACCTAGATCTACAAATGTGAGAACCCCGCCTGCCCGCGTCCGGGCTGCTATCGTTCATATCGCTCCGATAAGGAGGACAACCCTCTCTGTGAGCGCCCTGGATGTAATCACCGTATGAAGCTCCTTCGACACGTCTCCTTCGTCGACTGTCCCGGTCACGATATTCTCATGGCCACCATGCTAAACGGCGCGGCGGTCATGGACGCCGCGCTGCTCCTTATTGCGGGCAACGAGACGTGCCCACAGCCGCAGACCTCAGAACACCTTGCAGCCGTAGAGATCATGAAGCTCGAGAACATCATCATCCTGCAAAACAAGGTGGACCTGATCAAGGAAGCACAGGCGATCGAGCACCAAAAGAGCATCGTTGCATTCGTGAAGGGTGCGCCGTGCCAGTAATTTCATTTTGCACCAATATCTCATAATTCTCGCACAGGCACCGTCGCTGAGTCCTCGCCTATCGTTCCTATCTCCGCACAGCTCAAGTACAACATCGATGCAGTCAACGAGTACATCGTCAAGCGGATCCCCATTCCCGTGCGCGACTTTACCGCGGACCCGAAGTTGATCGTCATCCGCTCCTTCGACGTCAACAGGCCTGGCGCGGAGGTCGACGAGCTCAAGGGCGGTGTTGCAGGCGGCTCAATTCTCACTGGTACTCTGCGTCTCGGACAGGAGGTTGAGATTAGGCCAGGTATCGTCACCAAGGATGCTCAAGGCAGGAATAGGTGCAAGCCCATCTTCAGCCGCATCGTCTCACTGCATGCGGAGAGCAACCACCTGCAGTTCGCAGTCCCCGGTGGCCTAATTGGTGTCGGTACGCGGATTGACCCGACACTCTGCCGGGCGGATCGTCTGGTTGGGCAAGTGCTCGGAGCTGTTGGCAAACTGCCGAATATTTACAGCGGTATGTAGTTCGTGCGTCCGTATTGGCTCCGGTTCTAAGAACGGTTGGTGCGCCCATAGAACTGGAGATCAGCCTCTTCCTGCTGCGACGATTACTCGGAGTGAAGACGGAGGACAAAAAGCAGACGAAAGTATCGAAGCTCGTCAAGGGAGAGTTGCTCCTCATCAACATCGGCTCGACGTCCACCGGCGGGCGCGTTTTGAGCGTCAAAGCGGACCTGGCCAAGATCCAACTGACATCGCCAGCGTGTACAGAGGTTGGTGAGAAGGTCGCACTTTCTCGTCGAATCGAGAAGCATTGGCGGTTAGTCGGTAAGCAGCATCTGTCTTACCATTGTCATCTGCGGATATCTAAATCTTCGGGCTCCAGGTTGGGGTAGCGTGCAGCGCGGAACGGTGCTCGAAGTTGACTAAACATATACATACATTGTATACTCTTTCACTAGTTGACCCCTATCTTAGCACATCCGTTGCTTTGCACAATGTAGCGTTAGACTGTTACTCTGATGCCATCTCCTTCCGCTGTATGTCGACTTTTAAGCCCAGTCCGGGTGTACACCAGCTAGAGTTTGGCGTGAGTTGTATAAACAAGGATGCCAAAAATACATGAAACATCGAACTCAAACTCAAGGATCATGTTGATGGAGTATCGGGACGCTGTACTAGATCAAGCTCTCGCATATCCACCCCGGCAAATGAGCGGCTCTTGATGCGTCGTGTCTCCAGCTCGCGCTTGGCCAGATATAGGTGCATTAGCTTCACACAATCTTTGGCCTGCAGCAAGAGATATGAACAGGAATATAATGCCGGACTGAGATCAAGTCTTACCACCAAGAAAATACCAAGTCCGATGGAGTTTCTCCACCTGTACATGACATGTCAACATCAGAGGATGCAGGTGCTGACGGACACTCACCAGACGGGGTCACACTCTTGCCAGGATCTCGTTCCTCCGCATATGAGGTCCAACGCCGTCCGCATCCCTAGCCCAATCTGCTTGAGGTACCCCATTTTGCTGAAGGTTTGACTATCGACCCACGCATCGACCGGCGGGGGAACCGGTCCCTGCAACGGTGGACGCACGGCCAAGAACCGGCGCAGGAGCTGGAAGTGCTTCGACAGCCGGTACAGTATCGCACCCATATAATTCGCGATAGCGGGCATCATAAGCGCGCCGCCAATGAACCGTCCCAGGGAGGCATTCGTCACGCGCAGCGTCCGCTCTGCGACGTGTCCAGGGTCGTCCGGCTCCTCCTCGCCCTGCGCCTGCTCCCCGCCTTGCGGTCGCCGATGATCGGCGGGTTCGACATTCACGCCGATGCGCGCCCGCAGCGGGACGGGTCCGTCGCCGCCAAAGTCCCAGACGACCTCGCGCAGTGCAGGGCGCATGCCTGGCTGTGTTCCCATGATCTGATGTTTTATACGTGAGTATGCGCGCCGGTAGAACGCAGTGAGGATAGGGAAGAGCATCGTGACGACAATGGGCGACGGCGGCCATGTGAAAATTACATGTGAAGGAGCGGGCGGTGCGCGTACGGCAGGAGCCCAGCGCGCGGCGATGACGCCTGTTGTGGAGGCGACGGGCGCGGAGGACGGCCATGCAAGGAGGAGAGGGACGAAGGGGAGGCTGTCGAAAAAGCGTGTTCGGGAGAAGATAAGGCTGAAAGGGATGAGGGGCAGGTCCATGTAGGCATGCCATGGCCAGTTGCTCGGGTCGTCGGTGAGCAGGATGTTGTACCTGCACCGAGTCCGTTAGCTGTATGCACACACAAGATACCTACGCACATCTCCTTGCCCAGAAATTCCTGAATGGCATAGGCACCGTATGAGGTACAAATGATGTAGATTCCTGCTCGGATAACTCAGCATGAGTGAATGCACCATCAGACATTCGCCGTGCACCGCACCGAATCCAAAGGACACGATGATTCCCGCCAGCCCCGCCGCACTGACAACCTTTCCTGCGACAGACAAGCTCGCATTGACATGGTCAAGCAGCCGTAGGATGAACGGGTTATCGCTTTCAAGCTCGTATGTGGCGCCACATTGTGGGCACTTCAGGGCATTCCTCGCACGCGCCGGATCCTGCTGGGCGGCCTTGATCCACTGGAGGAGACACGACTCGTGCGCAACGAGCGTGCAGTTGCAGGGATGGACCCATGCCCGGCGGGGCTCTTGAGGATCTAGCAAAGCAGTGTCTAGCTCGGCACACCGTCTCATTTGAAGGACCCATACTGTCAAAACGCTCTTCCTCCCTGCAGATGAAGCACAGCTTGACCTAGAGTGTGTTCAGCAACGTTCAGGATGGCCTGCGCGATATTCGTACCCTCAAGTCATCAACTGTGGGGATCCGGGTCGACGGATTCATGATTTAGATCCAGTCCAAGCACCTTGCAGCGCCTCAGCCACAATCATCAGGGAAACAACTGAGCGCCAATATTCTCAACGAAAACAAGTTCTCGTACATGGCGTCGCTGATTTTGCGGACGACGGCGGCGGATAAAACCTCGCTAATGATATGTCTTTTCGATCACATATTCGGCACTATGCTATGTACAGGCTAAGACAACTAGACGAAAACCGGTCTTCCATATGAGTCGAAATGCATCTTTAGGAGGGCAAGCGTTCAACGTTCGGGACAAGGAAAGTCTACTGCTCGTACGGAGGAGTCTGAGCTCGGTCCTCTTCCATTTTCGGCTCCTCTTCAGCGAGAGGTGTCTTTGCTCGGTCTCTCTTTTCGGGCGTAGGGCTCCTGCGCCTCTCGGGAGTTCGGCTACGTCTGCGCCTGTCTTTATCCCTGTCAGCATCTCTGTCCTTGTCGCGGTCATCCCGGTCGCGCTCCCTCTCGCGCTCACGGTCCCGGTCCCGGTCCCGGTCACTGCGGCGACGAGGGCTGCGAGAGCGGTCCCTGTCACGACGTGGAGGAGGCGACCTCCTGTCATAACGCCAAATGGACGATGGAGGATTCTTAGCCCACTATGATTGAGCCGCTATTGTCAGCGCCGTATTAGCTGTTAGCTAGGATGAAACCTCACTTGAATGCTCAAGCGATATCCCTCGAAGCTCCTCCCATGCCTGCACGCCACATGTCAGCAGCAACAGCGCAGCATGAACGTGCAGGCTTACATATCGTAGTAGGCGTCTTCGGCATCGCGCTGGTCTCGGAATTCGACAAAGGCGTAACTGCGAGGGGGGTTCGAGAGGGCACGTTGAGCGAGTGATGTTCTGGGGCGAGACGCGTGACATCGAACGATCGAACGGCATTGTGGGTCGTGAGCATCGCGACGATGCTTCGCGGGCCAGCGCAGGCTTCGTTCGTTACTTTGCCTCGGCATGCGACAGCGGGGACGGGCGCTCGGCGGGCACTCGCACGGGACAACGGACGTTCGAGGCCATTCGACTAGAGAAAAGACGACAGGTCAAGAAAGTGCACTCACGGGTTTGAGTTGGCGTGCGGGTTGCGGGGAGCAGGAACGTCGCAGCGGATGAGGGGCCCGTAACTGCGCGGCATGAGGCATTGAGCGAGTTCCGTCGAGCTCGACAAGGTAGGACTCACCGTTCAAACTCGTAGGCAAGGTCGCGGGCACGAGTCGCGGGGTGAAAACCACTCACAAAGAGGATGCGTGGCATAATTGGTGCCAGCAGTCGCCGTCGTCGATAATGGCGGAGCGAAAGGCGCAGACCACGAGCAGGTCAAAGGCCGAGTTTCCGGCTGAGGTTGCCATCAGCGCCTGTGTATTTGGCGTTGTTTGCTCTGTGGCGACAGTCAAACCATGCCTCTCCTCAATGAGCAGAGCTGCTGCCGATACCCGCGCCGTCCTTGACGCTGCTGCGATCGCCTTTTTGCAGCCGACTTCATGCTCTCCCTCGGTCAGTGCAGTTTTGCCGGTGGGTAGCAGGCTGTTCGCTGTTGGAATGCAACTCAGACGCTGCCCTGCAGATGAATGTGGGTGAACGGATTTGTTCGTGCACCGACGAAGAGTCCGTTTCGCGCATTCTCCGTTGTTGCGGAAAAGACAAAATCTTTGCAACCATATACACCCGCCACGACCAGTCGCCATGCGGGATTGATGACGAGGTTATACCGCGTCTCTCGATACTATGGCAGAAAATGCGACGATCCCCTCTTCGACTCGCTCAACTGGCTCGCGAGGTTTCCAGCGGGTTTTCTCCCCGTCTACACTCTCAATCGGTCTGGGATACATGTTAATCAGATGAAACGATGGCGCCCGCTCGTTATGGCTGCTAACTGGAATGCCTCGATGGAATTCATCGCAGACAAAGATATCGTCATCCCCGCGCTAGACTTGACGCGACATCCGAGCGTTCCGACACCGAGCTCGTCAAAGACTCTCCCCACTTGGCTTGTCTTCCACTTGCTCTGTTCTCAAGTTGCAACCGAGGAAGATGCCCTGCAGGCCCTAGCTTTGGCATATCATCATTTCCCCTCCACGCCCATTCACATGCAGCCCATGCTGTTCATCATTACTGCCTGCTGGCTTGCTGAGCACTCGCTGTTTGTTCCTCTGAGGCGCGTCGTAGCTGCCTTTTTGGACTTCTACGAGCATGTTCCGCCGCATGAGCACGAGTTCTGGGCGATGTTGCAGATGCTTGCGTACGCGTCCGCCAGTAAGGAGGTCAGTATCCCAGCCTGCGCTATCATTAGGGCGATGGACAAGCACAATCTGCGCCTGAACCAGGCGACCGTCAGCGCGCTCCTCGGAAGCGCGTTCGTTACGACCATCCTCGGACGCGTGCTCATGCGACGGATTGTGCGGCATGACTTCGAGCCGACGGTGCAACATCTTACGCGTCTCCTCAGGGTATTCGAGTATGCGAAACGACGCTCGGATGCACGGCGGTGCCTGTCGCTCCTCAACGTCCACCTGCCGTCAGGATTTCGTGTGCCTCCGTCTTCGCGTAAGGTGTCGCGCTTATTCATCAAGCCGGGCCCCACGACGATCAAGTCCGAAGCGCGATACCTGCTCGGGTTCCACTCCGTGGACGAGCTACTCCAGTACCTTCAGAAAAAGTCTTCGCCGCAGGATGCACTGCCTGCCAGATCAAAAGAACATAAGCAACGCAGCTCCGCTTCCAGTCGTGATGGCACTCCTTCATCGCACTCTGCAGCGGAAGAGACGGGAAGAAATGACGCCTCGCCTGTCCCTCACCGTCGTGCAGGCAACATCATGTCCACTCACGTTGTATGGCGAAATTCTCTGCTCGTGGCGGCGCGGGACCGGAAGATGCGCTCGGAGAACATCCTTCCCATGCTCCACCAAGCTCAGTCACAACATCCTCTCCTGCATCGCGAGATGCTCTTCATTGTATTCTCCATGCGTGCTCTCATTGTGCGGAATGACTACGTCAACGCCTTGCGCATCTGGGATAGAATCAAAAATAACACAGCTGCTATGAACAGGTTCACGGTCAGCGCCGGCGTCGAGGCACTGGTTATGGGTGGCCGGGCATCCGAGGCCGTTAAATTACTACTGTCAATCTCCGAACGGAAGCAAAGTACTCAATCTCTAGGATCCACCACCAATGCGCTAGACGTGTCTCAATCTGGCTTGAATCCGCGCACACGCCTCGACACGCAAAGCATCAACGTCTTGATGCGTTGCCTGCAGCGGACGGGGCGGTATGATACCATCTTCGTGCTCTGGGAGCAACTGGAGCCACTGTTCGATGTGCGCCCGGATCACTACACGCTCACCATCCTGCTCAGGACTGCGCGTCTCGCAGGCAAGTGCAACCCGTCCATCCGCGGCGTGCTCGTCGAGATGGGCCTCGGACGGCTGCTCAAGCCCCCACCGGGAAGCAAGACATTTTCTGCGCGCGGGGCACAGATCCTGAATATGATATACTCGAATAGGCCAAGCACGGGCGTGTGGAATGGTGAGCGCGCGGGGCAAGTCACGCTGAAGATCGTGAACGAAATCATGATGGAGAGCTGGCCAGAGTTGCGCGAGGTCAAGAGCCCCATATACGCGACGCGCCCGTCAGGCGATTTCTGCGCGTTCTTCCCCGTTACAGACTTTTACCGCACGGTGATGGGGCGCGAGGTCTCCGTCGCCGAAGAGAACACCAACTCCACCTCGCCTGCTCCCCCCTCCAATGTCCCATCGGTATTCTCCCAGATCATTCCCAACGATGTGTTTTTCCGCGCATACATTGAGCTGCTTGCGGCCGAGTCGCTTATCCCACACATCCCGCTTGTGCTCGCTTGGATGCGCCGGCTGAACGTGAAGCCGTCTCAAAGGACAGTCGCGACGGTGCTCGTGTACTGGGCGGAGGTTGGGATGGACCCGCCGCTCTTCGAGCATGTGTTGAGCGGGAAGAGTCAGTATGAGCGGCTGATGGATTGGTTATGCGAGTGGGTCGGCCCGAGTCATATGCCGACGGATAAGGATATGGACAGGAGTATCATGAGATTGAAAAAGTTTAGAGAGCTGCGTTACGCGTTCGTACATAGATCTAGGTAGAAGTTCGTATGCATGAGTGGAAATATATCAACAGAATCCCAATATAGGGCTCAGTATATCAAGTTTTCTGTCACCCTGCGCACAATAATGAATTCGAGCATCTCTGCGCCATCCCAGGACGGTTCCGTGAGGGTCTCTCGCGGTTGACAGGGCTCATGCGCATGCGGGACACCTTGGTCTCACACGCCTGAAATGTTCAAACAGACAAGCTCACGTCCAAGGTTCCCTTACCACCCTTGCTGTTGTAAGTGTGATGCCGCGGTTGACCATTTGCTAGCAGACATGCACAGCATCGTCGCATATCGTTCATTCTTTGAGGACTGAATTATGGTATTGCACCAATGCGTGCGCGACATAGCATTTCCGTTTAGATGTATAGAAATAACGACAGAAATGAACTCGGTCGCTATATGCGCTTTCCTCTTGCCGCCGCCTCTTTCCTCTTCGCTTCTACTTCTGCCCCTTTCGCTGAAGGTACAGAAGAGAGTGAGCTATGGTAAGATGAGGCACGAGGAAACCATTTCCTTACCTTCAGTCTCTGCCTTCCGTTTCGCTTGCGCGGCATCGCGCTCGGCACGGATCTTCGCGAGGCGTGCGAGGTCGGCCTTTGCCTGATCGGTCTTGCCTTGTTCATGAAGCTGCAGATAGCAGGGCATGAACATATGAAATGGCGCATCGACGCTGGCAGGGCGGACGGCTTACCTTCCAATATCGTTCCTTCGCCTCCTTTTTCTCCTTCTCGTCTCTAAACACAACGTTAGCAATGTAAAGATGTCCCATAAACAGGAAAGGTTTACCTCTCGCGACGCGACAGCTCGCGGGGCGCATCGAGGTCCGCGATGTTCATCTTCTTAGTAGCAATGTTGGGATTCGCGAGCAGAGGATCCCGGCCTTCTTCGTCCTCATCTGACTCCTCCTCCTGCTTCTGCTTCGCCAGCGCCTTCTTCTTCTTGATCTCTTTCCGTTCGACGCGCGACAGCTCGGGCTGCTGGGCGCTGCTGCCCGTAACAGGGGCTTCATCCGACTCTTCGTCAGTCTCCTCTTCAGACTCTTCTTCCTCTTCCGAGTCGTTGTCGCTCTCTCGCTTCTCGCGAGCGCCCCTGGTCGGAGGATGAGCGTTTTGTCAGTGATGCAAGCAAAGGATATAAACCTACCATCGATCGACAGCTACGGCAGTTCCATTCTCATCGAGAACGAGGTGTTTGCTGCGAGTGCAGTCTGGTCAATGCTCAATGAGTCAAACTACCCGCCTGTGGCGCACCTGAAGCTGCCAATCGCGAACAGATCATTAGCATCGTTCTCTTCTACGATTTCCACTATATAATGCATACTTTCTTCCACCGCCGCGTTTCAGCTTGTATCCGCCGCGAGCCATTGCGATTACTGTGTACGATTAGGGAAGATGGGCGATAGAGAGCAGGGAGGGACAAACGAGCGCTGCTGCAAGGAATATTATGGATCACATGAGTAAACACAGAGGTTGCCTTTTGCGGAAGGACGCGGAGTGACACGCTCGGTGGCCCGCCTCGCGTTCACCTACTCGACGCTCTCTGCCATGACCACCATCCCTTCTCGCCTCGCCCGGACGACCCACATCTCCGCCAGCCCAGAGGAGGCGCGCAGACGGGTCATCCAGCTCTACAGAGACTGGTACCGCGGGGTACGCACCTCTGCTCCACCTCGCCTACCCCATTGATCCCTTCCCGCAGGTACCAGATATCGTCTCAGTGTATTCGATGTCGGTCACTCCACAATACTTCCGCCATTGCATCCGCAAAAAGTTCGAGCAGAACCGCTATGTCACGGATAAACGCGTCATCGACGTGCTCATCCTCAAGGGCAGGCAGGAGTACCAGGAGACGATGAACGTCTGGAAGCAGCCCGATCATGTCATGGGCATCCTCCTCGAAGACAAGTCGAGACCACCGCGCACATTTATGCAGAAGTTCTTGGAAGGTGTGTGGGCTGAATGTTGCGCGGTTGTGTTCTGGTTGCTCAGGCTCGCCCTATGCAGGACGGGACGAGGATGCTGTTGTTCCTGCTGCATCAGGAGTCGTGTAACATAGAGGCGATCAAGCATGTGCAGCGTCATCGCACCTTGAATCATACAGTCTGTGCGAATACGCATGCGAGATGTCGAACACGAACTACATTGAGCTTGTTCCTCCATCACTTGCGCGATAACACAACAACTACTGCAATACATAGCTAGGAATACACATGCAAGTCCGGATTGAGGTCATTGCGGAAAGTCTCTATTGATATGAGTAACATCTCTACTCGGACCAATCATGAGAGGAAGTCAATGGGGTCGTCATCAGCATCGACAACGGGTGGCGGAGCAGGGAACATCGACAACCTCGGCTATTGCTCTCCGTCAGACGATTGCAGCATCAGCACTATCCCAACTCACCCTGGGCTTCGGCCTGAGCTTGCGCACCGCCTTCTGTGCCGCCGCTGGAGGGCGGTTCTCCTTGCCGTCCGAACGCCTACGATGCCATGACTGAGCAGAGCTTGAGTAGAGAGAGGACGCTCACCCACTTAGCAGTCTTGACATTGCTCTTGTGCGCCGCGCGCGTTTGCGACGTCTTCTTAGAAGAGGATCCAGATGCGGGTTTTGCACCGTCGCTCTTGCTGGTTGGTCGCTTAGACCCACCGTTGCCTCTTGGTATGTCTACCAGAGCCTCAGCTGGACGTGAGGCTTTCTTGGCGGTAGTGCGAGGAACCTTAGGTCGTTTGCGCGGCGGGACGGCTGCTTCGTCCTCCTCTTCGTCGCGTTGTACGGCCTCCATCAGAGCTTCGTCTTCCTTTTCTTCTCTACGCCGCTTCTTGACCGCCGCCCCTCTTGGTCGCTGTGCCGCAGTGCTCCTGTTGGATGATCCTGCGAGCATTTCCTCATCGTCTGAGTTAGGTAGTTGAGGGAGACTCCGTCGTCTTCGTGGCCTGTCGGTCATCCTCTCATTCTTTGAGCGCAACTCATCTATCTCCTTGGGCTCATCTATTTCCATGCTGTCCATCGTGCTATGCAAAGGGGTTTGACTAGCGCGAAGCTTGCCGCCAGCCTTGGAGTTGTGAGCTTTCGATCTGCTACCCTTGCGCTCGGTAGTCCGCTCGCTCTTTGAATGCTTTCCGGTCATATTGTCATCGTTAGTGTCTCGTAGACGTTTCCGAGGCGGTTCTACAGTAGTCATCAGTAACATCATCTCTTATTCATCCAGCATATGCGCCAACCTGGAGCGGATTCTGCTGCTTTTCGCTTCTTTTCATGCCATTGCGCACTTTGTATCATATACATGAGCGGGGTGTCGCTATCGCTGCTGGGTATCGCTTCCAAGGGGGCTAATTCCTCGTGAGAACGCTCCAGCATCACTCTTGAAGTGCTGACTGTGGCGTTGGCAGGCTTGCGCTTGGGCCGTGTCGATGCAACTGGTGAAAGTGGAGCGTCGTCAATAGCTCTTCGAGATTGTGGCTTTGCAGCTGCGGCATCGGCCGGCTTGTGCTTAGGTGCTGCCGGTTGCGTAGATGGTAACGGAGCGTGGTCACGGGCAGTTTGAGACCGTGGCTTCGCAACTTTCTTGTTGGAAAGCGGCTTGGTGCTGTCTGTAAATGCTGTCAGTAATTCACGTGAATTTGACGTTAGTGAGCGATGCTAGTACCTTTCGCATGCTGCACAGTTGCTATGGAGGATTCTTTCTTGCCAGTCGTAGCAGTCCGAGAGCCTTTGGCCTTCTCTTGAGGTTCCGTAGGCACTGCATGAGGATGCCGAGAGAGATGATGTGTGGATGTACTTGGCATCTTCTCACCTCCTGTTATTTTGTCCACGTCTTCGACTTCAGGCTGACCGTTCACTTTGGTGCTGCGCTTCTTGTCAGTTGCTGGAATTATCGTGTTAGTGTAAGCTTTCCCGCGCTAGAGCGATCATACAGAACCTGCTATTGATTTCCGTCGGCCCGCCTTTTCTTCAACCATGTCTCGTGTGGTCTCCCCAGTCTCGACGGCATCAATAGACTTCTTCGCTTGGCCAGCACTCTTCCGAGGCTTCAGAGCACCTACACTCTTCCGAGGCTTCAAAGCTGCCTTCTCTGTGCGTATGCTCTTTCGAGGCTTTGGAGGCGCTTTTCCTGCACCTATGCTCTTCCGAGGTTTCGCCACCACCTTGTTCAAAGTCATCTCTGCCCCTCCATCGACACCATCATCCCTATCGTGGCCACGATATACACTCTTGCGACGCGAAACCGGTGATCCCTGAAGTATGCTCTTGCGCCTCTGAGCCTTTGTCGGCGACTCTCCGTTCACGCCACGCGCGAGGAGCTTGTCGAGGAGCGGGTTATGCGTCTCCGGCACGAACACCCTGCTGTGCGTCAGGCGCGCGAGACCGCTCGGAGCGACGGCCACTTACCCTCCTCTGTCCCGAAAGCGGGATTGAATGCGTTCAACGCGTTTCGCGCGGCTTTTCGCGACGGAAAAGTCGTCCGGCATCGTGTGGGCTGCTTTGCGAGGCGGTTCGAGTGGACAGTCTCGCGCGCTTGTATGAGCGCTCACCAAGTGGCGAAGCGAGACGCGCTTGTCACGTGATCGACGCGTCGCGCGTGGATGATGTCATTTATCGAAAAGGTTTTGGTCCTTCACCTTTAGCAAAAATGTATGGTGTGGCGAAATAGCTAATGCTGAGCGCTGATTCATGATTAGCCACTACGGACGTCCATTAAATGATCCCTTTGCATTCATTGTAAGCGACCATTCTCGTAAACACGACATCCACCACATTGTTCTGCGTGTTTCGGGTGGACGCCTGCAAAAGTCGTGAATGCAACTGCGAGGGCCACGACCGTATGGAACCCGGTAGTACAACTAAGCCTGCACGGTAGGAGGGAAGGCGGATATCGTGCACATTCTATTTGGCTTCAGACATTACAGTACTACAGACTTCTTCCTTCACACGTCCGACATCTCTACGCCTCCTGTCTAGTACGCGCCATCCTTCTTCGCCGCGTACGCGAGCAGGTCGCAGACACGCTTCGAGTAACCCCACTCGTTGTCGTACCAAGCGATGAGCTTGACAAAGTGCTTGTTAAGTGGAATGCCGGCGTCAGCGTCGAAGATACTGCTCGCGTCGTTACCCGTGAAGTCGGTGCTGACAACTTTCTCGTCGGTGTATGCCATGATACCCTTCATCGGGCCCGCAGCAGCCTCCTGAATGGCAGCCTTGATCTCGTCATATGTTGCACCCTTCTCAAGGCGGACGACGAGATCCACGACCGAGACATCAATTGTCGGCACACGGAACGCGAGACCGCTGAGGTGCATTGTAAGCGAAAGCAAGGCGGAGTACAAGATGCGACCTACGTGAGCTTGCCGTTGAGCGAAGGAATTACTTTGCCGACGGCCTTGGCAGCACCAGTGGACGAGGGGATGATGTTGTTGCCGACTGCACGGCCGCCGCGCCAATCCTTGTGGCTGGGGCCGTCGACGGTCTTCTGGGTCGCGGTCGTGGAGTGCACGGTCGTCATGAGACCCTCGATAATGCCGAACTTGTCGTGAATGACCTTGACGAGCGGCGCAAGGCAGTTGGTGGTGCAGCTCGCATTCGAAATGACTTTGTATTTGGGATCGTACGCGTCGAGGTTGACACCGCAGACAAACATGGGCGCATCTGCCGAGGGCGCCGTGATAACGACCTTCTTGGCACCACCCTTGAGGTGGGCAGATGCCTTCTCGGTCGTGGTGAACACGCCTGTCGACTCAACAATGTACTCGGCACCGACGGACCCCCAAGGGATGTTGGCGGGATCCTTCTCAACGTAGACGTGGATGGCCTTGCCGTCGACGTAGAGCTTTCCGTCTTTGGTCTCAACGGTGCCCTTGAAGCGGCCATGGACCGAGTCATACTTGAACATGTAGGCCATGTAGTCGAGGTCGAGGAAAGGACTGGCATGCGATCAGCACGTATTCGCCAAAGCAGATTACGTATCGCTCACTCGTTCACGGCGACGACATCGATGTCTCCGTGGAGGAGGGCATTACGAAGGACGATACGGCCGATACGACCTGAGCGGGAAGGGAAGGGTCAGCGCGACGCATTCTACCCCACCTGCACGATGCCTGTGCTCACCGAAACTGCAGCGAGGCGGGGGCGGGGACAAGTGCGGGGAGAAAATCAGAAAAGCCGAATAGGCCGACGGCGCTGCTGCACCTACCCGTTGATTCCGACCTTGACCTGAAGACACCGTCAGTGATCGCTCACGACGCTCGATGGAGCACTAGGACACTTACTGGCATGATGGACGAGTGTTGTGGTTGGATGGGACGGGGGCAGACGGGAGATGGTGAGGAGGAGAGAAAGGAGGAGCGACGCATATATATGCGACCGATAATCAGATGGGGCGGCGATTGGCGCGCGCGTCATGGTCCGTCTCGACCCTGGCCAGCCCCCAGACAATTCCAAGCCAGGGCAATCATCAAGTCGATGCTATGAATAACAGCGTAGACACGCCTCCTCGAACGTTGTCGATGAGTCCGCGCATAGCCGTTCGGATCAAGTCATCCTCGGTGCGCGAATGCTGCAGCATGGCACGATGCCGTTATTTGCATTGCATGTGGTACGACGATGACTCGCTCCTTCACGTATCAGCCGCAGGTGGCCGTCTGCTCCGAGCCTGCATTTGGCAACGGTCGGCGGCTCATTCTAACTCATACTGTGATGCTGCCAATCGACATCGTTGTTTGTGCATCGCCTAGCGCGAACTGTGTAACAGTATTGCACAGCATCGGCGCCATAGTCCATACGGCCACGCGCACGTTGGTAGTTTCATGCTTGCTATGACTCGACTGGTGGAGATTGTACGGCCATCTGGGAGTTGTTCAACAGCGGCGACAGCTTCCAATACGTATTGCAGCGTTTCGTCGACCCGCGGCCAGAACCTGTCCATTCTTACAGCAGAGTGCGACGGAGCTCTCGCCTTTCGATCCGAGCGCCGCTGCGCTATCTTTATTGACAAGTACTGCCGCCGACGGCGTTCTATGCTAGTAAATTGTGGCCTCGAGTTCCGGCCTTCTTGCCAAAGCCCAGACGTGTAACACGCTTCAGCCAGTAATGGCGCTTACCCATGCCGACGGCCCAGTACCCGCTGTCTCATTCGTCGGATCTGTCTTCCAATGAATTGGGAGCTCATGCGCTCATGTTTCTGAAGTCGGGCCCGAGGTGCTGCCTCATCATCGGCGAGTCGAGTATGGAGCTCGACTAGGCCAGCCGGCCCTCTAGTATTCGAGAAGGATCGGTAGCTTGATTGTCGGCAGCGACGGTGGACTGACGACCTAGTCCAGTTCGTCACAATGCTTTCCTTTGTGAGAAATGAAACGCATTATACGCGTCTGGTCCGAGGTGGAAGACGCACATACGGGCCTCTTGCAAACGAGGACTGCTTGCGTATGTCATGCGCTGGAAACAATCGCACTACAGGCACCATATGGTGAATATTAGCACAAACGAGCTTGCAGATGACTTTGAATGCTTACGACAAAGTTTTTCTTAGCATATCAATTTTTCCTGGATGTGCGAACGCCCATCTGTGGCAGCTCATAATATCGAAAGAAGAGACAATGGTCACATAGGGACCGGGACTGGTTGGATTTGGGGCGCATATACTCACCTATTCGCCGTCTAGAAGCCTCCTGCATTAACTTTCTTCCTGCAAAAATTGTCGACCTGACCCTGCCGCAGTCGCATTGCTTATGTCGGCCCAAGCCTTGTTGACAGCTGTCTCCACCGCATCCAGCAAGTGACCGCGAATTGATGGCCCTCCCTCACAAGGTACTCCTGGTGCTATTATTCAAGACAACGAGTGCTGGACCACAAAAGGAAATATCGCCATGATCGCACACACTCGCCTTCCGCGTTCAAGTGATCCGTCCTGCCGCGCAGCTTCCTCGGCATTCTAGGGACTATTGGAGGTACCCCTGCTGAATTTTGGTGAGGTGATGGATGAGTGTCCCGTAGTGCGCGTATCCGACAGCCAAGAGCACCTCCTGCGCTTGTTGAAAATGTAGCGCAATAAAGCTGCTGGTAGCAATGATAGCATGACCTTGACTTGCAAATGACTACGTTGATGACTCACTATGTCGTCTAATCATGCCGAGCTCCTCCGCGCGAAAATCAGGTTTGCAGCCCTGATCCGGCTGTATGAACGCGATGATGTCTGCGGCGACGCCTTGTTCTACCTGACAGTATGATCTAGGACCTAATGATTATGCATGGAAAAGTGATTAAAACCCTTGTAAGGCATGTTCGACTTCTGCTTCACGGCGAACCTCTACCGATGGGGTTCAACACAAAGAAGCTCAATGATGTTTTCAAGCTTCAAGTGGAGGTTTTATTGGAGCCATGAACCCCCTATATCACTAGAGCAGACTCCATCCTCACCACCGCGTATCGCGGTTTCAAGTCTCAACTTCATCGCCTGCCCCTCGATGGCTTGACTCGCGAAGATATCGAGAAATGCGTCTTAGCGAGATCTACCCTGATCCAGACACGAATCCTGCAAGTTGGGGGTGTGACGAGCGCGAGAGTATAACTTGATCTATATGCGGACTCTAGGAGATATTAAGCCGGGCTGCAGGAGCCAGGCTGTGCGCACCTTATCGTATATAGTTTCGGTGTGCTCACACCCCTCAAAGACTTTGTAGACAAGCATCTGCAGCCGGGTTGTTTCGATGAGGATAGCACGTGCGGAAAATGCGTGCAGATAGTGGAAGAGGCAGAAAGCTCTGGAACGTACTCTCACATATCATGATGGTCGAGATGCCTAGTTGGAAGAGGATCATGATGCATGAAAACACTGCAGAGGAATAGACGGGAGCGTTTGTCGTCGATTTTGTTGGACTCTGGTGGCATGCAATCAGATATCAATAATGCGGTACTTTGACTTCTGACTCGCCTGACACCTAAGGACACCGTCGACTAACTCGTCTCCATGATGCTGGTCATCTCTGTGGTCGATTCCTGTCCTTCGGCAAATTTCTTTTCTGTCCCATGCTCAACTGTCTATAGGGATCTGTCGACGAGATCCCTCTTTCCGTACTGCTGTGATAAGTAGGCGTGCACTCTGCAACTTGGCATTCCGAGCTGTTGTCATACTTAAAAGTCAATCTGTAGCATACAATAGTATACCAAAGTGCGATAGAAACCAGCCAATCGTATACATGCGTACCACGCCGCCGTACCTGCTACGAGCCTACAGAGACAGCGCTCGGCCCAGGCAGTACAGCTAAGTTATCTTGATGTGGGTCCCACCCACTCTCCTCGGTCCGATGGCGCAAGCGCGGGTCAGACACAGTATGCACAAGCGCTCTGCGCTCTTCCCGCTGTGGCGGTAGAGGCGTGGATTCAGGGCTGACCGACTCGGGCGGAGAGTCATGCTGATCAGGCGAGTCGACCTCGCCCTCGCCATCGGCCATGTCTTGATCGTGCCCCTCGTCCTCCTCGTGGTCGCTCCCGTCGATATCCATCATGTCGTCCACAGATATGACCGGCATGGACTCATCCGGTGCCAGAATTGAACCTGAACATGATGCCGCCACGGACGAGCTATCGTTGGCCGTCGACGATGGCTTTGACCTAGATCCAGACGCACGTCGATCGTCAGGCTTCTCGAGCTTACGCAGGACCTTCGCGATGTACTCCTTTGCGAACTTCTTGATCTTGACCGTCTTCTCCTCGGAGAGCGCGTCGAGTTTGCCCTCTCGGTAACTCGAGGACTTCTTCTCCTTCTCGGCGATGATGTGCGTCAGCTGGACATATCATTCAAAAGTCAGTCATCCGGTTGGTACTACGCATCTATAGGAGATGCATACTTCTTTGGCATGCTTCTTGAATTGATCATGGCTCATCTGCTTCTGATGCTTGGACATGCACTTCACGACCACGTTGCCGACAAGCTTCAAGAGACGTTTCTCCTTATTTGCCTCCTTCTCTTCTTTAGACAACTTCGCGTGCTTGCTGGGGCTCTTTCTCGCCTCGCGCTGAGCAGCCTCATCCGCCTCCTTCTTCTCCGCCTCCGCCTTTGCTGCCGCAGCGGCCAGTGCCTCAGCGGCGGCTTTGGCAGATGCCTGGGCGATGATGGCGGTGATCTGCTGTGCCTGCGCTTGACGGACCATCGCTCGTTCGACCTCAGTTGTATCCTCCTTCTCAGGTAATACCGGAGGCAAAGTCGCAGACAGCGACAAGCCGGATTTTGGAAGCAAGCTTGGACTTCGCAATCGGAACTCATGCTCCTCGTACATTGACTCATACTTGAAGCGCTTGCTCTCTCGCGTGCTTTCACGGTCCTCACGAGCAAGATTGAGGATGGATGACGGCGGATCCTCCTCTTCACCGTCCTGAAGCACAGAGAAGTGAGGTGACAAACCGCCCATGGACGAACAACACTTACTGCCTTCAGACGCTTGGGTATGCGGTATGCATATTCGAGATTCTCCCATTGCGCGAGCAGCTATATGCACGGTCAAAGCTTTGCAGGTTCATCGTTACGTAGATTCCTACCTTCTGCGCTAGCTCTGCAAGTGCTTGATTATCTGACTTGGCGCATACTTCCACAGGCATGTTCACCTTCGAGTCCTCTACCTTGTTGCGTTGAAGTAACGGCCACGTCATCATGCACTCGATGGCCTGTTTTAGAACACATGTTAGCACCAGCGGACTCGCAGTACCCTGAGCATGCCTCACTAATGTAGACATTTCAACATCGTCACCGTAATCCTCAAGGACATTAGTCATGACGGAGAAACCTCGCAGTCGCATGATTTGCCGCAAAGGAGATAGGTCCTCCGTCAGCTATGCAACAGATATTAGCTAGGGGCACATGGATAAAAGATCCGACCAACCTTAATGCGCATCAGTAGCTTGACCAAGACCTTCCTGCTCTGCGTTTGACGCATTGCCTGTACGACCTTGGGTACATCCTTCTCGACCAATGGTCTCAATGTAGGCTAGCAGACAGTATTAGCGGAGGAAACCATAATGAACTGCAGACGGCCTACGATGAAATCCTCGTCCAGCTTCTTGCTCTTCCTCTTCTTGTTACCCTTCAATCCCAACGTAGCTACCTCCTCAGAGATACCAAGGGCTACATGTGACATCCTTGAGTAAATGGGACACAAGTCGCGACTGCATCGGCGACTTACCATCAAGGTAGAGATCATCCATGGCCGCAATGTCCGTCTGAGTCTTTCCGCCAATGAAACCGACGCAGTTTGGCTCTCCACAGTAACATGGTTGCGCGTCGTGGCTGTTTTATAGAACAGAAAGCATGAGCAAGGGGAACAATCAACCAAAGGATACAGCGAAATGTGAAGCGACAGCAAAACTGACCCATATCGATCCACATTGTAGTTGAAGGTGAGCTCTTCATCCTTCCTGATATTCCGATTGGCGAATATTCCCATGCGCACGTGATGCCCGACTGTCCACTTCGCCACATAGCAATTGGGGTTGCAGCTATGGTTAGCGAAGCGACCGATGCCTCCGCGCTTCGTCGCATCGATGAACTGCTCGGCCGATGAGCCCTGTGGAGAGTAGCTATTCGTTCACTTAAAAGCGCACCTCATCCTTCTGGAGCATCATGAAGTAGAAATGGCGAATGCCCTCTTCCGCGTATTGTCGCATACGCTTGAGAAAAGACGGCTGGCTGATAACATCACCAATGTACTCGTAGATGAATGTGTCCCTGCAAAAAAAATTAGTGCCTTCTGAGGGACTTCGCCGTTATACGCACTTCGGAAGGTCTTGAGCGGCTCGAAGACCATAGCCCTTCTTCTCCGTCTGGACGATCTCGATGGGGGCGTACTGCCTCCGTTGGAATCTTTACACTCTGATGAGCATTGCGAACGTAGTCAGAGTCATGAGAATTGTACCGTTGATTCTGACAGTAGGAGCGACACTTGCAGTCGTCAGGTAGACATTCGACCTGGGTGAGGCGGTTGATGCAGTCCGACCCATGGCCGCAAGCGTCGATAGGGTCGTCAACGCCATACTCATACACGCAATCGCATGTCATGCTCTCCAACGCCTCCCGGGACCGTCCCAAAGTACCGTACTGATAGCGATTCTCCTCAATCTCGACGAACATGAGTAGGGCAGCTTCTTCAGCGCGAGGTAGATGCCCAATCAACTGTGGTTCCGGTTTGACCTTCTTGGAAGAGACGGGAGGGGTAACAGAGGGGCGGAGGACCTCCTGCTTTACTATGTCGTGTTCTTGCTTGCGCTCCGCAGATGCGCTGTGAGAATTGTAACTCGCTCCCACTTCGTCGTCGATGTCCTCGCGTTTGACGACATCCGCTGCCTTGACGCCGATGGCACCTCCATTGGCAACTTCAGCCTTCATGCCATCGCCAGTGCCAGGGTCAACAGAACAGCGTGCAGAACTGCTCCGCATACCGTTCATAGTGCGCGGACTGCGAAGTTCTCGCTTCGAGGAGGATTCCCGCGAATAGGCCATGATATATCAGAGTTGTCGAGATTACCTTCGAATATAAAGCTACGCAATGAAAGATAACTTAATAGCAGCGCGAGATGAACATCAAGGTCGAAAGCAAGGGAGAGAGATTGCAATAGGATAGCGAGTCCGCTACTCCGGGCAGCTTGGTTCGATGGAGGAAGAGGACAAGACGCCGATTGTGGCTGCTCACATCTTGTATCCTCACCATGTCTTCACGTTCCAATAAGCGCAAACGTGATGCAGATGAGGCTGAAAAGGCCACTATGGTCCTCTCAAATCATCCTCAAGATCAGCTTGGCCCTATAATAGGTATGTACAGCAGCCATTTTGCTATAAATCGACTAGTCCGAGCAAGGCGGCAGCCAGTTTTCCCGCCCTTCAACCTCCCAAGTCTACGCCCTTTCAGTGCTGGAGACGAGATAAACAAAGGGCATCTGACGAGCTATTCGCCACTCAGGACAACATCGTTGCGGGAGAGACAAACGCAGTAGAATTCTATACCTCCGGTGAGTCCGGGCAAGCAATGGCTGGTTGCAGGTATGTTCAGCGCACATTACGGCCACTATGGACTCATGTCCGATATATATATATCAGCTACCTCGTTGGGATTCATGACAAGAGGACCAACACAACGGTGTTACGCCCAGCACCACTTCATATCCTCGCACGCCAGGTCAAGGCGCTCAAAAATCTCGTTCCCAAGGAGGTTACCACAGACGAGCGTGGAATGCTGCGCAACCAGCTCGGAGAGGCTTTTGGAACGAAGAAGGTCAAAGCCGCGATTCGGGCCCAAGAGCGGAACAGGGTGGATGTAGATGCAATGAAAGGCGTCGCAGGTCATCTGCAGGAAACGATTATGGAGAACACAGAGAGCCTGCCTTCTCGTGGTGCGTCTCATTATGCTTATCACACCGTAGCTTGTCTGTGCAATTCCGCGTTGCGCGTATGCGGCCCATTTGCGCACTGACTACGGTCGTAATGCCGATAGTGTTAGTTGTCAAGGAGCACAATGACCTCTATGCTGTGCTTACTACATGTATCCGACTAGACGCTGTATAGGATTAGGGTATACTGACTGGATCGGAAGGATTGCACGTACTCGTCGGCGGACGGCTTTTCTAAATGTTGGATTCATGTGTTCAGCTTGCTGACCATCTATACAGAGGAAGCCAAGGAATCTGCGGACAGCGGCAGGCTCATTCCTCCACACAATGCGGATGCGCAACACCCAGAAGATGTTTATGCACTGCAAGGCATCATTCCAGATTCCGAATTCAATGCTCTCTCTGTCTCTGCGTTCAAATCCGCTAAATCCATAGAAGACCGCATTGCATTGTTACCATGGTCACGATCGAACTGGATCAATCAGCATCTTACACTGCTTCTGAGTGCATCGAAAATGCACAAGAAAGACATGTAAGCATCTATGCATATACCAGTACCATCGGAGGTGAAATACGTATTACACTTGAAGGAAAACACTGTTTTACATCTCTGCAATGTTTGCATTCAAGATGGCCTCACGCTCTGTAAACAACAAGGAAACCCTTCAAACACGGCTAAATGGTGTGCCCCAGATTGTCATAGACGGCCTCCTGTCTCGATTCACGGAGACAGCGAGAGTCTCAAACACGTACGCCAACATTCCTCCTCTGGCCTCTAGCTCAACGTGAAACGTGTTTCACAGGGTACAGATGACGCCACAGACTGAGACAATGCTGCTTACGTATATGTTCGCTCTGTGTCTACGGATAGACGACTTTGCAACCGATACGGACCTGATTGCCAGCGACCTGAGTATGCCGGCGGCTCGGTATGTCTTTGTCCTCTTAACCTTTCGCGGAGAGTTCACATCGATTCTTCCTACAGTGTTAAAAAGCTCTTCATGACGCTGGGTAAGGCTTCGAACTCCATACACAGTAATACAAGCTGATGTGCTCGTGATAGGCTGCAAGATCGAGAAGTTAAGCACGAAGGAGCTGAAGAGGCTTGGCTTGCCCGATTCGGCTGGAGCCACCTCACGCGCGGTTCTTCGGGTACCTGTTCAGTTCCCCCAAGCAAGGACTAAGCGTGCCAGACGGTGATGTGAACGCCGGTCAGAAACGTTGTCACTGCCTAGTCTGTCGTTGTCTGTCTGGGCTTTGGAAGATGGCGATCTCACTTTTCTTTCATCAGTATCTTTGGTAGTTGATCTGCGCGGTGTGAGTCCGCCCCTGGATCTCGTCGCCAGCTGCATTTGTACGATTCTAGTGCGCTGGAATCTCACTTCATTCTATTCAATTGAGCTCGTGTTTTTCTGAGTGATGCGTCCAATATCGGAGATCGCCTCCATGACATGAGTGTCGCCGTAACATTCATTTAGATGCACATCTCGGTGGTTTCCTGCTCTGCTCGAGGGTAATGGATTTGGGGAACAGAGACCAAACAGCAACCTTGGTTCGGCGTACCAATACCGCCATAGTGATGAGTATAGAAAGCTCATTTTATTGCACGTTCCCATATCAAGCGCTACGGGCCGTGGTATATTACCGTCTCATTGTCTGTCGTTCGGCAGCAATGACAACACTGTGATGCGTACTGTTCATTCGACGTCGTTTTCCACTGACATGCAGCGTCCGAAATTCTCCTTTGTTTCAAGTCATCTCCGAGCTGAAAACGATCGCAGCTCATCTGCAGACACCGCACACTGGTGGTACGTATTCTCCCATGACTGATGGTGAGTTCAACAATGGCGTGAAGTAGGCACAACTGACCTCACCGGTCTTGCCGGAGTAGGCGAGAGTTATTAGTAAGGTACGCAATGGGAGATGCAGGTTTCCACTAACGTTTCTGCCAGATCACACCATTGTCTTTGTCCCGTATTTTGTCGATGAAGAGGCGTAAATGCTTGATGTGATCGTCCGTAGCGACCGCACAGAGAAAAACATGCTCCACGGAATTGACAGCACGATGGACGTGGACCGGGTTCAGTCTGTTGGCTCGAAAGTAGGCTTGTCTCATATCATCAAAATAATTATGTTGAGCACGCTGAGCCAGTGCTATCGAAGCTGCTGGCAAGCTGCGGCTGTACGCGGAGGGATCGAATATGAAAGGCTCCGAGTCTTTGTCTCGGTGGAAGACATAATTCGCGAATGCGTCCGCCAAGCAAGAGATAGGCACAACTTTCTGCGATTGCACCATCCGTTCTATTATTGGGTCCTTGACAGTTGGCTGATTTGTACTTCCGAACAGATGCGTCAGTGACCATCCATCTAACGTTCCTGTGCGAAAGTATTGCAGGATAGGAAATTATGTATAGTACCTTGTTGCCACTGGCTTAACTCTGCTCAATTCGATCCTAGGTTCTTGGCAGGTGAGCATCACAACTTATAGTCATGGTTGGCTCGTCCTCAGACCCCAAAGATGTCCCAATTCTGGAATGAGGCTAGCAAGTACAGCCAGAAGTTTCACATCGCATGCCGTTGTATTGGGATGAATAAGTACCTAGTCACCCAGCTTTCCCGAGGGGAGCCAGGCAACATGCCGTGCGGTACCAAAGCCAATATCCGCAAGAAGTTGATTGTAATAAAATTCACTACATATTGCGATGTAGCACAATAAAGCTGCCAGTAGCGATGATGCGTAATGTTGACCTGCAGACCGACTCAATGATCATACTATCTGGGGCAACAGCGGCTCCTGTAGACTGCCGAAACCGACAAAGTCACAGACAAGTGTTCATGAAAATTCAATATGTCAACGTCTGTCACCAGCGTCCATGATACTGCTCATACAATCGGAGTCTCTCACTGAATAGATCTGCTTCATCGTGCATGGCACATCTTCCCTCTTCGAGAGAGCAACATCTTCACTGGAACGCCCGTGCGGATAAATGCGATACATCTATCATATCTGACAATTCAAGCAGCGAGTCTCTCGGCGGCGTCAAAAGCGTCAGGAAAACGGCTTATGGCGCTTGTATCTGCTTGCCATCACGGCCCACCAAAGCAAGACAGTAAGTTCGAAAAAGTCTCTGAGTTTTGTACTTTCCTCTGGGCTGGAAGCTTCTGATCGTGTTTATTTTGGCTTTTACACGAGAACAAGTCAAACGGCAGGTTCTCGAGCCACAGATCGATTTTAGGTTTCCTGATGAAGCGGCAGTTCTATTCCACACTTCTTATTACAACATACGTTCCATTCCAGTTTGCTTCCGATAAGAGAGAAGGCTGTTATCAGCGTATTGAGGGAGTGTGGCCTGCTATTGAATGTAGCATCTGATCACTGGTTGCAGCTCCTTCAACTTTCAAGTGGGCCGGCATGCTGTATTCACAGCTCCCCTTCCAACGGATACTGTCCAAGGAATCTGTACAGTCGTCGTGAGAAAGGCTGTCCTCAAGCTGAGATGAGATCGGTTCTGTGAGTGGTCAGGAATATATGTAGCCAGGTGGCGTGCCAAACATCCGTTTCTTCCAATGCTGGCCCTTCAGCTTAATCTCGGGAACGTTTACTAGATTTCTACCTAGATCCAAAGAACGATCGCCCAGCCGCTTGCCATGGGTCTAGATACCTTGAAAGCTGCCCCATGACCACGGCTAGGCAAAAACGTCTGCACTATCAAGGAGCCACGCAAACTCCGCTGCTTCTAACTGTCACAAACATGGCTGTGTCTCGGCCTGCTGATCCTGATATCAATAGAGCGAGTCCTCTTTTCGACGAGTATAGTTCTATTTGAACGCTCGTGTGAACATTGTCAAATCATATGGAATGCACGAAGGAAAGAGGCATGCCGGAACGAAGCTTGCTTAAGCCTATTTAAAGACAACCGTCAACCTACCATCCTCCCGAGGTCATGAAGAATGTCTCCCATCACCACTATCGAAGTGGATGTTATTATCGCCGGTGGTGAGCTTCACCACGCCCTTCTCCTAGCATTCACCACCAGTAATGAGTAACGACTGCAGGTGGTACTTCCGGATGTGTCATCGCCAGTCGTCTGGCAGCTGCTGATCCCTGTATGAAAATCTTGCTACTGGAAGCGGGCCCTCCCACCCTTGAGGATTTAGCCCACGTTCAGCCAGCGCGATATCTCAGCCACTTGCTACCCGGTAGTAGCACAGTCAAGTTCAATATCGGAAAGGAAAGCCCTGATTTGGAAGGTCGCTCCCCTATCGTTCCATGCGGCCAATGTTTGGGAGGTGGCTCCAGCGTAAACTGTGTGTGAAGTCTATTCTTCGTTCAAGTGAAACTTACGAAACACTAACTGAGACCGAAAGTCGCGATGTACGCACGTCCTTCTCCGTCCGATTATGACGATTGGGAAAAGCTGTATGGAAATGATGGATGGAGCTCGAAGGACCTCATTCCCCTTTCCCGAAAGGTATGCATCCACGATCTGGTACTTCGCTTCAATATGTCTCATTTAGACGGTTAGATGGAAACATACCAGATTACACCGAGCTCGGACACGCATGGTGATTCAGGTCCCATAAAAGTGTCGTATGGAGGCATATTCGCAAATCTGGGGCAGCAGTTTCTCGATGTCGCTGCTGGATTTGACAAGAGCCGTTCTTTCACTGATGATACCAATGGAATGCGAGAATGCAATGCGTACGGGGTAAGCAGCAGTCGATCTAATGATGAGGACGACCACTGAATTGCGTATGATCAGCGGTGGCAGAAGTAAATCTCTCAACCTTATGCTTCGCTGTGCGTTACGTGTAACATGCTGGACCAGATATATTGGCCGCGAGAACGGACGTCGTTCTGACGTGCCACACAACTACATCTACAATCGCAGCTACCAGAATCTAGAGATACTTACGGGCTATCGCGTAAAGCGTGTCATCTTTGAGTAAGTCTTCTTCATTCGATCTCAAGCGAAACTGATGACTTGTAGAGGAAATCGCGCTACTGGAGTTGAATATTTACCTGATAATCGATGGCATCCCGATTTAAAACAGGACGTACTCACTGCTCGGGCACGGAGGCTGGTCGTAGTGTCAGCTGGCGCATTTGGATCTCCCGCTATTCTGGAAAGATCCGGTGTCGGGAGTGAAAGCCTCCTGCGTACACTTGGCACTACAACGCTGGTCGATCTCCCCGGTGTGGGTGAAAATTATCAAGGTAGTCAAGTCGGTCTGCTATTCCTCAATCGTCTGACGAGTCTTTAATAACAGACCATAACGTCATCTTTGTACCTTACATCGTCGACAGCAGGGCGGAAACTCTTGACGGCATTGTGCGCAATGATCCCGACGAGATAAAGAGTGAGTTTAATACTCCGAGGGTGTCTCGAGTTTCTTTATCTGTTCCTTCAGAATGGTCTGCACAATGGTTGGAAGATGGAACTGGCTTGATGGCTTCAAAGTATGTGCCATAAGGTGACATCTTTGCGCTTCTCACTTCATGCGCTTTCGAAGCGCTATCGATGCCGGTGCCAAATTACGCCCGTCCGTTAGGGAGTTAGAGACTATAGGTCCAGAATTTCGGCAGCGATGGGAAGAGCATTATGCCAATGCACCAGACAAACCCCTGTTATGGTTCGGTGTTATCTCTATGTACGTATATCCAGGCCTATAACTGCAGAACAACCTAAACTTCTTTTCCTGACAGGTTTGTCGGAGACCCCTCTACTGTACCTGTAGGCAAGTATATGAGCATGTCCTACTTCCTGGAGTACCCAGCTTCCATTGGATACGTTCATATCACTTCCGGAGAGGATGTCGCTGCATCTCCTGACTTTGATCCGAGGTATCTCAGTAGGTAAGTCTAACACGTCGTGCGTGCATGATGAGCACCTCTCTGAGATTGCTTTTAGGCGGGAAGACCTCGTGGCTTTGAGATGGGGTTACAAACACGGACGAGAATTTGCACGGCGCATGCCCTTCTATCGCGGAGAGTATGTTCCCGGACATCCAGCTTTTCCAGAGGGCAGCCGCGCATCATGCCTGGCGGAGGCTCTTCCGGTAGACGTATCGGAATCATCTATCGAATACACCCGTGAGGACGATGAGGCTATTGACAATTACACGCGCAAGGTTGTGGCGACTGCTTGGCACTCGGTGGGTAGAATGGCACGATTGTCACTCGCACGACTGTGTTGAATACTACTCTTATAGCTCGGCACATGTGCCATGAAGCCCCGTGAAATGGGAGGAGTTGTTGACTCGCACTTAAACGTTTACGGCATCAAGGGTCTCAAGGTTGCTGGTCGGTGCATTGTTCATCATGCTTCCTTGGCTTCCTTCATTGATTTTATCCGACAGATATGTCTATTGCACCGTCTAATGTCTCTGCTGTAAGTCCAACCTCTGGCAATAAAGTCACTTGAATCTAGAGGCTTACACTGTGCAGAACACATATTCGACCGCTTTGGTCATTGGAGAAAAGGCGGCATGTATCATCCTGGAGGAACTTGGGATAGACACTGGAACAAACTGAGATTCATGTCATCGGCGTTTGATACTGGATTACTTTGGGCTTGCAAATCGTGTATCTCATGTTACCACGGTTCAGGCCATATGCACAGAGTACACAAGCGACGCCTAGAATTATTGACACCGATTCGATCAATGCAATACTTACTGTTAGGCTGACGATTGTCGATATGGTGGCCACAGCAGGCCACAGTACTAGTTTTTCGAACTTTCGCCGCGGACTCCGACATGGGCCGGTCATCTACGATAGTGATAGGAACGGGCGTGTCCTTTTTCCAAACAGTTTTTGAGGTTGTCTGACAACATCCTGAAGGACAAGCGCGTGCGCCGCGGTCGCCCCCTCTGTCCCATCAGCTTCCTCCATGATCTCCAAGTTTTCCTCTCAGTACTCTGAGAATCCTTCAAGGCATACCGGGAAAGCATATATCCTCGAGAACACTGTTTCACATTGCAGGCTGCTGCCCGAATCGTCAGCCCATGCCTTTAGGTATCCTACGCTCTCCCTGCTGCTGTCTTTGAATGCCCTAGAAGATCACTCTCTTGATCTCGCCCGAGGGTGGCTCTTCGGCTATGGAGGTATTCATGGGAGGCTCGTTGGCTTGCGTTCATCTGTATACTTGGCAAAAGATGCTCGCAGCATCAGAAACAAACTGCTGGGAACATTGGCTGTGCATGGCTTTGACTGCACTCTATTCTCTGATGCGTGGATGATGACCATGCCAAGCTTGCTTGGATTTGAAGGTATCAATCCGCTGACGGTGTACTTCTGCTACAATATGTCGGAGCAACTGTGGCTGGTTGTTCTTGAGGTTACACGAGATCACATCTTGGTGCGGCGGGAACGCTGACGTCCGATCAGGTCCACAACACGTTCGGGGAGCGCCATGTCTATGTGCTCGACATTGACAAGAGAGAAGGTCATAATGTTTCGCCAGGGTGCGTGTTCCCTTCAAGTCGTCGTTTTTGAAACCGTCTCGACGTTTTGCATACGTGAACAGCTTTCAGTATCAATGGACGGTACCAAGGCAATTCCATGTGTCTCCCTTCAATGATCGATTCGGATTCTACGTCATCTCGGTCCGCCCACCACCATCGTCCCCTTCCAAATGTCTTCATAATCATACTGCGTCGTCTCCTCTGCCTGTTATTCATGTTTCTTTCCATCTTGCCGATCCCCTCTCGCCGTCCACACTAGGACCTCTGAAACAGACTGCTACTCTCCAAGTAAAATCGAGCATTCCATTTAACAGCAAGAATCTATTGTGCAGCCTGGCACGTCGCCCATTTGTGCTCATGCTGACATTCGCACGAATTCTCTATCACGCATGGATCCTTCACTACGTGAAACGGCTGGACGTTTATCCGCGGCCGGAACCCATGCCAGCTCAGCAAGGCTGGGGTGGGTCAGGCGCTACCTGCAACGGAGGAGTAGGATGGCAGTCCGAAACCCTGCTCGAACAGTATGCCAGAAAGCGTGTCGAGGCGTTCCTCCGCAGACGAGTGGACGAGACGGAAATTCAAGTCACGTTAGTAGCGGCGGACCCGACCGTCGCTTCGCGTACATTTTCCCCGACGCCAAAGAAGCAGAGCGACAGCGGCTCGGAAGGACATACGCTGACGATCTGGTACTCCTCACCACAATTCTTCACTACCCTCTTCCTAGCGCCTTCTTTACCTCTTGCAGTGCTGCTGGGATACAGCACGGAGAGACTCTTCGTCCCTTCCTCAGGCTCTCTGCTAGCAGCGCTCTTTACCGCAGATGCTTTACTGCCACCGCATCGCCGATCATCGCTCTCACAGATGCTACGGATGCTGGTTGTCCCTCGTAGGCTGCTCAAGATGCCCAGCGCTATGGTACCCCGCGAACATCCCTTAGATCCTAATGGATTACTCCCGACAGCTACCAACACACTGTGTGTCGCTATTCTTCTGTTGATGACCATCCAGGAGTACTGCCTCTACCGATTGGCACGTGCACGGTTTGTGGTTGGACAGGAGCCAGAGTATCGGTGGCATCGAGCTTTGGACGTCGTCACTTGTAAGAAACAGTGGGTAAAGAACTCCACCACCACCTAATACCTAATGCCTAAATGATGCTGTAGAAAAGCTGTATGATACCGGAACGTGTCTTGTCTTGTTGTAACGTCCCTAAAGTCTATTCCCGTTCTTGTCGAAGATCTTGTCCGCTGCTTCCGCTTGGAATTTGCAAAGAGTCTGTTCATAATGACGAAATTGCGTCGCCAATGTTCTGAGAAATGCTCGTGAGACGTTTTGAGACCGATACATCTGTAAAAGGCAGATATGCAGAAATGAGACCCGAGGAAGAGACGCATAAGATCCAGAGGAAGAGAGAAGAAACACAACAGATGAGTCCAATCTGATAGATGTTGGTGAAGATGAGCAGGTCTGATGATATCAGGTGTATGAAAGAATATTTGGGAGACGAAGATGGTATCATACAAAATGTTTACGAAAAGGCCAACAGAATCACTGACTCGGGCACGATCATGATGAAAGAGGAGGTATATGCGGAATGAACCATCCCCCGGGGGCATATAGTATTGCTGGGAAGCATACCAGGTCACCAGCCTACATGTCGGGTGCATCACCACACCATCAGAGTCTTTACTTCTGAGCATCTTCTGGCAGAGAAGGTCACGTGAAAGCATAAACTCTGCGCCACAGATGCCGGTTGTGGCTGAGCCTCGAGGCGGCCATTGTTCTCGCTCTAGCGTGCCAAAAATCTTTTTCACACACAACACGAGGCACCAACGCGACCATGTCGAAAGAGCACAATGCACAAGTACCGCTTCCGCCTGCTTTTGTTCTACTGATCATACATCATCTGCTTTTGTTCTCGTTCGTAACGCCCTTGCAACGACTGCTGAAATTTACCAGCCTGCAGAGCTTCCTGGCTCTTCCTGCAAAGCCTCCCTAGTTCTTCTCGGTGCCGGTCCACCAAATACCACATCTCAACACGTTCTTTGAGTCATTGGTCCTGAGAATCCGATAGTTCGCTTCCAGTCCATCGAGACGTTACGGACGACGACGATGGCGCCTCCGCGAGCTTGTGAGTGTGTCTCGAAACATCCCTTCGAAATGCAAACGTAAACGCTTCGCAGATATCTTCATCGGCCTCAACATCACACGTGTCCTAAGCATCGTCGCTTTGATCCTTATCTTCGCGAGCAGCATCGTCACCCTGGTGCAGGACATCAAGGCCGTGAACAAGTTCATTGCCGAGGGCAAGGAGGAGGTCATTGCGTCGTCCGATAACACCACCGTGACTGATGATTGCTCGCATCTTGATTACGTTCCGTATGACTCATTCCACGCCCATGTCTCTATCGCCCTACTGATGGGATTAATGCTGCGAATAGGAATAGTACGGTGCCCAACCAGACCGCAGGCGCATTCTGGGCGGTGCTCAATCGGATATTCATCGTGTTCCAGGTTGTAGTGCTGTTGCTATCGGAGATCGGCTGGCCCGCCGCCTTTTTCAACCGTTACTTTCCTGTACTCGGTGATGACTTTGGACTCGGCGCGCTAGGGGTGATTCAGTGCTTGTACGTCACCACCCTCGCCCCGTGCTCACCGACCGTGTGATTCTCACGCATTACAGATTGGGTGCAGCTGTGCTGTCCCATCATGTTGACGAGTTCTCTCTCGTCTCGGGGTTCTTCCTGTTCTCGGTCGGTTGCCTCAACGCGCTACTTGGACTGGCGTTCCGTGAGAAAGCCAAGCCCGGGCGCGCACTGACGTCGTGGCGAGACGACGATGTACTCCCGCGCACGTCTCTCCGCTCGGGCCCGCGCCCCTTCCTCGCTGCAAGCAGCACGGGGGGCAGCTCGTGGAACGAGAAGGAGGCAGAGGCGCACCGAACCGGAAGCTCTAGCAGCAAGTTCAGCGGGAAAGGGTTCGGCAGGCAAGGCGAAAAGGCGGCGATGGCGCTAGGTGCGTGTTAAAGGACGTCTTCGCATGGATTGTCCGTCTAACGCACTAGTCCAGGTGCGACAGTGGCTGTGCCACCAGAGTCGTTGCCTACGTACGTACCCCGGTCCGCCCACAGTCCTGCACCGACCTACATCTCGCGTCCGTTGCGGAGAGTGAACTCCGACTCTGGACGGCATACATACGCCTCCACCAGGGAGCGCGCCGAGTCGGGCGTCAGTTACGCCGGCGACGGTCCGTCGGGGTCAGGAGGGGCGCGTGAGGTCTGAAACCCGTGTCCCTGTCTGAGTCTGATGAATTACGACTGAGACATGCCCTAGTCGCAGTGTGTATATTATGTAATGTCTATGTTAAGGCATATTTTTACTTGGACTATCAAGGCGGACAGAATGTGCGAGCTTCTCTTGTGAAATGCCGCGAATTTCCGACGTGCGCGAATTTATTACCTGACTCTACTCGATTAAGGTACCTGGAAATTGATCGCTTGATGGCCGTCGCCTCCCACTACCGTCAACAAATATTTTTGATCGTGTCGCGTGCGGTCCTTCAAAAGCTACGGGATGCTCGCGTCTCTTTGTGCCGCCTCCAATCTCTTGGTGTAGTTTGCGCGGTCCAGCGAGTCCGCAAGCTGCAAGTGTCGCCATCGTGCAAGTACGAAGGCCCCTTCGTCAAGCACTGTGCCCTTGGATTTATCCCAAGTCCAAACCGGAAACGTCTGGCCTTAGATTATGAGACCAACCGGAGGTATGGCGAGAGCGGAATCAGTCGAGGAGTATGACGGTTGGGCAATGGGACTTGGGCCAAGCTTTGTCATGCCAAACTCCGTGTCAAAGCACATTGTCGTCTGCTCACAAGTTGTCAAGATTACGTAGGCTGCCATCGTATCGTATCCTACGCTGCGCGCTACAATAATGGCAACCAAGCGGCATGCCACACTCTCTTCATCTTCCTGATCTGATGAACGTATATAATACCTTTCAGCAGGTCGAACGAGACTCATCACAATGGATACAATGAATATCCAATGGCTGATCTGCAGCTTTCTTCATGATCAAGCGCACAATCGGCAAGGAAAGTGCTGACGATTCCAAATCATTTCATAAGCTGGTAAACGACTTGCTACATGTCGATAATCTCCGCAGAATGAGAGTGAGGTATACATCCAGTGATACGGACAAATCTCTCTGCATTATAAGTTATGATTTCAAGGAATACAATTGGAGATGGAAGGATGTGGCAGCTCGATGTCCCGACATCTACGTATCTGTCAAAGTGTCACTGACTTGGTCCAGCCATATTCATAAGACCAAGACCTTGGAGTGCGACTTGAGATGGTGCATCGATGTCCTGCGAATCGTCCTGAGGACGGTCGTCGTCTGGCTCCAGCATGGGTTCAACTGCTTCTTCTCCCAAAAGTATTGCTGAGGTATCTTCCTGGGCATCGACCATTTGTGCATCGCCATCTGAGTCTTGTGAACGCTGAGAAAACTGCATGAGATCGTCATCTCCTTCGCCGCAGAGGAACTTGCTGCCAGTCCAGTCGAAGTAGTCCTTTCCGCGTCTCCACCCTGGCTTGAACCGACGAAGGTAGCTGAGATTCGCCTCACTCTGCCTTGGATGTTCATCGTAGAGACCCCTACCGCCTAACAAGAATGCATAAACGTCTCTGGCATTCATGGGCTTTCGCTCATCCTCCATCGAGGCGTACACCGAGGGAGTGCAGCCTATAACCGTGATGGCATATCGTGGGTGGCCTCGACCCTTCCCACGGCCTGTCGGCAATTGCGTGCCTTGAGATGCGACACCTGGATGAGATTGACCTTGGGCCTGAACCACGGCGGGTGCTTCCGCAATATCGGGCAGCGCATTTCGCCCTGGAATCTCTGGGCCATGCACAAAGTCAGACGGAGAACTGTATGGCTTCCGAGTGACGGAGAAATTTCTCTTCCACTCCGTAAGAGTAACTCCAAACTGCATCGCGATCGCTATATACGGTCTGTCATCTTCTGCGATCGGTCTCTTTGGAAAGAAGCCCCTTTTCCGGTTGAGCGACTTCTCATCAATCACGATCGTCTGTCTTTTTTCTCTGTTCTTGACTTGAATCAGGATACCGGTCACGGTCCGCTCGGATAATTTACTATCAACGCCAAAGGTGACGGGTATGATGCAATCGATACCATCTTGATTGGTGGAACACTGTATTGCCATCCCCCGCACGAGAGCTGCCCATGCACCGTGTGTGTTTGAGATGCTCTCGTTTTCATTCTTTCCAAAATGCGTAAAGTGAACATAGGCGTCTTCGAAGGCCTTCTCGAACGCGACGCCTTCAGGACGGTTATCCGGGATGGTCTTCTTTATTCTGAGGAGATGTTCAGAACCGAAGAGCGCTTCGAGAAAGTTGAAAAGGTGGATAGGGTGATTGAACGCCATTGGGGCCGAATTGGGGTACCTCTTCCGTGTAGCCTTGTCAAATGCCTCTATAAGGAGAAGGCGCATCACAAGCTCTCCTCTTTCGCCCTTGCTCATGAGACCTTGCCTGATGTAATGTTCAAGCACCACTGCCATCGGCAGCCGGTGTTCATGCACAATGCGAGCGGCGGCTTCGGCGAGCACCGGTTCTGAAGGATATCCTGACCGAAAGTATTCACGATGTTTCGGTATGCTATAGGCAATGCGCATATGTCCCTCCACCAGTTGAGCTTCGAATTGTCGAGCTATTTCACGGGAAGGCTCGAAGTCGACAAGTAGGCGTGTGCTTAACGCTGCCACAATCCCATTATTGTAGGGATAGGACAAATTGAAGGTGGTAGGGTCGCTAGAGCCGGCGAGCTTTGACATGGCAATATCGATCAGGCCTGTCTTAGCTTCATCTGGACCTGCATTGTACATTGCATGCCATCTATAACCGCGTGAGTGTTATCACCATCATCACTATTACGAATGACTCACAGAGGGCGCCCGAACTTGCATATGAATTGAGTCTCACACACTTGTTCCAATGTGAGTTCCCCGGGACGTAGGAAAGGTCGACCGTCCGTCAGACAATCGAACATGAGTTCCGTGTATGGCGCCTGTAAAGGGTCTTCCTTGACGTCTTGAACTCGGGATGATGGATGTGCCTTTTTCGGAGGCGAGAACGCGGACAACTTGGAGTTTGTCGAGAGTGTAATGGCGAATAGGGGTAAGTCTCTGAGGTGATTGATTGCGGAGCAGAGCGCCTGGTAGCGTGTACGTGAAGGAGCATCCTTGATATGCACCACGGCATTCGTGAGGGTGTGAGCTTCGTCGAAGTACACTATTATCCGCAGAGAGCCATCGTCAATTGTCGCGCCAGCTTTCGACTCAATGCGATCGATGGTTCGAATCAGCTCTTCCCCCGCCAACTTAGTTTTCGAAGAACGCATGTTGAGCAGCCCTGGATCGTCCTCAAAGTCTTTCCCCGATGGGAGTTGTTTACAATCCTAAGATCAGCCACCAAGAGTTAGTCGTCACGCACCATGCGCATCCACATTCGAACTCACTTTGAGCGTGTCTCCGTAAAGGCATTCCCTGAACGATTGACCGTCGGTTACTTCCTCCAGAGCATCTCTCCACCACGTCGCCAACGTAGCACTTGAATCTGGTTTCTTCAGCGCGTCGAGAATAGTTGCCTCATTCGTCGTTAGCGTGTCATTGATTTTGTTGAAAAGATGCTGAAAGAAAATGAGAAATGCGGCTATCGTGCACTCGTAACTGCTCTGGAATTCTGTCTTTACTAAGTAGTCATGAACTTGGTGATCAGCGAAAGGGTATGGGAAGCCTGAAAAACGCGTCAGCAACGAAAGCGAGAAGGTGTTGCAATGATGAAGGTATTTGGATTACTCACCGCCATCTTCATCATCTTTCATAACCATGCTGGGAGTTCCGGTGCGTACGTTGAAAGGTATGGTGAATATAAGCTTGGCGAGTTCATCGACTGTACGCGATTTCCCTGTTCCGGAACTTTGAATGATTGCCAGGTAATTCGAGTATGAGCTCTCTTTCGAACGATCGCGATTCATTTCTTTAATGCTGTCTAATAGCGTCTGATGACTTGTGCCAATGAATGGCTTCTTCCACGCAATTTTGGTGGCTGGAAAGAGGGTTAAGCATTCATTCAAGTTGCTATACATCATATTTACCTCTCTCTGTAATAACAATCCCCATCAGCTAAGAAGGTGCTTTTACGCAAAGTAGCAGCCACAACTTACTCTGTCCATCAGTAATGACCGCTGACATTCCTTGGGAAGGGATCTGGAAAAGTTCTGAAAGATTGAAATTATCAGCAGGAACTAGTAGCTAATGCTCCATAATTGAAGAAAATCGTGTATGACACGTACTCAGGCAGCGCAACTTGGAGAAGTCCTTCTTGTTATAGGATTCGAGCAAGAGCGCACGCAAAGCATCACCATGTTCACCAGCCAAATACTCTGCGCACTTCGGACTGTCGTCGAGAGGCGTCTCTTTGATTTGTGGGTCGATGTGACATTTCGAGCCCTGCAATATTTTTTGCAGGATCATGGAGTTCAACGAAACGTAGTCTGGCTCAGACCTCTTCAGACAGTCCGGATCCCAGTGGACCATCTTGAACCAGCTCATGCACTTCGAGTCAAGATTTCTGTGTTCCTCAGGAGTATGTGGATCTTCGCCAACCTCTAGCAAAAGGGGACCACGTGGTACTTTCGCCGAACCGGACTTTGCGGGAGAAGGCGATGACGGTCGTTTCATTGCGATGTGACCAGACATTTCAATGAGGGCACACAGAGGAGATTGCTATAGCAGGTGAGCTGGAGGTGAATGTGCAAACTGTGAAGAAGGAAAATCTGGCGGTCGTTTCGGGAGGAGAGGGCTTTATATACAGAGAAAACGACGCCACACCGCTGTATCCGACCTGGGACCCGGGCGTTGGCTGGTTAACGTATCCAACGTTCAATCATCTTGACATCAACGCGTTGAAGATTGAAACCGGATCATGAAGCAGCACAACGCTTCCGAGAATTTCGAAACACTCACCAGTCACGGACTTGTGACCAATGTGAGACGAGTCGCTGTGGCGCGCCCACAGCTGAACGGACTTCGTCAGACCTTGTAATTTAGTACAAAAGAGCCATTTGCATCCTTATCTTTCTAAGTTCGTCTTTTTTTGTATTTCGAGGTGCAACGCTGGACCGACTTGCCCGAAAACATCTGACTGGAGTATCATTGGTCTGCAGAGCGGTGACCGTGCAGCAGCTCCAGCTACAGCCTACTAGTAAGGAGTCAAAATGTCGTGTCGATCCACATATATGGAGGACATAACAATGCTCTACACGAGCGAGTCATGCAAGCTTCCTACAGAAGAAAGATTGCTCAACATGCAGCGCTTGTGTATCGCTTTCTCGGCGGAGACGAAACGTTTAATTGGGCTTCTATACTCTCTAGCGTCACTGAGCAGTGCCTGAAATTCTCTGTTTGAAGGGTTTCTGGAGTGATTGAGGCTGATACGCGGAGTAAGTCGTAATTCAAGATATGCGAGCAACCGCAGATCCTAACTGACGTTCAAGGCTTCTACAACAGGACACTGGAGTCACAGGATCGGCTCATCCATGTGTGTGCCAGTGTCAAGTGGACATGACGTCCTAGGCAGCATTTCTCGGTCATTATTTTAACTTTCTACTATTCTGAACGACTCAGAAAAATGGTCAATAGGCATGCAGGCCAGTTTACAATGACCAACTTATGAAATCCACTCGCTGCCTGACTGCAGAATCCGATTCATAAAATTTCACAATACAGCCGTGGGTGCCACCATTGATAACCATCAGCACGAATAATAGACGTTGAGTGTGGCGTTTTCATGCTACTCCCCGTTTCAGGCAAATGGAAGCCTTTGCTGACAGACAAACGCGGCCTGCTTGGTGTCGTGTGCCTTTCTTACCATCGAATTCGGAGTGTCAGGCCGTCATCGTAACGAGTATGTGGTAAAATTTGCATGCATCTAGAGTCAGCATGCTGAAACAGAGTTCAATCCTACTGGGCGTACATCTCTCCTGCATCATCACGGACGCCATAATTGTATGCTCATCTCCTGATCCCGCGTCACGAAAGGGAACCCTTTCGAGATGCTACTGGCTTTCAAGTTGTGCTCCAATTTGTCACACTAGAAGGATAGATGGCGTGAGCCTGTCAGCCGGAACCAACGATCAGCGAACCATTATTCAAGCTTGTGGTTGATACAAGAACCGCTTGTCCGTTTCGTGCTCGACACAAGTACAAGGCCTTGATCACAGTCGCAACCTATAGTGCTGATGAAACACGAGCCGTCTGATTGTTTTGGCTGACTGATCTTATTTGTGCTGCGGTACCTGGCATAACGGTTCACGGATGTTGCATTTACTGGATCTTATCAGAATTGTCGCCGCAAATAGCGGCATGATGGTTGCATCGTCATGGTAACTGTGCAATTGGAAGAGTATTCTCATGCGTGAGAACTGTTTCAATGGCCAAATTGATTTCTCGCCCCCTATTATGAGCACGAGAGTGCCTGACTGACATCTTTCTCTGAAACAGATTCAGCACGCGTACTGAGGCCCGCATCAACGATGTATGATCTTGATCCACCGGAAGAAGGGCAACTGCAATTGAAGCGGTACAACGTATTGTGCAGCACATTCCCGCTTTGGCCGTGACAAATGCAAGTTTGACTCGATATTGCACTACGACGAGCGCCCCGGGTCCGCACGGCGCACATAGATGAGACTCGAGTGACTGTCACTGTACCCATCTTGCAGACATCTCACTACGTCTATTTCTTATCTGCTGTATACTGCCATGTCAGTCGAGCGGTCTGAACGGTCTCACAGCTCGTCTTTTGCTTCTGACAAGCCCGCCTGAATGAACCACCACGATACGCCACACTGAATGGAAGCCTTGCGAATTATGCATAATCATCTGGGCCGTGACTTCTCACGAAAAGACTGACAAGAAAAGCTGGGCAACCCTCCGACAGTGCCTTGGAGCCAGAGATAATGCTGTTGAAGGTGCGAAGCTATCAGCTTCAGTCTTCAGGTGTCAACAACCTTGGCGGTGCACTGTTCCTCGTTCTTTAGGCTAAAGGCCATCACAAGATTCAAATCCGAGAGGGATACCTGGATTTACTGCATCGCGAGACGTTTTTGCGGGGGAGGGGTGGGTTCATGCCACCAAGGAAGTTCTCCAGCAAGCTCAATTTTGATCTCATAATGGCAGCTTTGCAAGTATCCACAACTTCAGAATGTTCAATCTTCGAGATACACGTGCATCAGGAAAACTCAACTCGGATTGTGGCTCGAGAACCTCCTTTTTGACTCCCTTGTGCATGCTAAGTCTGCCGCATAAATCTCTACGTCTAGTCATGTACTTTGATGAGGACCACTTGTTGATGCAGCACAGCGCTAGAAGTAGTGGAATGCCCTCTCGTCACGCTCGCTATAATGCCCCAGTGGTATCAACCACCTAGCAGCCCTTCCTCTTTCCGTCACTATAATGCCGTCAGCAACTTCACAACTTCACGGATTATCTGCTGCAAAGATGTGTGTTCCCTCAATGCAAGGCTAGCGTGAAAACCAGGATGATCTCCAAGTACTGATTACTGAAATGCGTTTTGAGCTCCGTCTTCGAAACAGACTTATGATCCCTCCAGGCGGGGTGACGTTGACGGAGGCATGCGAGCTGGGATGATCCGTGTACTGTACATTGCTTTACCCCCCCTCTATTGACCACTCCAATTGCTAATGTGTGCATCTATGTGATTCTTGAAGGCACATTCTATATTCAGAAAATCAACGCTGCGGTGTGCCAGGGATGTAAATAATATTTCTCCCTTGGACATCGAATGAATCTCACGAGTGTGTTGTCATATATCCGAGCTGCATGATGATTGAATATTGAGACTATTTACTTTCGTCATTCCAGTAGACGTTGGAACGAACCAAGTACGTACTAATCTATACGCGTGTCGATTTTAATCGAACGCGAACGTGGCTCATTCCCGACAGGTCATGTGGTCGCTTCTGACGCATCTCATTCGTTCTCCTCGCTCTGTTTTGTACGTTAACCAGCTGCTTCCGAGGCAGAATAGTCCGGACCCTCTGAATATGAGAAGGTGAGGCCGTCCCATGCGACCCGTGGATTTTCGAAGCTTAGCACCTGGACCAGCCAGCAGCACGACAAGTCGATTTTTTGTCGAAGCCGGTCTAGGAAAGTGCTGATATGAAACCCATCTGATTGGACGGAAGAGCCTTAGTTCCAAGTCTACATGAGCATCGAGCGTAAAGTAAACACGCGGGAGCCATGTTTGCGATCGATACCCGGACGACATCGATCAATCCATCGTAGGGACAAAGCGAGATTTTGCTCCCTACTCGGTCTATCCTGACGTAGCGTCTAGCGAGGTGTGTGCAAAGTCTATTCTTCATGAGCGCCGGCGGCGAAGCCGTCCATCACGCAGGTGCTCGCCATAATGTATCGGAGGATCCCACGCACATTCATCGGAGGCGACGACACTGCGCGGCAGCAACGTGGGTCGCGCCTTGAAGTTGCGAAGGCAGTGCAAAATGTCGAGCCGGAGGGTGTTTCTCAGCGTCCCGGAGTGTCAGACGCCTTTTCGTAACCAAGGATCCAGGGGCGCAAGCTGCGGGACCGTGCCATCGCCAATGTCCGAATCGCACGGAGCGGCCGATGGCAGCATGCAGAAGTCTACGAAATTTTTGCGAGGCGCTGGTGGACATTGCGTTGACCGACGAATGCGCTGGTGGCCACCGCAATGGGCGGGGCAGGCTGTGCGCGGAGGTCATGCACGTGACGGGAGGGAACGATTGGTGGCGCAGGGTCTGGTACGCGGTGCCCCTTTCGACCCGCACAGCGCAGCCAAATCGTCGTCTCCCACAATTTCGGATTTCATTTCATGGCGATTGGCCGACCAATCTGGAGCGTCTTCAGCGAGAGGCTCAGCCCACCCAATCCACGCCACGGTCGAGGCCTGCGTCAGCGGCCGCTCTCCTCGAGCGCGCCGTCCCCATCGAATGCCGTCACCTCGGTTGCCTTCTGACTCATAGATCTTCCGAAATCCTTGCTCCAGCCCTATAAAGCCGCACTGTCAACATGCAGCGCCACGCAGCTCCCTGTCCGTTGGGAACTATCTACTAAGCTGCTCTCTAACCTCTTTCCAATCACTTGATCTCATGGCCACATACTCCCCTCATTACGCTTCTGGAAGCACGCCCTCGTATCCGTTCCCGTCATATCCTTCCAACCAAGCTGCTCCCTGGAGCGCCACTCCCGCTGATGTCGACGCGTACTCGACCGCGCTTTACGATTCGAACACGGCACAAAAGAAACTCGTCGAGACTCTAGCCCAGCGGCGCCAGCGCGTCGACTTTCTGCGACGCAGAGAGTGGACGCGCAGGATCGCAGAATGGCTCGAGCATTCCGCCACCGCCGACGCAAAGGTCCGTCTACAGCTTCCATTTCCCCCTCCGGCGCGTTCGGCTGACACGCTTATCCAGGATATTGCACCGATCACCCACTCGTGGGTCGACATTCTTGCCGCTGCCGACGCAGTGGATGACTACGACGAGATGACCGCCAACCCATATACCCCCGAAGAGCCGAGCTACCCGGAGCCATACATCATTTACACTGCCTCCCCTCGCCCGGGCCCGGCCCCCAGCATGGATACCAATACCCCCAACCAAAAGCATACCCAAGCGCCCTCTCACGACCTCTCCCGCGCTGCACCGCGACGCCAGCGTTCGTTCCGGCAGCCTCGCTCCCGCCACTCCTCGCTATCCTCGATTTCCGAGGAGGACGAGGCGCATCATTGGTTCTGACGGGCCAGTGATACACATCTCGCTCCCCGTCCCGCTCTCGTTCCGCATTCGACCGCTGGCGTGCGCAGCGGACGTCCACGTCCGCCTCTCATCTGTTGTATAAACGTAATCTTGCTAGGCTCCCCGCTGAGACCGGCAGGCATTCGCAGCGTGTACTACTAGTCCTACCTTATCTATCTCCTGTAATCGCTGTACAGCTAATCCATACCATGTGCTGCGTACCAACTAGACTCCCCCCATCTTGAGTGTACAATGTAATCCTCGCCATGTAGACTCCCAAATATGTCCACCATGATCCCACGAGCCCGAATACAGAAAAAAACCCCATTCCATTGAGATGAGTAACATGGCGACACATGAGCAGAGGAAATTGCAGCACTATTAACACGTAGGGAGAAGCGCGGCGGTGGTATACTATGCAAGGTATCTGTCCCGGGATATACAGTTCGAGAGGAGACTGGCATCATAAATCGTCTACACGGTGCCGGCAGGCAGGGCGGGCACGGGAGGAATCGCGGACAGCGACTGCTGCATCTGGCGTGGCCGCTGTGCTTTCCGCCTCTCCTTCTCCTGCTCGCGCGCTTCGCGTTCCGCCTGCATGCTCGTCATGGCCTGCATCTGCTGTGAGATGAAGTCGGACGAGCCGGGCCTACACGAACAGACAAGGGCGTGCAAATCAGCGGGCGCGCCCATGCACGCGCAGATACAAAAAGAGACGTACCGCATACGGAGAATCCGCAGGATGGTCTCACCGTTGTTGACCTCCTTCTCCTGCTGCTTCTCCTTCTTGCGGTTCTTGATCGTGCCCAGGTTGCGCTGCTGGTAGACGCTCTTGGCCCGCTTCTTCAACCCCGGCGACGCGCGGAGGGTCTGCTGCATCATCCGCACGCACTCCTCCATCAGAGCATCGCTGTCAGGGGACTGTTGAGTAGCGCATTTCAATTTTGCAATTGCCGACACTCACGTATGCCAGTCATAGTAAAGTCGAATAGAGAGCACATCTCGGTACTTCTGGTTCTGGAGCGCCTCGAGGGGCACTGGACCTTCTCCGCCGGCGTAGAAGTAGTCTCTCAGGAACTAACAGACGTCATCGTCAGCTATACCGCCAAACTACCGGCCACCGACTTACCTTGAGCCACTTGAACACAATGTCGACCTCCTTGTCGCTCAACGGCTTCGATTCGCTCGGTTTATCGGATAGTGGCGGGATGAGCAGACCCTCGATCACGTTCAGGATCTCCTTCCACACTCTCGTCATGACCATCTCCTTCGTCGTCTCGCTGAGGTACGTGTTGAATGTCGGCAGGATTGCATCAAGGTAGTCAAACAGCGGCAAGATGGCCTGTTCTATCTCCACGTCTGAGAGTGCCTCTGGCCGGATGCGCGGCTTCTCCGACTGCGGCAGCGGGATCTGCACTTCTGAGTTGTTCGACCCAAGTGCCTGGCCAAACAGCGCAGTCACATTGCCCAAGGCCTTATTGTAATCGATACTACCGAAATTGGTCTTCGTAAGCGTCTTGAGGATTGTTCGCGACAGACATTGTCGGATGAACGGCGAGACCTAGACAAGCACGTTCAGCATGCGACACTGTTGCCTTGCCGTGAATTGACTGACCTTGTCAATGAAGACGCGGACCATATCGCTTTCCGCACGTTTCAAAGAACGGAACGCACGACCGAAGTAGAACTGCAGATCATCCTTCTCACCCTCCATACTGATACGGATGAGTATCCGACCCTGCGAATCCAAGTCCATCCATTGGTCATGCGTGAGGAAGTCGCCGTAGCGGCGTGGGTCAAGGCAAATGTAGGCTCGGCCCACTGTGTCATGCTTGCCAATCAGCGCGCGGTCGCGGACGCTGACCATCAGCCAGAGCGGCTTCTCAACTGAGATATCATACGTTTCATCCCCTGGTTACAGATGGCAGATGAGGTCGAGCATAGCAGAGAGCGCGCCACATGCACTTACATCGCGGGTTCAGCGTCTCATAGATCGTCCGTGTCTTAGCCAGCCGGTTGCCCTGCTCATCGCTGAGCGTCACGAACGTGTCCAGCCTCGAAGACGGACTACTATCGAGAGGCACCAGGCCCTCCGCAATGACGATTTTCACCGTGAATAGGAAGCGATTCGTGCGTTCGGTCTTCTCCGGCACCGGCGGCGCGTTCTGCAGGATCTCTGTCTTCTTATCCGCCTGCATCTGGGCGTACATGTTATCCAGCAGTCGACGAGCGGCCTCGACGTTGTTGAGCTTCACACACGACTCTGGCTGGAACGTGAACGGCTCCACTTTCTTCTCGCCCGGAGTCGCCAACTGCTTGGCTTTCTCAAGCCACGCAGAGGATTTTTGAGGCTGAATGTAATCAGTGGGCCGTGGGAACATTTCTGCCATGAACATCTCCTCGACACTGCGGCAATATTGCTCGATTGCCTTGCTGATTGTCTGTGCAATCGTGAGACAACTCATTCATAGCGGATGATCAAAAAAACCCTAACCTTGGACAGACTTGTGTAGAACCTCGCTTCCTGATATTCATCGGCCCATTCGAGGTCCTCGAGGAAGGTAATTGGGCTTCGTAAAGAATCGAACAGATCGATAATCGATGAACTGTGTCCTTCCGTACCTTCAGGTTGGAACTATACCAAGTATTTAGCAAACATGAGTACCAGGTCCGTTGTATTACGTACTTTATCAGCAGCAATGGCCTGAGTGAAAATCCCTTCAGCGCACGCTCAAGGACATCACAGAAGACGTACTCACTGCCTGCACCCATTGCGTAGTCTTGTTGTCCGTATTGAGGAGCCATTGCCGCACATATGGCTCGAAGAATCCGCCCAGGTCGAATTGAATCTCGCCGCTACAGCAGGGGTCAGCAGTCTACACGCCAGCCAATACAACCTCGACAAACTTTGGACAAAACGCTTTGTACATTCCCAGCAATATCTTCGTTCGTCGATAGAGAACAAATATGTCTTGAATTGGCACGTCAGGTGTAGGACCATTCATCGCGTCGGCGAACAGTCTCTTTCGCGAATCGTCCAAGTCCAATATAAAATGCGGTATCTGGACCTCCACAACCAGCGAAACGATGTCCAATTGCCTGTCACGAACAACGTCAGCACGTCCTTGTTCCATTAAATGTGTCATTCACAGCACACATACCCGAGAAGGGGCTCTGGGAACCTCTTGTCTAGCTGTTTCGCAGCCTTCTCGATCTCATCAGTCATCAGCAGGTGAGGGAGCGCCTTATTCACTCCCGGCGCCGACTGCAGCTCACGACTCTTCTGATCATAATGCCGCGCGGCCGCTGCGCGTACCTGACTCTGCACATCAGCAAGGCGGGCAGCGACATCGACGTCATACTGCTCGAGTAGGCCACTCTCCCGTACGGATTCGAGGATTTGAACGTAGGGAGAAATGTCAGATGGTTTCAGATTCGGGATTGCCTCCATTGCGTGATAGAGGTATGATAAGAAGATGCTGAATAGGCTGCCGTATACTTGTGCCAAATATTCACGCTACGTTCAAACATTTTAGCTAGATTCTTGCATGGGTCTTGCACGAAGCTACGCACATCCTGTATTGGCCATTTCTCCAGCTCGACCTCCATTATTACCTTCTGGACATTCTGCAGCGCCTCGGGTATGCACTCGAGCGGGACCTCATTCCGTTCGTAGAACTGCTTCACAAGGTCCAAGAAGCACACCGCACGGTACGGCTGGCCGATCCGCCAGCGCAGCGCACACTCGTTGATAAGCTCTATATGCGGCGGGGAGAGGATGCCGAGCGAGACCTCATCGTCGTCGCCGACCGCAGGACTCAGCATCGCCTCGAGGTCCGCAATCAAGCAATACTCCAGCAACCGCTTGTAGTATTTGCGCGAATTCGGCGGGATGAACGTGTAGTTCGGGGTGACCGGGGCCTCCTCGTCGTCGTCACCGTCACCGTCACCGTGGAGCTCCTCCTTGATCGTGCCGAAGTCATCATACGAGACGCTGTTCGTGCGCACCATCGAATGGCGGCTACTGATCGACCCATGCCGGGAGGAGGAGATAGCATAGAATGAATCTGGCCGTGATGACCGCAGGGAGTAGATGGATCCTGGCCGACCATTCACGTTGGATGAGGATGGAGCGTCGGCCGGGGGTGATTTGGCGAGTTCCGGATTGCGTTGGACCATCGCGACCATGAGCTGCGAGAGGTGGGATGTCTCGAGCGTCTTCCAGTAGTGCCAGGCAGCATCGTTCTCGAAGTCTTCCCGGCGGCCAGGAAACTGTGTGCCAGCATTGATGTTTTTCAAGAGCGTCTGGTAGAGACCGTTGTATTTAGCTATCGCATGCACCACGTGAGATAGTGCGACATGCCTTCAAGTCTGCCAGAGCAGCCTTGAATGAATGTATGATTAATGATCTAGAGTCGACAGTGTAGGAGCCTACCTTTTCTGTACAAACCCTTCCTAGCTCTTCAATCTCCTTTTGCACGGCAGAATCAGGGAGTTTGAACAGCCGGGCGGCGGTGACCACTAATGGCATCCCAGAGAGGTTTTGACTGTTACGTTTAGTCGACAATGAGCTCATTGAGTCGCGATCTCGTGATGTAGAGGATGAGTCGTATCCCGAGTCACTCGCAGTTTGCGATGGAGCGAGCTTTTCAGTGTACATATCCAGTCGGGCGGTCAGCTCTGGAGGAACATGACTGACATGTCGCAGACACTCTCGAAGCAGACGGATGAACTGAGCAATGTGATTGTTAAGTTCAACCTTCCAGCCATCACCTGCTAGCGTAGGCTCCTTCTTGAGAATATTAGTGGCATTCGTTGCGAACATGAGAATAAGCTCCTCGATCTTGCGGTTCTCCTTCATTTGACGTCGGAAAGTCTCGTCCTTGACTTGACCATAAAAAACGGCCATCGTTCTTCGTATTAGCTGGTCAGAATACCTATAGCGGGATGGTTGAGAGTCGACACCATTGAGACAAGGTTTACCACATACGCCGCATTCTTGCCCATCGCAATGTCCTGCAGCATCTGCTCGAGCACCTTTAAGAGGTCCTTCGGGAACCTCACACCCTTCTCTCCATCTCTGAAAAGATCCCCGATCGAGAAGATGGAACTCGAGAGTGCTCCTGAGATTCTGAAAGAGTAGTCCTTAGTCTCCGCTTCCGGCGTGGTGTCCGGGACCTTCGGTTGCATATGGTAGGTCAGCAACCTGTAGCAACAAATTGAGGCATCCTCGAACATACAGCAGCGGTAGACTTACCCGACCCGGAGAGTGAAACTTTGAACGTTTTGTGTCAGACATGTTGTAACACACGAGCAGTATCGCGACGTACTTCATGAGCTCCTCGTCCGACACCCGGAATTTGGAGATGCGCCTTTCATGCATGGAGCTCGCATAACTAGTCCGCCTGGACATTTTGCTTCAATCGCAACTTGATACAGGGCAAGCTTCGTTCAAAGCAGCAGAGGGTGTCACCGGCACGAGGATCCTAGATACCGATTACAAGAAAGTAGATAATCGTCAAAGCAGCTTCTGTGTTGCCAGCAGCGGAGGTCGTCAAGGATAGAGGCAGAAGGCGGTAGCAGCTGCAGGATAGAGGACAGCTGCAGGCCTGCTGCCCAAAGAAATTGAAGACTAAGAGAGAAGGGCGCAGCGGAGAGTCGAGTTCGCGTGGCGGCTTTAGCTAGTATCAATCAAGATATTCACGGCCTCTGTCTCCCGCAGCCGTCATGTTGATTTGCGTAACTCAACCTCTCGCTCATTTGGACGGATATGCAGCATAATTACTATGACAACCGTATGCTATGCTCAAACAGGTCCTCAACGCAACGATGTCCTCGGAAAACATAAGTCCGCAAATAATTCTCGCGAGGCGTGTTACTGCCAAGGACATCCAGGTTCGCTCAGTTTGCAGAGTGCCCATCACCACATTGTGTTGCAAGGAATCCTACGAGTGTTCGACCAATGTAAGTGCCTCGTGTCACAACAGGTGAGGCAGGTTTCCTCAGAAATGCTGTATTGCGATCATACTATGGTCGAACACGTCGCTGGAAACGTTCAAGTCCAGGGCATATGCGACAGTCAGATGTGAGTTGTCCTTTCTGTGTAAATTTGATTGATACCCGGTCAATGGCACAGAGATACCCACAGTGATGAGCCATGATGCATGACGGCACACAACTTAGAAACAGGTGTCTTCCTCGCATGAAGGCTGAATATTGAATGTTATGAGTGCAATTCTAAAAACTCGGACTCCACTGCCCGTCGCCTTTTCCTGGTTACAGCATCCTTGAGATTGTGCGCTGTTTCATGTCGTTGCCATCTTTTCCCTGCAGAGGTGGTAGGAACGAGAGGTAAGCCAACCAGGTGTGACTTTGAGAGTTTGTTCGTGGTTCTATATGACTGAGACTCTGAGTGCAATGTTTACTAGCATCCAGTGCCCACACTAAGTGATGCCAGCCGCAAACGATGTGTTCATCAACATATCTGCTGAACATCGTCAGCGGCCGGGACAGCCATGTCTTCCATGTCTCTCAAAACGCACATGCAAGCGAGTTTTATCCTATGTGAACTTGTGGCCGGGTATTATAGCTGTAGATGTTACGGATGTCACTTTCATGACTAATTGTGCCAAGTCAGTCAATGATTACTGAAGTCGGAGATCATCATGCAGGTCCGAGTTCCACTCAAAGTAGCTGGTTATGCATCGAGAGTTAAAGTCAAGTCCACAGAATAACAAGCAGATGTTCACATCTCAAATCTCGCGCAGCTTGCAACGGACTTCATAAAGTATTCGAATGCGAGGCATCGGTAAGAGAGATCACACGAAAACATCGCTTCCGCCAGTTCTCAGCGCTATCGAGACCAAGTGAAACAGTGAATTTGATTTCTCGACGCACCGCTGTGGCAAAGGACAGACACTGCATCATGGTCGGATAACAATCTCACTTTGAAAGAATGCGGATGAGATTGCTACGAAGTGTGCAATCAATAGCGACAATACAATCACAGCAGAGATAAATGAGGACATCATGCCTAAGCCGCCACAGGTGAGGAGGTCGTCCAGCCCCATTAGACATCTATCTTCCCTGCTATGCTTTCTACTGCGTCTTTGAGCTTGTGTGCCGCGCGCACGACGCTATCATTCTCGTCCTCAGCACATTCGGCGATGAATGTCGTTGTCTCCGCAACGAAACCTACGGACACGAAGTGAGAAAATGCTTTGCAAGTAAAGCGTATATATGCACCTAGCAGTTTTCCACCGTGGGCCTTCCACAACGCCTCGCTGCACTCAAGGCTGTAAATACGCAATCTGGAGTTTTCCGAGCGGCTATGCATCAAAACATCGAGGTTCATGGACTTGAGCAACGTGTCGTCATTGACCGCCTCCATTGTCGCGACCAAGCAGTCAGACAGCACAGCCTTGTCCTCGCTCGCATGCAATCGCATGCAAACGGGTGCCTGCTTGACGACAACAGGAACTAGCTGTTGAAGTTTGTCATTCCGCCAGAACGCTGGAATGCACTATCAGCGACAAGTCGAGAAGCAGCTCATAATGGAAAATTATATACCTCCTTCATCGTACGACAGTGTCTTGGTCAATGTTACGAGCACTGAGGACCAGACGATGGCATCATTGACATCAGCAGTGATGAACCTATTCAGTAATTCCAGAAACGATTGCCACAGGAATGACATGTACGGGATCATCAAAGTCTAATGTGATCATGTTAGGTTGCGTGAAGGAGATGCGACGAGTACCTCTAACCTTGAAATAATCCAACAATGCGTCATACACATGGCAGAACGTCACGACGCGCATTGTACTCTGTCCATCTAAAAGAAAAGATGAAGCTAAAATTGGGTATCCTCCTGCGGATCAAACCTACCCTTGCCGTGGATGAACGCCCAATCCGACAACTTTCGGAAGAGCGGCCTGAAAGCAGTCTCGTTGAGCTTCACCACAAGCTCCAGGAACGATGCAATAAGCTCATGTTCGATCTGCGGAAGTGTCAGCGACGCGACGTTGGTGACACCGAAGGGACCGACTTGTCGCTTCTCATCCTTCGCGCTCAACTCTAATGCATCTTGATATGTCGAGAAAATCGGACGCAAGTGCTCCAAGACAACAGGACGACCCGCCGTCCGTAGGGCTCGTTTCATGACATGGAAATATCCCGAGTATATGGACATGTTGCTCTGTCGCTCCGTCAGTAGAACTCCAGCAAGGAGACGGATTAGGGGATTCTCACTGTCTGCCCGCTGGGCTGCAATGATGTCCACATCTTGCAAAGAGTCTCGAGCAAAGTCTTTGACGGGATGCGTTTTGCCAGTGTCCTCACGACAGGCGCTGCCATGCTTGATTTTTCATCGGATCCACACAATTCGAGGAATAGCTGGACGACTTGGGTAAGCTCCTTCTCACCCCAGAACGTGGGGACTGTCGTGAGCAAGATCTGCATAACGCTAAATGCTGCCTTGACAGAATCTGCTGCTACTGCCAATGGGGCTTTTAGGTATGTGATGTCCGACGAAATGTAGGACACGTCCGAACCTTCGGTTCCCTCATTGTGTCCACGTATAAAGATGACACATTCTTGTACAACAGGCTTGATATGAGGAATCATGCGCGGTCCCAGCTTTGAACTGCAGAGATATTAGCATGAAACCTAAATGCATTCATGATGTTCTCACCAGAGCGCAAGAAGCGCCGCAAGGGCAGCCTCAGCAGCATTCTCGTTGGCAATGGAAGCAAGTACAAGCGGAACAGCCGCGGTAAGAGAATTTTCTTCTCCTTGACACAACGTATCGCCGATACTGCGCAGCGCGTGCAATGCCGCGTTGTTCAATGAGTCTTCTGGCTTCGACACGAGGATGTCGCGGATGTGGCCAACGAGTTTCGTGACGGTCGGTGTGAGCTCTTGTCGAGCGCGATCTGCTACGGCAGGAAGACGTTCTGCTAGGAGCTCCAGAGCACCCATTTGAACCTATCCGCAATCTCAGAGACTGTATGATGATTTCTCGCAGCCTATTCACCTTGATATTTGTCGACCTGATCATTGCAAGAATACCCAATATAAACTCTGTGGCAGACACTACCCGTAGTGTGCTGACCATAGCATCTCGAGCAGCCGAAGTGACTCCCTTCAGACGACCGTCAGGATCTTCAAGCACGGCAATGCTCAACAGCAGAGAAAGAGTTTCTGAGCTTGATGCACGTTCCTGATGTCCCTTCGGCGAAGAGATCACAGGGATCTCCCTCATTGCTCGATCACAAAAAATGAGCAGCGCAATAGAACGTTGTCTCCACATTGGATATTGCGTTCCTGTTTCGTCGTCGCTGCAAGTAACTCATCAAGTTAGACCGTAGGTCGGAGAAGTGGTGAACTGCCCACCTAGGCAGCGAAAGGAATGTCGAAGCATTTGCGTCAGCTCTCCTGTTCAACAGGCGCTTCACTTCGTGCAGCATTTCAGTAATAACCTGCAAAGTATATGAATGAGGAGTGTGAACGGAAATGAGCGGTACCCATACCATCAGACGCTGTTGTGTTGGGTAGTGCTGCAACACAGTGATCGGGAGTGCCAGTGACGCTCGGCCATCTTCGTCGTTCTGTCTTGTGACGCGCTTGCATACCTTGTCCACTAGGAGCATGCTCACGGGAGCCATAAACTCAGGTCCCAACACATCAACGAGATGTGTGAAGAACCTACGGCAAGATGAGACATACTTCGGCACAGGATCTCAACACTTACTTCGTCCGTCTGTGACGAGGAATGTGATTTTGCGCATCCGTAAATATGCGGAGGAAGTCCCTTGCTGCGATGATGAGATCGAGATGATCAGAATGAGCGGCCTTCAACGATGAGATCATAACAGGCACGATGCTCTCAATGGTCTGAGAATAATGTCAGCAGATTGCAAGAAATGATTGCTTTGAAAGGGGAAAGTGCTTACTTTCTGAACAACCCTAAAGCTATACGCATCATCTCGATGGAAGACATTTGTTCCCATGAGCGTGAAGACAGGCGTGATGTTGTGAAGGACCGCCTCGGGTGCTAAACGCGCCAGCCCAGCTATCAGCAACAGAGCTTGATGGAATGTCTGCAGATTATTGGCTCCTAAATGGCTTTTTCAGAAGCTATAATCACATTTGCAACACATGCACGGCACCTCTAATCAATTCGATTAGTATATCAACTCGGATGATGCCCGGATGAAGTTTTGTTGTGTCCTGCATAGATTGTGAAATCAGAAAATTCCCCACGGAGGCAGCACGCACTTTGATATTGCTAAGTGCACTGTCCACTGCATTCATGACAAGTTGTTCAGTGTAGCCTCTATCTGCTGGATTTGACGATGCATCATGTGAGACCCTTTTCAAGGTCTCCAGAAGACATGCAACCAGGTCGAGGGAACCGGGCAGCGGCTTCGAGCCCAAAATCTCCATTAAAAGGGTCAGTGAAAATAGCTTGCCCTCGGCACTTTCGTTCGGCCCACTGAATTCGCGACTTTGTAGGTTATGATTGCTAGGATGATATATTGCCACACTCACTTCTCGAGCCTCGCGCGTTTGCTGGCACGGTTGGGAACGTCTTCAACGCTGGGCCGATAGAGAACGAGGATGCTGGAGATTACGGCAACGTCCGTGAGAACGCTGCTAAGTAGCTGCTTGCAATCCGGCATCTGCAAAATAGAAATGATGAGAGACAGGACTGATATAGCGTGCAACGCTCTAACACCCACCGCACTAGCGTCATTGACACTGATATCGATTAAGATGTCGCACAAGTCAACCTTACGCTCCGACGACAACTTCGTGAACAACCCGTGTTCTAGCTGGTAAGCAAGGGTCCTTCTCGCAGCTGACAGAGAAGCTAAATAGGACATCAGCATCTTACACAAGCCACGCCGACAGGATTATATACGAACTATTCCCGAAGCAAGACCTCAACAGTTTCTCGAACGTTGGCCATGTTGACTTGCTCGCGTCATTCAAGTCAGCAGCACCTGAGGCATCGAAGGAGGATGCAAGGTGCGCAATGAGTTCTTGCGAAGACGCATCGATGCTTGTGGCACTGTCGACATTGTCTATTGCGGTCTCTATGGAGGGTAGCAGAATTTGACATTTCACTTCGCTCGACGTCGTCTCCAGGCTTTGCAAAAGATGTAACTTGATGTACGCAAGCTGGCAGGCGTTCACATGCGACAACAAGTAGCAAACTATCCTCTGTTTGAACCTTAGGTCACGCAGTGAGAACATATACCCGTGTCTGAAGAATGAGCTCACCCCTTCAATTTCTTCTTTTCGTTTTTGCCGCTTGAAAGGTACTCCTGATGGAACACACGCATATAGCCTGCATCGTGTAGGAAATGTTTCCCAAACGATCCCAAAGCGCTAATGTACTTGCAAAAATCCTCCCAGTCGACATATTGTAGCAAGTCTATGTACAGAAAGCCCATCAGTACAAGCGATACGGGATCTGATTATACATACGTGATGTTTGCCCGTAAATCGTGTCGTACGCATATATGGACGAAACCTCCTTGGCCTGTGCGAGTTTGGCCAGGATCGCCACACACTCAAGAGCCGCCTCTCTTACGCGAAGTTCTGCATCTTGCAGAGCTACTAAGATGGAAGGCAATATCGTTTGGAAGTCAATATAATGTTCTGTGGCACAGTGAGCCTCCAAGAACGCTACAGCATGATACAAGGCTGCCACGCGGACGTGCATGCTGCCATTGTCTCCTTTCACAGATGGTGACGTCCATACGCCGGCAAGGAATACCAGAGCGTCGTCTGCCAGATTCATAAACAGAGCGCGGAGGAGGTTCGTCGACAAAAGGGGTAGTGACGCCGTAGAATTGCTCAGATAATAAACCGCGCGCATGAGATGGACGTAACGGATTCCCCGCGTATCTGCATGGGCTTCAACAGACTGCGGCTGTGAGGATGGGTCAGTTCTGTGCACTGAATTCCCTTCAAGGTACCTACGTCATGAGGTGCGAGCCAGTCCGGCTTGATGCCATCGGGACGCGGTGTGACCGGCAACATTGTGAGTATGGCAGTCTGCAGTCTCTGCAGCGTGTGTTCACTATTCGGCTTTAATACCACAGCAGTCCCTAAGCTCATATCATGCAGAAACTACATCAAGAAATGCATGAGACATCAAAGACGTCCGCGTTACAGCTTACTCACTGTCAGAAGATTGTCGACACCTCGCATGAAGTCGCTCATGCCCTCGAGAGTTTTGAGCTGCATGGCCTGCAGCATTTGCAGAGCGGCATTAAGCTGATGTTCCCCAGACAAACGAATAAGCAGAGCTCTTGCGACGAGGTAGCCTAGTGCACGTGAGCGGGGATTGTTATCTCTCAACTTCGCCAGTAGCAGCTGGAACTGCTGCGAGTAGCGGTCTGACGCCAATATGTTCTCTACACGCGAAACGTCCGTGAATGGAAAGCGTGGGCAGAGTGGGACAAAGTCGACTCACCAGCCATCTTAACTGCCAGAGCAAGGTCGATCCTCGTCAGCAGCTCAGTGCTGTCTTCTTGACCCTCCGACCGATGTTCCTGTTCCCATCGTATAACATCGACGCACCCGCACAATAGCTCATACCTGCCGATACCAGTGACATCATGGACGTCTTTCTCCTTAGCCTCGAGGATGTCCCATGCCAGAGAAGCGCTCTTCTGCTTCGCTTTGGAGAACAGGAGATAAGGGAAGAATAATTCGTGCACAATATGATCCGCCAAGGATGCATCCTTCTCATTTAGTGGCGTAAATATATGATTCGCTAGGAAGGCGAGATGAAGGAGAGTGGCGTTCCGCGGGATCGATATCGTGGCCGAATGAAGCACCTCGGATAGCGCCGAGATGTAACCAGCAGCATCCTCAAGCAGAACAGGCACAAGCTCTGTCGGTTCAGCATACAGAGCTTCGAGGACTGATGCATCGGTATCGAGTATCCGAGCTCGTAGAGCAGCTTTTGCAGCGGCCTACGGACAATGCTTGTCAGCAACACGACAGCAGAGTTCAATTGGATGATTGTACTCACAGCGTCCTCAGAAGAAGTGGACCCATCGGACAAGGTACTGTATAGGTTTCGCACGGCAATTGCACGGACGTAAGCATCGGCACTGACGGATGCAACAATCTTGTCAAGGCGATTCTTCCCGCTTGAGCCAGGCAGAGACTGCGAAGATTTCAGACCATGTGCAACCTAGATAGACTGATGCATACGTACCATCGACAGAGATATCGCAAGTTGTTCGATGACCTCCCGCTTGCCTTCGTCCTGCTTAAGTGCTTCCTCGCACGCCTGTTGCACGACCTCCGCATGACGCTGTTTCAATTGTGACAACAGGCTCCGCGCAGTGAGGACGTCCGGGGCTGCTGGGTCCTCAGCATTAATCAAGTCTCTCAGCAGCAATTCCGCTGCATGGCGACTGATGCTATTTGGCAATTCTGTGAGTGCGAGTGTCGATGTGAGTAGATCAACAGCAGGCTCTCTGGAGAGTCTAGGATTGCATGAGAGACATGAGAGACATAGAAACCAGGCAGGCGATGAAACGACATACTGTGAGACGAGTCCTGTTACTAATGGAAGTAACACTTTCTCCGATCCGACCCATGCTAGAGCTTCCCTCAACTCTGCAGGCATGTCACTGGTACAAAATGAGAACTAGCCTGGCAATTTGCGCAGAACAGAGACGTACGCTTTGTGTGTGAAAACTCTGAGTAGGGCCCGCGGGAACTTCTCTGAGACATCTTGCGGAGCGCAGATGCACAAAGTCGTTCTGATAAGCTGCTTCGCGGTAACATCCTTGCTACAGCCAGCCACCGCACTGAGAACAGCGTTGAGCGCCTTGGGACTCAGGTGGCATTTTTGAGAGATACCGGCCAGAATTAGAAGGATTCCGAGCTGCGAAAAGCCAGAGATCAACTATCGATGTGCAGTCAGATAGTGGGATTCGATCATACAATTGATTCTTGTCGAATAGCCTCTTTCGCCTTGGTAGTGGCCTCCAATACGAGTTGAAGCGGCTCCAGAGATGCCGTCAACAAAAATGCTACAGTTCCCTCGTCCAATATCTTGCTCTTTGCGACGAAATCAAGCAGAACGCCAGTATGAAAAGCGACCAGTGCCTTGTGCACACTGGGACCGTTCTCCTTCAAAGCAATGAGAAGCAGGCCAGAGATAAAGCGGGAGAGGTCCGAGTTCTTCAGCATCTCCGTGACGAGCGCGCTACGAGGCAATGCCTTGCCCGTAGTCTTGTATGCACTTAAGAAGCGGAACATAGACTGTTCCCTGATGAAAGGCGATGAGAAGCGTGATGACTGTAATAGCACTGGACGTACTGGATATGTAAGATGGTGACCATTTTTGCAAAATGAGGCGATTCGTGGTAGGGGAGGAACAACCTAATAACGTCTTCCACGTTGAACTCGTTGATTCTATACAATCGTCATGAGCTTTTGCAAACGTAGATTCGTGTATGAGAGGACAACCGAGAGCTATTCCGCTCTAACTGAAACCGTCCATCAAGAGGATCTGCATTAATGAGGCAACATACCTGAACCGTCTCACGAGCCACTCAATAACCTTTCCCGCCGGAGCATCCATCAAATACGGCCCTAGGAGCGGCAGGAATGAACTGATGCTCTCATTGAGCTGCGCATCGGCATCTACTGGTAGAAGCGTCCTGTCGGTAGCCTTCGCAGCATCTGAAAAAAGAGCCTGCTCGAATTGCCGGAACGATGGTTCTATAGACTTGAGCTGCAAGAAGCCATTGGACCCAAGGGAAAAGACAGTGTTCAAATCATATTTTTGAGCTTCCTTTGGAGAGAAAAGATATGATTCTGCTGTTTTGCGGCGCGTCCTGTCGACTAGTAGAGACGAATTAAGAGAGGCGCCTTGGGCAAGTTGTGCGGCCAGACTCGAAGCCATGGCAAGCCCAGTTGAGGAACGTTTTGATCTTTATGCAAGTACAGTCTTCCTAACTCACAGACAATTTTCGAGACAAGGGTATCGCGAGAAGATGCCGAGAGCTGAGAGCAGACACAAGGGAATTAGAATTATGGATTACATAAGCGAACAATCTAAGATCACCCTCGAGGTGGTCACATGATGCCCACGTCCATTCTATGGGCGCCTAATAAACGAAACGGTACTGGTCGACGTGTCCTCCCGAATTTATATCCCGCTAGACTAGATGCTCAACCTGCCATCCCGAAGATGATTTTGCTCCATCGCCTCTGTTTATTGTTCGCTCTGCTTGCTACAGTCTCAGAAAATGTACTTGCGTCCGTGTTGGCGATCGACTATGGCGCGGACTGGATCAAGGCTTCGCTCATGAAGCCCGGCGTTCCGTTCGACGTCTTGTTGAACAAGGACTCGAAGCGGAAGATTCAGTCGTCTGTGGGGTGGAAACAGAAAGATAGGCTGTTTGGCTCAGATGCGTTCGCTATTGTGAGTGATTGCGTTGAGCTTTGGGCATGTCAGATGGACAACTTGGTCTTGTAGGCAGGAAGATACCCCACGGACTCGTTCTCGTCACTGAAGTTTCTGCAAGCGGCCCCATATGCATCTGATGCGGTCTCCTTCTATACCTCAATCTCATCCGCAGACGTCGTCAAGACAGAGCGAGGGACAGTTGCGTTACGTCGCTCAGATGGCACGGAGTGGGCTGTCGAGGAATTAATTGCAATGCAGTTCGCATACGTTCGGCAGCTGGCCGAGGACGTTGCCGGAGAGAGAGTACTCGATGTTGTGGTCACCGTGCCACCATACTATACACAACACGAGCGCGAAGCCGTAATGGACGCCATCGAAATTGCCGGGATGCGCACGCTCGCGCTCGTGAACGACGGCACAGCAGTCGCAGTCAACTATGCCATGACGCGCACTTTCCTCACGCCCGAGTACCACGTCATCTACGACGCAGGCACGTCCGCCATTCGCGCGACCGTCGTGGGCTTCTCATCCGTCGCGGGCGACGCGAAGGGCAGCGTGCAGATCAATGTCGCCGGCCTCGGGTTCGACCGCACCATCGGCGGGACAGAGCTCGATCGTCGGTTGCGCGACATCATGATTGAGGATTTCCAGCGCAAGCACGACAAGGACATCCGCAGCGACAAACGTGCGATGACGAAGCTGTGGAAGGAAGCCGGCCGGATAAAGACGATTCTAAGCGCGAACGCAGACGCGATGGCGACGGTAAGGTATCAGCGTCAGTGGTGCGGCTGTTCGCGTGTTCACCGGATTTGGTGCAGGTCGAGAGCCTGGCCTTTGACATTGATTACCGGTCAAAGGTAACAAGAGCCGACTTTGAGATCGCTTGTACGGATCTGAAGGGAGAGTTCTCCCGGCCGATCTTTGATGCCCTTGCCCGCGCTGGCTTGACCTTGGTAGGCGATTACACACAATTACTGAGCTGTATGGCTGATCATCTACAGAACGATATTTCTTCTGTCATTTTGACCGGTGGAGCTTCGCGAACACCAATGATCCAGGCCGCGCTCAAGGCTGCCGTTGGAGAGTACGTGTTGCAGGTTCGTTAAAATCGAATGCCACGGCTAACACACAGCAGCAAAATCGCCATGAACGTCAATGCGGACGAGGCAGCCGTCATGGGCGCCGCTCTTCATGGTGCAGCACTCAGCAGGCAGTTCAGGACCAAGGACATCAAAGTGATCGACATCGCGCCTTACGACATCCAACTTTCGTACCCAGCGGAACCCAAGTCCCCGGACGTAAAGCCCCGGATGATCAACACCCTTGTCCTTCCCGTGGGTACGAATACTGGCGCTAAGAAGACGCTCACGTTTAAGCGCTCGGACGACTTCACCGTCAAGATGGCTTATAAAAGTCCACCTGCTCCGTATGTTCCAGATATGATTTTTCTCGAGGTGATCTCACAAGATGTCGTGCAGTGGATTACCGACGCAGCTAATGGAAGCCAAGCTTGTCGGCGTGTCTGAGGCCATCCGGAACCTCACGGAAGCTGGTGCAACAGATCCCGTGGTGAAGGCGACAGTCAGCTTCACTGAATCTGGTTTGAGCACCTTGAGTGACATCCTTGTGCACGGGGAGATTAAGGATGACTCCATCACTGGTATGCTGACACGCTGCTGTCACACTTGGAAAGCTCACCGATAGCGGCATTTAGGCAAACTAAAGGGATTCTTCGGCGGATCATCGTCCTCGTCCGAGGAGGTATCTGAGGGCGAGGAAGGGGTAGTCACTGAGGAGCAAGTACCTCTTGAAGTTCCTGCTCCGTCTACCTCATCCGAAAAGAAGGTAGTGCAGGATACTATCTTGTTGGATTATGAGGTGGGCACTCCTTCATTGCCACCGATGTCAGCGACAGAGAAGCGTAAGGCGCGCGGAAGGTGTGTTAGCAGCTCAAATGTTACGTGTGACTAGAGTGCTCATATTGTTATTCCTAGGCTGATAGCTGTGGACAACGAAGAAGCCACCAAACGTCGCAGGGAGGAAGCGCGAAACACTCTTGAGGGATACACGTATCGACTGCGCGATCTGTTGGAGGACAACAGTCCAACTTCTCCGTTTATGAAGTGCTCGCAAGAGGCAGAAAGGAAAAGAATCGCTGAGCAGCTGGAAGAGACATTCACTTGGCTCTCAGAAAATGGCGAGGATGCCGATACGAGGGACCTACTTGATAAGAGAGGCACACTAGAGTCAGTGGTTACGCTGAAGTTTATTATCAGCATTGTCACTGATTATACCGGCTATGCAGGAGTCTCGAGCACCCGATCATTCACAGATACACCGAGATCGAGAAGTTTCCTCACGCGCTGAATAACAGTCAGCTTTGGAACTGGCAGACACGTATCTTCCTCGGTGAGGCAAGAAAGAATCTGACCATTGCCGAGGACGGCGGGCCGCCATCGAAGTACACCTTAGAGGAACTCGAGGCGCTGGAGAAGACTCTGGCAGAGCATGAGACGTGGCTAGATGAATGGGTGGAGAAGCAAAAGTCAGTGAAGATGAACGAGGACCCGGTTATCCTAACGAGCGAGATGCGTGCGCGGGTGAAGCCGTTGCAGAACCATCTAGAGCGACTGCTTAAGAAGAAGGTGCCGCGGCCGACGAAGAAATCCGCATCATCGAGCACTGCGCAAGCATCGGAGACGAGTGCGGATGCTGAGGGAGAAGAGACTGAGGTTACGCAGACGACGGCATCGAGCAGCACGACGTCTGTACTTGCAGGGACGGATGTGCCTCATGATGAGCTGTAGAGTGATTATTAACGTCTCCGACAAATTCAATTTGAGCGCGGATAAATTATGTAATATATCACTCTGGAATTCGCATGAATCGAACGTTGTCGCAGATGCGCAGCGTCAATTGATGTTGCGGGGCCACAACGGTGTAATTGCCTGATATGGTACGCCCTCTCCTCAGTTTGGCAAGCTTAAGCCTTTCTCATTCCGTTTCTTATGTCTGCTTAAAAAAATCCGTGGAGGTTTACAACTATTCCTCGAGGATGACTTTCGTTCTTGCTTCGGACCACTCCTCAGCACTGGTCGATATCACCGCTATTTTCGAGCGGGCGACGTTGTACGGCTCTTGGCTGTTGGCACATGGTGGAAATGCATCGCTTTTGCCGAACCGTATCAGAATAAGCGTAGAAGCAGTGCTCGAATCGACATTACGCGGGGAACTTGCCCGGAATTGTATGCGTTAAAAGCACTCTGAAACACTTGACAGGATCCTGGGTAGGCTGAGTCAGTGGACATTTGAACTCCGCTGACCGTTAGCGCTTTCGGAGCGTGAACACTACAACACAGCGCCGCGAAACAAAGCGAGACAGCTAGTCGCTCATTTCATAGCGCTCCAGCGCGCGCGAGCTCATCGCCGACGACGATGGCAACAGCGTCCAGCAGCCGCCAGAACTCTCGCTTTTCCTCCTTCAACGTATTCAAGTTCTCCCCAAGCGCCAAGCCGCCCCCTCCACCGCCCAAGGACCCGCTCTACGCCTGCAATCCATCCCTTCCTTCGCTCAATCATTCCTTACCCCAGGACTTGTTAACTTCTCCGCAGCAGGCTCCTTTGTACTCCCAGTACTCCAAGTATCCTCGCAGCCCATCGCCATCTCCGTCGCACGCGCCGAGTCGCATGACCATGTCCACCACTTCATCCTCGTCTGCTGTATCTCCGGAACCTGCAGGACTCAGGAAGAGCCTTCAGAAACTGTCCAGCTTTGGACGGCGGCCAAAGACACCCAAGTCTCCAGAGACGGATCCTATGGACCTACAACCTCCCGAACCAGCGGACGATCCATCCATCTCGCTCCCGTGGAACTTCCAGGTACGATGCTCGCTTTCCAACAACCGCTTGTCTCACCAGCAGTCTACAGCATAACTTGCATGTCGACGAAAAGTGAGTTGGGATAGATTAGATATACGCAGCAGAGGTGCTGACTCGATCGAAGTTGCAACGGCATGCCGCCGACGTGGTCAGCACGACTCGCGGAAATGGGGCTAAACGAAGAGGAGATAGCCACAATACAGGCGCGTCGAGCGGCGACGCGGACGAATGTCAAGTCGATCTATTCTTTCAACAATGATCGTAACACAATACTTGCCAACAGTGACCGTAACACAATACTTGCCAGCAATCCACCGTCCGCGATTTATCGCGGGATGTCGGCCGCATCGATGTCTCAAACGTCGCTTTCATCCGGTACGTCTGCATCGCGCTCACACTATCGCAATTCGTCGCGTGCAGCATCCTCAACCTCAGAGCTGGTGACATCCGATGCGGAGAGCAGGTCTGCCGCGCGGTTCGCGCGCTCATTATCACCGCCAATGCGGCTGGTGCCTGTGCCTGTCTTAACGGAATCGTCGTCGTCGTCGAGTTCAGTTTCAGTTTCCACGAAGGATCCAGTTCCCAACACGCCCCCAAGGCGTGCGTACCACGTTGTGAACGAGTCTTATGGCTCGTTGCCATCGCCACCGCCGGCGTACACGTCTCCGAAGCAAGGTGCGCCACTGCAGGATGTGAATGAAGGATTGCGAGCGCAGGGATCCTCTGGGCTCCCTCTTGACGAGAAGGCAGCAATACGGATGGCTGTGGGAGGTAGTACTTCAGCTGTGGCAGGGCCTTCTTCCTCTTCGTCCTCCTCATCGAGGGCAGCACCGAGGTTGTCGCTACAAAGGGACGGTCTGGGCGATCTATCTAGTTGGTCTGAATCTTTGTTCTCAATCATTCCACCTGAGAGTTCTTCACCCGACGTTCCTGCTGCAAGACCAAGATTACCTCACTCCACTTCACAATCTGCTAGTGCACCGAGTCGCACGCCAGCATCTGTGCGTCTACGCGCGAGGTCGCACTCACGTACGTCATCCACGCATCGTAATTTACCTCCGCAAAAGCCTATACCCCTGTATGAGTTGCCACCACGAGCCTCCCCATCATCATCGTCGGCGCAGAACTCACCACCACCGTCAGCCAACAAGTCGAGCCCGCTGTGGCAGGAGGTTATGGACATGGTGCGTCCAGCACCGAGCGCGGGATCAAGCACCAGCGTCGAGTCGCTGCCGAAGCCTCAGTCTTCATCTGCTCTAACGACAACCTCGACGAGCGCGTCGTCCTGGATGCCACGGACACCAGAGCACGAGTACCCGGAACCGCATCTTCTTCATCCCCGTACTCCAACTCGCTTCGATGATAGTGCCAGTGACAACGGGATCGGATCCGAGGAGGAGGACGGCACATTGCAGGTGCGCAGACGGGACAAGGAGAACCGCGATTCGGATTTGTCGACGATGACCGTAGTCCCGGCGACCATCGTTCAGGGGTCAATCGCGCGTAGCGCGCGGGGCAATATCGTCGCGTCGCCTACGAAGAAGACTGGGGAGGAGGGTGGGCAGAGGCAATCTGCGTTTCTGATCAACTCGACGCTTCCGATGGCAGATAAGGCGGATAGTGCTAGTCACCGCTCTCAATCAACTGTGAGCTCGGCATCACGGTCGAGCGGTTCGAGCGTGTCGACGACTGCGTTTGGGTCTGGGTCAACGCCAAGCTCCGCGTATACCAAGGTGTCTCCGGCGCCGTCTCCGCGCATCTCAACAACGTTCGCGTCAGCGGAGAACGACCATGAACGTGTCAGCCCTGCGCGGCTGGACAAGGGAAAGAGCCCGCTTCCGGAAATCCAGCTCGACCTCGATATCGATCTGGATTTGGACTTGGGGGTATTACAACGTCCATCTGTCCTCATTGACGACATTATTGCAACAGGTGTGCTCTACGAGCCGTCAATCTCTCCCAGCCAATCTCCCTCGACGCCTGCACCGCGGTATCCTGGATGGGTCTCCGAAGTGGTGGCGCCGCTGTCGGAGTTTATTGACGAGACGGTGGATCCCCGCGCGCTGTATGGGGACCTGAGAGAGGTGGGGGAGGGAGATAGCGGGAGTGTGTATGCGGCACGAGTCCTGGCGCCTGCGAAGGGGAAAGCGAAGGGATCGGAGGAGGCGGATGCGAATGCAACCTATGTCGCTATCAAGAACGTGCCTCTGCTGCCGAGCGGCTCGCCGAAGTTGCTTGATCTTCGGAGGGAGCTGAGGCTGATGCGGGATGTACGACATCCGAATGTGCTAACGATGGACGAGGTGCTCGTGGACATTGTGGAGGATGCACTATGGATGAAGATGGAGCTGATGGAGCGGAGTTTGGCGGACATCCTTATATTGGTGGAGGGGGGCATCGTCGTGCATGAGAAGCCGATAGCCCAGTTCGCGAGCGATGTAAGTGGACGGTTTGCTCATGGTGTTGAAGAATTTGCGGCTCACTCGTGCGCAGGTTTTGCATGCTCTAAGTTATCTGCAGAGATTAGGTATAGCACATCGAGATTTGAGGTCAGATAATCTGTTGGTGAACAGTGCGGGTGTTGTCAAGCTTGGTGCATCAACTCGTTTGATTGTTTCATCGTCGCTGAGCTGATATTGTTCTTCTATAGCCGATTTCTCGAATGCCGTCCGAGTCTCCCCGGAGGAGCCATTATGTACCGATGCAGTAGGCGTTATTTATTTCCAGGTGCGTCATGCGCAATCTTAAGCTGAGTGTGTGCTGACCATCTTCATTCGACCCTTAGGCTCCTGAGATGAGAAGGTGCGTGCAGTCCGTAGCTGCCCCGTATGAGGCCTTGCTGAATTATGCTCGACAGATGTCCGTATAATGCTTTGAAAGTTGACGTATGGTCGCTGGGCGCCACCGTTTGGGAGCTGGCGCAAACCGAGCCTCCCTTCTCCGACATCACTGACGCGAGTCAAGCTGCTGACCGTTGGCCACCACTTAATCAACCCGAAATTTATTCACGATCTTTCCACGATTTCTTGCATCTATGTTCGCGGCCAAGCTTGTCACGACCAGATCCAGATGAACTGCTGAAGGTTTGTTTCGCCTCCTTGTATAATGCCGGTTCAGATTTTAATGCGATCCTCTTATAGACTCCATTCATCCGCAGTGCGAGCGGCCGGCCAGCCATCGTCAAGCTGCTCGCCGAATGTAGATCCATTGAGGAGCGAACGTTCCGGCGTCAAAGTGTCGGTTCGAATGGGACCATCTCTATGTCTTAATCTATATCTCATATACCCGCTTTGTGCATTGGTCGTCATGCTTCATCGGACATGCTTTCTATGGTTTTACTATACAGCACATCTACGTTCTGGTTACGCTGTCCATTGCATCTCACTGCTCATGACTCGCTCTCGCGCACAATAATGATGGGAAACACAATTCCATTTTTTCCTCGGCGGATAAGGTGCTACGAACATTGGAGTGAAATCCCTACAAGCGTGAAGGCAAAATAGGTTGTCCTCGACGGCGACGATGTAGGGGGGACAGTATCGTGAGGTTCGACAAAAACCAGATAACTATCAGAGAGGCCGTCGTAGAGAATTGTGGGAAGGGCACAGGGTTCTTGATTAAGTGATAAGAGTGGCATAAGGATAGTCAGCCGTTGTATGTGAGAACGAACTATCATAGTGTTACAGAACAAGAGGCATGCATGGTTCTGACCGGACGCTTGAAAACATTAAATTGACCTACCAAAACCTGGTCTGTTATGTGCATAGAGCCGGGTATCATCTGATTTGGAGAGTCAGTGAGCTCGAGGTTCTTTTCAATTCCTTCACCTTCCCCCACACGTCCCACACCTTCAGCTTGGACTCCTCCGGGATGGCGAGCACGATCCGCTGGCCGTTCGGGCTCATCACGCTGCCGGCGATATTGACCTTGGCGGCCTCGAGCTTGACGACCTGCCGCAGCGATGGGATCGCGTGGACGACGACGGAGTTGGCAATGCGCGATGGCATAGTCTCGTTCGGGAACGAGTGTGAGTCGAGCTGGACAGACGGCGGCGGCGCGGGCGTGGACTTTCCCGGACCGTGCGTGCTGAGCAGCTCCTTGCAGTGGGCGGAAAAATGCAAAGACGTAACTTGGGCGTCGAGCTCGAGCTTCATCGGGTAGTTGGGCTGCGATGAGGACGTGTTGTTGATGTTCCAGACACAGATGGTCCCCGTGGCATCAGGAGCTGAGTCGCCGCTGGCCAGAAGCTTCGACTGCCACGGGCACCAAGCGAGAGCCTATCGGCGACACAACGAAAAGAGGGAGGCGTAATATTAGGGACCCATCCACCGACACATATGTTCAGGCAACGTACCGTGACTGCGCCCACATGCTGCATCTTCCTACGCCGCTGGACCAGCTCCCCCACTTCCAACGGGGCTTTCTGCCTTGAGTCCCAGACGTGCACGGTCCCGCCTTCGTCACCACTAGCGAAAAAGCCCCCGTCGGGATTCCACAAGAGGCTAGAGATCTTTAACTGGTGACGCGTCACTTTATGTACCGGGTTCACGGGTTTTCTTGCTTCATGAATGCGAGTGTCGAAGTGGCGGATCGATCCACGCTCTCCTCCCACCGAGAGAATGGGTCCATTCCAATGCATGACGGTAGGGGTCCTCTTCGTCGGCCAGCTGAGCGTCATTTTCTTTGTTGACAGGTCCCATATTTGAATGATCCCCTTCATGGTGATGATTGCAACATTATTCCTCTGGTCCTTCCCACCACATTGCACTGCTCGCAGATTTCCCAGCCCTTCGGGGACTTTGCAGACCTGACTGATCTCCTCATTGGCGGAAAAATTTTTGTAGTGCACACGGTTGCCACGGCCAAACACCATGTAGTTGTTCTCTGACCAGCTCACGGGATAAGCGCCGGCCTTGAGCACCTCATCGCTGACAGAAAAGTCGATGACGAATTTGCCGCTGCGGAGATGGTTGGAGGCGGATTCAGGCACTGGGGGCTGAACGACTGGGGAGCGAAGGTCGGAGAGCGAGCTGGACGACAGGGTCCGCATGAGACCCATACCCTCGGACAAGCCGGAAATCGACGGCCGCCGCGACAGCGACCGCTCAGAGGGGGCTGGGCTGACGAAACGCGACCGCGGCGTAGCCGGTGGCAGCTCCGACGAGAAATAGTCTCCGTCGTAGTCGCCATCTTCGCGCGAAACGCTGGGCATGCGGTCGTACTAGGGCACGGAACGGACGCGCGTCAGGGGCCACACAATTGGATCCGATAAGTCGCACGACAACTGACGCTCAGATCGTGCGATATGCTCCGCTCGCGCTGCAGATACCACGACTTTACTCTCGAGATCTTCCAGGGCCGCTGCGGCACCGCTGGCTCCTCGTCGGCGCCTGAGAGGACGCGTTTGCGATGCTGTGCGCGGGTGGTGATGCCCGAGCTGTCGACGCTCGAGTTGCCGAGGCTGATAGCATCGTCAGAATCGTGGCGACGACGAAAATACAAAACAATGCGCTGACCTGCTCTCTGGAGAAGGGGGGAACGGCACAGACATGGTCGAGGAAGAGTGCGGGAGGAGATGGAGGGAAAGGGGAAGAGCAATCAGCCACGAACGCGCGCGCTGGGGCGTCACCAAGGATTAGGTAATTTCCTGCGCGTTATTGACGTGTTATTTGGCCCGTGCCGTCGCGACATGTGAACACGTGATCGTGCCACGCATCCTCACATCAGATTCGTCTCACACGGTCGCTGGCATGGGACGCTCATCAGTCATAGCGCGGATGCATTCAGATTTGGATTCGCGCCTCTTCCGTCTCTCACCTTTGCTGTGCTGCGAGCCCACATTGTCTGCGAGTGGCAGTTGACCGCCCCGACCACTTCAGAGACCAAGACAATTGCACCGCCAGTCGACAGCGCCGGCGTCGTCAAGGGGCTCTGCGGCTGCCAACCCGGGCAGAGATGACGACTCTCTTCATGAGGAAGAGGAGAGTATCCGGATTCTGGACCTTCGACAACCCACAACCCTCTTCGCCGACGACAGAGTCCATGCTCCCAGGCAAGGGTGTCCGCCGAGCCTCCAGTCTCCGTGATCACATCAAGCCGTTGGTCCGCCCAAAGTCGCTCAGCATCGACGGCGATCCGTCAATCTCGTTTCCATGGAACTTCCAGGTATGAGAGACTAGGTCCGCCATGTGCGTGCGCTCTAAACATAGGCTCTGCAGCACACCATGCATGTGGACGAGCAGTGGGTATCTCGTTGACGGCTGAGCTGTTGCGCTTTTGCTCACGGGCGCCGATACAAGTATGAATGGGCTGCCGGCGTCATGGTCTGCACAGCTTGCCGAAGACGGTAAGTCTGCAAGTAAGCCCGAGAAGAACAGGCATTCCCTAGCGGCGCTTGAGCGGGAGAGTACGAGGGTGGACGCATGCTTGCCATTAGTGAAGCCTCTGTGGTGCCAGCGTCGGAACACGGTATCTGGTGACGGCACTGAGGAGCCGCAGATCTCGGGTCCTTGGAATGTGCAGGTACGCTCCGCGGTTATACTCGCATGTCGCGTGCTAATCGGTCCATTCCAGCACAACATGCACGTAGACGAGCAGTACGCCGGCCCCGCTGAATCGTGCGTTTCGGAGGCCTGACTATTTGCAGTTACAACGGCTTGCCCCCGGCCTGGGCGATGACAATGTCCAAAGCGCCCGCGGCACTTTTGAAGGGCGACCCGAGCATTACTCTTCCGTGGAACTTCAAGGTACGGAAAGCCCACATTCATTCCCTATCATGTCTCACTCTGTTCGTAGCACCAAATTCACGTCCATGTTGGGTCCGTCAATCACCTATCTGATTAACGTTGCCACGGTACTGACTTTACGTGTAGACTAGATGGCATCCCGCGAGGGATTCCTCCATCGTTGCATGCCCGCCTGAGCGAGATGGGTTTCAGCGAAGACGAGATCGCTGCCATCCGCGCACATTCCTGATCGCCTCATCTGCCCACTATGTCTCGACCGCGTTTGTTTTCCAACTGAGCTATGCTAACTTGTCGTTGCTGTTATTTATATCCCGTCCCCTGGCGTGCCGGTGCTTTTCGTAATGGTGGTGGGCAGGTCCTGCCCGTCGCTAGTGTGGTAGTTGCTCGACGTATTTATTGACTCGGCTACTCGGTCTCACACAAGCAGAAGTTTTGTCGTATTGTGGTGTTTCTTGAATACAAAGCTCGCACAAGACTGGCAGTGAAAGTGGCACGAAAGTGAATCTAGAGCCATTGCTGATAAACTGTCCCTTACCCATGGTATCGTCCGAGCCCGCAGCCCCCCGCTTTTATCCTGTCTCTTGTCTTGTTGTTCCAATCTCCGTTGCGAGCTTGTTTCTTCTTCCCAACATCAGGGGTCGACGTCGCCTTGTCTCAATGGGTGCGAACGTCGTTTCCGCTCGCCGCCGCGGCGCTCATCCGCCGCTGCCACAACGCTTTGCTCGCTTGCCGTTCGCGGACTCGTTCGCTTAGCCCTCGGCTCTCTGCAATCGTTCGCCCTGAGACGGCGGGCTCCCCTGACTGAATCTGCATAATTGCGCGGATCTGCTGCGGCCGGCATTGTCCAGCTCTTTTTGATCGCGACAACGTGATCCCAAGGACCGTGAATGAGACGGGATCTCTCTCCTCCAGATCACCATGAAGCACTGCCAGTTCTGACTCTGTCCAGCTGTTGCGATGCTGCTTTCTCTTGTCTGAGTTCTTCTTCTCCACCACATCGTCTAGATTTTCTCTTCGGCTTTGAGCCTGCGCCTGGTGGATATATTGCAGCTGATCGCTCCTGGCGAGCTTTTCGGCTCACCGAGTGCCAGCTCGGACTTGTATCCTGCCATTCCTTTCTTCCGGGCTGAACCCCTTGTATGGCCTCTGTGTCGGCGTCAGGCAGCCCTTGTATCTCTGGCTCGGCTTTTTACAGTCTCTCTGCATCGTCAAGCTCAGCGGCAGCGAGCGAAAGTGCATATACTGCGACGGTCTCACTCTGCTTTGACGCCTCCGTACCCTCGGTTACCAGCGATCTAGCCTCCTCAAACCTCCCCTCTACGACCAGCAACATGAGTACATCCACTTCGAGTGACTCGCCTGCGCTGGTTTTTACCGATCCCACGTCGTCCTCCTCTTCTACAACGGCCTCTCTTGCATCTCCGTAAGTTTAATGCAACGGCAATGACTGCGTTCCCACTAAGCCTGCCTCAGTACTTCGGAAGTTACAAGCTTTGTCACATCAGATACGTTCAGCTCCTCTGCTATGTAAGTGGTACGCTTTCCCGTCCGAGCTGCTTTAACACTGCCCCTTAACAGCGTCAGTTCCAGCAACGCCCCACCACCACCTCCGCCTCCTTCATCTGGTTCCTTCAGCATCTCTATTTTCCCGTCTAGTACCTTTACACCAACCGGCTCCCCGACACCCTCGAGCACGGCTTTTGTCCTAGCACCGAGCACATCTACTTCGACTGCGTTCAGCACTGAAACATCCGTTGCTACATCAACAGAGCCTGTGCAGGAAAGTCTTCCGCTCTCGACTCAGTCGCCGACGTCCACTGGAGGCCCTGCCACATCTTCCATTTCATCAAGGTACGTTAGCCGAGACGCACCCGATCCATCACATCAGACTGAACATTATATGTAACAGTGATGATTCGGGTGCCATTGGTCTGAACACGTCGACCGAGACCGATCCGCCATCTTCGATAATCTCTCTGACCATCGCGATACCGAGCACATCAAGTGCATCATCTACTTCCTCGACCTCGCTCTATGCAGGAGGCACGGCGAACTCCTCGAGCGTAGGAGCAAACAGCAGGTAGGTATCCGAGTATGCCGATCGCGGCAACAACATCACGATCGCTGATGCATCGCTCAGCAGCGCAGGGCTCAGACGCGCCACGATCGCAGGCGCGGCCGTCGGCAGCATCATCGGCGCGCTCTGTCTCTCCGTCGCCCTGCTCTACTTCGTACGCTGGAGGAGCCGGCGCATGCGCGCCGAGGCGCTCGGGCGCATGCGCACGCAGCAGCATTTCAGCAGCCAGGGCTCCGTGCTCGGGATCGGCGCGGACCCATTCGACAGCGCGGGCGGCATCGAGTCCGTGCGCACCGCTGCCGACGCATTCCGCGGCATGTCGCACTACTCGAGTCCCAGCGTCGATACAGCACTCACGCTCGCGCGCCCTCCCCCGCCCAAGGCCACGCGCTCCACGCTCTCCGTCGACGCAATGCCCCGATCGTGGGCGATGTTCGAGCGCGAACGCTCGCCGCTTGTGCGCTCGAGCGTCACCGCGTCCGACGCCCTTCAGAGTGCGGAGCCGCTGGCGGGCTCGCCTCAATCACACTCGCTGTCGTCGACGATCCCCTTGGCGACGCCGCAATCGCGGTCTTGGCAGAACCTGCGCAGCTCGACGTCGCTATTGGCGCCGGAACGCGCCCCCGAGGCTGCGTTCGCGACGAACCGGTCATCCAGGGCGTCGTCCAGCCTGTATTCTGACCAGATCCCAAGGCGGGGATCGCTCGCGGACAGCGTGGACCCATTCAGAGACACGCCGCCAGACTATCGCTCTATATCCGAGTATTCCCTGCCGGGCAGGGCAATATGACCCATACGGAGGACTCTGCATACATCCACCTCTCGCGGCCTAAAGTTGCTCTTATTGTAAGTAGGACACACGCATCATGCCTCTGGGAGGCACCTTTCGTTCCATTAAGTATATCGTTCATCATCTCTATGGTATATTTCCGCTCGCTGGCACGAAACGCGCATGTATTGTACCCCGTATCTCACCAGCACCGCTGTCCGCATGCCATTCCTTATACATAACGTTCCCTCGTCGTTCGTTGTAAGCTTGTTAGTAAGCCCGTACCGCCTGTACGCCGCTCTCGTGCCTGTATCGTGTAGTATAGTTGCTGTCGGAGTGTATTGTCGCTGCTAGACGCCGATCAGACAATGCATATGGAATCGTTCTATGCGGCTCGGCGACTCTCACAGCAGGGCGCGTGAGTGTGTGGCCTGCGTTGCCAATGCGACATGTGGGCCGAGATGCCTTGGACACTGGTCATACAGGTGGCATGCATCTAGCGGTATATTTATTGTACAAGAACAGTGCAGGGACTGCATATGCCGGTATCTTCAACCACGGCACGTCACAGGCAAAGTGAATGCTGCTCACCTAACTCAGCAACAATCCATCCGACAGAGATATCAAAGCCCACATCCGAGCATCCGTTCATACATCCTGAGAATGATTGTTTCCATCGTCAGCAGTTCTCTTCTGCAACTCGGTCTCCGTCGTTTCCCAGAGTTTCCACGCCACAACCAACATGACGGCAAACTCGCGTAAACCGCATTGTTCCAGTCGTGCTACGGCATCTTCAAAGGTCAACAAATGCGATTGGTATCCCAGCTCGTCCGGCATCCCCGTATTGGGCTCGTGGACCTATAATGGCGCATCAGAGCTTCCGAGACAAAGCGTCACAGAAGAAGTACTGACAGCATCGGCGGGGATCTGGCCCACATACCAGTAAGTGAAATACTCGCCGCCATTGTCGCCTGCGCCCGTAGGCCGCCTACGCCGCCTCGGGCCCCAACTCCTCGTAGTGACATATATGGGCTCCGTACACGGGCGATACACCCTCCTTCTATCCCCAGGTGGAGATGGCGCATTGGTGGGAATGAACAGCGGGAGGAAGTCTACGCGATATCCCGACTGAGCCGGTTCTGCGTCGTTATCAATTCAGACTTTGAGCAGTTATTGATCAGCACCTCCTCGTACGCCTCCCGCAGTGCAGCCTGCTCAAGGCTCTCGCCGATGTCCTTCCTGCCCTTAGGGAAAAACCAGTACTTGCCCTCTGGCTCATACAGGAGCAGAACCTTCCTGGTCTCCGACTGGAACACGATCATACCTGCGCCGACCATAAAGTCCGAGGCGAAGAACAAGCTGTTCGGAATCGCAGGCGTAGAGTAGTCGGAGAACACCACTGGACCTGAGTGCCGGCGAGAGGGCTCGTGTTGAGTAGAGCTGTGTGAGACATGATGGGATGAGGGGGAGGTCGGCTGTGTTGTGTGGTGTGAACTGGTGCGTTGGCTGTTCCTGTGAGGGCGTTCACTTCGCAGCGAAGAACGGCTGCCGCTGGGGCGGACGGCGTTTGTGTGACGGGTCTGATCTGCATTCGCCTGGGTGCTATCCTCGTGTGTCTGTTCAGATGCCGCCGAAGTCGAGGACCTGCTATGAAAGCCAAAGATGGAGCGAACAGTGTTCATTCCCGGATCCGCCGCACCAGATGAGCTCATATGTGGAGGTGAAACCGTACCAGCACTTGCAGACCTAATGCGATAAGAAACGAAGCGATAAAGAAAAGCAGATCAGGCGCAGTACGCCTGATATATGCTCACAGAGGTACTCGAGATGGGGATGGTCGAAGGAGAGGACTGAAGTTATCTGCACGTCTGCCAAAGGTGTGCCATGTGTTGCTCACATGGATGGCCCGGACAGGCAACTCGCTCGCATAGATCTGTCGCGATCACGTGCCTCCGCGAAGTGCTGGATACGGTCTACGATCTTCTATGATGCTCAGCTTTGTGGACAAGCTCGTATATATATCTTGAAAGGAGGCCCCCACCTAAGTCTCATCATTGCACCCTCGTCGTATAATCTATCGTATCATGAGCAACGAGGCGGACGTGCCTGCTAACCATTCCCTACCCGGCCCTGAACCGAATGCCGGCCAGGACGCTGAAAGGATTGAGGTGGGCGAGAAAAAAGCGTTCATGTTTGACGAGCTTGGGCCAATGGTGGTCAACAAAGATGGGGTGAGTCGTGCATATCGCTTCATCAGTATGAGCTGTGGAGCTGATCATTCTGAGTAGACTCTGTCGCGAGTCGCCAACTGGCCAAACATGGCACCGCTCGAGAGAGAGAGCGGACGATGCGAGTTCTGATTGCGCGGAACCAGTGAGTGTACGATGGTGCTGATGATGCTTGATATGGTCGTGCTCACTGGAGGTCACTCTGCCGTAGGATCCGTATCGCGAATCAGAAGGAGAAACAGCAGCAGTCCAGCTCGGAATCAGGAGAACCGCTCAGCATTCCGGAACAGCCGTAGACGTTGATGCACGCAATGATACAGGGATTTCGAAGATTATATGCGGTGCATATATGGATAGAAGCAATGTATTTGTGACAGTATGTGTGATCCGTATTTCATCGTTACTTTCCTCAGTCTCGTTAATGATATCAGCGTCCGCTTCTATGGGCAGCATTTCGAGCATATGTCGTTGCTCAATCCGAACACATCGGGATTACGCACGTAGGCGATCCACAATATTTTACATGATTCTGGACATCTTGCAGTACCATACGCATGCAGATGTCAAGTTTGAGTGGCATACTACACAGCTCGTACCGGACGAACAGAAGTTATCACTTTAAGAACGTGAGTACCCGTTTTCTCATAGACATTCATAGATGACCGCGCAGCATCGTCGCCGTGGTGCTCACTGTTGCGCTGAATCTTGACTTTGAACCGTTGGTAAACACCGACTCTCGCAGATGGTGGGCGCGCAATTGCTGAATACTTTATCATCCCTTCATAGGAAATATACTGAACACCTGATAACCGAAGCCCATCAGTTTCAAAACGGAATTCTTCGTTTACATCTGAGTATACCTACAGCCACCATTGGAAATGCCTTCCGTTGACGTGGGAGACAAGTTTTATGAAACTGGGAAAAAACGTGTGTCTGAGTAGACTTCTGGCAAGATCAAGATCGCCTAAGTGATACATCAGCAGGACGTTCGTGTGCTCCACGCCCTTCAAACTGCAGCCGGTGATGCGACTCAATAATCCTTCTGAGCGCAAAAGCAATGCAAGCTGCTCACCTGCAGGAGGGAATAACTCAAGCCTGTCCTGCTCCGAGTCGAATACCCTGCTGGTTCCTTACCAGCCGGAAATCAGATAAATATGTCAAAACCTCCTGCCAGTCCTCAGTAGACGCTTTTTGCCCGCCCTTAGCAGCCGCTTTCCTAAGCAGCCGCTCACATTCAGCCATGTCTATGTTCGGGAAGAGACGATCCAGAAACAACGCCACCCCACGAGGATCTGTAATCGGGGACCTTGATGGATGGTCGAACGAGATTGATTGGAGGCCGTGAGATAGAATGGGAAGTGGACCGAGGTCTGGAAGTGGAACTGTTGAGAGCGGGGCGATATGAATCGATCTCAGCTCTGGGCAGAGTGTCGCGAAGTGCAGCAGAGAGTCGAGGTGGGGTTCTCGAGGCCCACCAGAATCATATACGATGTCTATCGCCGTAAGCTTAGGCCATGCCTCTGCTAATTTCTGCAGATCCTGACCTGACAGCGGAGATGACCACTGTTCTATATTCATTTTCAGTGAACGCAGATGCCGCATGCGAAATAAAGGTTCGAGGAACATGGTAAGTGTCTCATGCGTGCCAGGCGGACCTGCGCAAATGTGGATTTGCAGGAGCGATAACGTTTCCGCGCAGCAATCTGCGATCGACGCTGATAAAGGATGGGAGCTGTCAGGATCCTGAACTCGAGCTAGACTGATTTTTAACGACTGGATTTTTGGAAGTCGCACAGATTTGAAGAAACGGGTGAGGAAATGGACATGGCTATACAGGTGCAGGCACTTCAATGCAGCCATGTGTACAAGAGATGTCGAGTGACCAATGTCCGAATAGAACAAAGAAAGGTCTGTGAGGAATTGGAATGAAGCGAGCATTGATAACATGGCTGGATCGAGTTTTGATCGAATACCGAGATGGACCTTGCATAACCTGTTACAAACAGAGAATGGGAGCACAGAGGAAAGCTGGTCGATTCCAACTATGGTGAGGTGCTTCAAAGAATGTGCCTTGACAGAGAGTTCGTCAAATAGCAACTGCACGTGGAACTCCCTTGCTTTGTGTGTGCTCATCGCATATCCATGTGGAGACTTGTACGCGAATCTGAACACCTGCAACGTCGATGAGATGAACTTGTTAATGCTGAAGTCTAGTGGTGATATCGATTTGCATTCGAGATGCTGAAGAGCAGGTAGAAGAGGAGCTCCATCATTAGTCTTGCTAATATATTCCAGGGCCGACGGATGAATGGTCCACCTCCGGGGCGAAAAGGACACAGATCTGATGCATTGGGAATATATCTTGTACCTGGTCCATTCCTGCGAGGATATAGGACTGCAGAAGCACTGTCGGAATTCTGGCTCAGAATAATCCAATCGCAAGCAGTGCTTTCGAACGCACATAGGCTAGCTCTTTGCCATGAGAGGGGCCTTCCTCGGAGACATCTCTCTCGATCAGATGCAATCCTTCAAAGAGCTCAAAGAGAGGAAGGATATCATTCATCTTTTCCCAGAGTAGCTTCACTGCTGGCAGAAAAAATGCTCTACAAACTCGTGCGGCACGAGCCAGGTCACCCTTGCGGGCATCGTTGATCCCAAATGACCGTTTATCGACATCTGTCGAGACCCGAAACGAAGCGAAGATGAGCTCGAGTACATCATAGGCTTGTAGAACTCTTTGTGTTGCCATTGAGAAACGCTATGGCTTGATACTGAAGATGGTGAAGCTCTACGAGCGAGATGGATGATTGATGGTCGACGTATGGCAGCGTGGAGGTGTCGGATGAAGGCCGGACTGACGCGTGACATCACGCGTATCGTATGTCACACGCCTTCAAACACTTTGTCCGACGTTCCTATCTCGACGTAATGAGCCTCTGCTTGGCCACCGTTCGACCGCGACCATTGCAACCAACTTGTACTCACTCTCGGGTTCTCGAGGAACAAGAGGTTGCTTATGTTCTGACAGTGGGGGCTGGTCGGGATCATCTCCTATGGCTTGTTTCTGTCAAATAAACCTGCTGTGACCGGAACTGGGGCTCAACGGCGATGACGTTCAAAGTATCAGTCATTTGAGATGTCTTACATATCTCCCTTTCGCTCGCGTGAAGTTCATCGTTCGTGCTATATTGCGCTGCCATATCATCAGAGCGCCTTGCCGATGCCTTCTATCTCGCAACATCCGAAGCAGAGCGGACTACCGATACCAAATGCTGTGAACAAGTACCTATCCTTGGATTTCTCAGTTCTGACACCTGTAGCCAGCATCCCTGGTAGACAGCTATGTCTCGCACGAACAGAAGTGTACTGGACAAAGCATTCAAGCTTCGGTGTCGACGGTGTGTGGAGTGCTTATCCGAATATTCAGGTCATCGAAACTCCTTCTCATCAGCCCCAATCCGGCTCATTGCAACATCACTGTTTGGTGAAAAAACTACGAGCTTATGCCAGTCGCAGGAATATTCATATCACGTCGCAATATCTTCAGGTCTGTGTCGATGATCATGGGCTTTCAATTCGTGTAGAAAGCTCACCCTCTATTCTCACCAGTTTACCATTCTACACTCGAGACGCTCAACTCCCACCGGCGACACTTTTACTGCAACCTGTCGATAGACTCTGACGGCTCTGCGGACCGCCGAAGGCAACCTATGCTTTTAAAAAATATCATACATTCTACTATCCAGTTATCGGCTTGAAAATCACCTCACGTTTAAGATGAGCGCCGCGAGTGTCATTACTCCTTCGATCGACTGCTGTGACCCGTGATTCTCTGCAGATCTTCCCTCATAACAAAGCTCACCTCATGGGTCTTGTTGACGCAGCCTTGAGCGTTGAGGAACACGAAGAGCATGCCGCCTCCGTTTATTGCGGTTCCGTTTAGGATCTTGACGGTGCTACACCCTGCGGCCACAGACTGAGCGCTGAGGCATCGGCTCCGGTGGCTAAATATCGCTCAAGGATCTTCCTATCTAGATATTGATTGGTACGCCACGACGCGCCGGAAAATACCTGGCAACGTGTTCGGTGTGCCACACACAAATGATCAATGGCCACTGCGTGTAATCGCGTTGGGTTGGCGGCGATTTGTTGACGCGTTGAATGCACGCCCCACGCATACCGCGCTCGCCCTATATCTACCCGGTGCTGTTCTTCCTCTTGACTGCCACAGCTGTTCCGTACTCTCCTACGCAGACGTGAACTCCCCTTCTGCTTTGCCTCTCACGCTAAACACTCTCCGGACTCGTTTTTTTTTTACTTGCCGTATCACTTTTGATTTTTTGCCATGGCCCAAGCTCGCATCTCGCTACCCTCTAAGATTACCTACTCGCAATCAAATCCGGCGAGCCTGGCACAAAGCGATCATGGGGCCAAAACTCCGGGTAACAATAAAGGCGCCTTTATTACCGAGTACGCTATCTGTCACTACCTCTGCAGTGCGATTGTAACAACCCATTCATACATCGTGCAGTAAATCAAAATCAATCGCGTCTTCAGCCGCAGTAGAAGAGGAAGTGGGCTCCGAGGTTCAGGTTCCTTCTGAACCGGACGCCGATTCAGAAGATAACCTACCATCGCAGTCTGTCCCTCGCACTTCCAGGTCAGACGATGGGCAGTCGTACGTATTGCATGCTTTTATATGCATTGTAGGTCGCTCATTCAAAGGCCTGCAGGTCCGAGCTGCTGATGGGTGGCCACTCCGAGTGGCCGAGTGGGTCAGCGCCACTCCGGACAGGTGCCGACCCTATCCCTTCCTCGCCTGATGCCTTGCGCCTCCCTTTCAATCTTTCGGGGGCAAATCATGAACCAGAGAGCTTGGTCATTGGCTACCCAATCCTAGTTCCTGCCGAATTAGGTGACACGGTATGGGAACGTGGTGTGGATGAAGAAGACATCTTCCTCCCTCGGGATGAACACTCCGGCGGGGTCTTACATTCATTCTGTGATGACAGGTGTGTAGCGACTTGTGTCCTCGTAGTCAGCAACCCAATGATATCTGCGCGGACTACAGTTACTGGAGCTTCCTCCGCTCAACGACTCCAGATTCGAAGTTCGGCCAAGTCGACTCGCGCACTCAAGAAGAGCCATCCGCTGTGCGTGCGCGAGACTTCGCATTCGCACTGGCCTTGGAGTACGAACGAGAGAGGTGTCTGGATAGGTTCGCGGACGGGGCTTCATAGTGAGGATCCTCGAGATCATCTGAGATTCGATGTTGACTTTCATTTGCGCTTAGCGCCTCCGTTCTCGAACAGCACTTCGGGATGGACATGGACTGGTCGGCGCCGCAAATGTCCATTCGGAAACGTGCTACCGAGCCGTTCATCTTCGCACATCAATACATTCGGGAAGACTATGACGTCGCTTCCACGAGTCCCTCGGCTCGCAAGTCCATCAAGGCTGTCTTCGAACGCGGTAGATCGCAGAGGTATGTGCTATGTGTCATCGATGGAATGTAGCTGATATAGTCATCTATAGCCCTAAAGTGCTATGTGACCATGCGCCGGCCGATCATGTCTCCATTGCCTTCATTGCTTGCGCGGAGACATCACCTGCATCTGACACTAGGCGGAGGAGCACTCAAGCAGACGAGAGTTCCGGACAGCGAGAAGGCCTCAGACGACTTTCTCCACAAAAGTAAGAGTATTGAAACCGGGGCACGCTAGGTATCCCATACTGATCTTTAATTGTGTAGGTCAATGCGGGGTCCACTGTCTTCGACATCGCCGAGCAGGACCAGCCCAGAACGTCAAGCCATTATCACCGGGGAAGAGTTCAGGAAAGTGGTATGCGCCGCCGCGGCTCCACCGGTTTTCGAGGTCGACTCCCATGCCATCTCATGCCAATCCCCTCTGGCACGCTCTCGCGCTTCATCTTCTGCATTCTCTCGCGGCTCTTCTCCAATCAGATCTTCCTCTCGCTCCCCTTCTCAATCATCTTCCAGTTCAGATTCATCGTATGTCCCATCCGACGCGGAGGACACCAGCGGAGCTTCTCAGAAATGGAAGTCCAGGCAGCAAGCTAAACCTCAAGCCGTCAAAGGAGACAAGGCTCGTTGGCAGGATGGCATTCCCTCATCTGCAGTCGCAGGTGAGAAGCGCAAACGAGCTACGTTGGCGTCACGACAGCCCCCTTCAACCAAGACAAACATCAATCGTGCAAGTACTTCAATCCCCAAACGTCCAAGGGTGTATGCTGTAGACCGTCATGGTGATATCCACTGTCCATGGCCTGACTGCTCCCACAGCGCCAGTGTGCTGCAGATGCGCCACCACCTTTCCAAGAAGCACAGGCATGATGCTCCGTCTTGCTACTGGCCGGGGTGCCAGACGAAGCATTTCTCTTCAGCGCCGAGGCACATCGACGATCATCACCTCAAGATTGAATGGGTGTGTCCTGCTTGCCACAGTACCTTCAAGAGCGAGCGTTCGGGGAACAGGCATATTCGCCAATCCTGCGAGGCGTGGCAGGGTGCCAATGTTGAGGAGGTTAAGGAAAATTGGATCAGTGATGACGATGGTCAGCAATCAACACGAAGCGAGTTGAAGTCCTTGGGAAATGAGAGGGTGGTCGACGAGCGGCCTAATAAACATAGAAGAATCTGATTGTTCATATTAGTATATTAGCTTCATCTCCTCACCCGCTGTACTATCTAGACTTTCCGTTGTATATCAGATCAATCCACTGGCCTTCTCATGAAAATCCATCTAATCATACTTACACGAGAATGTACGGCTATTAGCGCAAACGCTCGTCCGATTCAGAGCGCCCATTGCAGTGACATGATTTCCTATTTGACCACTTTTGGTCACGGTCGGCTCTCTCGGACGAATAGAGTGTCACAAACTATCATCCAGTTAAAGCTGCTCGCATGTTCCCTTCTCCTCGAAAATGTTCCACTGCTGGATTCGCTGTTGTCGAACCCACGGTTGACTCCCTTTATCGCAAGCCCGAGCGCACATCAGCTGCCCAGTTATGATCCGTATTTATACCGAGAAACAATAGCCCGTCAGCTCCCACCGTCCCGACTTTATCGACTCATTCGCACCGATGCCCTCACTCGCGAAAGTACCTCCCGAAATCTTAGAGCATATTGCATTCTTTGCAGCAACCGATCCGCTCCTCGGGCCTCCTGCTGGCATCATCCCTCTGCTCGCGACAAATCGGCGCATCCACTCGGTCCTTGCATTTGACTCGAATCCGCACCTCTGGGCTTGCATCTTCTCGCATAAATTCGATGTGTCTGCTGCCGTACGTCGTCTGGGACGAGAGCGCACTTCTCCGGTTGCGATGGCGGAAGAGCTGAAGGAACGGTGCCTGCTCATGAGACGCATACGTGAGCGCAAGGACACACTCGTTTCGTCGATCAACGTCAACGCGGAACACATGCACGTTTTGAGCTCCATACTCTGGATGGCGTACCTGATGATGCTCGAAAACGATGGAAGGAATGAGAGGCAGCTGAGGGAGTACGCGAGGATTGACGAATGGCTCAAGGAGTTTCTCTTCCACCAGTCAGGCGCGTCACTCATTCAATTGTCGGTGACACTGGATGCATGGCCGTCCGGGGACGACGAGAGGACATCCCTCGCTATGTGGTTATTCTGGATGCTGCTTAGACCAGGTGAGTAACTGTTTCGCTTGGCAAGACGTTTAGGCGTTCTGACCTTTAGCAGATGACTACATGACGGACGAGTCGACGTTCTACCATACGACGAGCGTGTTAAAGCTTGTCGCTCTTGGTGCACATCAATATAGTCTATGCACGCCCTCCTGGCGGGACTTTATACCTCCCCACCACCTGAAAGACGTCTCGCAAACCACCCGCTATGCTGCTTCACTCTCGCTCGTTCCGCCAGCCCCCGCAGCCCCCGCCATCCTCTCCTACCTCACGCTAATCAACAAGCTCCCCGTCTCGTGGGACACCATCAGCTACATGAAGCCGCCCGAGCCGAGCGTACCCAGCGTCGGCGGGACGTCCGGGAGCAGGGAGTGGGAAGCAGAGTGGGAGAGGAGCGTCGGCCTCGCGATTTCTGCGACGCCACTTGGCCCGGATCTGTCTGGCGCATTCGTACCTGGCAGCTTGGAAGGGTACTGGGAGGGCCTCTTTACAGTGCGTATCCCCGTTTGATTCACTCCATTTGGAAATACTCAGCCGTTGGGACGTTTGGCAGTACACCGAGTTCACCGCATACGCTGCGCTGCTTTCGGGCGCATCGCCATCTGTGCTCGAACGCAGCCTTGTCGCACAGCACCCACAGCTCTGGAAGCTCCGCGAGCACCATCTTTACGCGGAGGAGGACGATGACGATCTGGCCGGGCCCAATCCCAGGTTATCGGAGCCGCTTACTGCTGGCAGCCCACTTCGGGCGTACATACCCACTGGCACGGAGGTGCACGAAGTCCCTGATGGGCTGGAGGTGAAGGAGCCTGAGAGGCCGCTGGTAGTGTATGAGAGCTGGGCGGCAGTGAGGGCGAACCCAGAGAAGGCGAGAAAGAGGAGGAGAGTGAGAGATGTTATTATAACGGGCGAGGTGAGTATCGAGTGGTGATGCATTTCCCCATAATGACAATTGAATGATCGTCAGGGACATTCTGCATGGGGCCAGTTCAACCTCGTCGGGCGGATAAGGCCGTGTGACGGGTTCATCAGCCTATCGAAGGACTACGTGTGTGCTTCACTGTCGTGCCGCATTCATCGAATGCTAACCTCTCGTTTCGATGTGCAGATGAACGACGACCGCGGGCGGTGGCTCTACCGCGGATACATCATCGGGAACGCTCATGGAAACCTGTCTGGTCGATGGCGAGATACGCTCAGTCCGTCGGACGTGCAGGGTTATGAGGGGTGCTTTATGATGAGTCGGAGGAAGTGATATTTGTTTTTTCTACTTTCAGTGCGGTTTGTAGCTTTCGGGAAGGTGGTATTAAGGTTTCGACTCGCTACAGCTACTACTTTTGCAGCATAATACTGACTCATGCGTCGGTATGCCGATGTAACTGCGGCCAAACGCAACATTCAATCATGATGCTTAGAATTTATATACCTTGATTGATGTCGTACGTGGTAGTGTATTCCAGTATGGGGGGTCCACAAGTCCATCAATGCTATAACGGCGAAAGCAGCAGTTCGGGGAGTAACACAATGCAAGTCGACGAGTATACGTACACGTTCAGGAGACATACGATAGCAAAGCAATACTATACAATGCACAGACGACGATCATGCCACAGCAAGACAGCATATAATCTCAGACAATATTCAATAACTCAACCACAGCTGTCAGAATCAATCATCCCGTAAGCAATATTGATCCTGCCCATGAGAACGAGTCCAACGATCTACCGTATGCTGCATTTGTCAAATGCGCTCTCTTTCTTCACGGCGTTCTCCGGTTTACCCCACACTTTCCACATCTTCATCGCCTCCTCCGCAGGACAGATCGTGAACACCATCGTCCCATCCGGGCTCAGACAGCTGTGCCCCACCGCGGCCAGATGCGCTTGCACGCTGACGACATGCTTCATCGACGGGTACGAGTGCACAGTGATCGAGTTCGTGCATGGCAGCTTTGTGGCGACCACACCCGTGGGCAGCACCGTCGCACCTGCTGGCAGCGCGGGCGCAGACGCAGATGCAGATCGGTATGTCCACGATGTGCCATGCGTGCTCAGCAGCTCTCGGCAGTGTGGGGACCAGATGAGCGATGTTACAGAGGTGTTGAGCGGGATGGTGTGGAGAGGAGAGATCGTGGGCGAATTCTTTACGCTCCATATGCGGATCTTACCATCGGGGTAGGTCGATCCTGTTGCGAGCAGGTCGGGCTTCCACGGACACCATGCTAGAGCCTGTGTGCGCGTGTCAACGTGAATACTAGTTGAGAAAGGCGTTATTTTACCTTCACGGGCGCGTAGTGTCTCCACTTGCCGCCTTTTCTATGAGAATCCGAGAGCACCTCGCCTGCGCGCGCATCCCAGATTTGCACCACACCATGTTGGTCACCCGTGGCTAAATATTTTCTGTCGTGACTCCAGCGCACGCCGTGCACTTTGCCCTTGTGCATCGTAAGCTTGCTGACCGGATCCTGCATGCGTGTATCAAAGAGATAGACGTCGCCATGGGCGGTGCCCGCAGCAAGCAAGTCTCCATTCCAGTCCAGTCCACCTACGCCGTTGAACTCTTCACATCGCCATTGTCGCCTCACCGTCTGTCCTGGCGAGTCCCATATCTGCACCATTCCCATGCTTGTGCCCGCTGCCAGGAGGACAGGTGACTCTTGCGACCAGACGATCGAAGCAAGTTTGCCGTAGCTTCTTCGATCGAGAGTACCTAAATGCGTGATCATGCGCGTGTCCAGATGTTGATAGTAGAGGTCGCGCCCACATGCGACCGCGATCGCGTTTTTCTTGGACCATGAGAGTGGAAATGCGAATGGGTCTGAAGGGATGCCGGGTCCGTCAAGCGCCAGAACAAATGTACGGTTCCGCGTGGCAAGATGCGATGCAGCAGAAAGAGGGGAAGTTCTGGATGACGGTGCAAACACCTTTAACATTTGGAGTCGGTGCATGGTCATGCTGTCCTGGCTACCCGACGCCCGTGAACCCGAATCTGAGAACTTCAGACGTTTGTCTCCAATCAGTCCGAAAATACGTGCAATGCGTTGTGTACGAGGTGTGATGTTGAGCGGAACACCATGCTCGTTGGGTGCTGAGATGAAGCGATCAGCCTGCTGAGGATGAGTGGTTGTTCTCAATAACGCCGAACTCGCTGCACTTACCTCAGTCGTGTGGGATGCAGCTGGGTTTTCAACTTCCAGTACATCTTCGTCTCCTAATTCAAAAGAAGTCGAGATTCTTCGACGTTTTGCTGAATATGCGTTGGTAATTGATGCGGGTGTCCAGAGACGTTTTCGTTGAGGCGTCACGCATAATCGGTTGGGCGTACTGAAGCCATGTTCGTCCATGCTTCTCTCCACTTACAGTCGTATGATTAAGATTAGCTAGATATGACAGGCCACATCAAGACTCACATCAAGGTGTTCTGAGGTTCTGACTAGCGTCTCGAATGGTCGTCTGGAGTCGGTGTGAGCGAGTCTTCTCAGTTATCAAACTTGATTCCAGTGGTTTTTGTCTTCTTGGAAAAGAAATTGTTAGCAGTAAGTTCCCAAGATCTATGGCCGTGGACCTCAAGAGAGGATGACTTTATGATGGTAAGAGACAAGCAGGAAATGTGGCCACCCTCAGGCTCGTCTAACTGGCGCCTATACTAAGTAAGTGTGATCTAATCTAATCTAATAAGCAAGGTGCCAGGTTACCGCAAGACGCTCGCCACCCAATCAAATCTCAGACTCCTTCTACCACGAGCGATGGCACCTATGGTACCGCCTGGAGGTTTGTTTCATGTAGATGTTACTGGTTCATGCCTCTCATGCTTGATGAAGTTTAGAACCTCGCAAAGGTGCCAAACCCCAGCCATTAGGCAACTTCCCGTTGATAATCCTGTTCACAACATGCACATTATGTGCCGTATTTCTATTGTGGAGGCGTGCCTCATCGTTGAAGACCGTTGTTGCTCACCAGTGGGTCCCTTTATGCTTGATTGTTCCTGAATACGGTCAAAACTCTTGCGATGACGACAAGGCTTAGCACTTGGACGCAAAAGGAAGGCAGAATCCGCTTATCGGAAGACGATGGGCCTCCTTCGCGCGAATTTCTGGAGGATGAATATGATGAGGATAACGCCAGAATACCAGACGACGAACCGCTTGCCGTCACTGCGCATAGGCTGAATTCCGTCAATGTCATTCCCGTCACAGAACACACGCCCTCCGATGAGCATGCTGTACAGCCTCCCGCTGGTGGAGACTCGCAGATTCTGATTACATCTTTGACTTGAATTTCTGCTGGTATGCTTCTATTTTATACTTTTCATTCAAGCTCAATATCATACGCTCCTCACAGATCGACATGCTTTGTAGAGTATCATTCGAGACATTCCATGTACTGTATGGACGTTATCACCTCATGACAAGATCTACTCCTCTTGCACACGACAGCATCGACCTCAATGGATATCGTACAACAATCAGAATTGGTTGTCCTTACTGCATGCCTTCTTCGCTGTAAGCTGCTACTTATTGAATCATCAATTGGGTCTATAATTAGATAGTTTTCCCGAAAGTGCTCATTATATCTCCCCTGGCCTGTAGCTGTCTGCTCTAGCCTTTAGGGGAGCTTCACGAAGCAGTCTCCGTTGTCCGGGCTCCTTGACCTGACTAATCACTCAATTGGCACTACCTTGGAGCGAAATCTCTGATTGTCTCTGACAACCTCTGACAACCATTCCGGACATGAAGCTTTCAGTCAAGAGGAGAAACACTCAGTGGGAGCAAACCTGTCCACATGTGGCCAGCACATCAGGTGATGGCCCCGGTCCGCGAAGTCGAGTTTCACGCATTCTTTTTCGGTCAAGTACATCGCTCTAGCTTCCTGTACCAAAGTCCACTCCGAAGACACGTTCATTGGACGTCTGATGCACGCAATGCGTCCGCTTCGAAGGAATCCCCGAGGATGTTGAGCTTCACAAATCTTCCGAGGTCACAAGGGTACACTTTCACACAAGGTCAAAAATCAGCCGACACGCGCCTGCGACAGCTCTTAAGCATTCGGACGGTATCCCTTCGCTGGAAGTTATGCCTGCAGCTTGCGCCACCATGCTCGGACGCTGGGGCGGCTATGTGTTGTTCGGCCTCCTGGCCGTAGCCGACGTGCATGCGATTGGACAGGCTACCTGTGTCACATTCTCTCCCTCTGCGTCCTCTTTCCCAGTTGTCAGCAATGGCGTGGCTGCGCCAATTCTTCTTTCTGAAGATGATTGGGGAGGTGTGCAACGTACCGCGTACGACTTCGCCATGGACATTCACAATGTGACCGGGGTAATGCCTCTACTGCTCAACGTCAGTATCCCTGCGACCAGTACCAATCTCAGCCTTGCTAGTATAAGGCCCATAATTGTCGGTACATTGGGACAGTCGTCGCTCATCGATGAGGTGGTGCAAAACACGAACCTGGATGTCTCGAGCATCGACGGACAGTGGGAAGCATTCATGACACGCGAGGTGGCAAACCCTCTCCCGGGTATCAGCAGCGCGTATGTCATGATTGGCGCGGACAAGCGAGGTACCATCTATGCGATGTATGACCACTCCGAACAAATAGGTGAGGTCTTTCCCTCTATTCGCTCATCCTGGTACCGAGAAATAATTACTACTGTCAGGCGTCTCTCCGTGGTATTGGTAAGTTCAAAAAAGGCTTTAGTTGCGCGGCGCTTAGCTCAAGTGTTCCTACGTAGGTGGGCTGATGTCCCTACGAAAACACACTCTGAGATCTATGTGGACTCTGCTGGATGTGCCCATGGATCCCCCACAGTGAAGTATCGTGGTATTTTCCTGAACGACGAGCAGCCTGCTCTTCAGGGCTGGGCCATGGTACGGTTCACGAACGGTACCGGCGCTGCGCTCACAGACTCGCCGTTCAACCATTTCTTCTATACGAAGCTGTGAGTTGCCACGTGTAAATATAAGCTCTGTATGCTCACTTTGATGCAGGTTCGAGCTTTTGCTCCGGATGAAGGCGAACTACTTATGGCCAGGTGCGGAGAGATGCTTGTTGATGTTTGCCCTGCATAATTAATTGTGCGGTGTTATCTATAGCGATGTGGTCAAGGTATGCATTCCGCCATATCAGTTATACAACTTGTGATTCATTCTTACAACCTAGTGCATTCGGTGTCGACGACACATTGAACCAACCTCTGGCCAACTGGTATGGAATAGTCATGGGCACCAGTCATGAAGAGCCGATGATGCGGTCGATTCCAGTTGAATGGACTCTGTTCGGCGTAGGTCCTTGGGATTACAGCACGAATGCGCAGAATATCTATGACTTCTGGGTCGTTGGTGCCGATCGTGGCAAGCCGTACGAAAACGTCTGGACTGTGGGCATGCGAGGGGATGGTAAGTACGATCTCCAGTGCTCGGATTATCATGACTAATCTAATCCCGGAAAACAGGTGACTGTACGTGCTGCTGCATGTTACGCCCTGTTCGCACTCCTTGACACAGCTTGTCGCCAGTGCCATTGGCCGGTGGTCAGAACATCGCACTGCTTGAGGAGATAATCGCAGATCAGCGGCAGATATTGAGCAACACCTATCCGGGAGTGAATGTCACCACGATTCCGCAGATGTGGTGTCTATGTGAGTTTCTGTATTCGACCAATTGCTGCTTATGGCTCATGCACGTTGGTCTAGATCAGGAAGTGCTGGGGTACTACGAAGACGGAATGACTGTCCCAGACGATGTCACTCTTTTGTGGACTGATGATCTGTGCGTATCATGACTTTCCAACGTTGTCGTCTCTGATCACTCCATAGATATGGGAATATTGAACGCCTTCCCACACTGTCTGAGCGAAACCGTACTGGTGGTGCCGGTGTTTATTATCATGCAAGTTATCTCTCACTCTTTCATACGTGTGACTCTGACATGACTGCTCTCGACAGTACGATCTGGTTGGTGTTAATGTAATACTGAAGACAACTGCTGAAAAGGTGTTCAGGTCGGAGGCGTGCGAGACTACAAGTGGATCACGGTATGTTCCCTCGTCTCGTGCCCGTGAGCAACTCTAAGGTGGCCGTGCTTTACAGAGCAATCAGATGACGAAGGCAAGCTCATGAGCTCCCTCCTTCGTAAACTGCTCTAGATGTCCGCTGCAGACTTACGAGCAAATGTCCCTCGCGGTCGCCCGCAATGCCACGCGGATCTGGATCCTAAACGTAGGCGATCTAAAGCCATACGAAAAAGAAATAGAATTCTTCATCGCGCTCGGCTGGGATTCGTCGGTGTGGAACATCAACAATATTGACACCTACGTCGAACTGTGGGCTCAGCGCGAGTTCGGGCTTTCGTCTGAAGATGCTGCGACGGTGGCCGATGTGATCGCGAACATCACCCGCTTCAATTCGAATAGGAAGCCAGAGCTCCTCAACTCGACTGTCTACAGCTTGTGGAATTACCGAGAGTGGGTACATGGCGGCCTCCGCGCAGTGATGTCCTCATCTTGTTTTCAGGGCTGAGAACATGCTGGCCATGTGGCAAGCCACCAACGAGTCCGCTACTCAAGTTCGCGACTCACTGCCAGCCGAGATGCTGCCCGCGTATTTCGAGCTGGTCTATCATCCCGTGCAGGCCAGCTACACCCTGGCGAACATGTGGATTGCAGCGGGTATGAATAATTTTCGCGCCTCACAAGCCTTCCTCAGCGCCAACGACTATGCTGCGATTGTCGAGGAGCTGTTCCAGCAGGATTGGGAGCTTGAGGTCGAGTATGAATCTCAGTTGGACGGTGCGTCTACGTTTGGGTATTGCGAGTACAAAATGGCTGACCATTGCTATAGGCAAATGGTTAGACCGTTTCGATTCTACTTTGATTGTACACTCACGGGACGGAGATCCCTTAGGACCCAGATGATGAGCCAGACTCATGTCATGTATTCCTACTGGCAGCAACCGCAGGCCAATACGTGAGTTGAGCATTTGGATACGCATTACAGACTACCCAACTCCGCGCGTTTCTTAAGCATGCCCTATATTTCGAGATATCAAGCGCAAAAGCAAGCATTAGCTGGCGCCATGCGAGTCGCGCCTGAGGGCACCCAGGCTGCCTGGTGCGCGTTTTCCTCATATCACATCATTCCTACATCTCACCGGAGCGCATCAGGCCGGGCGACAATCAATACCAATGCGCGCAAGGCTACAGCTGCCCGAACCCATCTCTGTCCATCGACCCCTACCTGCCTTCCGGCAACAGGTACTTCGACATCGGCGCCGGTGGACCAGTGCCATTCAACTTCACGGCGACCAGCAACGTCACTTGGGTGACAATGTCGCCCGTGGCAGGCTACATATCGCCTGACGCGCCCGAGCAGCGAGTCTTCGCCACCGTCGACTGGAGCCAGCTGTCGAGCACGGAAATCGCATTGATCACGTTCGAGGCCTATCCGCAGGGCCAGCCGTCGATGTCTCTTACGGCGACGCTGACCGCGAATTACACGCAGGTGCCGAATAATTTCACAGGTATGTGCAACCAGTGTGGTCATGCTAGATTGTGTTGATTTGCACCACGTAGGTTTCGTCGAGGGCGATGGGTGCGTCTCGATCGAGGCTGCGCACGCTTCAAGGAATACTACAGTCGAAGGCATTACGTGGATCAATCTCCCAGGCTACGGCCGGACGCTCTCCGGCGTCACCCCGTGGCCTCGCGGTGGCGACGAGCTCAACTTCACAGTCGGCACCGGTCCCAGCATGTGAGCGTTCGTTCATTTCCAATTCGAGATCCGCATACTTACATCCCGGGTCTAGTGAGTACGACTTTTACACTTTCAACACCTATCAGGATAGCGGCAACGTCTTCATCACGACCTACGTCTCGCCGTCACAGAACTCGCTTGGGCCGACCCGGCCCCTTGCTATCGGCATCCAGGTCGACTCGTGCGAGCCACAAGTGAGCTACTTCGTGCCAGTCGTAACGCCGGGGACACAGCCTGCTGCGTGGGACGGACTTGATGGCTGGGTGGCGACGAACGTCAATCCGATCTACATGAACTTCACTGCTGAACCGGGCGCCCACACGTTAACAGTAAGCACGAAACAGTGTGATCACGAACATCGGTATGTTAAAGATTCAACAGCTCTGGATGATTGAGCCTACTGTCGTCGTGCAGAAGATTGTTATCGGTGTGTCACCATCTCTGCAACCTATGAAGTGCGCATCTTGAATCCTGCATTGCAGACACAGGCAGTGTACAACCGAGCTACCTCGGGCCACCTGAAAGTATACGCATCCTGTAGTAGTCACTACTCGAACGTAGCATACGCTGGCTGTTGTATGTACAACTGATGCGAACACGAAGATGTCCCAATAGCCTGCGAGACATCGATCGTGACGAGAATTGTGCACGATAAATTACATGGCAGAGCGTGGTGACTTCTCCCAGACTGTGGAATGATTCGGAATGTATTTACAAGTCACGATGGATACTTTGAGAACAAATCACAACGCCGGCTCCTCGCCTACGACAAAGGTATACAGATTTCGCAGGGCATTCCTCTGCTTCGTGGTCAAAAGTGGACAACAGCACGGCGATGCCCATAGTTGCTGAATGAGCAGCAATGTTGCCCTGCGGCGGATGCTGCCACTCCCACTGTCAAATATCACGTCCAAAGCATTCCTGTCCAGCACTGCCTTGTCCTTGTCAGACAGGCGGGCATGGACAGTGTCCACAGTGTTCCTCCACCACATGTCAATGTTAGTGCAATGCTGTGGTGGCTATAGCTCAGCCAGCTGGAACCCATAACGCTCTGCGATGAGCAGGCACGCGTCGTCGAGCAACGCCCGGTTGGCAAGCATGGTGATCGCCTTCTCATGCTGTAGATGGTGAGAACAGTATAATGAATTAGCAATACACGCTGAACATTGAGAGAGAGGTCGAAAGCTCACATCGGTGACCTTCACGCGAAGGTCGGCAATCATTTGATCCTGCCGGGCATTCCTTTGAGCTTGCTCAGCATTCCTGCCAGCTAGTTCTGCTGCAAGCTTGTCAAACTTGGCATTGAGTGCGGCGAGTCCTCCATCATGGATGCTCCTGCTCTCACTGGTGGAAGGTGCTGGAATGGGGTGCTTGGGTGGAGCTTAATGCAACAGATGGATGTGAGCATGTGGCACACAGAAAGAGGGAAAAATGGCACACCTGCACGCCTATGCTTAGTCTTTCTACGTTAAGCCTTCATCGAGGGAATGAGGGCACGGCCATTGGCTGCTGCTGTAGCATCAACAGCACTTTCGCAGTGAGCCTTGTCGACAGGGTTGACGACAGCATGGTATTTCAAGCCATCTCTCGTGATATCGATGGTGGGAGGCGGAGACCCACATTTATAAAACATAACATCAGGGTCAGCTCCGGGAGAGTCTGACATCTGAAGCGAGGACAATATTTGTGAGTTTCTTGGCCGCCTTGGTAAGCTCAGGGGCAACCGTGGGCGGTGCAACGTTTCGGCATTGATGACTTCGCCACAACCAGAGGCTTCACCGTCAGCATGCGTGTCCCGATCTCCTCGGGACTCACGTGATGACGGTGAAGGAGAGCCTCTGCCTTGTCACCGAGTGTATTGGCCTGAGTTGCTTTCTTCTTACCTTTGGGCATGAGAGCTCAGGAGTGGCCAAGTTCGGATTACATAAGCATTTTTCATCTCCGAAACGCGCCGATTGGATGACGCGCCGGTGGCTGAGATGTGCAATGGCTGAGGCTCATCGCTCATAGCTGACTTGTACTTCTATCTCTAGTCTAGAAAACATATCTACTGCAGGGTCCCTGATTTTGCAGAGTTGTTGTACATATTCATGCATTGGAATTATACCCGACAATGATAAGTCGTGACAATCATATCATGAACAGCCCACTGAAGAGTCGAAGGCTCTTACTGGGTGCTGCTCGCCAGATGTCGACATGTTGTACCCTTACAGTACGTGCCTCCCTCTGCAGAGCATCATCAGAAGAGAAGCTCACTGGACATGAGGACGTCGCGACAATATTGATTGGCCCGGTGCAGGTGCCTACGACGCCACTCTCGGCGAACTCGTTTTGTCTGACAGCGAAGACATTGGCATCTGCTGTCCGTTCCCTGCTTGAGCGTATGACTGAATCACGCGTTGCAGGGCGGACAATTGCTACGTCCACAAGTGACATTGTGAAGGTCCGCCATGTTTTCCATTCCTCTGACAGATGTCATGGCTCACAAATTCGAACAAGAAACGGGAGCGCATCTTCTGCAACACCGACCTCTTTCTCTCGCAATGAGTACAGGCCGCAGCTATGCTTTGTCCCCGTTGCTCCCTGCATGTGTTCTGCCATTCGGCACGGCCGGTGCCGTTCAGTCCGTGGCACGACCTCACATTTTTGATCACAGCCATTCACCCGTGAGTTTCGATTTCCCAATTCCACTTCACGGCCATGATCGCTCCCTGTTAGCGCCCCCCTAACCGACCAGTCCCAGGCCCACGGGCCACCAATGGGCCATCGACTCCATCTTCTACTCCGTCTTCGCGGTCGCCGAGACGCTTGGCTCCTCGAACCACTAGTACAACATCGATCTCGCGGCGAATGGTGACAACGACTATATGCCAGGCTATGCGGTCTATGAAACTTCAAGACGGACCCATCTGGGGGTACTCGGTGTCGACCAGCTCGGCGAGGAAGACATCCATCTCGTCGACGAACATCGCAGGCCTGATCTGGCACCAATGATCACATTGTGACCGTCTCCATCTCAGATCAGGGTGAAATGAGTTATGTGGACATGGCCACCGTTGCTGTCGGCCCTGCGAGTGATCATGATGGTGGATGGTTCATCTTGTAGATACCTTTTGGCCCCATCCGTCGGCGAGAATTTTAACGTCGCACGGGCTGGCCAGGTCGGTCTTGCATTCAGGTGCGCGGTCAAAACGACGCTCGGCACGCAGTTAGTTGTCACGACGGTCACAGTTTTACAACACAACTGTCGATCCGAGCACGTTGGAGACCTCGAACGGACACAGTGAGGCGGATGGCGGCTATGGCATCACTAGCAAAGGGAGCCACAGCAGTGCCAGAGGTGTGGGTATATACCCGAATATGGTGCTGCTTCTGGCGATGCTGGCTGGTGTGGGCGTGTTGATCAAAGCACTGGGAAATGGCTGGCCTTGAAGCTGACAGTATGGATTCGCGGCTTCTATCGTCGAGCTATTGGTATATCCTAGGACTTCATGACATACCCCACCCTGGGAGGTAAACCTTGTCACATCGTTTCGTGGCAACTAGCGTTCCGTATGTTTGTGATATACCAATATATCCGAGATGAGCTTCCAGAATAGATCTGATGACAGATTGCATAAATAGGACAGGCTCAATGAGAACGAGAGCAGAAAACTGAATGAGTTGAGTGAACACAGCACGGTTCTGAGTGAGGAGCAAAGCATATAGAACGACGAAAGCGCGATTATCCGTTTGGGCAGAATATCAGATGGAGTTGAAAACATGACGCCAGCGCCACGGCTGGCAACGCACGACAGACGGTGTCTGCTCTCAGAACATGACACCACCATCTGGACCAGGAGAGACGGACACACTATGCACCCTTATCGCACCCGCCTGCAGACTCGCATAGCTCGACGTGCGGTAGACCATCCCAGTGCCTGTCCGAGGCTTCGGCCTCGGGCCCGCAACGAGCGGGCGTACTCGCGGAGAGGAGGGCGGAGTAGGCGTCGCACGTGTGTTCGTCGGCGTCGTCGGCGTGGAAGTCGTAGACGTGGAGGAGCCGTTGCTGTCGGCCCTTTGGATGGGCGCCGCGCTAGGGAGCTGCGAGAGGTTGCGGACGGACGGCACGCTCGAGAGCGTGCGCGCGTGCTGGCCATTCGTCAGCACGCCGGTCTTGCTTGGGATGCCCGACGGTGAGCGGACCATGTTCTGCCGCAGCGCCATGGACTGCGAAAGGCGGAGCGGCCGCGGCATGCCTGACGTTGTGCTCGTGCTACCTCCGGAGGGAGTGGACGAACCTGATGCACCCATTGAGGAATATGTAGATACGGAGCTTACGCTGGATGCGGCCGACATGGTCCGTGGCCGCGCTCCATTGGCTGTAAAGGACGTTAATGATCGTTGATAATAGCTTGCACGACCGGGAAGACCTGATACTGATCCTGTAGACAGCACGGAGCTGGTGCTCGCGGACGATAGAGCACGCTGCCTCGAGATTATCGCCTGGATATCGGTCGACTTTAAAGGCCGTTGCACACGACGTGCACCAGCGACACCTCTAGAGCTGGGTGTGGTAGGCATGGAGGAAGCCCCAGTAGAGAATATCGACATGCTGGATTGCGCTCTGACTCGCGTTGGCGTCGATTCGAGCGAAGACGTGCTATCCGCAGTGCTGGGCCGTAACGAGGATAGCGACGAATTGGACGTGGATGCAGACTTGGGCAGGTCTTTGCTCGGATGTGATCCTGCAGCAGGTGGCGGGCTGACTACCGTGGATTCCCTCGTGGCCTCTGAAAGTGGCCGTGAATTGCTTGCAGACAGCGATGTTTTGCGTGTGATCGAGGTGTGTATCAGCTTCCGGGTGAGCGTCGAGGGCGCATCCTCATCCTCACTGACACGATCGCCCACGTCAGGCTGGCCGCAGCGCAAGCAGCGATCAAGCAACGCACCTATCGCTCCAGCCGAGCCCCGTCGTCAAGCCCATCCCTGCGCGCAGGAGACTTCCGTCTCGGTGTCGTATCCGCCGTCTTACAGTATCCCGAGGGTCTTTGTACAATACGCCCGCCTTCGTAGTGATAGACCCAGCCATGGACGCCGCACTGAGCACGCTGAGCGAGCGGTCGGGCGCGTCGCCTTCCTCGTCCTCCTCAAGGAGGTATGGAAACGACGATGTCATTCCGGGGCCCTTGGGAAGCAGCTTTGAGCGCGGAGACAGCAAGCCATCGCGGAACATGAGATGGGGGAGGGGCGTGTGCAGATCGATGCTCGAGTCGGACTCGCTGCCGTCGAGCTCCCGCTCCGTATCTGAGCCCGCTTCCTTCAGATCATTGTGGCAGCCGACACCAGAGCTCGAGCGATGGGGTGTGCGGAACGCTGTGGGAGCGGCAGCATATGACCTGCGCCTGGGGCGAGGTGTGTTGGCGAGGATGGTCCCTACATCTGGGCTAGAGGGCCGTTGTACGCTTGCTCCTCGTTCTCGTCGAGCAGCTCGCACTGCCGATGACTCCTTCACTGCTGCGTCGTTCGATCGCGATGCGCCAACTGTCACCGACAGGTTTGATTCAAGATCTGGTCCCGGCCGCAAAGAAAGTCCTTCCAGTTCCTCGTGCTGGGAAGCATCATCAGATCCCTTCACTGCCTGCAGCGTATCTTCGACAGACACCGGCTTTGGATTGCTGGGCCGCCTGCGCCGTGCACTGCCGAAGATGGCGTTCTGAATGCTCGGCTTGCGGAAATGCTCCGCAGACTCGGGATGAAAGGACATGGGAGCAAGACGTCGCAATTGACTACTGCACAGGCCCAGACGCGGCAGAATAGCCGAAGTAGTGAGAAATCCGAGTGACCCAGAGACTAAAGTCGCAGCGCAGCCGTACACTGGAAGTAAGTTGGGCGCGTTGATGACAACATTCCCTTTTACATCGCACGCTACCCACAATCGCACAGCATCGCATGATTTTTCATAACAAATGACATGTTCGGAACGACAGCCTGGAGGTAGTCAGGAAAAGTGATGAACAATCAGTTCAAAGGCTAAGCCAAGGACGAATGAGGGTCATCCCGGTGTCGACGAAGATGCGATCACAGTACTCGGAAGTGAAAGACATGCGAAATTAGTTCTAATCGTAACCCGTAATCCATCCACCTAAACAGGTGTCAGGAATTTGATGGAATGCATGTAGCTCGGCATGGGTTGTAGAAATCTGTGTCTGGGTACTATCAGCAGGAACTACGAGTCAGATGGGACATAGCACAAGGCTATGACAATGGAACATTTTACAGACAACAATCAACCCAGATGGCAACGTTGATTGGAGGCAGCCCAGAAAGCCCCACGAACTTACATCAGCCCGAATGAGAGGAATGCTCGACCCTTGTCACCGCTATTCCCGAGCGGAAAGCGTCTTCCAGCGTCTATCAAACCATGTTTCCAGCACCGGTGTCAGCTGGGTAGTCAGGCTCTGCTTCGCGGCATTGTCATTGATGTAAAGCAGAGCTGCGTTGGGCATTCGTTCGATATATGCGACGACTTGCGCCGCGCCTTGGGCGCTCGAGACGCGTTCGAAGAGTGACGGTGCACGACCTGGATCACGTTAGACAGCCCACATCAATCAACGTAACTGTGATATCCGAGCGCTGGCACGTACCTATCACATAGTGGTAGCGCTGTAGGAGCTGCATCACCCACTGTCTTACATTCAGCTCTAGCTTCATGCCCGTAACGGCATTTAGGGAGAAGTACGCGAGTAGAGGGAGATGGGGCACTTCTCGGTCGCCATCCTCAGTGCCCACTGGTGGAAGGACGTGATCGGGAGCAGGAAGGAAAGCCGACAAGCCATGGCTGCCGCTTGTTTTTGTTAGCGCCATAACCACTGAGGTGCCTCCAAATAAGGGGCAGGAAAGACGCATACCACAGTCTCCACAAGCCTCATTGCGGAACGCGATATCCGCAAAGATCTCGCTTCCGGGTGGGTGTTCGCCTTCAGACTCCAGATGCTTCATCGCGAAGCACTTCTCGTAGAATATCCTGCACCTGGACCGTGGCCTCATTGATCTCCGGGGCAAATGACACCCAAGTTGGCCGACCATAGGCACCTAGACCAGCGTATGCGCAACCGTCGAGAGATGCTATGGGGTCTTGTTAGTAGAGGAAAACCCTTCAACCAACCAGAAATGTACATACAAGATGAATATGAAGTCAAGCTCGGAAGCGGATATCCGCTCGCCTTCAGGACCTCTCGACCCCATCCCTTGTGAGCGTATCCAGGTGGCTGGTCTCGACGAGCAATTCGCTCCCCCCCAGGCGCCACCAATTTTACCCCAAGCGCGCCGAGCCTCTGCTTCGCCCCAGGTTCCATTGAGGGCGCCGACCCGTCCGAGGGACCAGCTCCACAGGAGCTTTTCTCGTGCACGTTCGACAATAAAGTGCGCGTGCACGAAGAACGCGTTCACATCGCCGTCGCCGCTTGCAGTCTCTTGGGAGAGATGCGCTGCGGAGGCCGCGAACGACTCGTGCCATACGGTGGTCATCTCGTGTGAGAGAGCGCGAGAGGCGACCTCGGCCCAGCGTGAATAAGCGCCCGACGTCAACTTATGCACTGCGAAAATAAGGTTTAAATGAGCCACAAGTCATTTTTGTAAGGTGATATTGTTAAACGTCCCCGGGCGCCAATCAGTGCAAGTAAGTGAGACTGCGACGGGATACAATAGATTTGATGTCCGCCTCTTCAACACAGCTCCCGCACGTTCTCAGTGACCTAGAGACCTGCCGCACCTGAGGCTTGTCGAACAGTCGCGTGTGAGAGCGGTTGTCCGTTAGTGTTGAAGATGCTTCAGTGTCTGTGTACTCAGTACTGACATTTCTGTCTGCTCACTCCAGCACGCTCAACACAGGTCTTCATCGCCGATATGGGCGACTATCTGGGTCTCCCATCGCCACGTCTGCCCTTCGAAATATGCGACTACATACTCGATCACCTATGGGACGACCGCAAGACCCTCAAGGTCTGCAGCCGCGTCACGCGAGAATGGCTCCCCACGACGCGGAAACATCTTTTTCATTTCATCCGTATCGTCAACGACCTGGAGCTCGTCGCCTTTGAGGATGTGATGCTTCACTCGAGGGACGCGGTGGCGCTCTGCGTCCGCACGTTGGACTTTGGATGGGACGACCGTTTCGCGATTCCCGCCTTCGTGCCTCAAACGCTCGCATCTTTCGGCCGGCTAGAAGAGCTCACCCTCCGAGGAACCATATGGAACGATTCTTACTTTTCTGCGAAGACTATAAGGTGGCCGATACTGCCCATGGTGAAGGCTCTTCACTTGCACATCAGGATCGTCGACGACGTCGTAAGCCTGCAGCGATTCATCTGCGCATGCCCCTCGCTCTCCTCCCTGAAGCTCCAGATAAGACGAGTCTCAGAGTGCGATGGTTCGCACACTCATCCTCCAGTGGTCATCCCGGGATCGATAGCGATCGAGACTTTCCAATGCGGTGTCCATGCGCCAGACCCCCTACTCAGCTGGCTGCTGCAGGGTGGCCTGAAGCTGCGCATGCGTCGATTGGCGATTACCGTGCGCGAAATTCCGGCCTCGGTCAAATTTCTCAGGACGGGCGACGTTCAAGGCCTGTTGCGTGCATCTGGTGAATGTCTGGAGCATCTCGTCCTCAATTTGCCACCCGCGGCATTCTCCCGTTCACCAGATGGCCAACAAGCAGCGCTGATGCACAATCCGAATCTGGTCTCGGTCTATGTGTCCGATGTAGGGTGTCATCGCGCCCCTGGCTCAGGGGCGTTCTCCAATGGCTGGACGAGTCTGCTCTCAATCCTTGCCGATATCCAGCCAATGCATGCCAGGCTGCAATCGATCGACATCAAGTTGGTTACGACAAGCGAGTCGGATATCACAAGTATGCCTTGTGAGCAGCTTGATGCCGCCCTGGCGCGAATTGTGGATACCCACCCGCAGTTAATCTTCGCCGTATGGATAGCCTGCGATCTTCTTATACCAGCGCCATGGCTGGCAGAGTTCGTCGGAGCGCTCTTGCAAGGCTTGGTCAGGGTGCAGGCGGGACGGGGCAGATTCTGTTTGATGTGGCTGAACGGTTGCGATGAGGTTATGGGCTTAGGTCACCGCACGATACCGTCCTGGTGTTCGCGGTGGTGATGTGGCAGGGCTCAGTTCATCTAGCTTTTCTCCTTGGCAATACCTTCCATGTACATCATTCTTTCGGACTTTGCTTCCTACGCGCTTAGGCTATAGATGTTTCGTAGATTCCATCTTCTGCCTGCGCACGAGCCGAGGGCCTTGTCCCACAATTCAGAGATGTAATGAAGGCTTGCATTGTCGATTGGGACAGTTTTTTTATGTGAAACAGCTTATATCAATAATTTCCACAGATTGCAGACAGCATGCTTTCAGGCGTCCGCCGAGATGACCACTTCCCGAGCGGAGGCGTGTCCGCGAACAGAACGGCTGCGCCGTTCACTTAATGTGCACTGTTCGCCACCTTGCGCAGCTCCTCGACTTCCAGCTCTACATGCATTGCCAAGTTAATTAAAGCAACAGTTGCTTGCCATCTTCTCGGATAGGGCCCCGGGCGCCAGTGGCCCACACTGCAGATTCGGACGCGTCCACGTGATCATATGAAACGCGTTGGTGGCGCTAGCCGTGCAACGATTGAGCAACGATTTCTGGGACATCTGCTGCTTTGATGATTTCGAAGGGTCTGGCCACTTCAACTTTCCCAATTATGTATTCTACGAGTCTCATTCCACGCGCATGATCATGGCACTTGAACGATTATGAGAATTTCAGTTTGTGGGTCCACCTCAGGTTATGTTCCTGATAAGGAAACGTTATGTTGCAACATTGTTGACTAATTCTTATGCAGTCGTCAGGACGTAAGATGCTTGGACGTTAGAGAATGAAGCCGCATAATTTCTATGGTGCCTTCATGAGGTCGGGTTGGTGGTGTTGGACCAACAAGTGACATCGGATCATTCCGTCTGAGCGCTGAGCCACTGGCGGGCCATATTATCATGTGAGTCCGAGCGGCCTATTTAAGGACCGACGCGTACTTGAACGCGCTTCAGTCGCCGCGTAACTACCACCATCCTCGCCACACAGCTTGGACATTCGAGTACGAAGCGATCTATATGGGTGAATTAGAGTCGCTAAGGGAGGTGTTTGAGAAGTTAGAGGTATGTATTTGCGCTCGTCGCCAAGCTGGCAGCAAGATGCGCACTATTGATGACAATTCTGCAGGTCCGAGAGCAGAAGAAGAATGCGTCTCAAGAATTGGCCATCGGCGACTCTGAGAAGCCTTCAAAGCCTGCGCGCGGTGATGTTGCGATGGATGTAGACCGCGCCAAAAGCAGGCCACAGTCGTCTCTCGTGCACCGCATAAAGCGCGGGCAGGCAATACGTTATCCCCGCCTGCCGAAGGGGTTCCGTTCGCATCCATGCCACTACGTCCTCGGCTGGGAAGTTTCCGATGCTACCGTCAGAAGCTACATCAAGCGGCTCCCTCACTACATCGACGTGTTCATCTACAAGCACGAAAAGGCTCTGCTGGACACACACGGACTCATGCTCCTGCTGCTCAAACGGATCTTCTGCTACGAACACTTTTTCTGGGCGACGGTGCTCCCGCGAGGGAGCCGCGTCCCCGAGGACCCCTTCGACCCGAAGGTGCCGTTCGTGACTGTGTTCGGGATATGCGCGACGGCGAGCAAGCGCTATTTCCGGCGGAGACCGTCGAAGATGCAGTATGCGGCCTTGATGAATGCGTTCGGGGCGGTGCCTGCGAAGTGGCACAAGGATCCGCTGCCGAAGAGCCTCTTCCATTTGCAAGCTGTGTGTATGGATTGTTGAGTGCGTCGTGCACTACAAGTTGGTGTTAGTGGTCTACTGATCAACGCCGCGCTAGTGCTATAGCGTGACACCCCGTATGGTCCCTTGTTTCTCTTTCGGTCTTCTTATATGTTTGTTTCTCGCTACTGACGCCTTGAGCATATGATTGGGTATACACGATTGCTCTACTACTGCGAATGCCACTGGCTCTTGGGATACTAATTCTCATCATGATCTCACTCCCTGATCTTTCAAATTCGTCATATTGTGCCTTGCTATGAGAATTCTCTGTCTTCTTTACACGTCAATAAAGCTTCTTGGAATAAGTACTAGCGTCTTTGTGTGCTTCCGTAGTGAATGTGAGAGCTCGGCAACAAGCGAAGCGACCTCCTCAAACATGGCGACCCCCTGACGGTGCATCTGAGGGCCACACTGCACATTCCGGACTCTCGTCTCCAGAGCCTGCGCGATCTGCATGCATTGACTTATCGTTCGCGTCTATCTTTGAGGTCATTAGTCAGTCCGAAGACGCCACTCTTCTCGGCATCACGCCAAATACCATCTGCAGCCAGCTAAGGGCGTTCGTGAATGCCCGAGAAAGCTGACTGTACAACTATTTGCTGGAAGCGCTTTACCCCACAAAGAACTCTATAAAGGCGTAGCGATTCAATTGCCTCTGCGCTTGATACCCTACAAAGCATGGCGACCTCTAAGACGGCGATCTTCCTGACTGGAGCAACAGGTACGCGTGGTTCCGTACTGCTGGACGATCAAATTGTCGACAACTTTGTTCATTCAGGCTATATCGGTGGCGCTGTGCTCGCCCGTCTGCTGAAGCACCCGAGTGCAGAGACGTTCGATATCACGGTCCTGACGCGCGATGCGAACAAGGCCAAGAAGCTCGAGACCTTTGGGGTGAAGGCGGTGGTGGGGACGCATGACGATCTGGACAAGCTCGAGTCGCTGGCGGAGCAGTCGCACGTTGTCTTTTCTTGCGTGAGTGGATGCGCTTTCGTTGGGCTTCGAGTGTCTGGAGCTCGTACATTGACCGGGTCGCTTGGTGCTTTAGGCGGACGCGGATAACTTGCCTGCTATTCAAGCGATATTGCAAGGACAGAGAAAGAGACATGCGTCTGTCGGCGATCTGCCTATTTTGATTCATACGGTGAGTTATCACCTATTACCTTCAGCCTCTGCATCTCATAGGGTGTTGCTGCATTCAAATAGTCTGGTACAGGTCAGGATCTACTTGTCAACGCTATATGTGTGACAGTGTCACGGCTGAACATGTGCCATAGGTGAAATCGCTGAAGGGACCAAAGGAATGTATGCGTCGGAGACGTCCTACTCAGACACGAACGTAGAGCAGATCAAGTCCATCCCGGAGACCGCTTTTCATCGCAATGTTGACCTCACAGTTGTCGCCGCTGACCAACAAGGTAGCAGTCATCGTCTCATCACACCCTGATGTGTTCTCTGACAGCGTTGCAGGATATACAAAGACGTACATCGTGCTCCCGTCCACCATCTATGGCATTGCCACCCACCCCCTCGCACAGGCGGGCATCTCGAACCCACACTCGATCCAAATCCCCAACATCATCCGCGTCTCGATTGAGCGGAAGCAAGCCGGCATGGTGGGCCTCGGCAAGTCACTCTGGCCTGACGTGCACATCGATGACCGTAAGCGCGCGTGCATTACCTCCCTCTCTCCATGCCCTTGCTCACACAGCAATACAGTGGCGGAGCTGTACATCACGATCTTCGATACGGTCACGCGCGACCCGGAGCTCGGGCACGGCTGGGAGGGCTTCCACTTTGGCGAAAATGGCGAGCACTCGTGGTACGACATCAGCAAGGCGATTGCCGTGGCGTTCGTCGAGCTCGGCCTCGGCGGGAGCGACGAGCCGACGACGTTCACCACGGAGGAGCTGGTCAAGTTCTGGGGCTCAGAGGTGCGTCTCACCCTAAATCGCCAGTCCGGTGCTATTGTTCAACGTGTATCTGGATGTCAGGCAATTGGATTGTACTATGGGAGCAACGTGCGCTGCACCGCGGACCGCGGGCGCTCGATTGGGTGGAAGCCGAGGAAGACGACGAAGGACATGATCGCGAGCATCAAGCCGGAGGTGCAGTCGCTGTGGAAGGAGGCGCAGGAGGAGGGTGGTCTGAAGCTGTCCACTTCGTGATGGGGTTCGTATGGCACAGAATCGCTGAGGAAGAATTCGATCATGTACAACAGTAAGTGGAGAATCACGGCGGACAGAATGCGGTGCTATTTTTGCGTCGCAATATGTTGTGGATTCATGACCGTGCTACATGCCAGCTGATACCACGATCATCGTGCTGGCCTTGCTTTTGCTGTGAACTACTTACTTTTTCATGCCCATGATCAAGGCTTAATCAGTAAGCATGAAGCAGAATATTGTAGTGCTACGTTAAACGCTGGAAGCGGACGCGGACGAAGTTGATGACGTCATATGTGATCTACAATGTCATGTGCCCTTGTCGTCACCGACAAAGTAACACTATTTTGGCCATCGATCGACTCCGTCTCTTCAGTAGCTCTCCCCAGCGAACACTCAAGCCCTCAGGCCTCAGGCCTCATCGCGGAATGTCGCACATAAGACAACGCGAGCACTCTTTCCAAAGCTTGTTGCCCGACCATCAGATGCACTAGACTCTTAGTCAAGACTCAAAAACGTCAACGGATGATCAATCCCCGGCCAAGATCGGAGAAGTGGCTTACTGTACGCTGTAAGTATCCCCCTGCTGGTTTGCAGCGTATAAAGAAGCAAAGAATGTACTCGAAGACTCCATTGCCATTCCAACTCACGTACAGCTGGGCGAAGCATGGCGGCCTCCAAGACGAGTATCTTTTTGACTGGTGCGGCGGGTGCGTTTGCGAACTCGGGTGCTTTCTATATTGCAACTCGTAAATGGTGTCGATCTGTTTGTTCAGGCTACATCAGTGGGACTGTGCTAGCGCATTTGCTGCGGCACCCCGACGTGGGGACGTTCGACATCACTGCGCTCGTGCGCTCTCCGGAGAAGGCGAGGAAGCTCGAGGCGTTCGGGGTTAGGAGCGTGGTGGGGTCGCTCGATGACTTTGACAAGCTTGAGGCGTTGTCGGAGCAAGCGGATGTCGTGTTCTCTTGTGTAAGTCGTGGTGGTTCGTTCTGGGTCCGGATTGACGTTCATGTGCATGGTGTTGCAGGCAGATTCAGACTATCTGCCCGCGATGCAGGCGATCCTGCGGGGGCTGAAGAAGAGGCATGAGTCGCTCGGAGATTTGCCAATTTTGATTCATACCGTGAGTATCGTACATCTGAGAGGCGAGATTCCTGGTTGAGCGCGTGAATGCGTGTGTCTAGTCGGGCACAGGTGAGCACCTTTGCTGATGCACCGAGAGGGGACGCTTAGTGTTTGCAGGCGTCCTAAGCGAGGATACGAGGGGGATGTACGTTGCGGACAAGGTTTATTCAGACCTGGACGTCGAGCAGTTGAAGGCGATCCCGGAGACCGCTATTCATCGCAAGGTCGATCTCGCCGTCATTGCGGCCGACCAGCAGGGTACCTTGTGTAGTCCCACATAACTTTAGCGCGTCCTCTCACAGGATGCTTTTCGTAGAATACGCTCGGACGCACATCGTATTCCCGTCCCAAATCCACGGTGTCGCGAACCACGCTCTCGTCGAGGCGGGCATCTCCAATCCGTACTCGATTGCGATTCCCTGGATGATCCTCGCAGCGATCCAGCGGAAGCAAGGCGGGGTCGTCGGGCTTGGCAAGTCGGTGTGGCCCGACGTGGACATCGATGACGGTGCGTCGAGCGGAGCTCTTTCGCTGTAATCGTCTGATGAAGCTATCCGCCCGCGCAGTGGCGGACCTGTATGTCGTGTTGTTTGACGCGATCCGGCGCGACCCTGAACATGTCGGGCATGGCTGGGAAGGTTTCTATTTCGCGGAGAATGGAGAGTATTGCTGGTATGACTTGACCAAGGCGGTCGTTACTGCGTTGGTGGAGCTCGGAGCTATCGAGAACGATGAGATATCATCATTCACGGAGGAGGAACTGCCCAAGTATTTCCGCGCCGAGGTACGATTGTGCTGCTGTTGCTGATCGCAAATGCTTATCGTGGTTGTCGCCTGGTAGGCTAATGGGTGGTTGTTTGGGAGCACGTCGCGCTGCCGGGCGGATCGCGGTCGGTCGATTGGGTGGAAGCCGGTGAAGAAGACGGAGGACATGTATGCGGGCGTCAAGGTCGAGGCGGAGGTGCTGTGGAGGAAGAAGTTCTGAATCTGGACAGATTGACGGTCCGGAATTACTAGGTTTTGTAAGGTTTCCTTTCACATACTACATTGAACTGCTATATATGTCAAGCCCTGTGTATGTCATGCCTGTAACTGTACACCGACATCGTACTAATTTATCTCCCATCCCTTACACCAGCCCCCTGCATTCCCACTGCCGCAACCGCCACTCAGAGACGTGTCCGGGGACCCCGAGACGGGGACGTGTCGGTCACGTGAGGGCGACGCGTCGGTCACGTGGGCGCATCGACGGATTTGAGCGTGGCGTGGGACAATGTCGGTGGCGTGGAAGATTTGGGACCGCGCGCGGACCGCACAGGCGCCCGTAATCTGGAAGGAAGGAGTGGCGATCAGTAGAGCCCTGGCTGGGAAAGTTCTGTAGTGTAAATTGTCTAGACTCTGCACCTGTGATCACACTTGTGATGAAAAAGGTTCGATGAGTCGTTTGTAGGCCGCCATCAGAGCAGCGTTGTCATATTGTCGTTGGCGCTGGACACATAAATGTCGGGCGCCTGACACACCCTTACAGTGGATAGCTAGCATCATCTGACATGTACTATGTGGAGCAGGCAACGAGGAAGGCAGCAGACCGCGAGGCAGCGGCGTTGCAGCGACCACTCGAATGGAACGCTCCGGGCCCGATAAGGACAAGCATCCAGCCAACAAGAACCCCATCTATTCGTCCCAAGCTTCCCAGTGCAATGTGAGGTAACAAAACCCGTTATTCCGTTCGTCTCTTGCTTTATCCGGCGACGGGCATGGTGACCATCTCTCTCTCCCTCGGACTCGGAACGGTGGAGGGCGGAGATCTACTGGCAGCGTCTTTGCCGCAAGCCGCGGTTCAACCCCTGCCCACTCCTTTGGTGCGCGACTCGACCCGGCGCATTGGCATCGCACGCCGGCACGATCCCCAGCCCTGGCGCGAGGGTCCGGGGCCCCTCCCTTCCACCGCCGCCATGCTGGCATCCATCGTATCCCCACTCCCACCACTGTAATTCCCTGCGCTCGCTATGCAGAACGGCGGCGTCGACGAGCTCACCGCGGCCGCTTGCAGTGCTGTCAAGTCGCTGACGTGTGCGGGGAAGGCGAGAATGTTGCTTGATATTTGTGTTGCGTTGATTGAGGCCGAGAGGTGCGTGATCTTTGCTTGTGTTCGTGCCAGACTGGGTTTGCCTTTGATTTCAACTGCCGCGACTGTATCGGGAGGTCTGATCAGGCTGCTGTGTTTGACAGAGCCTCTTCGTCTACAGCAGTCATTGCCTTTTTCCTCTTTTTTTTTTTTGAATTCATTCATGGATGAGATTGTCCTGGGCTGACGTTAACAACAGATATGGCCCCGACGTGGAACGTTACTTGGACGTGTACTTGCGTACCCCTGACATCGCTCAGGAAGACCTCAGGAAGGCACTACGCATTCGAGCGAATGCACGGAAAGCCGCTGGGGAGATGCTCCTCGCTAAAGCGCAACAAGGTGCGAAGACGTCAGTCGCTATCTCGTGTTGCACAGCAGCCGTTCACGGCTATGCCTTCGTGTTATGAGAGAGAGCCTGGCGTTGTGGAAAATTCAGTGCATTCGTTTCTGCATCGAGCTATGCACGGTGGATGACCATCTCATAATGCATGGCGTCTGTCTCTCGCTCTTACATTCACGTGTTATGGGATAGGATTCTGGCTAGAGATGGCGCTCCCAACCTCACTTATGCTGGGTGTTATGAGGTTTTCCTCAGCTCGAGCGCTCTCCATACGGGATGGTCATATACGCGTTGCTCATCTCGGAGAAAATCACTCATGCACGGGATGCGGTGTTTTCCCAACATGAGCGGTCCCGGCAGACTCGATGCGTTCGTTTCTGACCCAAGCTATGCATAATGGATGACTATCTCATGGTGCATGGCGTCCGTTTCTAGCTCTGCGGTTCATGCATTATGCGCTATTGTTCTGGCTAGAGATGGCGCCCTATGCTGGGCGTAATGAGGTCTTCTCATCTCGAGCGCATGCAATATGAGGTGGTCGATGTGTGCGTGGTTCACATTGAAGAAAATTTTCTGCGGATGGAATGCGGTGTTTTCCAAACAAGGCATGATTCATCACGGTGACAAGGCTTCTCCTAGTTCACTTCATGCCTTGTTTCCTCGGCCCTGGGTACGGTCAGATTTTTTTCAGACACTTTCCTCGTGCTTGTATTTCGGCGGCCTATCTTCGGCAATCAAGTCTTCCGTGTTCTGTCTCGTTTCATTTTGACCGTACATGCTCATGACATTGTTGCTGATGCATGGTCGATGCAGATTTTTTCTCGGCTGCACAATTGCGCTCTCCGCGTACTGGCACACGACCACGGCGAGAGCGCACATTTTTGGTGAGTTTTAGTCGCCGTACAACATAATTTTTTACACAGGCAATTTTCGTGCTGCCGACGCCCAGGCAGAGGTTATTGAGCCATCCTCACGCCCTTAGACGAGGCAGACACCTCTGGTAGGCTTGACATCAAGCCTGTATGCTTGCCTTGTAGGAAAAGCCTCCGACAACCGCGCGAGGACTTCTAACACGTCTAAAGCATATGTGACGACATATTTGACCCGCTTCTCTATTCAGTCACCCCTCACTACCTAAAGCATCGGTTCAGCTGACGCACCCCGGGGTCGCGCACGTCATCGCATTTTCTCCGCTTTCCCAGAGCCGCAGTTCACGGCCTCTTGTCTGACGCTACTCATTTTAGATACACCACCTTCACGAGCCAGCGTGGCGCCGTGCTCCCGCCGAGGTTTGGGAGCACATCGCCCGCTTTATTCCGCGGTACCACCTGCGCACATGGTTGTCCGTCTCTTCGTTCTATCACGACATTGCAGCGCGGCGGATCTTTCACACGCTCGACCTTTACTTTGGCGGGGATGACCAGGAGAGCGTGAATCGCGGACTGGACGTGCTCGATCGCGTCAAGGCGGACGCGACGTTTGCTGCCCGGGTGCGGACGCTCAGGCTGCATTGGGCTTACGAAGAGGGGGACATGTTCGACCTTATCCTCAGTGCGGCCTTCTTCACCCTCTCAGACTTTGCCGTACCGCTGACTGTGTCGCAGGACTGTTCCGCGCTGCATTGCCTGCTTTCGCCGCTCTTCGTGAGTTCGAGTGGATCGGATACCCGGAGATGCGCGTCGAGATGGTGCGCACGCTGCTCTCGAGCCATCCCCGTCTGCAAGGCCTCGGGCTGATCGGCTGGCACTTTGACGCTGTCGGCGTGGTACGTCGGTTTCCCTCTACTCTGCCGTCTCGCCGTCGGCGCTGATCTCTGCTGTGCTCACAGTCCGGCCTACGCAACCTGCACCGATTCTGCCTGCGCGCCGAGGACGACGACGGCTTCGCGGACATGGGCGAGGTGCGGAGCGTGCTGGACCACAACGCGGGGACGCTGCGGCACCTGACGCTCGGCGCGCACCTGCAGCGGCCGCACTCGTGGGACGGGGCGTTCCAGTCGGGGACGATCCGGTCGCTGACGCACCTCGACCTCGTCGACACGCGGATCTCGCACGCGGTGCTCGCGCGGATCGCGCATGCGGGCGCGCTGCGCTCGCTCACGCTGCACGGGACGTTCGAGGAGCCCGAGGCGGCGCGCGCGGTGTTTGCGGCGGATTATCTCGTTGAGGAGGAAGGGGGGCGGGCGCGGCATGCCATGTTGCCGCTGCTTGAGGCGTTTCGGTTTGTGATGGTGGGGATGGATGATCAGCGGGGGTTGTATGAGGCTGTGTCGCAGTTTGTGAGGATGAGGCCTGCGCTGAGAAGGCTTGACTTGGGCGGTTGTCCGTGGGAGCGCGTGCAGGGTGTCCTGGGTGGGCTGACAGGACTTAGGGTATTGCGAGTCAAGTTCGACCGCCTGGATAGGGAGATCGTGGATGCGTTGGTGGATGCCATCCCAGAGAACATGGTCGCTCTGCATGTAGCATGCACGTCTGCCAGCCCTCTGGTGCGTGTTCCGCTTGCTGCGTGCAAAAAAAACATGCGCTGACTTGCATCCCACAGCACCTATACGCCACAGCTTTCCGGGCATTCCCTTCTCTCTCGATGCTGCACCTGCGCTCGCACAGCGCGGCGCGGCCGCAGCCGACGCTCATGTCAGATAAGGAGCACACGCGTCAGACGGAGGAGTGGCTCGCGAACGCGCGGAGCGTCGCCGCTGCGCTGCCTTTGCTCGACTTTGTCGGCTGGCATGGAGAGCATTACATCGTGTGTGGGTCGGCTGGAACGGGCGGCGGCTGCTCGGACGATCGCAAGGAAAAGGAGGACGGTATGCATGTGGAGCTGAAGGAGCTGCCTTCGCGCCGCCGGCTGGATTGCGGGAAGGGCGTGGATCTGGGCAGCGAGGACGCTGCGTGGATGGAAAGGAAGGACGTACCGATGGATTATGAGATGGCGGGGTTGGAGTCGTGAAGCCCCGCCGGGTCAGCCTCACTTACAGTTTTTTTCGCTACGTTGCATAGTTATCAGAGTGGATGGATCCCTCGGTGCATACTGGACTATGAACGTAGGGAAGCTAACCGAACAGGTCAATAACAATACTATTACGCGTCCCTTCGCGAGCCCAGTCCGAAGTAAGGTAAGTCGGTGCGTGCGGGTATATTAGTCTGTGAGAATGGTAGTTCGAGAGACAAGCCTCCGCACACTCATAGCAAGTACAAAGCACCGCACGTGCGGGCGTTTCACAGCACCGTGGAGGCCGCCATCGCGAACGCGGCGACTCCCGCGAGTGCAGCGACATACGTTGAACCGACGCCGCCAACGCTCCTGTGTGCGCCGTTACCGAGCAGTCCACCGGAGAGCGAGCCCGCGGCCTCCGCGGCGCCGCTGAGGAAGTTCTCGCCGCATATGTTCATGACGGACTTGTACAGCGCCGTCTGGCCCTTCATGAGCGTGCTCACGGCGAGGCCGGGCGCGTACGGGACGGTGCTCTCAAAGTCGATGTAGGCGGAGAGGACGTTGCGCGCGCAGGAGGTGCAGAGCTCGGAGGAGGAGAGGTCTGGCGAGAGGAAGAGGAAGAGGATGTTGTTGCTGCTGAAGGTGGTCACGTTTGGGACGATGCTGATGGGTGTCTGTGTGGAGTCGTCGCGGCGCGCGAGCGAGGAATTGGACGAGCTAGAGGAGGAGGATGAGGAGGACCAGAGGTACTGGGAGATGTTGCTGAAGGTGCTGCTGCTGTGCGACGCGGCGGCGTCGTTCGTAGAGTTGCTGCTGCTGCTGCTGTTCCCGCTGGCACTGATGTCGAGCACGCAGTAATCGCCGCTATCGTCCTTGCTGCACATCGCATTCGCCAGCGGGACGATCGAATAGAGCACGTCGTACGTCCTCAGCACGTCCGCGTTCAAACCGCTCGTGAGCTCGTCGACGCAGGCAGCGTACATCCCCGTGAGGGTCGAGCGGATGGTCGTGGGGCTGCATGCGGACGACGCGCCGCACAGGTCGGCGAGGGCGGTCTTGACGGTGGACGAGGTCGGGGACGCGCTTGCGTTTGCGGTCGCGCCGAACTGCGCGGTGGCGCTGATGAGCGGGGCGGTGCAGGCTGCGAGGGTCGAGTCGGAGTTGAAGGAGGTGAGGAAGGTCGTGCAGCCCGCGCTGATACCGGCAGGGATGAGTGCGGAGGAGGAGGACTGTGCGTTGCGATCACCATCAGCCCGCTGCGGATGCTGCGCAGGCGGGGAAATTTAGGCTCACCGTGGACGCCCACGCTGCTGCGACGAGTGATAGTGCAACTGTAGCTGACTTCATCGTGAAAGGAACGTGGAATGAAAGAGCGGAGGGATTTGAGCGTCGAGGGAGACCACGAGCGCGGTGTGAGCGTGAGCGTTTGTTTCTCCCGCCCGTCGTCGGGTCACCACGTGGCGTCTGGCTTTCTCTTGTGGGAAAGTTGCCAGCCACCGACGCGTGTGGCACGTGCATGCGACGCGACGCGTCGGTGGCGTCGAAAGCTCGCGTTTTTTAAGAAAAGTATATATGCACTTCGTACCCGTTGTAAATCGAAAGCTATGATAGCAGTCCTTCACAGTTTTCTAAACCGCCATTAATGGCGGACTGATACTCTTTGCATTTCCTAATGCCGCAAGCCCACAATGTCCAAATTTATATGGCAATAGAAGTTGTAGATGAGACGAAAACGACTGAATTGGCAAAGACCTCAGAAGAAGAAACACCCACCATAGCACACCAGATGGGAGGCAGAGGCATCCGTCATAAATGATGTACGTGATGATATGATCCCATTTGCTTGCATTGGCCGCCCAGATATGAACGTCATGTTAGGTTATTTTATCGCATCTTGATGGCTGGTCAGTGTCAGACTTGTCCGTCAATGGCTCAATCTTTCCCATGCACATATGCACGAGCCGAATGTGCTAATCTTTGTTAGGTCACTAACTCTCGCGCAATTATTAGAGAGTGTTTGTTGCATTCAATGCAACGGTGCGCGCCTGCTGTGAAATACGGTCATACTCAGCCGATGAGAATATCAGATTCTTTATTGATATGTCAGACTAATTCGAATATCGCGCAATGCATTAGAATCGCAGTAGTGTACATTGGAGGCTTTTTGCACAAACCCCGCCTCGTGATCGCCACCAGTCAAGCAGCACACAGTAACAATGACTTGCTTCTAGCGTTGCGTAAGGAGACGCAGATGCGAACGAGTCGAAGTCACGTAGACATTAGCCTGAGCTACTCGACTTGAGAACGCTCACGAGCGCCAAGCCGTCTACGCTCGGCGCTAGTTGGTGATGGATCCATTTCCCGATGCCGTATGTACGCGATTTGCGACCCCTGTGTGACTCGGCATCGTGGACTGTGCGTTATCGCCAAGACGGCTTCAGATCAGGCTGACAATATTGCTGCTGCTCGAGTGTCGTTTCAGCCGATCGTACCACGGAATTCTTGCATACTTCGTGGAATATCGCGACCAATCGTGCGAGTCGTGGATCTTGTAGCCTTCAAATCCACCAGCACACAGGATCATCTGTTGAGCTGCAAGAGCTTACTCCCGGGATTATATACCGTTTTCAACGGAGTCGATAGGGGGCCACCATCACGACATCAATCGGTGGTCTCCCGTATCCAGATATGGATCGTACTTGGGGCAGCCGGAGAGAGTCGCGTCCGATAAGATGGGGGTAATCGATTTTGACAAATGTCTTTTTCCTGGCACGGAGCGGAGACCGGTAAGCGCGATGCGAAATCAGTCTGACACAGCCATGCGCATGCGTCATCCGCAGGAGAGAAAGGCAGCAGCAGCAGCAAACCGCTCAAACCCAAACAGACAAATCGGACGATGGATTTGCTGGCCAGAATGAAGCATTGCCGGATGTTCAAGCAAAGATCTTGCATAGAGACGAGCAAACAGTAAGGGGTAACGGCGGTACGGATATTATCGCCACGTGCATTGTGGCTGCGAGCACGTGGGAATCTAGCCAATTGCAGTGGATTAAATGACGCCCATTGCTTTCACTACTTAGATCCATGTTCATGACCTCCTCTCGCCTGCTGTCGCCATGTTTCAAACAATTACCTCCTTCCTGCCCTCAGCGCTGCATCCATTTGGCTCAGGTCCATCCACGGAGAAGCTGTCCCCGACGCCCGAATCGCCAGAGGAACCAAGTCCTGAACCACCACCGAGAGAGGTGCCGGCCGTAGTCGACGAACAAGGAGTAAAGAAGAAAAGAGAGAGGACAAATGAGGTTAGTATCAGCAATCTGCTTCTGCTCGTTTGCTTTATTGCACAGATTCGCCGTATTGATGCTTTCGACGAATGTCGACATCGCTGGACTCATTACGTTCGCTGCGGAGGTAACTACGGACTAGCGGCACGTAGCTTCTTCGCTCCTCAGCGCCTCGAATTTGCTATTTCTCTTGAAACATGCTCTCCTTGCGACTTTTATTCTACTGGCCGGCCAACATCTGACTGTCGTTGCGTTCTCCGCTCGCTTCGCTGGACGGTGATACTCGCGCCCGCGTCTGCACCCGTACACTCTCGTTCTCAGCTTCCTAACTATCATGCTACGCATCATATTTGATGAATACCGTACGTTTGCCCATCGCCCGTGCGCCTCACTATCTCCCTCTCCTCCCCTTTGCGTCGTCGTCCACTCGCTGGCACAACTCCGTAGCATCGCCCTCCAATGACTTTGAGCGCGGTGGGCAGGACGTGTCTCAGCGCGCGACCCTGCTGCGAGCGCCGTCAAGGTTGATTGGCTCTGATGCAGCAGCCGTGCCACTATCGCACGCACGTCATACAAAGTTGGAGGAGGCGCAGGTCTATTCGGTACCGAGGCATGTACGGGTCAGGTGCTGTGCTCGGCAGAACGGATGTTGCCGCGCGGGCGGCGCATTGCTCGATGACATTGCGTGCTGGTCGGGTTGCACTGCAGGCTCACGCATTTGATGCGCCCAGCTCTAGCGATGAGGTTGAGTTTGTCATTTGGCGCTCCCTTCGGCGGATGGTCTGAATCAGAATTTCGTTGGGGGCTGTCCATTAAGCTTTCGCTGCTTGCCATCCATCACAATATAACTGCACTCAGACCTGAACCGCTTCAGCTTGCATAATTCTTTGCAACATGACGCTGACGTTCCCCCCACAGTCCTTCATAGTTGTTCGCCCGCCGCCATCCAAAACCAATCACCCGTTGAACCTCCAGGTCCAGCTTGTCCCACCAAGCTCGAAAGAACGGCCAAGCACGAGCCATTCGACCGAGTCCGGCGCCGATGGCGAGCCCCAGGCATCGCAGTCGACGCTCACGCGCACGCGCTCAAACCAGTCCGACCGCTCGATGTACTCGAACTACTCGACCAGCTCGCTCTCGACCATCAACTCGTCTTCGTCGAGTTCGTCAGGTCGGCGCATGATCATCCCGCTGTACAACTTGCAGGCACACAACGTTATGCAGAACGTGATCCTGGACGCTGGCACGGACGCGAAGATCGCAAAGTTCATGAAGCGCGGGCTCGAGGTAATCGGCCTGGCAGTGCTCGAGCCAGTCGAGGTGTGGGGCGTCGGCAGTGGTGTGGACGAAACGGGAAGGCGGATCAGCTTTGATTATGCGTATAGCGCGGGGTCGGCGTATAGCCGCGGCGGCACGCTGTCCCCGCTTGGGCTACATACGCCGACCTCTTCGGCCGTGTCGTTGGAGACGGCCGAGGGTACGAGTGAGCAGGGCTTGCAGACTCCGATGCCACCGGAGGCCACGTCTACTGTCTTAACCGCCTCAACGGGCCCCCGTCAGAACGGCCGGAAGTTCTTCGGTAAACTGTTCAACAACAGGAAGAAGGAGAACGGCGTGATGTCGACTCCCGCACCACTCCCGCTCTCGCCTGCAACATCCACCTTTTCTAACTCCTCGACTGTGCCAGAATTATCCAAACGATCGAAACGGGCATCGCTCCTGTCCACGCATGCACTTCCCATCGTTCCCCTCGTTTTCGAACCGTTGCAACCTCCCGTGCTGGGCATCCAGCCATCCCTCCGCTCTCCGACTATGCCACCACGCGGCCGGCCGAGCAAATATGTCTGGGTTGTACGGAGGTGGCTGAAGGGCGAGCCGGAGAGCATGCTCAGTGGCGTGAAGGAGCGATTACAGGAGGCGCGAGGTACGTCCTCAACATCACTGCCAGGGCTGGAAAGCACGGTGGAGGTGCGATTCGAGTGGTCAAGGGGGAAGAGTTCGACGAAGAGGCGAGGAAGAGACGGGGGTGGGGAGCGGTCGAGGGAGACGAGCGTCAAGCGGGAGGGGAGCAAGCGGAGAAACCGAAATAGCATCGGGACCATGCCGGACGCCCCGTCGCTACAACATCAGCAGTTTCCGTCGTCAACACAGAAGTCGCGGACATTGTCGTCTACGCTGGGCGTCCGGAGGAGTATGGAATCGGCGCGGTCCACGTCACCAGGACCGGCGGGCAGCATCATCACGAGCGAGTCGACGGAGGAGAGCGCGCGTGCGCGGCCGAGGCGGAGGGATAGGGAGGGCGAGGACGACGGGGAGGAGAGCGACCCGGAGGACTCGGAGACGCCATGGACGTGCACGCTCGTCGTGCGACGGCTGTCGTCGCCCTCGTCACCCCCGCGGCTGTCCCAGCCGGCGTCCCTCCCCCCACACGAGCACGGCCCCTCCATCCGCCTGCGCGTCGCGGTGGTCGTGCCGACGCCGCACCATCCAAAGGTCGTCGCGCTGCTCAAGGTACCCTTCCCGCTGCCGGACATCGAGGTCGAGCGGATCGCGGTCCGCAAGCGGATCATCACGCCGCAGGGTATCGCCCGCCCCGCCCCGCCGTCGCCGCCTGCGTCGCCGGCCCCGAATGGGGGCCCGAAGACGGTCAAGTTTTGGAGCGGCGGGACGAAGGAGAACGGGCGCGTGGGCGGGCTGATGCTCACTGCGGAGGAGATCAAGGATGTTGTGTCGTGCACGGCGCTGTGGCTCGTCGTGCGAGAGGCATTTGGTGGTGTTGGGAGGGAGAGGCGGAAGGGCGATGGGTGGAGGCTGCGCGGGTAGGTGTGATAGCGCTTTGGTGCGGTTTGATATGACGGAAGGGGGGGGAGGATCCCCGATGTGCGCTCTCACGCGATCTATATTGGCGACTAGGAAACGGCTGCCCATCTATCTTGCTCTACATCCGGCGGCCTTTGGTATCGTAGTAATCTCTCATCGTCATCTCTTTGCATCTTCGTCTGGTCGGCTCGGAGCGGTGTCATTTCCTAATATTGATATTCGTGTGCGCTATATACCTTACCGTACGTACGCATATGTTCGGCGTTTCGGGTCGTGCTAGACCGTGTACTATATACCATGCATGCAAGAACTTCGCAAGTAGCTAGAATTATCTTTTCAGTGTTGCTGGTGCCTTGGCGATGAGGTGTTGCGGCTTCGGTAAAAGTGACGGCAGCCTGCTCGCTTCGAGAAGGGCGAGTTACCCCGAGATTGATACCAACGGACAACAATCAGATCTCCATTACAATAGAAAGGATGTATCTAAATACTAGATAGGCTGGTGCAAACCAAGTCCAAAATGACGGTCACCGAAGAGGGATTGTGGGTTATCAATCAGTTGTCCCTTCAGACAACAGTCCATTTATAATCTCACCCGGCCCATGCTCTCCGCCTTCACCTTCACTCCATTCAAATCAAGATCAACGCCGCGAGCGCGCCAATACCGCCCGCGAGCACAGCGAACTGCACGCCGAGACGATCCGCGAACGCGCCGCTGCTGCTGCCTGAAGAGCTGTTGGTGCCCGTGCTGCCCGAGGCGCTGCCGCTTGAGCTCCCAGAGCTGTTGCCGCCCGTGCCGAGCGCGGCAGTGCCTGTGGGCGAGATGGAGGAAGAGGAGCCCGAGGGGGTGACGAGACTGCTGTTGACGTTGAACGCTTTGACGTAGTTGATCAGGAAGTAGGCGTCGTCGAGCGCGGTCGTGTTGCCGTAGTTGTAGACGTTTTGGAGGTACTGTGGGTAGAGGTGAGTTGTGTGCCGCATGTTACAAGTGCTATTATGCGGTGGACGTACGCAGGAAGAGGCATTGCCAGCTCCGCCGCCCTCGATCGAGCAGGTCTCAGTGTATGTGGAGAGATCGCCAGCCCTGAACCCAGAATTCATATACGTGAGTATGACCCGGTTCCTTGAGGACTCCAGTGCACGCACCAGTCACCGCACAGCGTGATGTCCAACACGAGCTGCTGCGCCGCAAAGTACGTCTCAATGTCGCAGAGCGCACTCGAGTAGTTCGCCGAGGGAGTGCCCCAGTCGGAGATGTCGATCGAAGTGTTCGCGGTGGAGATCGAGCTCGGAATGTCGGCACGCTTGCGTCGGATTTAGCTTGTGAGCAAAGGTAGAGCATACAGGTAGGGAGACTCACACTCCAGAACCAGATGGAAATGCCGGAGGCATCGAGAAGGGTCGCCCACACGCCTCCGCCAGCAGAGTTGAACCCTGAGCCGTAGCTGTCCGACTTGGCCTCTGCCTGCATGGCGGAGAGCAAATGATTATGAGCACACTTCACATACGCAAGAAATGAGAGAACGCACGTAAGTGCACCCAGCAGTGGCGTTACAGTCCGTCGTGCCGATCGTTCCGCTCGCCGTCGCGCTCGATGAGGCATTGCAGCCCGCATTGGTGTGCAGCGCATATTGGTTGTAGGTCATCTGGTTGACCGCCTCGAGGATGTCGATCTCGCCGCCGGCGGGCCAGTCCTGGCCCTTCGTCCAGAAGCTCGGCCAAACCTACCATATCCCAAGCCGTCGTGTGAGTGTGATGGGAGCGTGGGTAGATGGGTAGGGGACGTACAGAGCATCCGAAGGGAAGGTGGGCGGCGTCGAAGAGGATAACGCTGCCCATTTCAAAGTAGTCATCCGTCGTGATGCGAACCTGCGTATCACATTCGCTCGGTTAGCCTGGTGTGACGGAGAAGCCGGCGTCGTCAAGTGCCCACCGAGTCACGCTTGTAGTTATATGGGACGAAGGTGGTGTTGTCCACTTTGATGACTGTCTGTCCTGCATCGGTCACGTACGCGAGCTTGTCCGACGTAGCATACGAGGCGTTGACATATTCGACATCACCTGCACCGCGGCACCATCACGCTGAGAACCAACTGCGCGAAAGCCGGACCGTTTCAGAATGCCACATACCGCTGGTGGTGTTATCATAGTAGTTATAATACGACCACCCATCGAAGAAGTCCGAGCCCTGGTACGTCCTCACAAGGCTGTAGTTGGCGGCGAAGGCAGTGGAGGAAAGGACAGACGCCGCAAAGAGAGCAGCTCGCATGATGCACAAGTATTAGATGGTGGTCAGAAGGAGAGATTCTATACGGGAGGCACAGCCCGCCTGGGTATTTGTATGGAGATTTTGCTTGTGACGGACGCCAACAAATCTAACTGAATTGCCGGGGGCAGGAGCTCAATACGACTGCGCTGACTGCGGACAAAGAAGGGTCTCGTCGACGGGGAAAGCGCAGCTGTCGGCGTCGAGCAGCGACTCTGTGCTGGCGAAATGGCAAAAAGAAACGGTAGTGGCATGCCGTACATCATCGCGAATATATAGGACGTCGCACCAACGCAACATCATGTGGGATTTCAAAAGTAAGGGTCTGTTCGGCCATTAACAAAGGTGCAGCTTGAAGGGCACCAGACGCACAGCCTGCTGCGCACACCCCACAACCACCGCTTGCCCACTCTCACGCAACCACAGGCGGATAATAACTCAGAGCCACCACCGGCCCTACCACGCAGCTCACTTTGCAAGCAAGACGAGCGTCAAGTTCGCTCAGTCTTCGCATCGAAAGTAAGGCTCTCGTACTCCGAGTAACATCTAACATCTTTCGACGGCAATCAATACCAAGCAAAAAATAGATCATCGCGCTATGGTCCGCCCACGTTGCACAGAACAAAAATAGAGCATGACGACGCCAGTAGGAGAAAAGCGCTGTACAAGGATGGCGGCAAGTAAGTACACGGGTGAGTCAGAGGCATGTGGCAGCCACTCACTTTGTAACACAATGCGTGCTGAGCTCTGGCGTATCATCACATCATGCTCGCACAAGGAAACAAGTTTCAAGCAGCGATATGGATATATATGAGAAGGCCCGCGACTAATCAGCTGCCTCGGCGACAATCTTCCTATCGTCAACTTCCACTTCCGCCGCTACTCTCCATCGTTCAGCAGTATCCCGTCGCGAGAATGACGAAAAGTCTTGCCAACGTCCTCAATAGTCGAAGGACAAGACGGATCCAGCAGGAACACTGAAAAGGAGAAACTTTGGGACGCTGTCTGATTTCCAAGCGATAGAGCTCTGCCCTCCAGTTCGGCGAACGGGGCTCCTAGCAAACGACGGATCGGACGAGGTATGGACGAAGCATATCAGCGGGGTGCTAAGCATTCCATAGCTGAACAGGCGATCCATTGAAGTTGACCAGAGTTGGCCGCATCGTTCTTGGCCAAGTAGGAAGGGATGCTCGGCCATCAAGACAGAACATGCCCAGGACGGACGCACTTTGGCCCACGTTGATTCGCCAGCAATACTCTAAACGGATAGATGCGAATTTGCCTGGCCCAATCTAAAATCACCCAAACGCTGTGAGATGACCACCTGAGCATACCACGGACAGCGTTGAAGTAGTGGTGAACGCCTTAACCGACCGACAGACCGTTCGTAGCCAGAGGAGAGCTGCATCGACGCTCGGAGGAGAGGTGGGGAGGACCTGGACCGTGCGCGGGAGCCGGGGTGTGGGAGACGTATTTGGCTGTGTTGTGTCCGTTCTCACGTGCAGGCTATATAGCGGCCCTCGTGACCGGCGTCGTGACCTTGTCTTTCTCCCCCGTGATCAACTCGCCCCCGCACCGCACCGTCTCGCCCAGCGACGCCCGTACCCCGCACGTCGTCCGTCACAGCGACCTCGCCGCACTCATCAACGTCAAGCTCTCATAAGGGACAGGTTCGCCGCCACTTCTCTCCCATCGCCGCCGGCATCGACCAGTGATCACTACTCGAACAGAACCGCTCTCAACGCTCGGCATCCACCATGGCTACTGCGCCCCCTACTCAACATGATCCCACCCTCTCACACATCTCTGCCGGACCGCCCCCGCCTCAGTCCGCCTCTGGCGCACAGCCCGCGCCAGGTATGCCAGGCGGCGAGGTCCCACCTGGTATGCCCGTTGGTCTCGCCTCCGCACAGGTGATGGAGTTGCTGAGGAATCTGCCTGGGATCAACTTGCCTAGGGTACGTGTCTTTTGCTCCAAGTGCGCGCAGAGGACGTTGCGGAGAGGAATGCTCTTGATCGGCGACGCGTTGTGTCCGTTCTCCACGTGATCGTTGTCGACGGTCACGTTCGCGTCGATCTCCTTTGCATGATGCCTAATTGCGAGTCGCAAGCGGATGCCTACCTGCGATGGGCGGGATTCAGCGTGCAGTGTCGTCCCCGCGATCAGGATACCTTTCCCATCCTCCTTACATTGATATGAGCTTTGGGTTCTAACGCTTCGACAGGGTGACCTGAAGGACACAGCTGCTGTGGAAGCCCTCCAGAATCTTGCGCAGACAACATTCCAGGGACATCCTCCACATCCAGGTCACATCCCCCACCCCCAGCAACCTCCTCCGCCGCATTACATGGTCCACCCTCAACAGCACCCGCATTCCCACGTCATGGCTAACGAGCCCGGGCCCTCTTCTCATCCTCGCGGACCTCCTAACCTCGGCCAACTCGCCAACACTGCTCTCCAGAACTCTCCATCAAACGCCCAGCCAACCATGCGCACGCGTAGCCAGGATGGCGTGCCAGACGGCGTTCCCTCTGCGGGAGATGGCGAAGCTGCGTCTGCTGCCAACGGTGGTTCGGGCGGGGAGGGGGATTCAACAGAGAAGGTTGGTGCGGTGAAGTCTGCGACAGCGGGACGGAGGGGAGGTCGAAACGCGACTATGTCGAATGACGAATGGACGAGACAGAGAAAGGATAACCACGTATGTGGATTCCCATTTCCTGCTCGATCACTGACCCCTGACCGCGGCCACAGAAAGAAGTTGAGCGCCGGCGGCGCGGCAACATTAACGAGGGGATCAACGAGCTTGGACGCATCGTGCCGAACGGGTCGGGCGAGAAGGCCAAGGGCGCGATCCTCTCGCGCGCAGTTCAGTACATTCACCACCTAAAGGAGAATGAGGCGCGCAACATCGAGAAGTGGACACTCGAGAAGTTGCTCATGGACCAGGCGATGGGTGATCTCCAAGCGCAGCTCGAAGAGATGCGCCGGATGTGGGAGGAGGAGCGCATCGCGCGCCAGCGCGCCGAGAGCGAACTCGAGGTGCTCAGGGGACTCCAACAGGGACTGCCCCTCGGCGCAGCTGCTGCTGCTGCTGCAGCGGCGGTGGCAGCTGCGAATGGAAATGCGCTGTCGTCGACCGGTGAAGGCGCTGGTAACAAGACGGCCGACACGTCCGCAAGCTCACCTAACGCTGACAAGACCAAGTCGCCCAAGTCCCCCGATACACAAAAGGAGGGTGGCAAGCGAGATAGAGAAGATGCACAGCAGGGTACGGCCGCTGCGTTAGGCGAGCAGTCCGGAGAGGTCGAGGCGAAGAGGCCGCGGATTGAGTGAAGGTCGCCCCCGGATGCTTCTCGACGTTCAAGCTTTCTTCCTTCTTCTTTCTTCGTGTCTCTGTGTGATCGTCCGCTGTCCTCATGTTGTCGGTTCTTGTTGGGCCAGCTCGGCTGTCCTCGCACGGTGTTGGGACGTTGGAAACGTTAATGTCCATTATGTTGATGAGCGCTATGCCTGCCTCTTGTATGTCGCATGTGTACTTGTAGTGAATGTCGATTTTCTCCGCTTGCAGGACATGCAACGATCGATTTCTATTAGAGTTACACGATGCGATGAATTCCTACACAAGCACACTGCCACCAATTCATGTCGTACTCCAATGATAAAGCAAAACAACACAGGAGAGCAAATCAGCTTAGAGCTCTGCAGATCCCAAGTCAGATGAAATGTCGATTAAACGTCGCACAGTGGACTTACTCTGCATGGCAACAACGTCGGAACTCTGTACATACTCGTCGAACTCGGCAACACGATCCTGGACATCGTCGAGCGAGACGAGCTCGTCCTCTGAAAGGGGTGATCAGTCAGATAACGCATGTACCCTTGCGGCGGACTGAATACATACCGACGACCATGGTGATCTGAAGCTTCCTGATACCGTAGCCGATAGGAACAAGTTTGCTTGCACCCCAGACGAGGCCATCCATTTGGACCGAGCGCACAGACTCTTCCAGCTTCTGCATGTCGGTCTCATCGTCCCATGGCTTCACCTCGAACGTTACAACGGACTGTAGCACGCAAGGGACACAGCGTCAACAATGTGTTGCATGCAAGCATGACCAGAAGCCAAACGGTAAATACACATAGCGGACACTACGAGAGAAGACTGGAAATCTAGAATGAAGACGGTACGAACCTTCGCGGTTGTCTTGGGCTTGTTGGCTTTCTTCGCGTTATACGCGGCGACGCGCTCTGCCTTGATGCGCTCTGCCTCGGCGTCCTCCTCATCATCCGAGCCGAAGAGGTCAACCTCCTCTTCCTCCTCAGCGGCTGCAGCAGGGGCTGCAGCAGCGCCGAAGAACGCCTCGCCGGCGGTGCTCGAGCCCGGAAGGGAGTCGAACTCAGACGCGTACGACTTGATGTGCGTGCACCAGCGTGTAACATGGGGGTAGGCGGAGGCATCGGGCGCGGAGCTGATTGCCTTGTAGACGTGCACGTCAGCCTGCGAGGGGGTGTATCTGCAAAGAAACGACGCGATTAGCACTTAATGTACACGCTATTCAAATAAAAGAAAAGGCGAAGAGTCAGTAGCTAGGTAAATAGATGTCGGCATGCTTGAGCAGCGGTGTCTAGTCGCTTCTTGGAAACACGGACCATAGCAAAGGATCATCACAGAGCCCATCTCTGGGTGAGTACGAAGGGAACAGAACTCACCCCTCGACGTAGGACCGGGTGGCGAGGTGAGCCTCGAGCTTGGCGAGATCGAGAGACATCGTGTACAGTAGAGAGCTAGAGGGAGGGAAGACAGATATGAAAGGATCGATGGGGACGGTGAGGAGGAAAAGCAAAAGAAAAATGGGAGATTGATCGCAGTGTTCAGGGCAGGGAGATACGATCTTAGCCGCTAGCGCGACGCGTTCCGGCTTTAATCGCGGAAGCCCTTCTTGCCCTTGCATCTTTCGGTGGTCCCAGGAGAAAGGGAAGTCATGACACGGCTCATTCGTTTGAGCCAGAGGTGTGTGTTCATTGATGAAATTCTAAGTCGCCACTGAGACTCGCATCGCAGGCTATCGCGGCAGGCATTATGTTCTCCACGGCTTTACAGCAGCATAGTGCTCCAGGTATAACTTCGTGAATTCTTTATTGTATGTACTGATTGTAGGACAGAGCACCAGACCATCACTTGCACGACCTGCAAACATCACGCTCCTCCGAGATTCCCGTAACTTCTGGTGGTCCTCCTCCTCAAAAATCACTCCTGCGCAGGATGCACAGGAACAACCTGCCACACAAGATGCAGCACCAGAAGCGATGCTTGACGTAGAGGAGCTTCCTTCAGAGACTGCCAGCTCAGTAGACTCCATCAGTGCTCCTGAAGTCTTCGACGCCTCTTCGGCCATCACAGAGCTGGCAAGCCCTCCTGGAGACATCCCGCTGCCCGATCTGTCCGCCACCCCTGCCGTCGTTGACCCTTTGCAGTATGGCGATCTGGCTGCTCTCGGTCTTGCCGCCTGGACACCAGCCGGTATTTGTCGCTGGAGCATTGAGTTGATCCATGTATCGACCGGCATGCCGTGGTTCTGGACGATCGTCAGCGTGACTGTCATCTCACGTATTATCCTCCTCCCCTTCCAAATCAGAAGTATGCAAGCTAGCGCACGCCTTGCTCCGTACCAGCCTGAGCTCGCTGCGCTCCGACTGGACATGCAGAAGGCGAAGATGAATGGCGATACTCTGGGCCTGCAGGCGTCCGCTTTGCGCCAGAAGATGCTGTTCAAGAAAGCCGGCGTCGGCATGCTGAGCATGCTTATAACGCCGTTTGTCCAACTCCCAGTGACGTTGGGCATGTTTTTCGGCATCAAAACACTGTGTGATCTCCCGCTGGAACAGCTCAAGCACAGCGGGATAGAGTTCCTGCCGGACCTCACCGTGGCGGATCCGATGTGCATCCTGCCGATTGCTTCGGCGGTTTTGATGAACGTCCAGCTGTTGGTATGTTACGACACATGAGATCCTCTCAAATGTGTGGCTCACTATGCAACAGCTCAGTGTCAAAGACATGGCGGTGTCATCACCGTACGCGGTACACATGGTGAACTTCTTCCGCGTGCTCTCGATCGTCTCCATTCCTGTGATATGGAACTTCCCATCTGTAAGTCCGAATGAGCCTACGCGATTAACTAGGGCTGATGAGAACCTCAGGGCACCATGGTCTATGTTGTTACGGGCATCACATGCCTCATTGTACAGACAGCCGTCCTAAGGGTGCCAGCAGTGCGCGTGTTTTTGAACATCCCTATCATCGCAAAGCGGGACAGCGTCAAGCCTGCGTCGTTCAAGGACTCCATAGAGTACGTAAAGAAGTGGTGGAAGGACAAGAAGGCGGAGCAGGAGGCTATTATGAAGATGAGGGCGAGGCGGAGGTGATCTATTGCGTAGGACACAGAAAGTATCTCTATCATCTGGGTTTAATCTATTCATTCCCACCTCTCTGCTTAAAGTATGATTGCTATGTGGGGCGTTGTGAGGCAAAAGATGGGTTCAGACTGCAAGAATGTTAACGCACTCTGCACGGGCGCTTATGCGGGCCGCCCGAGATTGATCCGGCTCCGCTGCGTCTATGAAGTCGGTCTTTCACTCGCCTTTCCCTCTATCCGCTACACGTTAAGGATTGCCCTCGCTGCTGCAGCAATGCATGACGGAATCGAGGATACACCAGAAACAGCGACTGGGGCCAGACGGGGGGATCATACGTACGGCGGGTACGTGCTGAACTATTGACGATAGCAGTATCTAAGTCACCGTGCAGCCACCGCAAAGGTTCCTTCTTCCCAGAGGACGTGAACGAGATAAGTGAGTCTATTTTTCGCACACCCATTCAAATTTACTCCTGAGCTTTCCTGTGTGCATTCTACCAGTCGAGCTACGCGCCAGACAAAGGACGTACGAGGGAGCATACTTACGGAGCGGTCTCACGAATCTCGGATATGCCTTGACGATTCTGCGACTGTTCGACAAGCGGTTTGCGCGAAGTGTGTCCTCCCCTCTCTGGATCAAGATTTGGCCACACTGACTCCACACACTTTCAAGTCGGCATCGTTTACTGTGTTCTAGCTGTCTTGCTTTTCGTCATTTCCTACTTCCGGCGGCGCCATTCAGATCACGACTTCGCTGACCTGCACAAGGGCAAGACATGTGAGAAGGCGATCCCCACCGTCGGGCAGACGGGAAAACGCTCGTACGGGCGGCCGTTTACCACTGCAGGGCAGATTGTGGTTGCGGTGGCCGTGATCGTCGCTACAGTCGAGATAGGACTGCTTGTGCTAATCCTTACAGTTGATTTATCCAATAGTTGATCACTTACTACAGGTGAGTTCCCTTGAACTCTCACCGCTTGGCTTTACGGAATGTCTCTGACTTATGCTCGAGTGACACGGGCCTTTTTGATCGAGGGCGTTTGCCATGGGTCAGGCTTGGATCTGAAGAGGTGCGGACCTCGCTTATTGTATCATTACTTGCACAATTGCTACATTGCGACAATTACTGGACATGTGAGGGCTCACCTGCATTGATCGTTGGTAGCTGACGCTAATCGGTATCTATCCATAGGTCGCCAGTCTTTCTATCTTACAATGACATCTAGTGCGGTGTGACGATGGACCTACGGATTCCGTATGCGTTGCAATTTCCACCTCGTGCGATAGTTGATGCTCGTTCCTCGGCTTTTACTCACTCCATTAAGGCGCTCATGGCTCACATGTTTTCGCATCGGCATAACCCTATTCTGAAGCTCTGTCATGTATGTGCGGGGTGCTGAAACCCAACAGTGACAATCCTTTCAGTCAGCTGCTGATTCTGGGAACCAAAACGTCCATGACATAGACAACCTGGATTGAGAGATCCTGTCAACAATATTTGACCGTCAGACAGCCCGTACGCACCATCGCACCAGTCAGAAAGATTGCAGCCCTAGATGCGTCGGCGCCGTACTTCAGCTTCAGGTATCATGCGCACTCTTCATATTTGAGAATCTGTGAGCTTGCTCGACTGAAGTTAGCGGAGATTGTGAGATCGGCAGGACTTGACCTCAAGGAGGCGAATTTCGATCAATTGATGGATTCCTCTTGTTGAGCGTGCGACCTTACAATGACTGTTCGCCAGACAACCTGTCTCGCGTGTACATCGTTCAGAATAATGAAACGTAGGGCAACAGTCTTATTACGGATTGCGAGGACTACATGTACATTCTAGAGCACCAGATACATTCGACAAGCATAGATAATCCTCCAGATAAGACACGGACAACACAGATGGCAAACAGCACAGAGCAACGGGCGAGGTACTACGAGAAGCCACGTCAGTCAATCGTACGGCCGGCGATGCGATGACAATGCAAAAAACGCACCAGATAGACGGATAAGTTAAGCTAGATCCGCTGCTACAAGATGGGCACGAAGGATTGCCTCTTCGACTACAATACAGTGAGCAACAAGTCACAAAAGCAATGAGAGTGGAAAGAATTATCAACAGAGAGATGCGTGGTAGGATTTCGAGGCGCAAATGTGGAAAAACGAGGGCAAGAAAGATAGACATCTAGATCAGATCGATAGAGCGGAGATGGGCCTGAAGAATACTTTCTTCGACTAAAAAGGTGACGTGTCAAACGGCTGTCGATGGCACGGCGGACCGGAGCGAAGAGTTGCAGCCTGACGGGTGATTATAGAACTCACCAATGCTCAGAGTTACAGCGGTAGCTTTGGTATCCTGTGCCACCACTGTGAGTATGTGTTCAAATAAAGCTGGCGAGTAGGCTGCTCACAATTACGGAAGTGTAATAAACCCGGAATTGACGGGTTTGGAGAGAATTGCGTTTCATGATGTCCTTGAAATGCAAGGCGAAGTCTGCCAGCATAGGACGATCGAACATATCAGGACAGACTGATGGCCATAGCAGGGAGAGTATGCACACATTTACTGACTGTATCAACGTCATTGGGCCTATCACCGAAGCTGCGCACATGTTCCTTGACGAGCACGCCGCTTTGCAGCTTCTGGTCCAGCAAGTCGCACTTGTTCAAGAAAAGGATGATCTCGGTCCGCGCGAGCAGCTTCGAAGAACACACGAGCTTCCACCAGAGGTAGCTATCTTCTAGGCGATTGACCTTGCGATCTTCCGCGAGTCGCTCATCAAAGCAGTTGACAGGCGCGAGGAAGATGATTGCATCGCAGTCGTCGAAATAAGGAAACCATGCGGCACGCTGCGTGTGCGTATTAGATGTAAGAGGGTTTGCGATCTGCGCTGAGAAGTACCTGTGTTCTGGACCCTCCAACGTCATAGAGACACCATTCGGAGCCTGCAGCAGGGCCTGCATTGGATGATATTAGAACATGGACTGCATATATGCGCACATCACCAGCACACACCTTTCTCGAATTTGATCTTGTACTCCTGCACGCCCAATGTCCGCAACCTCGCGCGCACGACGTCATCATCAGAAGGCTCGTAGTCTCTGGCAGCGATGCGCTCCACATCGTTAAGAAAGCTGAGCAGGAGCCGATGAGGACCAAGGCGCATACATCGATACAAATCACTCACAAACCGGACGTGGCCTCCATCCTGAGCTTCCTCTTTCGCAACATCTGCTGGATAATACTATCCTCCCAGATAGCTCGCATGTCTTCCGCACATCCCGCGATAATCTCCGTCGCCTCTCGCGCCTTCATCTCTCTGTACCGCTGTGATGACCCGGTCAGCGGCGCCATTACCTGGCTCTTCCATGCATGATGCGAGCGGATGAATGCCTCCTGCGGACGCGATACGTGGATACCCCATCTCCCGAGGTAATAGCCATCGGCAGCGATGTTCTCCTTCTCTTCATGCGAAGCGATGCCCAGGCGGGCCTCGAGGTCCTTCTGGAGACCGTGCAAGGGTGCAAGACGCAGCTTGAGCAACGCATGCTGATCGGTGAACCTCAGCGGGCCGTCCGAGCGCGATGGCGGTGCGATCGGCGCCTCCTCATCGTCGCTCGAGTCGGAAGCACTAGATACATGGAGTTGTGTAGCGGCGGTCATTTCCTCCGCGAGAAGATCGAGGATGGTGTTCATGTTGCGCACGAGATTGAGCTGGATGACCGTTCGCCATGATTCGCGCTCTTCAGCCCATGCCTTTGGCGAGTATGTCAGCTGGAAGTCTGCAAGATCGCCATCAGCGTCAATTTGAATCATACGAGGGTGCTGCTCCTGCGCTCACTTTTGAGGGTTGTCGACTTGCCTGCGGCAAAGGTCAATGTACGGCACCTCCACCGGCACATCATCTGGACTGACCGCTCTCGCTCTGGCCTAGCAACAGCACCTTGATCGGCTTCTTCTTCTTCAACGCTGCCTTCTCCGTCTTCAGCTGCTCGTCGATGCTCTCGCTGATTCTTTTAGCCTCTGCCTCTGCTTGCAATCGCGCCTCGCGGGCGGCCGGTGTCTCGTCGGGCGGCGGTGCAATGGCGGCAGCGAGGGGGTCGACATCATGCGCTTGCCCCATCGTCGCGCGGGAAAAGGAGTGACACGGGCGACAGTTAGACCAGGCTTTTTAAGATTGCAAGTTGAACCAGTTTCAGTAATACGATATCGTGGCTGGAGCGCAGCCGATGTCAAAGTATGCCGCTGTACGGTTGGCGTGCGCGGCCAGGTCAACCCAAGGCTGTTGCTGGCACCGCGCGTCGTTGCCGGGGTCGTTTTTGCGACCGCTTACGTCATTTGGCGTGACTAACGTGACATGTAAAACAGTTAATTACGTAATCATTCCCTCTTTAGGACCGGGGCATGGATGCCCCATGGCCCGGTCAATTAACTGTCCTGAAATTATGCTGCATGTGCAGCTTTCAATAAGATGGCATTGTACCCATGATAGAAGGACCAGGGATACCTGCCAGTAAGAACTGAAGTAGTTCTCAAAGTCAGCATCTTTGCATGCAGATGCTCATAGAAACAGTCCAATGACTTATACAATGATATTTACTATCAACACATATCTGAGATGATTCCGAGACTGTAACACTTGTAGCTGAAGACTACCATCTGCTCGAAGGACAAGATGCAATGTCATTGCAGATGATAATGCTATTGCACCTGTAGAAATGCTAGTGCATGCTGTATGGCATCAGATATTCAGGCACAGTGATAAACTTGCTGAGAACTCAGTCATCATTATCATTACAGGGATCTTAAGCAAGGTTTGCTATAAGAATACACTGTCGCTGCCTAGCTACCTAGTAGAATCTCAAATCTTGCACTCCTTGCACTCACCCCTCATCCCTGGACTGTTATACTCTCAGTCACGACAATGGGCATCACGTCAATAGGACCCCGGGGTTATCTCCCTTATCTGCCTCAATCAGTCCTCTATCGGCCTTGATCTGACCTGGCCGCGCTCGCCAACCGTAGCCGCTGGTCGTTACCTGCTCGCGTCCGCGCTGAAACCGCCCGCCTTGCAACGAGGCAGACTATACAACGGCTGAAGCGCTGATCGAGCGACCGCCCGAATGCGAGGTCGTGGCAGATTTACTCGGATTTACTTAGTGCTGTGCGGTGATGCACGTTGATAAACTCGGCCCGAATCGCGCTATGCGCCAAGACGTCGGACCAGGGTAGGGTTTGGACGTTCGAAGCAGGACGCTTTCCATCGCAACTCTAGACATCTTCTAATCAATGCGGTTGGTACGTTCAGCCCCGGCTCGTTGTTTGTCCTGGGCCGCTAATATCCTTTCTCTAACAGATCTAAAGCGCACTCCATGAACGTGTGTCCGTATACTGGCCGACCATCGCTGTCATGACAAATCCGATGAACCCACATCGCATATTCCGGCGAGCGCGATGGTTTCTGACAACCATCCATTTTCACGGAATCATTTCATTCAATATCTGCGCCGCTTTGCCACGGTGTCGTGAATGGTGGTGATACTACGGCCCAACCTTGCACACCCACTGACGCGTACTCTATCCTCTGACTTGTGCATACGCTCAGTATCCATGAGTCGATGCTCCCGTACTGATCGATGGTCGATGATCGCTCGCTTGCAGGATGTCGATGGAGACCCTGACTGCGCTGCGTCCAAGTTATAGAGATTGTGTCTGGGTGTCCCTACGCAGACCTGTACATCTCACAACATATCGATGTCAGAGTCCGAACAGATGCGTGTCATCAAGCGCGGACCGCAAGAAGAGTTCGATTAGAGCGCGTTCACGATAGTTGCTGGTAGGCTACGAAGTGAGAGATCCTTCTATCAGTCTCGATGGATCCACCATAGCAACATTCTAGTGTCGCACTCTTCGCAGACTGCAGCACTCGACGGTGTAGTTACATGTAATTAAGCATTGGAGTGCGCTATCGATTAGTACCTGCGTTGTAAAGACGTCATTCACGGCTCACCGAGTCTTTGATGGAGGCATCGGGTATCTCCGAATATTGCCCGCAACTTAAAATGGGCAACTAATAGAAAGCGTCCTGGATTGTTCCCATTCTGCTAATGTTGTACCGCCTCCCCCTTGAGCGTTGCGCGGTTAACTGGGGCGCGCCTTGCCCTCCCAACGAGCGGAGACAAGGTGATGAATGCAATTGCGATCCGCGTCATGCGCTATCGTCTATCTGTTTTCAAGACCTTGCGGCCAAGTATTAGTCTTCTCGCGTGGTCGTCACGTCGCACCGAATGTTATGTCAAATTTCAGAACGGTACGCGCTCAACTTCCGGGAGAAACAAGCGATTCCATCCCGATACTTGAATACCATGTTTGAGTCTCTATAGAAATCTCAGCTTGGAGTCGAGGAAGCTAAGTACTTGAAGTCAAGCGGCAAACCTGCGCAGTACGGTCGGGTCAAAGTGTGCGATTCAATAAACGCGATCACGTGGGTCGCGCATGAATTCACACGCCACATCGCTGGGACCCCAGGCTGGAGTTCCCGCCACCGGAAACGGTGGCTACACATGGCTATCAATTCCGAATACCATCCCGCTGCTTCCCAATGTGTCTTGTCATCTCGTTGTCGATTCTGTCGGCTGGAAATCGCGAGCAATGATAATGCCACGTAACGTGATGAAGATGCGTGGAGAGAAATCAGAACAAGACACGGAAACTGCGCGGAGGAGGTTCTACAGGTGTGTGTGTTGGACATGGTGGAGATTGGCCGGATCGGTAGCGTTGTTGACATTCCGCGACAGAGGACATCGCTCGGACTCCTTCTATCCTGAAGACTTGAATGAGCTTCGTGAGTGGCTACGTTGCAAGTTAGTAGCATTTGAGAGGCTGACATAGTATAACACAGTTGAACTCCGTGCTCGCCAGAGGACATTTGATGGTGCATATGCACGAGGCGCATTGAGCGACCTTGGCTACGCCTTGACAATCCTACGACTATTTGATGATCGGTTCGCACGAAGTGAGCATTGTTTTCTGCTCTCGGGATATGATCGTGCTCACGGTCTCTCGTCTTCGTGAACATCTGCTCATATCATAGTCGGGCTTGTCTACTGCATCCTCGCAGCCCTTCTCTTTGTTATTGCATACTTCCGACACCGACAGTCACGGCATGACTTTGCCGACAAACATCAGGGGCGGACGTGGGAGCATGCAAAGCCCACCGTTGGGCAAAGCGGGAAACGGGTTTTCGGACGGCCGTTCATCACAGCAGGCTGGACAGTCGTTTCAGTGACGATTGTCGTCGCTCTCGTGGAGATAGCTCTAGTTGTGCTGATTCTTACTATGGATCTGTCGGTGTTATCGTCAGAAGCAGGTTTTGGTGCAACAAGTGAGTAATCATGCTAGTTGAATTGGATGACACCATCTCATACCGTGACATGCTGCAGATAGTACCGATGCTATTATGTCAACAGCGCGATGACCGAAACGCTACTTCTAAACCTCGAAATCATGAATGGGAACTTGAAGATGGCATATGCCGCCTTCCACCGATGGACTGTTGGCAACATAGTTGTTGCATTCGCACCTCATGTATACTTGATACTCGTCTCTCGCTCTACCCATCACCCCCTGTGTATAATTCTCGATACCTCGGAGGATTCTCTGTCCCAGTCCAATCTATATGCGGCCTGTGTGGACCGTGTTGATACACCCTAGCGCGAGGACTATCTAGGCCGCCACTCAGAGTGAGACAAGGGTGCACAATTCCTGGCAGTGGCCGTTGCTTGTGAAATGTATTGTGGCAGTCGTCATCACGCGCGCTACCTTCCGCTGTGAAGCCACGTGGCTCCGTATTCGCGCATCCCGAAGCGCTCACTGCGCCGTCTTGCATCCCAGCACCGCTTACAACTAGGTCTCCAATAGCGTATCTGTTTCAGCGTTTTCCGCGACTTGTTTTCGTGACTTTCTGCATTTATTTACTTGGGCTGGAATGTCTTCAAGTCTCCTTGCTACGACGACGTCGACGGTGGCGGTGCCTACTCCTACGCTGACCCCAGTCCCTGAGGAGGAAGAATACTACTCATCATGGTCGCTCTTCCTTGTCTGTGGCCTCCTTATTATGTCGCTATGGACATCATACTACCTGCAGATCAAGCGAATACGAGCCATACACGAGACTCTTGTCGCTATCATAGGCGGAATGTTCGTCGGGTTAGTGGTCCGACTGGCTCCTGGGACTATGATACGAGAGATGCTAGTGAGTGTCGACTCCCAACGCATACAGCCAGGGACGTTCATGACCTTCACGTACACGTAGACGTTTAAACATACATTATTCTTCAATCTACTGCTCCCGCCGATCATCCTCAACTCAGGCTATGAGCTCAAGCAGGTCAGTGCGGCTTTCACAGTCTCATGAATGATACTGATACTGTACTCTCCGTAGGAGAATTTCTTCCGCAATTTTGGCTCTATCCTTACCTTCGCATTCCTCGGAACGTTCATATCTGCCGTCGGCGTAGGGTGCGTTCCACCGCTCCAGTGCATATATCGAGGCTGCGAGCTCACCACATGCAGAGCAGGGTGTTGGTATACATCTATTCCTTCCTCGGTTTGGAGTCTCTGGAGGTGACTCTCATAGAATGCCTCATCTTTGGATCTACGCTATCCGCCACAGACCCTGTCACGATCTTGGCCATATTCAATCAGTACAAAGTTGACCCCAAGCTGTACACAGTCATCTTTGGTGAAAGTTTGTTAAACGATGCGGTCAGTATCGTTATGTATGAGTAAGCGTTGTTTCTGTATCCCATGCACAACGACTCTCACGAGATATTCCTAGAACGCTCACGCAATTCCACGGCACGGAGATCTACGTTTCATCGCTATTCCACGGAACTGGGATCTTCCTGCTGTCTTTCAGCGTATCGATGGCCCTTGGCGTCGTTTTTGGGCTCGCCATGTCGCTCATCCTGAAGCACTCTTCGCTGGCGCTCTACCCTTCCATCGAGACATGTTTGGTCGCTCTATCCGCCTACACGTGCTACTTCTTCTCTAACGGTCTGTCGATGTCCGGCATCGTCTCTCTGCTCTTCTGCGGCATCACGCTTAAGCATTATGCATACCACACCATGTCACGGCGCACGCAGCGTGCAACGAAGTACATCTTCTCGACACTTGCGCAGTTGTCGGAGAATTTCATCTTCATCTACCTCGGCTTGTCACTCTTCACCAGCCCGCCTTCTTCTGAAAAGGTCACGAGCTATTTCAAGCCGCTCTTCATCACAATCACTACAGTAGCGGTGGTGTTCACTCGCTATGCTGCTGTCTTCCCTCTGTCCGAGGCGATCAACTTCTTCCACAGACACGCACGAGGCCAGCGCCAGGAAGAGCTGCCACACTCGTATCAGATGATGCTCTTCTGGGCAGGCTTACGCGGGGCCGTCGGCGTAGCGCTCGCGGCCGGATTCAAGGGCGACAGTGCGCAGACGCTGCGGACCACTGTGCTCGTGGTGGTGGTGTTGACTGTCGTCGTGTTCGGTGGTACTACGGCGAGGATGCTCGAAGTGTTAGGAATCCGTACTGGAGTGGAGGATGAGACAGCCACTAGTGATGACGACGAGGAAATTCCCATCGGCAGGCCAGGCTGGTATAACAGGCGGAGCACGCGTTGGAATGCGTTGCTCGAAGACGAGGGCGGTGTGTTTGCATCACAACAGGCTGCAGGATATCCCCGCAGTGCACCTGGCAGAATGACGTACGAAGACAGCCCGCGGATGTACAACCATCAGCTGCAGAATGTGCCGCTGATGAACAGCGCCCATCCGATGTTTTCCGCGGCATCGACCGACTCGTTCGATTCTGACGGCGAGGTGCTGCCTCTGGCTACGGCGCCCGTCAACGGGTCCGCCTCGCCGGGTGGCCGTCGGAAGTCGCGAGATAACCTCGCTGGCCCGTCGACAGAGGGAACGGAAGAAGGCAAATGGTTCCAGCAACTGGACGAGCGATACCTGCTGCCGCTCTTCTCAAACGCCACTGCAAGTCGGACGTTCCATGCGCGGAAAGCACGGCGGGCGTCGGGGGTGGGCACCGCCAGCGGGAGCCGGATCGGCAGCCCTGCTGGCTCGGATGATGAGGGAGACGACGGGACCGAGGTCGATCTCACCACAGCCGCCACCCGTGCTGCGAACGTGAATCATGATGAGGCGCGGGCGCTGACACCGGGCGTGATGGACCAGAGTCGGACAGAGCGGGGGCTCGCGAGCCCAATGCTGCGGCGGGATAGCGAAGGGCAGAATCGCGACCGCGCATCATTATGATGCGCTTATCTATACGTATGGGTATGTTCTGGTAGTGCTCGTAGCGACGCTTTCCCGCAGGTTTGCTTATGATGGACAAAATGTTGTGTATTCATTAGATATATAATCACATACAATCCGGAATATCCGTGGTTGGCGTGACGGGAACAGGTACGTAAGTCGCGCTGATGTTGCATACCATTCTATGTGTGCGCATATATGATGCCAAAGCAAGGTATGTCTAGTCTAATTCTTTGACTCTATCATAGAGTACGTTGCTGAATCGATAGGCTTTCCCTGCTCGTGCTGTATATAATCAGAATACGGCGATCATTTTAGGCTGCTTCTTGAATCGAGCTGTTGGCACGGGCGGCGTCAATACAATCAGACGTCGAAACGTAAAAATACATACCATACAGTAGTAGGGTAACGCCAACAATCTGCATCGCACCGGAATAGCTTGCTACGGCATGCCAGTTGCCACCGCTGGCGCTGTAGATCGCCCCGCCAATTGGGGCTCCAGCAGCATTACCTAGCAGGATGCGACTGATCAGTACAACAACGAACGTCAGGATCCCAGAAGTTGTCATTACCTGGCAGGTTGAAGAAGAGCAGCAGGCCCGACAGCCCTGCAAGCCGGTCGGAGCCATACAGCTGGGCCGCAACAGCGGGCGACAGCGAGATGAAGCATCCACAGAAGAAGCCGTAGAGGATGCCAAATGCTATCTAGCAGCGCAGAAGGCAACACTAGTGAGCAGACGTGACAGCTACCAGGAGTAAGGGGCTCGGGAGAGGCCTTGCGTACGATGCCGGCATAGGTAGTCACAAAATTCCAGAGGAGGATTTGAGTGAGGCCCGAGACGAGGATGCCAATGAGGAGCGCGTTGACGGGGCCCATGCGGTCGGCGATGAAGCCGACTGACGCGCGGCCAGCGGCGGCGGAGAAGTTGAGCAGCGTGAGTGGCAGAGCGGAAAGCTGATGATATAGTGAGTGTGGGTACGGCACATCTCGTGGACTCGGAGAGAACGAATGAAACTGACGAAATCGGTCGTTCCGGGAACCATTTCAATTGTATACGTTGGTAAGAAGAATACCGGAGTCAAGTATCCACTGTGGCAAGACTGACATGAATCAATGCATGACATGAAGGACATCAATTACGCACAAGACGGTGAAGAGGAAGCCCCAGCCGAGACTCCAGAACACTGGGTCTTTGAAAAATGCTAGATCGAACCAGATAATCTTCTTCCGTGTCGACGGCGCTCTCCGCTCCTTGATGAGTATCAATGCGAGAATGAAGCAAGCCGCATCAATGCCACTATATATCGCGAAAGTCTTCTTGTAACCGAGCGTCGCTAGCATTTTGTACATCATTAGTGTCGCGATCGCACCACCTGCCGAGGGGAATACGTTATGGTTTGTCTGAGCATATCGGACGGTCTCACACACCTAGCGAACAGCCAGCGACAACCACGCCGATTGCGAAGGCTCTATACTTGTAGAACCATTGTGCTGGCAATGCGACCTAAGATGTGGACATCCGTTAACCTACGAATCATGAAAATGCACTTCGGACGAAAACGAACCACTAGTGGGAATACGAACGCATTCGAGATCCCTTGCAGTATACCCTACCAAGGGGCTCCTATCAGAAAAAAGGGCGCATATAATGGACTTCACACCTGAGTAATGAAGAAGTGCCAAAGTTGTGTGCAGAACGCAGAACCCAGCATCCCGGCCAGCCAGAACATCGCACCCAGCGCCAGGAATGGCTGGAAAGTCACGCAATGTCAATACGAAAACATCGAGCTGCTTTGAATAAGCCTGCCTTGTATCCGCTGCCGAGTGCCTGGTTAGTTACTATTCAATCGCAAGATAACGTGATGCTCACTATCGGTCCCCAATCTTTCCTGTCACCATGCTACCTAATGTCATTACCTGAGCACCAGGATTTCCAGGTGAGAAACAAGCAATTCAAGACACGATCACAACGTACCATCCCGGACGTGCTACCCAGCAAACTCAGAATGGTCCCGGATGCATTGGGAAATAGATGTTCTTGATAATAAGTCTGCACAACGCCCCATGCCTGACATGGCATAAGTATGCAGAAGATGGAGGAGCTGGAGGGTCGGGAACGTCGTCCGCAATGCTTACGAGACTAGTCACCCCCAGAGCAAGTGGCGAGAGGCATTCACAACGCGATGAGGAGTTCGAAATCAAACTATGCGCTATGGATGGCATACAAGATGATCACCTACGTCCAGCCAAGTGTAGTGGCTGCGAAAATGAAGCAACCGGAAACTACCAACCAGCCACGTCCGCCATCGGGGAAGTCGTCTTCCACCGCCACCTCATCATCTGGCGTCGAATACGACGACGAGAAGGTACCAGGGTCCTTCTCGTTGAAGGTGTCACGCCGAATAGCCATCTCCTCTATGTCCTTCTGAGCGATCTCGACTTCCGTCTTCTCGGACCTGGGAGTCTCCATCTTTGACGAGTTCCAGATAGACAACGACCGAGTCAGAGGATACGAAGGGGGACAGCCGAGGGCCTGCACTGAACCCGCCTATTTATGTCCGAGCTGGGTGCAAGCCAAAATGCCTCGTGATGGCGGAGATGATTTCAGAGCATCTGTAGAGCGTAGCCAGAACCTGGACTATTCCATGGCTAAGGAAAACTCCCTGCCTTGAAAGCCTGCGAGGTGAACTTGACGTCAGTGATTGGCCGGAGAGCCTGATAGATTCTGCGTTTCGAAGAGGCATCGGTTCCAGCATGCCCCATGTTCTTGCGCCGCGGTGTCAGCTGTTGTCATCATCGGGCCGGAAATCCCCACCGTTGCGATAGCGAAAGGACGAGAGCTTGGTAGGGAGCGGAAACGTTTCCAATGACTGAATGCAGATGAAAGGGTATGTGTGTGTCACGGCGTACTGCAGGAATTTGATATCTGCGGCGAACGTCGTATAGGAGCTTTCGGTGCCGGATGTAGGCAGCACAAAACCACGATGTCGAAAGGCGGAGAAATGTGCGGAGGTAGTTGGTCGCGGAGTTTCTGCTAACGTAAATTAGTCAGGCAAACTATCGATAACCCGTCACAATGTTCTTCAGAATGAACGGACCGCAAAACCCGTGATGCAGCATTCTTGAAAAAGGTTGAACCAGTCGACTCCTTCCTTTCGCCCGCTCTATCACATCAGTATGCGTAACAACGTGCCTTCGACAGCTGGACACAGCATAAAGGTGCTTCCAGTGACTTTCCATGCATCTCGAGCAGGTGCTTCTGGTCAGTCGCTGGATCGCCGAGCGGTTAGTTCCTCTGTTGGTCTGCAAGATGCATAAGGTTGCGTTCACTGCACAATAGTAGACGAACGATTCTAAAGCGTCAGACATGATAGCGCTAAAGAGGCCACATTGAAGCCTCGTTGTGAGGTCGGAGCGCTCGCGATGATTGCCCTGTGAGCATGTGTATGGATTTACGTTACGCCCATGAGGAAACAGCACGCCAGTCGTCATGAATGCGCGTGAGGCTTTGAGGGGAGGCCCAGGGTGACTTCGCACGTGTGCTATATCGTCGGTGGTAAAGCGGCTCCGAATGCTCTTCTTCAGCATGCTTGTTTTCAGATCACTGCAGCAGATTGTTTGCCACGAGGATATGATACGTTCATGATGCGGTCCAGGCCGATTAGTACACGCAGAGCTCCTGCAGGGCAGGTACCTGATCTCTGCAGGGCTGGTTTGCGGTGGACTAAGTTTCCGACGGCTTTTGCAGCAAACGTGGAATTCGTTCAGCTCAATTGTCGGTGCATGAAGAACATGTGTTCCGCGAAAGTATGCAATGACTCTATGGTTTGGAGCGCTTGTAGGCGGAGAATGCCGACATGACCACAGTGGCTTACAGCGGTAAGGAAGTAGCCAAACCTGGCAACATCTTTTGCTGTCATCGTGTAACGTCACTCTGGAGCTCATCGTTGATTATTGACCTGTCAGTGTTGTCAACGTGAAGAATGATGAATATGCGTACTGTAACATGCCCAAAGCATCTCCTCCCGTCCAGCTAACTCGAAGCAAATTCGCAATGTGCAAGGCGCTTTGCGCAAGAGGTGCATGATGATGCATGATGGACCGTGCGCGAAGGACCACAACGTCGGTAGAATATTTACGAATTGATGGAGGACAAGGATGCCGCGAGCACGTGATGGGAACGTCGAGCATGCAGTGAACCCGCCTGTTGTTCCTGTCAGCCTCGTCGGAGTGTGTAGTCCGCTTCTTTCCCTTCGACCACCATCTTCCCTCTGCCCTCGCTGCAACGCTGCCCTCCCAACCGCCCTCATCGACCATGCGCTTCGCTCTCGCTGCACTCGCTCTCCTCCCGGTCGCCGCGTTCGGTGAGTGTGGCGTCGCATGGTGATCGTTTGCGCGATCTGAATGGCAACACGTGTCCATAGCCGAGATCACCATTCTCGCGCCTTCTCCTTCTGAGTACTGGTGCGTTGAATTTATATCCTGCTCTCATATGATGCACAGGATTGAGACAATTTGACCTTGGGCAATAGGGTGCAGGACACGAGCAACACGGTCACATGGGACTATAGCAGTGGTGACCCCAACCCGATTGACATCAACGTCGTCAACGTGGCCAACACCACGCTGGACGGAAACTTCACCATTGCCACCTACGTCAACGTCTCGACGCAGGTTCGTCTGAGATGTTTACTTCCACTTGAATATTCTGATCTAAGGCATGCCATGTCGGCAGTCGTTCACCGTGTGAGCTTGCATATGCCCGATGCTATGTGCGTTGCATGATTTTTACGTACTTCTTTTTCCCACAACAGGACGAATGTGACTCTCGTGGTGGGCAGCGACTACCAAATTCAGTTCGTGAATCCCGCCAACCTGAGCGAAGTGTATGCGACAAGCGGGTTCTTCTCCGTCAAGGCGCCGGGCAGTAAGTATAACGTCTTGCTGATCTGGAATGATGCACAGCTCATATAGGGCGTGATTGATCATAGCTGCCGCCGCTCCATCCGTCACTCCGTCTAGCGCTGCAGCCTCCGCCTCGTCTTCGGCTTCCGGGTCTGCTGCCAGCGGATCCGCTGCCTCTGGGTCTGCGAGCGCGTCCGGCTCCGCTGTATCGGCCGCTGCGTCGTCGAAGAGTGCTGCTCCTCGCACTTTTGGCACGTTATCTGCGCAGGGTGTCCTCGGTGTCATTGTGACATGCGGTATTGCTGGCATGTCAGCCCTCTTTTTGTAAGCGTGCAGAGACGATGCATGCCATGGTCCTTTGCGAAAATCTGGGCTCGGAGACATTCTTCCCCGCGTAAGATCCTTTGTGGATGTAACGAACGTTTGGCGTAGTGGACGATCATGTCCTGTCCTTTCTGTTGGACCCCTCGTTTACTTGTTGTTTGTTGTTCACCAGTGATACCCCGCAGGACTTTTCGGCTACCTTTGAGAGTTGTTCATTAGTATACGACGAGCCTTCTGTGATACTTCATTGTCATAATGTGTCGTCTCTAATAGTGAAGTTGTTGTTGTCTTCATGGACTTGTGCGCGCATTGACGAAGTTGCGAGAACTCGACGGATTTCTAGTCTTGTTGCGATGTTCGCGATCTATCGTCACCGTTTGCTGCCGTTAACGAGGATGTCATCCTTGTTGGTCATGACTTAGTCATGCATCCGCGGGGATACGAGAAGTCGTTAATGTTTCGGATCTATGATGGTAAAAGGTGGAACAGGAAGCCGCGTTGTTGTGAAAAAACTATTCACAGTCTTCATAGTGGAGCGATATGCGCATGAAAGCATGCAGCAAGGCCACAAAGTCCGACATGAATCGACGTCGACCGACCGCAGGCTGCTATTAGGTTCGGGCTAAGCACTCGAATGAAAAACTCACCTGATAGCATGTAGAGGCCACTCATTCTCTTCACGTTTCAGTTGAAGGTGCAGCGATGCACGGATCACTTGAGCGGGGACCGGAGCAGACTCGCTATTGAAATACAAGGGGCTATGCAGCACCCAAACAACGCTCCTTCGCGCAGGAAGAGGGTCCGCTGCGAGTCTCCATTGAATGGCCCACGTTCCGTCTGTCCTCCGCGGACTTACGGGCTCTTGTCTGACTGTTACGATTCAGGCAATCGATCGTCCTCCCCGGAATCAGGACGAGCATGCCCCAATATACTTCACATTCGAGCTTTCACGTAATCCCAATTTGCTATGGGCTTAGCACTATGGGCGACATGCACAGCCTTGGCAATTCATCTAGCACTCTAGTCTTTTTTGGCGTAAGCTCCGACACAAATCCTTGTGACAAAGTGTGAACACGACCTTGTAGTTTTTGACAGCTGTTTCATTCGCGAGTCTGAGTCCTTTGTGACGCACGACGCCCCCTGTGAAGAGCATACAGAATGATAGTGAGCCTTTCGCCCGTTCGCAATTGTGCTTACCGTAGGTGTTCACCTTGTAAATGAATTTCAAATACGATCTTCGCAAAGACATACCTGGCTGCAAGCTCCGCAATTTATCTTTCTTGGAGAGATAGCACGCCACACGATCAGGACGTCTCTGCTCCAAGCAGCATAGTTCACGATTGAGGTTTTACCAGATCAATTCGATGAGACACGAACAGGGAGAAAGACGAGCGCTACCAGGCGCCACTGCACGCCACAGTTATTTGCACGTGAGAACACGAGTCATGTGATTGCACATCGACGCGTGCCTGCGAAAATTGGCGGGAAGTGGTCGGGGAAAATGTTTTTGACCACCGTCGACGCCGTCGAGGTCGCCGGTGCCGGCGAGCTCGTCGCTATCACGATTCGATCTGCATCGGCCGGGGCCAAGTTCGTGGATTGTCGGAGGGAAGATTCAGGAAAAGCAAACCCATCGACGAACGCGCGGCGTCAGACTTGACGGGCTCCTTCTCCACATCCCCCCATCTGGCGCTCCCTGCCAACCCTTTGAGGCTCTTCACGCGCCAAACGCGCTCGATAACGGTGTTCGATAGCGTTTGTCCCTCTTCATCACGTTGGAACCTATATCTGGTACATATCTTCCTATCTGTGCTTTGAATAGCCTTCCTTCGTCTCGCCGTCATGTCTCCTCCCGCTGCAGCCCGCTCATCTGCTACAGCTTTTGCTGATGCGCACGCAGCGCCGAAAATACAAAAGACAGATGTCGATGCTCGCTCTGTCGCAAGCACTCATCTCGGAAGTTCGGACGACGATGAGAGGCTCATCGAAATCGGCTATGTGCCCTCCTTCAAGCGCGAGTTCTCCAACCTCGCTACGGTATGTCCACGATCGCTTTTCAAAGCCAATGGGCTGATCTTGTGAGATGGCGCGGAGCAGATCAGCTTTGCCTTCAGCATCATGGGTCTATGCTCCAGTGTGGCCACGACGTTCAACACTCCCTTGCTCACCGGAGGGCCTGCGTCGGTTACATGGTGCTGGATTCTGGGGGCGTGCATGTGTTTCACGCTTGGTGAGTCCCCCACACGTCGACGTGGGGTTATCAGCCCCATATGCAATTCGTTTCTCTACCGTTGATAAGATACTCAACGTGTGTATTTCGATCCAAACAGGGTCTAGCATAGCAGAGATTGTGAGCGCCTTCCCGACCTGCGGTGGCTTGTCAGTACCTCTGCTCCACTTGGGAATGAATCTGTGCACATCATTCAACTTCTATCCCTTTTCGACAGATATACCGCTTCTGCGCAGCTCTGTCCACCACGATATCGTCCTATCGTCGGTTGGATCGTCGGATGGCTGAACCTGCTCGGTAAGTCGTATTTCGTGATATGAAACTGCAGGAGTGTAAGGTCGTAGGAACATAGTAGCAGTGGTACGCCTTTCCACCTACGTGCTTGACCCGACACCCTAGCATACTTCATTGCATCGTGCAGTTCCATACATCGCACGATATGCTGTGTCTGCGCTTCATTTCAATCAGTTGTGCAGCAACAGAATGTGGAACCATATTATTTCACATTGGCTGTATTGAGATCGACGAAAGCAGTCGATCAGTCAATCAATCATTGTTTAGTCTTAATAGCATACCGATGGGCAACCTTGGGGCAATGTTGCTCGCCTCATGCCATCTTGTATATCGTTTGGATTTGACTCACAGTGATTACAGGACAAGTTGTTGGACTTTCGTCGACAGAGTTCGGTCTTGCAAACATGATCTGGGCCGCCGTGGTAATTGGGAAGGTGTGTCTCATGCAAGTTCCTCTCAGGCACCGCTGGCCATAACATACTGGTTTTGTTCAATGCAGGACGGAAATTTCGTAGTCACACAAGGCATGACGGTAGGCCTGTTTGCCGGCCTCATGGTGTTCAATGGGCTTCTGGTACGTGTCGCGCAAACAACCATCCTCTCTGCCTGTCGCGACGACTCATACATCACAGAACTGTGTCGGTACGCGCTATCTTGCCCATGCTACCAAAGGGTTTGTGTTCGTGAACCTTGGCGCGACATTTCGTACGTTGTCAACTACTGTTACGGCACTCATCCGCTGTGCTTAGTGACTTCTGCTCAGTTATCATCATTGTCCTGCTTGCGAAGACGCCGCGCTCAGAGATGCATCCGGCGTCTTATGTCTTTGGCTCATTTGGGATTGTGAACCAGACTGGAGGTTGGAACGATGGGCTAGCGTTTTTGTTCGGCCTGTTGAGCGTACAATGGACGGTGAGTCTTCTCATATTCCATACGACTTCCTGTAGCTGTGAGGTTATCTACCGACTGGAGTATGTGACTTCACCAGAGCTCAGTTGCATAGCACCTAAGATTGCAGCATCACCCCAGCCAATCTTGTAGCCTAGCCGAAAGCTTACTGACAACGCATCCATATTTCACAGATGACGGTGAGTCCTGATACGGGTGTTAAAGTGGTTCTTGTGATTGGCGTGTTGAATGCACTGTGATAGGACTACGATGCAACAGCACACATATCGTACGTATGGACATCTTTCCTCGGCTCTTCTTTCATCGTCCTTACTACTTCTGCTTCCGCCGTTCCGAACCCTCTCTTCGCTCTTCTTATCTTACGGAACGGTAACGATACAGATTACCCAATCTTGGTGACGAACATGGGCGTTTAATAAGATGCTGCATGGCACTAGCCTTGGCTTCTTGAACCCTGTTTCATGCAATGTCGATATGTGGGAGTTAGAAGCTTTCGATCATGTGGAATCTGTTGTCATTTGCAGGGTCCGCATCGTCTCTTCTTCGCCGGGTTACTCCGATGCCGTTGCTGTTCGGATGTATTCAACGCTCCGTCCCAGATCCTTTGCGTTTGGTGATATGCACGAAGCTTACAGCACATTACAGGGAAGAAGTGAGACGTGCAGCATATGCAGGTGTGTGCGGCCGACACGTCTCCCGATGGCTCTTCCGCTGACCTTCCTTGGCTTGTGATAGCCCCATCTGCTATTTTCATTGCAGGTTCGTCCTCAGTGCCATCCTGCCTTTGCCACGATCGTAACATTTTGCTTTTGCTACTCTACCAGTTATCGGCACTGGTCTGATCGGATGGATCCTTAACATCGTTGTCGTGCTATGCTCTGGGCCGTTGTCAGTGCATTCACATAGGCCTAGGTTACGATACTGACATGTCGATGGTTGCGATAGAGAAAATCTTCCAGGAGCGTCTGGTTCTGCATTCCTCGAGGTACGCCTCCACCCAACCGCCATATGTCTCCCACCTGCTGACCGAGAGCATATGTCTCGTAGATCATGGCGCTCCGCATCGGCAAGCCTGGTGCCTTGTTCCTCTGGGTACGCGTTGCCGTTATCCATTGCTACCGCCTGCCTCACCCGGATCTAGTCATTCGTATGCCTTACAGCCTTCTTCGTGTGCCAGACGGCGCTGCAGGCGTGCTCCAGGACGGTCTACGCATTCAGCCGCGACCATGGTGCGTAACAAATGACGGTGTCCCGGCTCGAGTTCTCTGCTGCGCTTACTGACTTCATGTTGAAACTTTTGTGAAGGTCTTCCTGATGGCGGCTATTTCGGACAAATCACCCCATGGACGAAGACGCCCCTTCGTGCCGTGTGGCTGACGACAATTGTTAGCATCCTCCCGGGGCTTCTCGACCTTGCTAGTACTGTAGCTGCCAATGCGATTTTCGCATCGTGTGCTATTGCACTGGACTCGTCATATATCATTCCTATCATCCTGTGGGCATAAAATCCGGTGATCTCACTGACGACCGGAATCTCTGACTGCAAATGATTGCTATAGGAGACGTGTCTTCCGGAATCATCCCGAAGTTCATTTCACACCGGGACCCTTCTACATGGGTGACGGAATGCTGGGCTGGACGGCGAACACGCTGTGCGTCCTGTGGACCCTGTTCGTATGCGTCATCTTCAGCATGCCCACCGTGCTTCCTGTCACCAAGACAAATATGAACTACGCGTCCGTAAGTGTATATGCCTCTCTTGGTCATGCGTAATGGGATTAAAGCGTTGCATTCCCACCGTCAGGTTATTGTTGTCGGGGTTATTGCACTTTCAAGGTATGCTTCTGCTTCGGTTCATATGACTGATGCTCACGTAACGCAACGATTGCAGCGTGTGGTATATTTGCGGGTAGGCTCCACGAAATCTTCTTCTGGACCCTCCATTGAGGATTCTGCAGCGCACACCGCCACTACAAGGGTCCGAGCTTCAATGCGCGCAAGAATGACCAGACCAGTCAATCCAGTCTCTCCGACGACATGCTCACCGGGGAATTCGCAGAGAAGGAGGCTATCATCGCGTAGGCCTCTCCGGAGGTCAGTTCAGTGTATCCGCCGGCGTTCTGAAGTGTCAGGTCAACCCGACTTCTTCGTACGCTATCGCGTCTCGGAGCTGGCGCGAGAACGGACAACACCCGCACTCAACAGCGCTTCCGAAAATAACGACACGCACGCGCACGATAATGACATGTCTATCACGAGAAAACGCATGTACCGTTGCTCCATATGTATCGACAAACAGAGGTGTATTCCACCGGAATGGCGCGTATCTGCCTTCATAGAGCCCTTGACATCGGGTGCGAATTCATGGGTTCATGATTGATCAGATGCCGTGCGTTTGAATTGCTGACGGACCTGTGCTGAATGGCCGTGATGGTACCGAGATTACTGGAACTACGCTGCGTATACGGCTCTAAGTTTTGCAGCAGTTGCTCCCAGTTCCCACGTTGCGACAGCGGAAGTATTCAATGCCGGCAACTTTGTGGACCTGCGCTCCTGAACTAAGTACAAACTTTTCCCGGCACAAAGTCGGCGTAGCTTAGGCTTTTGGCAGGGCTGGACAGCTAGGTGCTGTCTTGCAACTCAGATCTGTCAAGCTGTCGATCAGGGTTGCTAGCTCGTCGAGGCCCCAGTAATAGTCTCGTGCACAGGGAACGTATCTTTCGACCGTAAGCGAAGCAAGTCAGTGCTGCAAATCAGTGGTGAGCGAAGGTAAGCGTCTCACCAAGAAATCCTTCCCTCGCAGTGCATCAGGAAAACTTAAATCCGTCTTTTAATCTTTTTTATCGGCTACTGTAAGTCTGGGAAAGTCTCAGGAGCTCCTTTTCTCCGGGTTGAAAGCATTGTGTGAATAATCACTTGTACAGGCGCATTACCGGCGTAAAGACGTTGAAAAGGAGGGACTGGAGCCGCAAGGTGTTTTAAATTTTCCTGATGCTAGCCAGGTAACCACCCCAGGCCATGGTCCTCCAGGATACTGGTAGTACTTCGAACCAGCGCGTGCATCGGTAACATGACATGCTTGTGAACGGCGGCGATACACATTGCATCTGTTCATGCTGGCTGGGGAAGATTGAGTTGGCCATGCACCTCGTCGACAATAGCAGTTGAGTATCAGTCGGTACAGTGCGAGAGCATGACACGTTGTGAGGAGTCCCAACAGTCAAAGCTTCAAGGCCTCACGTTCCTAAACAATTGACAGCAGCCGCACCATTCAGGTCATGACCGCATTACGCCACTCATTCGCCGATTAAGCGGGCCGAACAATGTCCCACTGTCAATCATGCAACCTATCTGGAAGCACTGCTCGAAATAGATGTCCTGGAATCAAGTTCATGTCTGGCCTCATTTGAGAACGTTTTCCACGACGACCGCTACTCACCGGCACCAAAACAATTTGCTAAGCTGATGCCGGACATTTTGACCGAGACCGGCATGCGAGAAGATGTGTATGTTCAAGTCCGCAATGAAGGAGCTAGAACATTGCGTGAATGAGACTTCCCTGTCTCAAAGGGCATTGATATCGTGAGAGAAAGCGCAGATGTCGGTGAAATACTGTTGACCGATCCTGTTATACTTGATTGTGCCCGAGAAGCCTACTGATCAGAGCCAACGCACGTTTCCATGCTCCGCAAGGTTGATGTTGAACTCATAGCCAGCTTGCAGTTGCGTGATTCAGATGCGCATTCAATACTCTGACGCAGTCGAAGTTCTGTCTGGATCGGTATGGTATGAATTGCGTCCAGCGCCGTTAGTCATTCTCCGGCTCTCCGGATATATCGATTTGCGGGGTTTTTTGTTTTTGAAAATTCGTTGAGGAAGGAACCCTACTGCATGGAAATCCGGTGTAAGCATATGGAGCGTACTAATGCGCAGATGAAGGTACAATCATGTAACACCCAACGACGCCAACACGAACACCGTTCCTTACCGGCCCCAGAAGAAGACCAGAGGCCGCCGTAATACAATCATAGAGGAGCAAAAAGTATCACCCTTTGCGATATGAAAGACCTTCATATGACAAATTGCACTTGAACCTGCCTTTCAAGACTGTAGGCGAAAAGAAAGGTGACATCCAGACCTCACGGGGAACTGCACTGGTCCTAGCAGGTGTTCTACAACAGCTGCTCTTTTTTTGTTCAAGCCACCGAAATACGTACAATAACCACATGCTCAAGCGTGCCGATGGTAGCCAGACGGCTCGAATTAGTCCCCAAGAGGCAAAGTGCTTACACAAACAAAAGCCTTCAAAGGGTAAGCTCAGAGCCTTCAGTGCCAGATGATGGATTCTAGATATCAGCTAGAATCCTCCTGTTGTGTGTGAATCATCATGTTTTATTACGTCTCCGATATGTTCGTAGCGTCTTTCACGATGTCACGAGGATCCATGGCGTGGGAACTGGGCTACGCTAGGCGTTGAGTTCCAAAAGAAATGGCAGCCGCTGCTCTCACCGATAATCCCCACTGAGTCGACACTAGCATCTCAACACACTCTTCCATATCCTCTGAGTGTATTGTCTTACGCGGACAATTAGATAACAGCGCAGATGCATACGTACGGTCTTGCTTATGTCTGATCCGATGTCTTCGTCCGAAAGCTTGGAAGCTCGGAAAAATGCTGCGCACTTCTATTGTCCTCGGGCCTCATCGGACGTCCGGTCCTTCGTGCATGCAAAAATCACCGTGCCGACTCAAAGCAATTCCGTACTTAATAGATAAAAATCTCAAATGTCTTCCGTGATGCGTCCATTTCGCCAGCAACCTTCGCTCGCTATTTAATTTGGTGAGCCTTCCTGATCCTCAGTATTGCCCATGCCATGAATCTCTTTCAAATGGCCCTGGTTACCTCATGAGATTGGTTCAAGCTTATTCCTTCATCGATTCTTGGTCTGCGTCATGCTCTGGGCAATTATGAGCCCCCGATCGCAGAACCACACCTTTTCGAACTCCTTTGCATAGCGTGCGTGGCGTTCCAGGGAATTAAATGGCAAGGCTGTGAGGCAGGCCCAGCGTCGCCTATGAACGACCGCGGTTGGAATGATCACAATTTCGCGACGCTTCTATGTCCGATGCATAGCGCTCCATGGACTGATGCAGACTTCTAGCAAGTCTCATAATGACTCCTTATCTTGTGTCTAATGGTAATGTGTCCTTTTTGAGATGTCCTCGTGCAAGGCGGAGAGCTCCTACTCATCCGCTGACCTCAACCTTCATAGGCCTTCCGTGCAAACGATGAGTCGGATGTTTCAAGCGTCAACCCCGTGCGCTTTCTTGCTCTCGCCAGTAACTGGCGTTGTCGAGAATTAGCTCGCCTCGCAAACAACTCGCCTCGCGAGGTGTGTTGTGGGTTGACGATTTCAAACGAGTTTTGACATGGTGCGTTCCCCATGCCTGCATAGATGTGCGCGCATGATGTGGCGTGTTGTCCAGACGCTGCTCCGAATGAAATGAGCGCTAGCGCGATGCTAGACGCGCGTCTTTCCCTATACCGGGCCGAACCACTTGTAATTATATGTCTCCACAAGGAGGCTTATTCACCGCCAACAGAATCGCGTCAGTCCCAACTCAACGGCAAGTGGGTTATATCAACTGAATGCATCGAAGGTGGCCTCTGCCAATGACTTCTCACAGGCCTGTGACTACCGCGTGAAAGAACTCGCGAGTTAATTCCAACTCACCTTGCGTCGCCTCAACTCGCCTTGCCTCGCCTCACGGTACCACTACTCGAAGGTTCTATTTCTGAGACCTCATGGCACACATGCGTTTGTTTTCCTTGAAAACCACTGCTTATCGCTCGCGTGAACAAATTTCGCGCACGTAGCCTTTCATTTTGGCGGAACAGCTACCACAACCCCGCTGATGATGCAATCTTCACAGGTTTTTACATATGCTACCGCTCGTATGCATTATCAATTTACCGTGTACTTTAGCGGGTGTACTGGTCCGACCCAATGACGCCCGTTGACCAAAACAATTAGGCAAAGACTCCGAAGAGATATTCTGGCTCGAGGCGTCAGTTCGTATCCGAGGTCGCTTACGAGGACATAATGACACGTACCAACGACATATTGATACCGTAAACCGCTCATCACGCTACAACACCTCCATGTATGGCTCTAGAATCTGCAGCAAGTGTTCCCACTTCCCATCGTTGCGACGGCAGATCCTATCCCAGCAACCTCGTGGACCCGCCCTTCTGAACCAGATCAACATCGCTCCGAGTACGAAGTCCGCGTAGCTCGGGTTCTCGACAGGACTGAACATCCACGGGCCCGCCCGATGATCTCTCGAGCTATCGATCAGCGCTGCTAGCTCGTCGAGGCCGCGCAGTATTCCGTCCCACACGGCTTGTTGCTTGTGCGGAGGAAACATATCCTCCAAAGCAATGCCTGGTGAATGGGGCGACTCAGCACGACGGCCGGAGATGAGCAAGGCTAAGCATCTCACCGAGGAATCCCTCTCTCGTCGCCAAGTAGTAGTCCAGGTCGCGGCCCTCCAGGATGTCTACCGTACTCGGAACGACCATGTGCAGCATCGGTAACATGACATGCTTGTGAATGGCGGCGGCATATCTCATCTGTTCGCGGTGACAGCCACCGGGAAATATCGAAGGTTCGGGATATGTCTTATCAAGATGCATGGCAATATGGGACGAGTCCGAGAGGGCAAGGGGAGAACTTCCCTCTGCTTCGTCAAGGATCGCGGGGACGGTATATTGCGGCATCTCCGCGCGCGTGGGTGGTGCACCGACGGAGGAGAGCACACCGGCAATATCTGGGTAAGCCAAGAACTGGGTGCAGTAGGGAAGTCTCTTGAAATTCAAGATAAATCTGCACTCCAAGCTCTATCGTCGACCGATGTATTGATGAAGTGATCTGCTCACCGGACTTTCCACACGTTGGGAGACCAAGCTGGAGGATCAAGAGTCGACCGGACGTCGTAGAGGGTGATGAAATGCTTGAAAGCCATGGTTACCGTGCAAGGATACGAAGTGGTTGTGTTCGCAGAGCGTGTGGCCAGGCAATTTAACACTTCTTGAGGTGGCGTTGCGCCCAAAGGCCCCGCGACCATGGACACTCCGGCGCATGATGCAACTCAATTGCCGCGTGCGTTAGAGTGGTTGCGCTCTGCTGTTTAGCACCGTTATGGCTAGAAGAGCCTCGTAGGCGGTGCATCCGGCACTCGGTGCCACTGCGGGACTGCACAGCCATAGTAAGCAGGAGCTAACGGAACGCTCTGTGAATCGGCTGATATGCAGCCGAACCGGAGACTTCGGACCTCCAAAGCAGGTACGCGATGCTAAAGTGCATGGCGGCGTCTGACATACGATCTATGTATTGCGTGAGCAGTCGCAACAGAAGACGCACCTAGCGGGATTAATACCACCACCCAACCACTGAGGCATGGAGCGCACACGATCCGATCGCCAGCCAGGCACATTGGTCTCAAAACGAGAGGGAGATACGTCCTGGGCAAGTATTGTCAGGCGTAGCCATGGAACCTGAGGCCTGATCAGATGCGGCCCATGTCGGTGGTGGCACTTTCATTCGCCAAGATAGCCTTAGCGCCGAAGCGGACGAACACTACATCCATTCCGCCACTATGCACGCGCTAGTACCAGTGATATCATCACCTGTGCATGCAGCGACGTATGCGAGATGTGCCACTGTGTAGTCCCTACACACAATAGGCTCTCTGTCAAGCTCCACCGATCCAGTCAGCATGAGACAGACATGGTCCAGAAGGGAAGGTACAATGAACGGTGGAGTGTGCGCTCAAGCTGAAGGGCCGTTGATCTAGAAATGGTGATCAAGAAACTCCGATTGATTCCCAGAGTCAATTCGGCTCAGTCATACACCACGCGTGTCTCGTTTACTCTTCCGCGAGGCTACAGCGAAACTCTGGTGGTGGATCAAAAACCCACGGGGTTACTGCTCAATCCGCCAACGTGAGAAAGATCGTCGGAGTCCAATAAAATCGGGTCCACGGGCGGCCCAAACCTGAGGGGATTGCGCAAGTCTCTATCAGTAGAAGCTTTTGGACTCACAGTTTGGAGCTATACGCTCAGTCCGCAGGTGGGAAGCATGCGTGTGCGCGAAATATCTACCTGGTCTTGTCAAATGCTTGTTGCGATGCCTTGAATGGCAGGTGGACCTACTTTCAGGACGTTGACGCGATGAACCTGGTGTGAAACCCCCTAGTAATGTATGGTAATCAATCAAAGAACGCTAGGGCACCGTCATCGTAATCAATATGCATCTCGGTCATGTCGTGGCGCCGCGTTCATTTCGCGACTAGTTCTGAGGGGCCCGTGAAAGCTCTGAACTTTCTCATCGGAACGTTCTGACAACGCCTATGAATCGTGGCGTTATGGTAATTCCATCGCTGTCCTGCATATCCGGAGCAGCGTTGCGTTACCATATATCGCAGCTATCAGGTCCCAGGCCTCAATTATAAGCAGACTGACGGGCTAATCGGTCAAGTAAACTTCACTCCAGAATCCCCATCGACGTGTCTCGCCCGCGCATCGCGGCATATTACATCTTATTTGGCATTTTTGGATGCGAGCTTCACATCGTGTCCTGCGCGCCACACTCCATTTCGGTTTACTACTTTCCAAGACGCTCGCCTCGTTGTCCTCCGGACTTCCTCTCAGCGAAACGCCCAGATGCAGTTAAAGCGGCTTGGAACCTCTTGAAACTAGAACGAAGTTACAGCCGTGGAGTAATCACTCGAGGCAGCTCGAGGCGCGGTGCGAATTTGATCAATCTTTGAGATGGCTTGATGTTGCCACCCGTAGCATGATCATGCCGTATACTCCATGAAACCTCCGATCTCGGTCGGTGGAAGAACATGGCGGTGCACTGAACAGATTGCGTGGCCTTTCTTCACATGTCAGCCGCAGAGTATAGTAAGGGAATACACGAGATCGATCATCACCAGCCAGATCATCAGTTCCACCACCGGATACTGACTGGCCAACGCAAACAACGACACCTTGTGCATACTCCTTTATGCAACCACATATCGACGTCGAGCATATTTCACCTCCCCTGAAGAGCGGTAAAGGAATGCAACGCGAAGACTGAGCCCGCTTGACGCAGGGAAAAATCTGAAGGAGAAAGCTGTTAAACGTTTAAACGCCCACGTTCTGCTCAGAAGTAGTCAGAAATGTGATAATTACTCTGATTGATATTAACAATAGACCTTGAGCGTTCCAGTGAGACCTCGAGGAATCGATCCTCATCATCAAGCGCTCCGTTCAAATACAAATTGCGAGGTTACGAGAAGTGTGACGTACGTCGTGCCACGAACGATGGGGCGCGCGAGGATTCCGTAACGCCGCCGGCAACCGTGCAAATGCGAATATTGCAGAGGACTCGCGTGCTGTCGCGGTGCTCCTTGTACGCATGCATACTCCAGAGCACCCTCCGCCTAGTCTCGTCCGGTCACGCCGTGGACGCGAGTATCATGGCGAACATGAGGTGACTCCAAATGGTACTAGATAGATATATTCAGCTCGTCTATGAACAGCCCGAGTGTCCAAAGCCCCTTGAGCTTATCTCGAAACGAGCGGAAGCCCCGATAGTGCACATAAAGTACGACCATTATTAGTCGGGCTGACGACTCTGGATCATCCACGGCCTGCATCATGTCGTGGGTCTCGCAATCGTATACGTGAGTGTCCCCCCTGCTCCAACACCGCCTACGAAACTGCGATCACCTGTGATGTGGCTCATGGGCGTGCCGCTATCGTGCGTTTCACCGAAATGATCAAATGGCTTTTATTGAAATCCAGCGCACCAAGCAATCCCCGCGAGGTCCTCCCAACGGAATAGGCAACTCAGGTAGCATCCAATGGATGGCTGAGAGCACGGGTGCAATTACGCCTGCTTTTTACCAAAGCCAGACACTCTGCTGCGCTCAACAGATAGAATCAGATCGGTTACGATGACGATGAGGGTATGGAGCTTGTCCTGAATCAGCCACGAGCGTTTGCACCGGTCTAGAGATGTCGGGCGCAAATCGGACCATTGTGGGGTCTGTTCTCGTTCTATAGTCGAGGACCTTTCCGCCCAGGGGAGAGTGAGGCTCGTGAACTGCACGCTCCTAGTCCGTTTTGAGTGCATCAGTATGAACGTGAACAAACTCATCTTGCCAATGTGCCCCGCCCGGAAGCTTGCGGGCTGATCAACGATGCTCTTTCATCTTCCCAGCACATACTATTCTCCATCTCACGTTCAACCCATAGTCCAGCCGTGTACAGCTCCCCGCCTAAAACCACAGCCAGTCCGACCTTCGACCAGTCAGGAAGCGCAACGGCAGCGGACTTGCTGCAGGGTATTGAAAATGTATTGACCGGTAGAATGCATCCAATACGACGGTAAATGCGGTAAACAAGCCGGGTATGCAACAGACTAACTCAATCTCTTTTCTTTCTAGCTTTTAGCGACTTTGCGGACACCATCGCGTCTCTTCTCCGCCTAAGAGAGCCCTCGTATGACTTGCAGAGCCAATTAATATAGTCGATACCTGAGCGGTCGCCAGCTGCAACAAGACGATGCTTGAGAAGTTCAAGCTCGGTAAAGGTGAGAAGCGGCGGAACGTTATCGTCCGGCACATCGGTAGGGTGATAGAGTCGCACAAGTGGCTTAGCACCCTCCAGCTGAACACGCGTCGAGCGCAAGGAATTTTGCGAAGGAGTCTTCAGCAGTGCTGATGGAGGATACCGTTCTGCGAAGACCCTTACAACCTCTAGAGCACGAGTGTGTTCACGGGTGCTGCGAATTAAGCTCGTCAGCGGATGCACGATTACTCCAGCGAGGATACTCACAGACTGAGCAACTGGATCATAGCTGTGTTCGCCCGCTCAACCCAACGCGCATTGACTGTTTCGATGACCTCATTAGCATCGTCACGATCGAATCTCAGACGCCAAGCCTCCTCGATGCCCTGCCACGCGCCCCATACCTCCTCAGCGAACCGAAGTGCGACGGTGCGATCGGCCTTGGATGCAACCGAGCAGCGCTCGAGCGCATCAACGTACGTTCTCGCATCCCGCGATATGCCCATGCGGTCGAAAAGATCACGATACACAGCGCTCCACGTATCGAAAGGCGCATGGGCATAATACACAGAGAGGTAGTCGTTGAGGAGGCGAGAGGTGAGGCGGACGTATCGGAAGGGGCTCCAGGTTCCCTCTTGTTCGTCCATTGGAGCGATGCCGTCTGCGACTATGCGATCGAAAAGAATCTTCGCTTCCGCAACTATTTCTCCCTTCGACTGAGGTGGAATGTGGGAGAATTTTGAAGTGTGAGTGACGTCAGTCAGTCCTGCGTTTTCGAAGTCCTCCTGTATATCAGGGTTCCCCATTACCCCCGAACTTGTGAGGTTTTTGTCTTGTACTGACGTCTGAGATTCTTTTTGAGCTATCTGATCAGGCGCATCGTCCACAATCCGGGTCGCAGAGCGCTTGAAGGGTACTTCATACGAAGCATAGGCTTGGAAAATATTGTGCATCACCGTTTCCGTCAGCAGTGCATCCTGCTCCTTCATCCCTCCCTCTGCCTCTAGGTCTCGATCAGCTTGTAAAGTCTGCTTCACCATCTCTGCTAGGATCCATCGCGCCCGTGCAAGATCCTTGATGCGCTTCGCGCCCTCTAGCAGGGCAATGAACAAGCCTCGGTTGGGACCGAATGCGCTCCGCCCATGTGCGTCGCGATTTGCATCGAGCATTTCCCTCGCGAGTCGGAACGCCTGGTGCACGTAGCGCTCTTCTCCGCTGCGCGCGAACGCATACATCGCGGCCGTGTATGCGCGCTGCGTCGGCGCGAGACTGCGATCGACTGTCATTTCTGTGAAGAGGTCCAGCGCGCGCTCAGGCTCGACGGGTGCGGATGGGTGCGAGCAGGCACGGAGCATGAGAGTGTAGAGCGCGACGTCCGGCTGGGGATGAGCAACGTAGCGCATATGCGCGAACAGGTCCCATGCCTGCGCGCGGCCCTGTGCACCGTCACGGCGCATGGAAAGCAGAGCCGTGATAGTACGAGTGTATGATTTTTGAGGTGCAGGTGTGCCTAGCTGTTCGCATGCGTGCAGGATCCGTAAAGCATTATCAGGCATCTCATATTGCGATGTAGCCTTGATATGTGACTTGACGTGGAGATCGCGTTGCAACTCGGTGGGCGCGGGCACGTGAACATGCAGGACACGCTCTGTGCCTGACACATTACCTTCGGAAGCGTACGCGGCGAGCAGGTCGTTAATCGACTCTTCCATATTGAGACTACCGGATCGCTGCAATTTTGATGAGCTGAAGGACCAGATGCAGCAACGTTGGTGACGAACCTTCATCAAATTGAGAACGAGCTCGGCAGTGGCGTAATCTTTTGCACTAATCTAGAGAACACACTCAGCAATTTCGCACATTGTGATAAGTAGCCATCTAACATACACATGTACGTGCCAGTGCTGACCACTCCTTGTTAGTAATGAGACTAGTCGGGAACTCCTTGACTTGCTCCACGCCTTCACCCTCTTTTAGTTTTTCCTTGAACATTGATGACTGGAAGGAATCGATCTCTGACATAATTTGTTGTAAGCGACCAACGATGGCATGATGGATTTGTCGCGACGGTGCGGAAGAAGCTGATGCAAGACCCGAAGGCTCCAGTAACCGATGTGCAACAGCCTCGACAAGTTCTGTGTCATCTTTCTCCCGCGGAACGGAGGCGGCAGGAGTCTCAGAAGCCGGAATGGCCAGGAGAGCCTCGTAGATTCTCAGCAGGTCATCTTCAGAGTAAGTCAACGAGCTGTTGAGCAACTGCATGAAATGAGTACGCGTGAGTGAATAACATGCCATGAATCGATGACTGGCACACCTCGGACGAAGCCGCCGTCTGCTGCAAGGCCTTCACCCGCTCCTCCAACTCCGTAAGGGTTCCCATACCCTCATTCTCCTCCATAGGTACGAGGGAACCACGATCCGCTTCTTTTTCCTTTCGTCTCCGTCTGCAAGCAATTTGATCTACCGCAGGGGAGTGCAAAAGAGGTGTACTCACTGTGCACTTAGCGACCGACCACCGCGCTGCATAAAGTGACCAAGGTAGTCCTGAGCAGGAGCTTGCGCTACCATAGCAGCTCCGTGACTGTACCTATTGCACGCATGTCTAGAGGTGACAGAACTAGACGCGACAGAGAGCGCACTGAGGCGCGGAGAGGCACGGAGCAAAGTGAGGTCGAGAAGGGCGGGTGGGAGACGCAGCGTGACAGACATTGTTTCAAGCAGGAATGCAGACAGCACAGTCAAGCAATATTATATCTTGTTATCCCCTGCTCCGATGATAGCTCCGGGTCAAACGAACAATGCGAAACTAGAAAGCCACGGCGAGATGGGTTGGCAGCGGCAGAAACAATCGTGGAAGTCGTCAGCTGACCGTCGTCAACAACTTGTACCTCTAAGATGAAAGATCTGGTCGATATAAGAAAGCCAAAGAGAGGGGATTAAGCAAAATGTAGAGGAACACGCGCCGTCCAGGTTCAGCTATGTTATCTCAGTGCGAATACAATTTTGGAGATCTAGACTTACGGGGGGCTAGATAATAAATGATCGGGGCGATTAGTGATTGAGACTGTGCAGTGTCCCACATTCAACATCAAGCATGGAAGATGGTTCTAGCTGCATGATCCATCAATACATCAAGCTCAAGCCTCCAGAGCAAAACTGTACGGAAGTGCGCAGCAGAGTCTAATTATCTACTCCGAGAAACGAATATCTTTGAAGGCCTGGGGAGCAGAACCTCGCACAGGGGACGGTCATTTCCTGCCGAAGCCGTTCCGACCCGCCCCTCCATATCTTCTCCCTCTTACAACCCTCTCAATCACGATGCAAATGCAGCCTGAGCAGGAGACGAAGACGCATTGACTGTCCCGTTTGTGAGCTGAAACCTTGTGCTCAGAAATCTGCCTGATAAACTCGAGCACCATCTCTTTCGTCCCTTTTACACTGTCGATGTCCGCGGTGGGAGTCCCATGGGTATAAATGCATACTTTACACTAATGTGTCACACTGTACCCAGAACTAATCATACAGAAGCAAAGTGAGATAATCTAGTTGCAGAGATACACGAGTCTTCCTTCCTGCAAATGTCCATCTTCCAACTGTTCGGAATCGGTTCAGATGCCAATCGACTTGCACCTTGCAGGCACAGTGAAGTCCTATGCCACTAACGCTCAGCTATCTTGGCGCAGAAGACGTTAATTAGCCACTCACATCCGTCCTATCACCTCCACCCCACGGCGTCTCTCCCTCGACCTTAGCATTCGGACCCAGTCCACACTCCGCAAAGCCCGCCCAAATATCGCAGTAGTTCTCTTCGCCTGTCAAGATCGCGTCCGCCTGTATGATCGCGTCACGCGCCTGAAAGAAGGTCGGGCGACAAGGCTGGAGTTTCATAGCGTTGAGCACGAGCCTGTACGTCCGACATTTCTCGTCAGCTCGTCAATGTTGCTCCAGAGCGATACCGGAGGCTACTTACTGCACCATGAGCGAGTTACCATGCTTCGGAATCGGCGGTCTTCGCACTCCGTTTTCCGTAGACGGCAGAGTACGATAGAAGTCGCCTTCTGGCACTATACCATCAATCAGCGGCTCTGGCGGGAAGAGCGAGTCGGCGAAGCCGTGTTTCTTGATCAAGCGGTTGGACACTACCCACAGCATTTCCGCCCAGACCTCGCCGATGGCGTGCGCTCCCCACGCCACATCAACGGACTCATATGTCAAAGGGTTGACATCCTTATCCTGCGATGCCAACATGTCGGGCATGAACACACGGTAAGCGATTGACTCACGCAAGTCAATCAATCAGCTCACAATGGAGTATGGGTAGTCCCGCATTCCATAAGTTCGATTCTGAGCCCATGCGCCTATAGGGTAGTCCGAGTATTCGCGAGTGCTCCTAATCGTAGTGGCCAAAAAGTCTGCGAGGGTTCCCACGTCAAGTATCGACAAATGCATGATGGCATCTTTTACGTACCGCCCCAACCCTCGCCCATGCCCTTCGACTCGCTGTACGCCAAGCAGTCCGACTTGCCTGGTCCCCCTGTTAGACGCGTGCTCAGCCCATGGGTCAACTCGTGGATGACAAGCCCAGCGTCCAGCGCTGCGTCGCGATATGGGTTTGCCGTGCTGAACAGGTACATGTCGCATCTTCCGTTCTGGCCATCGGGAGGAGTCCAGAATTGCGCTGAACAAGGAAGATTCACTCAACAAGGAGAGGACATCGTAAACATCAATCATTCTGAGCTCACCATTGTTGTAGGTCGTACTGTCCTGCGCGTTTGCGATTATCGCGTCGTTCTCCTGCCCGCCATTACCAAAGTTGTACTGTTGGAAGTTTCCCGCAGCCTCATCAAATCCGTACCGGTAGTACAAGTCATGCACCATGTTGCTCGTATAGAACAGCTGCGTCACCGACACATTCACCAAGCGCCTCGCTTCGTCAAGCAAGTCTTTGCGCTCCGTCGGGCGCGGATTGTAAACCCAATCAAACACAAGCGACTTGCCGGCATCCGGGCGGTAGCTACTTTCCCAGTCCGCCCTCTGCCTGTCCCATTTCTCATGTGCAAAGACGTTGTTTCCCCACGTCGTCGTCGTATTCCGCCACTTCTCGCCATGAGGGCCTGAATGGACGTGGTCACGAACAGATATCGGATCATTCGCGTACGGAAGCGAGTGCCATCCCATCGGGCTCGCGGCCCTGTCAAAATGCTCCTTCTCCATCGTGCGCTTCCCGAGAGACGGATCGTTTATGCCCCATTTGAAGACGTTGTAGCTGGCGTGCCTCTTAGATACGGGTGCGAGTGGTATCGGAGAGTCGGAGACCCAATCAGCGACTGAAATTATGCGATGGGGCAGGTCCGCGGATACCGTGGCTTCATACCAGTTGTGTTGCATTTCAACTTCAAACTAGTCAACATTCATAAGCATATGGCACAGGTGGATGCGCATATACTCACCTGCCAGACAAGCTCAAGCACCGTAGAGCCACTCCTCGGGACCTGCATATATGCGAGCTTCGCTCTCACCGGTTTTACGGCATCGGGCACATTGTCGACAATCGCCACAGGGAAGTAATGACCATTGACGCGGTGTCTCTCCCAGGCTGTTGCCATGCTCCTCAGATGCGCACCGGGGTCATCAATGAGCTGTTGTGCGAGCGTGTCATTAGATGTCACAGCGATCATGAATTGCAAGAGTGCAGGCTCAGGCTCGCGCCATTCCCTGTCCTGCTGCGCTGCAAAGGCAGGTTTCTCTGCCATGAGGAACGGTGTGTCCACATGAGCACAGTTCCACTCATATAGACGGCGCTGAGACGCGAGAGTCTCACTCAAAGGGAAGTCGGTGCTTCGTAAGGAAAACTGGCCGTTCTGGATTTGGAAGCGTTCCTCGTTCCGCTTGAGCGCAGCCAATAGGTTGGTGCAGTGCTCAGAGTGCACGTCGGGTGCACGCTCCACGAACGTCATCAGAAATGATTCCTGGAGGTATCCGCGGAAGATCTGCGCAGGATTGAGCACAAATATGTGGCCAGAACACTTTGTGGACCTACTGAGTCGCTGTAGGATAGGATTATGCCATCCTTAACGTTGACACTGATATGACCGTTGAGAATCTCGCTGCCATCGACATGCTGGGAGACATAGACGTGTGTGATGTCGGTAGTCCTATCGGTGTAAGAGTCATTGCGGATGAAGAAGGAAGTGAGGGGGTCAGCGTCTCTGGTCAGCTCGCGAACAAACCGTTCGGCGACGGCGAATGGTTCGTTGGCAGACTCGGAGATGCTGCTCGAAGGGTGAAACGATTCCGTGTGATACGCTGCATGGGAAAGAAGTGGCCCGAAGCCGAGTGTCTTGCGATGGAGCAATTGAAAGCTGGGCTCGGCAGGGCTCGTGCTTTCTGCCTTGAGCCCCAACGCTGCGAGTGCTGCGAGGATGAGACGATACATCGCGACTGCGGCGATGACGCTGACCATCAGGGAGGCGGTCGTGAGGAACGAGCTGCGATCGCAGGTTCTAGGACTCGTACATGCTCGTACATGTACACGCGGACGCTGAAACGGCCGCTCTTATTTGAGCGCTTGACCGCGGGAACTTCCAGTGTCAACGCATCAATACATCATGTGCAATGCGCATAGAGTGACGTACCGCTGGCTTGAAGTGGAGCTAGTCGCTGTGGGACATTCAAACGTCAATAGAACCTCCTCAAACAGTGGCAGCGAACATTTTTCCAGGCATTCAGATGCGCATATGGTATATATACTCGACATCTCTTTGAAAGCAGTTGATCGTCTCCGTCGTTGTCTCGCCTTGTACTTGCGCGTTCTTACGGCAGTTTACTATTAGGAGCACGAGCGATGTCCACATTATCGACTCTGGCTTGGCGAGCTCGCCCGGTCGCATTGCTCCGTAACAGGATTTTCAGGATCTTCTTCGAGTTCTGACCATGATATCGAGCTTCTGGAGATTGCTATGTTGCCGATGTGCACGCCGGCAAGAGTGTTATCAGAACGAAGTCTGACACCTGGAAAGTGGTGGGCCCACAAGAGTCGCGATCCTCATCTCTGTTTCATTCTCATACTGATCAGGCCATATATGCTTGCAGTTCAAAGTGCACTGGATTGCCTGGAGTCATCACAACTTGCGACAAGCCTGCTAAAGGCGCCCCGTGCAATGAGTGACGTTTCTTTAGATCCGCGTCGCTGTAGCATAAATTTCCTCTTCAAGTTTGCTGACAAGGAGGCATCAGTTTCTTGGCTGGCTGCGGAAACCACGTTGTGACTATGCTCTCAAGGTCCATTGTCCCTGTATGACATTGCGTTCCCGTTTGATGAATAATCCTTCTTCAAAGCTGGCAGCGGACGTCGAGAGCCAAGTCAATACTGACAAACATGTGCTACTGTATTGGAAGCCAATGACTCTCACGCCGGACCTTACAATGAAATTTGAATGGATACAAATATTTGGCGCAACACCCAGCGTGCGCATAAGGGTGACGTCTACCGTTATGTCGGCGCCGAATTACTTATGGTCGCTCGTGCTGTGTGCTCGGTCCGACTTCATACGGTAACGGTTACTAAGTGCGCCTATACTGCTTCTGCTGACGGTCTTGATCTTCTTCATACAGCGAAGTCGATCTTATTCGATCCTAGATCGTATACCGGCGCCAAGATACTTGAAAAGAATCGCCATTATAAAAAGCATGCAATCGTCCTCGAAAGGGTGCGCAGCTCACTTCAGTTCTTGCAATCACTTCCTGCTCACTCATAGCGACAGACATACTTCGAGCCGACATCTTTTTTGCCATGGAATGCGTGGACGAACTTGAAGAACACCAACCGAACCTCACGGGTTTCGATATCGACCCATTCAGTGGCTTTTTCCCTCCAAAACCTCTCCCCAGGCTCCCTCAACGTTTCGCACTCTGGGAGGCATTTTCCCAGATGGCCAGCCAAGCACTCGCCCTCAATGATGACCCAAGCGAGGATGGCACCTTCAGACGAACTGTTGGAGCATCCTGGAGAGATGCTGTCTCGGCAGTGAGTGTATTGATTCATATATACATATTTTCACCAACTGAATTCTGCTGCAGTGGCCTATAATCAGTGTCGATGAACTAGCGGATGATATTCGCCTGCTACAGAGGGCGCACATGGTTCTCGCAAGCATCACGCATTTCTACGCACATTCACGTGCACCTTCCGACCATGCTATCCTTATCCCAAAATCCATCTCAGTGCCTCTCGTCGAGATCTCGCGTCACCTTCGGATGGCGCCTGCACTCACCTTCGCAGACACAGTGCTGTGGAACTGACAACTCTCCGACCCACAGCAGCCGCTCTCGGCGGATAATATACGTGTAGAGCACACTTTCTCCGGCACGGACGCTGAGCAGAATTTTTATCTCGGCTCTGCGGCCATCGAGCTGAGGGGCGTCGAGGTGCTCCATGTCATCGAGGATTTCACAAACAACATATCCTGCGATTTCTTCAACATGAACTTATACGCGATCGGCCTCGTCGGGAACGGTCTCATGCGCCTAGCGAACGTTATCGACGAACTATCCGATATTTTCCGTTCACTGCGCGCCCTAATCGACCCGCACACATTCTTCTCTGCTGTCCGCCCATGGTGGTCGGGCTCAAGCTCACGAGGTCCCATTCATCATGAGTGGGTGCTAGACGGGGTACCCGCCACAGCCAACGCGGACCTCGGCGGACCTTCCGCAGGCCAGAGCTCCGTCATGCATGCGCTCGACATCTTCCTCGACGTGGACCACAAGCTCGAGGACACGGACCGCACGCCCGCTCCCTCCCCGGCGAACCTTCGTGCCGACCGAGAATTTATGGAGCGGATGCGGAGGTTCATGCCGGGCCCACATCAAGACTACCTCAAGACGATTCCGTCGGTGCGCGAGGCAGCTCAGAGGAGCCCCGAGCTGGTCGTGCCGTACAACGCTGCGGTGATGGCGCTCAAGCGGCTTCGAGACCTCCACATACGCATCGTAACCAGATATATCGTCACCCAGGCGCATGCAACGCGTGCGAACGACATCAGAGGGCAAGCAGGCGGCCCACCGCAGCGCACATTTCGCGTTGCTCGAGGGACGGGTGGGAGCGAGGTGTCGAATTTGTTAAAGGCGGGAAGGGATGCGACTCACCGCGCGCTGCTGTAGTATGCAAGCTGCACAAGATCACTTTATAGACTCAAACTAAGTTAGAACTGCTCTAATAACCATAGCACTTGGATATGTTCATCATATAATTTGTAGTGGACTGTCGTAATTCATTGACTCTCCGGACCTCAGTAAGGCATTTGGATTGACAGTCTCGCCTGGACGCCGCTCTGTTCGACATTTAGTGCTATCTTTTCAATCTGCACACCGAACGCACTGGCACACAGCATAGTGGCCTTGCAGCCCCATGCAAACCCCCCCACCCCAATACACACCTTTACTTGCTTTACTTGTATCTACTAAATGTTCAGAATCATGTTTAATACGAGCGATTTAGGCTCCAGCTGCCTTTCAACTTAGCAGGTAAGCGACATTCGGGCAGCAAAAGACGGTTCGGGGCCTCGCCCTTTATTTCCAAATGCATGTGACACTCAGCTTATATACACCAATTGCCTACGATACCAAGTTCAAACAATCTTGAAACTACTCCGCATAATCATCTCTTCTCATCTCCGTAATAGAGCTCAGCCCGCGACACTCGTATACCTTCGTCATTTGTAATCCTGACCGCGCCGCTAGTATGCTAAACTCCTCTACGGTGCGCTCTCCTCCCTTAACCATTGTGAACATGTACAAGTCGTGCATGTTCGCGAACGAATTTCCATATCCGTAATTCGCTGGCAGCGGCGACGGCGCTGACTTCAGGTAGCTGGAGTCCACTGTGGTTTGCATGACATTGCCTGCTATCAGGATGCGCGAGTGGAGGCCCATTGCCTTGCGAAGAAGCGAGAGAATTGTGACACAGACATCATCTTCCCAATCGTGACTGCCGCCGATTAGTAGGTTGAGGATTAGTATGCTTAAAATGGGCACGATGGGTATACATACAGTATGTGGCGTAGCAGATACACATCTGCGCCTTTCGTCGGTTGTTCATTGAAGAAGTTGTGGGTGACAAGTTCTGCTCACCCTGATGACAACGCTTCCGGAAGTTCCTTCTGCCAGACAGCCGCAGCTTCTTGAATGACCATTGCGCGGTCTTGAACGATAAATCTTAACAATGGGTACCGCTTCGCTAACTCCATGCTCATTCCACCTAGGACATCATAGTGCTGTTTCAGTAATTTGGCAGAATACGAGTCGGAATGGTTCAATGTACCGATACCCGCTCCGACGTCGACAACCACGCTCGATCCAAGTGATTTCCAAGGAAAGTCTAGTGACGTCCTTTGAGAATGCATCGGAAACGTTGAAATGCAGACTCACCATCGCACACCGCAGGGGCCGAAACAGGCCCTGCGCCAAACTCCCATATGCCAGTTCTCCATATCTCTCGCTCTGGCCGAGGGGCGACGGCTCCGTCTGGAAGTTCGACCATCTGCTCAAGCCATTCCCAGAAGTCTTTATCTGTCGCATAGGCCTCCTGGAAAGCGGATTTTCGTGAAGGCTTGTCGAACGAACCGTATAGGACTGTTGGCAATTTATCCGAGGCCGTATATACCTCCGTGCACCTGGTCACGAGAAATCTTAGCGAGACAGATCGGGAGACAGCAAAATTATGAGGCTCACTGCATCAACAACCAGCACCTCAAGGGCTCGTTGCGGACAAGACGTTGGCTGGCTGCATTGTTCACATAATAGTTATCCTTCACCTCGGCGAAGATGTGGATGGTGCAAAGACAGCGTAGGACGCGCCCTTCCTCTTCAATCAGAAGCATGAAGGTTTACACGAGCAGAAAACATACCTAGACTCTGCGCATCGATACCAACCTGTCGACTGATATCTTGGATTGAGATGCCTTCTTCCGGATCGGCGCCGTCCAGGACATCGGCGATCCGTGATTCTGCAGCAATACGCAAAGCTCGCGAATTGAAGTAGGAGTTTATCACTTCGGTCATCCGGACGACGGGATCGTGTACAAGGTCGATGCCCATGCCATATGCCCCGATGAAAGTGCGGCGCGCCTCAAACAACGTAGGCGACGGCAGATGTGATCGTTCTGCTGGAGGGGTCTGTTCCTCAATCTCCCATTCCTTGATGACCACCTCTGCTGTATTGGCAAGGAGCCGCACAAGGGACCGCAATTGCTTCGCCTTCTGCACTGACGGAGCGCTGGCCATAAGAGCCATGGAGGAAGAGCACATAAATGCCACCTCCCTCCACCTCCCTTATATATTGCGTAGCATATCGGCGTCAATATGCTCGGAGCTGGTTATCACCTCATCACGGATGCTTCCTTGCGAAATCACTTCTGGATGGCAGAGGACATCATGCTTTGATTTCCGTCTAGCCACTTTCCGATTCCGTCATACCTATGTTCGCTGTGCGATCATCCTGTTTCTATCGGTTTCCGTTTCTTCAGAGAACATGACGTCCAAGCCTACGTTCGGTGAGCAATGTCTTGGGGTTTGTTATCTGCTCTGCATCTTGAGGTCAGCAGTTGGCAGCAGAGAAGCATTCGAGGTAACAAAAAAGGAGGGTCATTCCATTCCATCGTGACACGCGTGTGCGAATTACTGTACGATCCTCGCGCGTGTGCTCGCTTTCCTATTATCTTCGCTCGAAGCCAACGCTGACGCGATTCTCTATAGGCTGCATCTGGACCGGTTCGTGTGTCTGTCCTATATTAGTCCGGCGGCCCAGAGCTACAACTTGACAAGGTTCGAAGACGTTGACTGGTGGATAAGGAGCTGGAATATGGTGACCCTATGAGGCCATTAGTGCTGTAGAAGCCGTGCTTGGGCAATCGTGGATTCATTCAATCAGTAACTTGGAGCTTGAACATCTTTCGAGTCGTCTTTCTTGGGATGCCTGACTTTCTTGTCACATAAAATCGTGCGAGAATATGTAGGTCCCCTCACATATCCCACGGTAGTGATAAACATTGATTCTGTACATATTGGCGTTATCCAAGTGACCGCTATCACATCCGTACGAGCCTTGACCATCGTGTGGACAACGGATGTTCCGGCTAAGCTGGCCACCCGGGTCCCACTGTAGAGTGTGCGATGCACTATCTTGAGTAGCGGCATGATAGTAGTGAGAGTCATACCTCACGCTGTCTCGGACATCATCAAACCAACGCCGGTGCGTCTGTCGACATCAATGGTTCGAGCACATGAGCGGGTCACAATTTGTTAACCATCCATATAAGTACCGCATACCAGAAGAAGCGAACAAGACAGGTCGTCACAGGTGGTATCGATTGCGCAATGACTAACTCCCCTGGTCGCCTTGGCCGTAGATACTCAGCGTTGACCGTATGCCTTTGTTTCGTACTTTCCGAGGCCGACAATGACGTGCTGGGACTCGGTCTTTCGGCCTACCAATCAAGCAGTTTTCGAGAAGTTCCCTGGTACCAGCGGCATAACGTACCTGCGCATCCAGCGTCGTGCCAGAGTAGTGAGGCACCACGCCGTTTCCTCCGCCGAGAGAGTTCACCATCCTCCAGGGACATCCTTTACGTAACCAGAGAGTTAACCGCTCTTCAGCGCCGCAGCGACAGGTCACAGTATCCCTATCGCAAACACGAGCGGTGTTTAGGAGCCCTTGAAGAAGGGCAAATTCAAATTGAGCTTCATATGGGGAAGCAGTTGAGGATAACATTTGAACCTTGTGCTTGAGAAATTCGTCACCAGCATTGATAAGGCCCGTCGAGTACCATCGTGCAGACTGAGAGTGGACAGTATTTACCACATACTCTGTTTCATAAATCCACCTGACAGGCTGACACTGTAAGATGCACTTTCGCAGTTACATAAGCATTTTCAGCTCCGAAACGCGTCGATGATCGATCGGATCTCGTACTGTGCAACTGCGACAGTAACCAATTCACATTCTCCAGAGCTTTCCTCACCCCATAAAAAGCTGGGTAGAGGAGATAAGAGACTTCTTAGAGCAGTGAGGCTCATAACCTGTTAGTCCAACAGGTTATGAGCCCCGCTGCTCTAAGAAGTCTCTTTCAGAGTCTTATCTTCTTTACCCAGCTAGTGCAACTTCAACATGGTTCTTGTTCTATTGCGCTGTAGCTACCTGGTATATATACATCTGGGATAGGACCCTGTGTACTGGTCTGAGACCTCTGGTATCTACAGCCACTGAATACTTACATAGATGAGTAATATGACAGTATCTAACACATGACCTGTGGCTACATGTACTGTCCAATGGGATTAATAATGGTCCTCATTGTACAATTCCTACAGAATATATGATTGGTCTTCTAATTATAGCAACAGATGAAACCGTTCCTTAGTGTTCCGGAACAGGTCTAAGACTGCGCTAGATTGTTCTAGAAACTACTGCCTTCTACAGTTACCATCAGTTTCTATGGTGTTCAATGATCTCCATGACATTCCTACACGTCTCATCACTGTGACAATCATATGAAATCATCAGGAATATACTATTCCTTCGACATTCACTGTATATGACTGTAACCATAATGACTATGTCTACTGAGTTCTGTGTTCTTCAGTCAAAGAATGGACAATTAACAGGCAGATCATGGCCTGCATACTCAAAATGCGAGATAACTGCAGTTCGGCTCACTACAGTTCATATCCGATACCTTTGATGAGTTAATATTAGTTTGATATAAGGTCAAAAAAGATATCCTAAATTTTCCGAGAAGAGAACAGCCAAAGAGGATCGCCGGATCTGAACTCCGCCAGACGCCATCTTGCGGCAGCGCTGTTGCCGACGCTCGCGCGCCACAATTCAGACTCGTCTCGTCGGATCAGCATGCCGGGCGGAATGCGAAATACGGCATGCCGGCAAAGTGACTGATTGCGTGACATCACCTCGGAGAATGGTTGCATTGCTGTTGCAGTCCTTGTTGCCTTCCGGTATCATGAACACTGCAGCATGAAAAATTGAGAACATACATTAGGAGTATAGCTATACATTTCAATAGCTCGAGAGTCAATTTGAGGATTTTACAGGCCATAGGAACTCAAAAGGCAAAAAGTTTCATCAGATAGTATCTCGTCACCTCTCGTCACGTACCCTACAAGCCTCGCTTTCAATTTGTACGCTCTGAGAATCGTAACCGTCTTCATTCTTTTGATGCTTGACGCAGGACAGAAACCACCAGCAAGAAATTGCAGCGAAATGTCTGCTAATCGACTCAGAAGCCCTCATCAAATGTGAGATCAGAAACTCATGTGCACGCTACTACAGAAACCATTCCAAAACTGCTCCAAACGCCATCTCACCAAACATGTCCGTATTTGATGCTAGACTGTACACTTACAAACTACACTACGAACTACATGTAAGAGGGAAACACGACCACCACTCGGCCCAGCCAAAAATATTCACCCGAGGTGTCAACATGCAGCGGCCACCTTCGAGATTGTACAGGGAACACATTCATAGCTCCATCTTCTGCACTTTCTCACCAGCGCTTTGCAATTTCTCACCTCCCACCTGCATCCCCGCACCAGTCTTATCCTTCACGCTCTCTGCGCCACCTGTCAGGATATCCAATACCTGAGCACCACTCGTCAGTACCCCCACACGTTCAAACTTGTTTAACGATGATGCACGCACCTTGCCCAGCTGCTCCTCCGCAGCCTCAACGCCGCCACTAATGGCATCCCGCACCTTTTCATACAGCGCTTCGGAACGCGTCGTCGCCTGCACGTAGCGAATGCGCACCTCCTGCAGCAATCCCGGTCGGCTCGTTGGCAGCGCATCCTCCGACATGCCATGCTCGCGCAGGTACGCACGCAACCGCGCATCAGGCCACAGTAGATACTGCGCAGTCCTTGCACTGTAGTCGTTGTATCTGTTGACGAAAACATCGTCACAATGCCTTCTCAAACATTTGAAAAGGACGAATCACTGACTTATCATGCATCATCTTGATCAGCTCATCCCGCGTCTTCTGCATGTCACTTCGGATGTAGCCGCGTTCAACCAGCCATGCCTTCATGTCAGAGTCACTCCATGCACTCCAGACAGTATCCCGTGCATGGACATAGTTGTCCCTGACCATCCATCAGCATTCTGCACATAGCAGCGACGACCATGGTGCACTCACACTAGTAGCTTCTCAAGCTTCTCACGATTGATCTGCGCGCTGCTCTTGATGACGCCATGGTCCACGAGCCACTGCTTCATCTGTGACTCGTTCCATGTCGAAAACACAGTCTCCTGCGGGCCGTAATAGTACTGCTTCATGTGCGCAAGGTATTCATCGCGCTTCTTCTGTGCATCAGACTTGATGATGCCATGTTGGACGAGCCACTCATGCTACGAGCACATATCACCATGGGTTTGCGAAAGAGCAGACGATTCACTTACGATGTACGAATCGCTCCATGCTTCCCAAATTGGGTTCGCGGCCTTGGCATACGTGTCCCGCATCCACTGCAGCAACTGATTCCGCGTTGCTTCCTGCTTCGTCTCGAGCACGCCCTCTTTCTCCAGGTAGTCCCTGAGCTTATTGTCATCCCACGTGGAGTATACGTAGTCCTTCGAGTCGTCTAGCACACGCTCCACCCCCGCCGTCGCCGCGCTGGCCGCGCTGCCCACACTCTTGCTCGCCTTTGAGCCCAAGCTGCTCGCTCTCTGGCTAGCATCGCTCATGCCGCTCGATGCGCTCGCGCTCGCCTGCGCCCACTTCTGTTTGGCGAGAAGAGCCAGTTGCTCACGTGGCCCACTCGGGTTGACGACCCCCTGTTCGAGCAGAAATTCGCGCAGACGCGACTCGTCCCAGGCGTCGAACGCGTTTTGCTTGAGGCTGCCGTAGCGGTCGAGGAACGCCTGCTGAGCGGCGCCAACCTGGTCTGCCGCCCATCCAGTTTGTTCCGCTGTCCACGAGGATGCGACTGAGGCGGCGCTATCCCAGTTCGAGGAGACCAACGACTGGAGGTCGGCCAGCGATGGCCCTGGAGTGGTGGTTGGAATGGGGATGTTGCGGTGTGCGAGCCACGACGTTAGCTCAGAAGGAGACCAGGACGAGTACTCTGATACAAAGAATGGTAAGAGTAGGAAGGTTCACGACGAGTAAGCCCACTCACCTGGTTCCTTCTTGCTGTGCGACCCGCCAAACCAGGACGCCTGAACGGCGCCGAGCGAGACGGCGAGAATAACGAGACGATATGTGATTTTCATGTTGGTCGTAGCAAGTCGTGAGGTCGAGAGAAGTACGGAGAGTTGCAGTTGATGGGGTTATATGGCACGCGGGAGGTGCGGTGTGGCATGACGCACGGGTGACGTCGCCAACTCGTTCAAATTGGGGTTAGGGTCGACGCGTTCCTTACGTAACCCCGCCCAATGAACAGTCTTCAACACAGCTATATTCAATTCCAGGCGTGCATACACCAAAATCATCATGTATAAGGCTCCTATACGCGTCTATTCTGTCGTCTGCTGCTTGGCGGTCCAGATCGTGCCTGCAAGCCATAGTCATGCCTAGCGGACGCGTATCAAAAACCAACCTCTCCTTCGATACAGCAAAACGGAGATTTACTCTGACGACAGAGTAGATGGATGTGCGACGCCAAATTTACTTGTTCTTCGGAGGCTCGGCGCATCCGCATGCAGGGTAGGTGCAGGTGCCGCCGTTGGCTTGAACGTTCGCGCAGGTTGCTTTGTCCTGTACGACGAGCGGTGCGTGTCAGTGTGTTGCGATGAGATGGGAACTATGAGAATGAGTACTACGAGTACTTACAGACATGTCTGTTGCTAGAGGTGTGTAGTCGATGACCGGCGAGCCTCTGCATCAGACGCGCTCTCTTTATAATTTAAAAAACTCTGCAAAACGGCGGCATCGCACTACGAATGGATGTGCAATCCGTTTGATGTAATTGGTGCGCATGAATGCACTACACTTTATTGGTGCCGTACGCAACCAATCATGCGAGAGCGGTATGTCAAGTGTATTAGATTTCCTCGTACTAAAATGCTGATATGGTGGTGCAGAATGAAGTATAAGCATCCGATGTCTGTCCTGGCGGCCGAACGCTGAAAGTGTGCATGAGTTACGATACTACGTTACGAGCGCAACGTCGAAGAACGGACGCTACATGGGTGGATGAACACCTATTGACGTATGTGGCTATCGCTCCTCGAAGGACCGTTTCTCCATTTGTCTCTCGAAGAGCTCGAATCTAGGATCTTGTGAAGAGACTTCCCTCTGTGATGATGCAGAAGAGGAATACGTGCTGGAACACGAAATTACCGGGAGACCCGGTAGTCTCAAATTGGCCCTCCTCTTCGAGTTCATCGCATCCGCCCTCTGCTCGCTCAACACAGTTCGTGAAGGGACTTGAAGTGATATCGCGCGTCGGTAGCGCACTTCGAAGCCGCATCTGAAACCGGATTATCTTCCAGAGTGAACACATATCTGACCATACTGAGAACTGTTTCCAAAGAGCAAACTTGCCTGGAAGCCTCTGTAGCGACTCCTGCGAGAAGAAGCCGCTGATTTACCTGACATCAAAGTTGGTCAGGGTTAACTGAGGTTCTCGATAGAGATGTGCTGCGCTCATCACATAGTGGACAAGCCATTATGGTGAATGGTCTGGCGGGAATGGTTCATCGCCGCCGAGTAACATGGAGCGCAAGGAACGTAGCGTTGTCCATGTGTGAGATAATTTCGCTACTGAGACGTGCTGACGGAGAGAGCGGGCCGCATCATGTTGCGGAGAAAACGACATGCGGCCCGCATCTGCTTGAATGTAAATGTCGTGTACTCCCGTGACGCTCGATACTCTCGCCGGCGATGTGGCATGCTGCCACAAGACACAGACGATACCTAGTAGGAGGGGGGTCAGGCCACGTACCAGCCCCCGGAATACCCGGAAGGGCTCACGCGCATGAGTCAAACCTATTGTCTAGCTCCTGTAAATCTTCTCCACAGACTTCGGCGATAGCGACACACTTGTATCGGGCGCATGCGGGCGACGTGCTGTAGATGAAACCGAGCTTTGATTCTCCTCAGCACAACGGTGGCTCAGTACCGTGGCGAGCAGTCGCTTTTAGGTGAGAGAATAAACGATACCCAGCAGATCGCATGCGTGACCAGTAGTCTCCCCCCAAAAAACGCGCAACTTAAGTTGCTACGCGTTGGGTGCGTTCAAGTCCCGTGACCGCGTCAAAACTATCCACGCGCCTTAGCGCTCGACTGTTGGGCTGCGAGCTCACAAATACTGATCGCTGTTTCTCACCGCTGCCTCTAGCTATATGCGTGCATTTTTTGAAATCAACAGCTTTAATTGCTTGCCGCTCTTCTGTGACTGGAGGAGCCGCACTCGCGACGCTCAGTGTTCAGAGCTTGGAACACGGTATTGCAGGGATGCTGTGTATGTCTATTCTGCTACCACCCTGTCGACGTATCCCTGCAGCTCGCGAAGGATGTCTCACACTAAACTAGAGTCTGGCAAACATACCTGGTGAATAAGCACCAAGATCGTCCTCTTCTCTGAGCAGCAAGGCAGGGACTCGCCACTGACGACAGAGCAAATGGACTTGACGGCTTCTCCCTCTCTGATTATTACGTTGCATCAAGCATCTGCCACAGTCTCGGCTCCTAGCCTTGCGTGCCACGAACCGAGTCAAGAATCAGGTTTAAATCAGTGACCACTTAGCTATTTACGTATTTTCGACCCTCAATTGCCATCGCTCGGGGAACGGCGGCGGAAACGGCGTTAGATCCTCTTGGACGGCCTCGCGCACCTTGCATTCGGGACCTACCAGTATTCAAGAAGTACGAAAATGACCCTAATGTGCTACTTCCCCTCGAACGCTCTGGATGGAGGACACGGCTTACTCGAGTCCCTGTCACCATTGCACCGCCGATCCGACTCCCACGTCTTCATATAGTGGGCGCATGCATGACGTACGTGCGGGTTCGCTTCCCGGGCGGCTATGGTACGTGAACAGCGCGATTACTCCTATTCCTTGCCGATGAATGCTAGACATTCTGTTGGAAGGTCGTCGACTCCGCGCGTTCATTGAGTCTTCATTTTTATGTGCTCATAGGATGGGCGCGGCGTTGTGCACGTGGTGCTGTTCCATGCGTGTGTACGTCGCCATCAGGTTTCTGATTTTTCAATGAATTGCCAAGGCCCTAGGGGTCGTAATTGGGGCTGCTTATGCGACTTCGTGACACACAGTGTGTGATACGCTGGCTAAGCCCGACTGTGAGGGTCATCGCGGTTGATATGCGCTGGACGCACATTAACACATTAACGGGTCCATTATGATCCGCCTCAGAGACCAACTGCGCCTAGATGTTGATTCGTTGTCGATGTACTGGAGGTTTACTTCTAGATCTAAGTCTATAGGTCTTATGCACATCTCTCAGCTGACTATCGAGACTGATTACATGGGCCAGGTCCTGTGTCGCATCATTCTCCAATCACCGCCTGTTACACCGGACACTTGCGGAAAAATATCAGCATTGACTTTTTTTAATGTTCATCCTAGCTGGAAACCCGTCGCCCGCACTATGTACGCCAAGTCCAGGCTCGTGGCTCAGTACATCTCCCGCGACGCAACTTGACGTTCCCGACGCAGGACGTTTCAAATGCCACCACTACCAGCTGCTCCAGGCATTGGCAACGCCGGTTAACTCACTCCAGCATCAACTGTATTCAAAACATGTGACACCTGATGGTGGCGAAAGATATCCATCTGTGCGCAAATGTGGACACGACTGTCCCGCGCAGCCGAATCTATTGCGGCGGTATGGATTTGCAGACCCCTGATGGCGAGGGTGCGCACCGCCTCGCTTCCTCATGGCCAGGTGCCTTTCATTCAGTGCCTTATACCTGCTTCTAGCGGCATCCGAGCATCTCGTCGGCAATATTGTGCTCAATCGCTTTCGTCGAGATTGTCAACACAAGCACTGGCGTTACAATCACCACGGTCTGATTGGCCAGCAGAAGGCTCCACCCGTATGTCATAGTCGCCCGGGTCCTCAACGAGATATGCTGGAAGTGACCTTCGCATTGCCGTCTTTCTATGCAATGACGTTCTACAAGATTAGAGCGGGCACCCGCAGGTCCGCGCTAGGCATCTACGCTCCAGACGTGCAGGTTACCCAGTTCCGTAACGACACCCGGAAGCTGCTGCGCTTCAGTGCCGTCTGCGGCTCGAGCACTGACATGACACTCGAGCGACGTTTGCATCTCATCACGCGGCCTAGGCTGTAAATGTCGTCCTATCCCGATTCCACAATTGCAGCTGATACAGCCTTCATTCGCTCTAGCTTGGTTCTATGACTAAGCTTTGGGTTCACAGTCGTCTTCTATGGTAGAAGGGGCCTGCCCGATCTCCTGTCCTGTGCAGGTTGTGACACATCGGAGGGGCTTCAGGGCTCGCTGTCTTTTCATATGCCGATAATATCTTTTTTGAGCCATCTTCGTGAAAGGCACGTCCAACTCACTACTCTGCTCCCTTTTGAGATCTCTCAGTTACTCGAAGCAATCGCTGTGGTACGATTGTGTGCGATGTCGTCGCAGCGATGGATGCGATCGGTGGCGAGGTACGAACGGGCCAGAGCTAAGGAGAAGATTAGATTTTTCATCCGTTATCTGATTGCAGCATCGGTGCCGGTGATTATCTGATAACGCCATGCGTTTTTGTCTTTAGACGCCGTCGGCATCTACATGTTCCTGCTGCGCCAAGTCGGTGCCAAGGCACTTGCTGTGGCTGCCGAGATGTTGTCCAAACCTCCCCCGCAATGTCTATGCAATTCTCTGCCGTTCCTGCCACAGCATGAACGGCAGACTGTGTGCAAGAAAGTTGATGAGAAGTGAGTCCGGCGCTTTTGAAGTCTTAGCCGTCGCCGCCCGAGCTGAGGCTGACGTCTATTATTAGCGCTCCAACGCCGGATGGAGGTGGAACACGGTCTCGGCAGGTTCGCCCGAGTGACAGACTGTCCTCCGCCTCCCGCTGGCAGATGTCAATTCAGTCACCCACGAAGATCCATCGACCCCGCGGTATCTGATAAGATGGACAGTTGCGAACCATTTGCGGTGGTTCGCCTCCTCCCCTCCCTCTCAGAATGCTGCCTCTCCCGACAGTGGAACGGTCAGCCACCGCCAAGATGGAGGACGTCGAGTCGCCCAGCGATGACAAGATCTACCCCGCATCCGCCAAGTCTCTTGACTGCGACCCCAAGCAGGCTGAGACCACGTCCTGCTCGTCCGCAGCCGCCTGCAAGCACAAGCTTCCTCTAAAATGGCAGGTGTTGATGATCGTGCTGACATGCTTGTGTACCTGTAAGTCCCCCCTCCTCACATCTGCACTTGACGCTCATTTATGCCATACGACCGCTAGTTGGCAACCACTGGTCGAATGTGAGTGCTGTTTCGTGTCTGGCAGCATGTCCCGCTCAAAAGTGAGATCGTTCAGGGACTGATCGTGTATGTGAACGACTCCAACATGCCCAATCGCTCCCGATTCCTGATGCCTTTGCAGTGCGTTGAAAACAACAATCATCAAGGAGACGCATATAAACAACTCGCAGTTTGCTACCTTGGTACGTCGTGTGTCTTCGCTATCATATGACGGTCACTAACCTTCACGCCGATGCGCAGGTGGCTATCACCAACCTAGTAAGCCGATAGCATATCATCATCTGCTTCCGAATGACTGAATGAACACCGCACGGACAGATCAACACATTCCTATGTATCGGCTTTGGCTTCTGCATCGACAAATGGGGTGGTGCACCACTCTCGGTGATCTTCGCGGCATTCCATCTGGCCGGGTCGATCGTCATGGCTGGAGCGGCGACTAATAATCTGAACAGTTACCATGTCCTCATCGCGGGGAAAGTCATTGCTGCCATCGGCGACGGATCTTTGGACAATGCGCAACATCGGATATTCTCGACGTACTTCGCACCTGGGAGGGGCTTCGCGTTCTCCATCGGTATGTTTGAAAATTGATGGCCGCGTACAACGCTCACTGCGTACATATTCGTAGGTGCAATATGGTGAGTAAATTATGGGGATATCCTAGGTGTAAACGTGACAATGTCACTTTATGTAGGGGTATCGCCAACCTTGCCCAGTTCACTGGCCAGTCGACTGCGAATATTATCACCAAACAGCTCGGATCATATTCGTACGCACTTTGGATAAGCGCCGGCATCGCCGCCTTTTCCTTCCTGTGCGCCGTTGCCGTCGTCGTCCTCGATCGCTACCTGCGTCGGTGCTACATGGTGACGGACCAGACAAGCGGCAAGCGCCATACAGGACAAACAAAAGGGCCGGCATTCACTCTGAAGGCCATACGACATTTTCCCATGACCTTCTGGATCGTCGTCGCGTTCGCAGTCTTCGAGAACGCGGGCGTGCAGTCGTTCGTGTCGATTTCGACGTACGTCATGTGACCGTATTTCCCGCGTGCGTCGCTGATATACGTGCAGACAATTCGCACAACAGAGGCTGAAGAAGGGCGCGGTCATTGCGGGATGGGTCTCGAGCTTTTATTTGCTCTTGCCGGCGTGTTTAACCCCGTTCCTCGGTATCTACATTGACTCATTCGGTCAACGGATAGGCTTTTGTAAGTAGATTGTCCTTCGATGTTTGTAAGAGTGAGCAGCTGACCTCTGCATGCAGTATTCGCGTCTGGCCTGACCTTCCTGACTTCCATGCTGTTACTCAGGTTTTCAACGACTGTCCCGACCTTCAGTATGTATCTTCTCTCTTATGTCACGTGGGTGGCTGAAGGCGTTGCAATTTCGTCAGTTGCCGCATACGTCTTCTATGCTCTGTCGCAGGTATGCGCCTTCTTTATCTAAAGGACATCGCTCGCTTATATTGAGTGCTTGGTAGAGTGTCACCCCAGCACCACAAGTTGAGATAGTGCGAAACATCATCCCTAATCCACAGCATTATGCAACCGGGTTAGTATGATTAGCATTCGTCATTTGCTTGTTGATGCTCATCTTCGCACGATGTCCCTAGATTTGCCATCAAGAGTATGTTTGTATAGATTCTCGGCGCTTTGCTTCTGTTAACATCCTCACCACTCTTCACCGCCGCGGATTCTACGCGACACGCGTAGAATCCGTCGTACAAGCATCAATAGTCATCATCACGACCGCAGCGGGAAAGCTGCAGGACGACTCGCCAACGGACTCGCTCGAGCCGGCCGTCACACTCTGGCTGGCCTATGCATTCATCTCCGTCGCCATAGCTGGAGCCCTGTTCGTCGCTTCGTACGTCACGCCGACGCTTCTCCCTGCCGCGCGGCTCGCGCAGATCAACCCACGGCGGGTGCCCGTGGAATCTGAGCGGCTTGCGGAGAAGAAGGGCATCGCTGTAGAGAAGGAGGACCTGGGCGACGAGGTGAGTGTGGCGAAGGAGGCGGAGAGGCGCGTGAAAGCTCCTGCGTCGAGCCTCGCGTGGGCGAGATGGACTTGCTTGGTGGCTGGGGCTGTGATCATTGTTGTTGGGTGGGTGATCTTTGGCTTGGGGGTGTCGTGGGGAGTGCATGGGAGTGTGATCGCGGGCACGGTAGGAGAGTAAATATGTAACAGACTATACATGAGTGAAATCTATCAACAATAAATAAAGCGTCGCCACCGTGGGTGCCATTAACGCCGCATGTCACAACCACGGGACTGTGACATGTCGCCGTCAGAGATAGCGTTGAAACGTGCGTATATATTGAGTCGTGACTCGACTTTGATACACTAGATTCATGATGGCAACAGTCGCACTCAGACGCACTTTCTTCACCGACCATGTCGCCTCCCTTCGTCAACAAGTACACACCGCCGCCCCCGGACGCCCTGCCTGATGTCGACGCGCTCCTGTCTTCTACGGAGCCATACGACATCAATTTCGCACTTCCACTGCACCTTGATACCCTTTCCTGCCCGACCGTCCGACTCACGCCCTTTGTCCCTGCCCTTCATGCCAAGGAGTTCTGGGACAACGTCGAGTCACGAGCTGACGAGCTCTTCAAGTACTATCCGTTCTTACCCGGGTCGCTGCCAGAGTATCTGCGCATCATCGAGTCGTATCGCCAGAACCCCGAGTGGCTGCCTTTCGCCGTGTATGACAGGACAAAGAACGGCCCGGGCGGCGACGGTGCACTCGCAGGGATGGTGATGCTCATTAACACCGCCGCGGCGCATCTGCGGACGGAGATCGGCTTTATGATCATATTCCCCGAGTTCCACCACACGCACGTCGCGCGTACTGCCGTCGCGCTCCTCCTCCGCTACTGCCTCCAGACGCCTACGGCCTCCCCACCCGGCCTGGGCTTCCGCCGTGTGCACTGGTCGGTGCATCCGAGCAACAAGCCGTCGATCGGGCTGGCGAAGAAGACTGGGTTCAAGGAGGAGGGCGTTCTGCGCTGGATGTTCGTCCTGCCTGACGTTGAGACATTGCAAAAGGCGGGATGGGAGGTGAAGAGGAAAGGACAAGAGGTCGAGGGATACGGAAGGCACTCGTTATGGCTCTCTCATTGCTGGGATGATTGGGAGAATGGCGGACGTGAGCTGTGTGAGAGCATCATCGAAGGATTGGTCAAACCGACTAGAGCTGCAGCATGATATGGCTGAAGCCGGCGATGGACTTTGTATGATACATGAATGCATGACATGTCGCTACCCTGGACCTCTGTTATTTGTATACTAAGGCCGCTCGTGTTGGAATATCAAGCCTAGCTATACTTAAGTATGGACTTATCAGTTGGTATTTCCTTTTATGTACTTATCGGGCATTAGCGCCCGTAAGACTTTTCACCCGCTTCGCTTGTTCTGCGGGCTTCAGTCCTTCTATCATCAAGGAGCTGAAGCCTGTGAGTACCGATACTGTCCTGCATGAATGCAGCGTACATACTAATGTATCGTAGTTGACTCTAGGTACATACTACTAATAGAGTCCTTCTATCATCAAGGAGCTGAAGCCTTTGACTCTAGCGTGTGTCCTCCCGTCCACTCCTTTTCCATCCGTTTACAG